TTATATCGACTACCATTCTCTAAATTCGTGTTCGTTTTCAATACTGTATCATTAGTTCGATATATTGGTGTTCGAATTTTTCAAGAAAAATTATAAGAAGTCATCAGGCATGGTGTTCAATTTGGTATCCAGATGAAATCTCTGCTAGACGTGCTTGACTTATATCTCCACTATTTTGGGCCACACTGTATGAAATTTTAGTTAGTTAAAGAATTGAAGTAACCTCTATGAATCTTTTAATTATACAATACTTCATCATATGCTCAAAATATCCAATCAGCACGCTCTAAAAAGCACTTCAAGTTGTACCAATCGACTGATTTTGATCTCTAATAGATGTGGTATTTCTTTATCCTCACTATTTTGGGCCACCCTGTCTAATATATTAAGAAGTTAAAGGATTAAAATAAACTAGAAGAATCTTCTAATTATTCAATACTTCATCATATGCTCAAAATATCCATTCAGCACGCTCTAAAAGGCACTTCAAGTTGTACCAATCGACTGATTTTGATCTCTAATAGAAGTGGTATTTCTTTATCCTCACTATTTTGGGCCACCCTGGCAAATATATTAGCAAGTTAAAGAATTAAAATAAACTATACGAATCTTCTAATTATCCAATACTTCATCATATGCTCAAAATATCTATTCAGCACGCTCTAAAAAGCACTTCAAGTTGTACCGACTGATTTTGATCTCTAATAGATGTGCTATTTCTTTATCCTCACTATTTTGAGCCACCCTGGCAAATATATTAGCAAGTTAAAGGATTGAAATAAACTCCACGAATCTCCTAATTACCCAATATTCTGTCATATGGTCAAAATATACGATGAGCACGCTCGGCAAGGCGCGGGCTCTCGAACGTCCTCTCGTTATTCATTCGCGCTCGGTGTCATAATAGCGATGTAAAGCGATCCCGTAAAGAGATAGCGCAAATACGAAAAAGTACGATCAAAAAGTCAGATAGGTAAATGACCGTGGCATTAGAGCGGGTGAATCATATAGGGCGGCAGATGGTTCGACTTATGGTATCGTGAAACTACCCGAGGGGTCGAAGAAGCTTTATAGGAGATCTGTGATAGTTCATTAAGCGGCGTTTCGCGTTTAGTCCGGCCGTAACCGAGGAAATTTATCCACTATAAATCGGTGAAAAACTAAGAAAAATACTCTTTGATATACAATTCTTGTTGTAAGACTATCATACTAAATAAACATTCTATTGTTGGATGCAAGTAGATTCGAAATGGAAGGACAATGGGGATTTTTTTAACGCAGTGCCCTTACTATTGATACTCCTCTAGGACCCTGTAAGATTTCATTAGTAGGTACTCCATGAAAGGGATCATAAAATAACAGAGGATGAAACAATAGAAGTTACAGTTAACTGCCGGCACTTGAACTGTAATGAAACTTTATGCTCCCGTTCGATGCGGTCCATTGTGTTGGGAACTCCCGTCGAGTTCAGCTGGCTATATTTTGTCAGGATAATCAGTCTGTAATCGAATATTTAGCCCAATTATTGATGGCAATGATAGCGCATTTTTTCCTATTAAAGAAAGTTATTCTCAAAATACCATTGTGAGATGTCTCGATTCATATCATCATCATCAGATTGTGAAATATTGCAAAAATAGAGAGCATAAAATATCGCTCTCCGGTCGAGAATATTTTATATTTTATAGTTCTAAATCAGTCATGTAATCAATAAACCCGCCTCCCGACCGCTATCGCTCGCCGTCTCCGGAGACTATGAGTAAATACTATCATCAATTCAACCTACAAATTATACCGTGAAGGATGGCTGTAATATGGACCGAATAAAAGACACCCTCAACGCCGAAGTTGATTTCACCCCTTGTGCAAACTAGATGCCCTTGTGGTTTGACTAATAAGCTACCCGTCGAGTGTTTATTTTCGCTTTATTTAGTTTTCTTAATCAAAGGTTCTTTTTTTGTTAATGTGCAGCCAGTGTGATCTTTATTGAATACAACATAGAATTAAACTAATAATTTATAAATAAAGTTTGTCACTTCCATCGAGAGTATAGTGCAGAAAACAGTAGAGCAATCAGGAGAATGCTATTTGATAAATAACGGGTTATTTTGTAACAGTCGGTTTTGCAGCTCTATATACAAAAAAAATTGATTCCCACCTCTATTCAATTTCTGTCACATGAAATGTCATTAATGTCAATTTAATGACATTATTTTGACATTAATGCATCATCGAACGCATAAAGTCCCTTTTATTCGCTTACAAAGTAAAAAATGCAATTTATTCTAGATTAGAGTAGAAGAGAGTAGAGTATAATATTAATATTATATAATTAATATCGTATTTAATTAGTTCGTATTTAAGACCGCAATGTGGAAATAAAGTAAAATATTGATCGTCTATTTGTAAAAAGTAAAATTTATAATGGTAATACTTGAATTATTTCCGAAAAAGACAAAAAACTAATTGGAGGCGCCGGGCATCGATCCCGGTACCTCTCGCATGCTAAGCGAGCGCTCTACCATCTGAGCTACGCCCCCTGATGATAGTATGTGTGTAAAAGTAGCTTATAAATCAACCAACTAAATTATCTGTTCTACTTTTGGATGGGTGTGTTTAAATTTATATAATCGAATATTTATTTTTAGAATATTTTCGTTCTCCGAGTAAAGTAGAACGCAAATTAGACTAGAGTAACGAGACGGCGTGAAACAAATCAATAAAAAAAAATAGTCAAAAGCACCGCAATCAGGCTCGAGTGCTCTACTGGCAGGCGTTGTAAAAAATTCATAGCGCAGCGTGGCGCTAAAACGGTCAGAATACAAAAAAAAAAAGGATTCCGTCGAAACATTCACACCTCCGCGATAGCGTCGTGCACGCACCGAAACAGGATATCGACAATGTCCGGGCGCGCGGACGTCGCCCGCGACTCTTTAATCGCCCGGGGAATCCCCTTCTTCATCCCCTTTTTTTTTTTTTTCGAGAGCCCAACTGTTGACACCGCCAACCCCACGCGCTTCCGGTCGAAACAAAGTCGTCCGCATCAAGGCAAATCTGCGTTTCCGCTATCACAATGGTTCCGATTAATTTCAATAGACATGCACTAGAGGGTGAACGGGTTGTCCGATGGAAAAACTCCATCGAAAGGAAATGACAAGGCCGAAATGAATAATGGAAATCTGGAAGTCGTTGTTTAATAAATGTGGTGTTGCGAATAAACACGTTCTCGCATTGTTATATTGGAAAGGTGTTTTACATGATTTATAACTTCATCGGTGCGTTTCTATTTTATGGAATACATTCGATTGACAATTAAAAATATCTATTAATTTACTATCAACTTCTTAGTCGTATAATATTGAATGTTATGCATTCATTAGAATAACTCGTATGTTTACATTAAAAAGTTAATACATAATAAAAAATAAACACCTACTAATTAGGTATAAGTAATTATCACGTGGGAATAAATCATATTCTATTTTCCATTCTTGCTCGATTAATCACCAATCAACATTTTACTGGTATATAAAAAGAACCAACGTTATCCTTTGCGCCAACAATGGAGCAATCCGCAAGCAGGAATAGATCTTATCGGGTCATGGCAGTAATTTCCCAACAAAAGACCATCGATTCTAAACTAATTATCGAAACCAAGCAGAGGGCCGGATTAAAGTCGGCAGAAAGCGGGAGATTTCCCATGTGAATCGGAGGCAACAGTCTCCATCGGGTCCTCCCCGTAACCTTAGTCCTGCGCCACGTGCAGGCGGTGCACGTGCCGCAAGGACGTCGCCTTCCTTCTGGCCTCTTTTGCTACTATGTAATTATGGACATTGACATCGGATCCACGTCAGATCGGGACTTTTCGATGGGGTTTTAATATGATAATGTTGTGTTTAGTTGCGTTTTTTTTTTTGCTGATTGAATCGGATGAAAACGGTCGTTGAGAGCTTTCGCAGGAATATTATATCACTGGGTAAATATATTAACGACGTTATTAAGTATTTTTGAAGCTCCTGTGATAGTTTTATTTTGCAAGTATATCCTTTTAAAAATGGATACCCTAGTTCCCTTCGTTCCCTTAAGTTTATAAAGAGAGCACCAGGTGTTTAAAGGCAGTTGGTTTTATTTTACGGCGCGAAATCACTGGTGTTCTATTCATTAGATAATTAACGATAATTTTATGATAAAAGCAATTTTCCTGGATCAATTAACTATGCACCTTTTAAATTTTAATACGCCCTCAAGCAGAAGAGGGTGAATGTATACCTAATTAAATACTACAAATAGAAAAGATTATTAAAAAAACTAATTGAAATATTGATTTTATATAAGATAACCATTTATGAGCTAAATTAGTGTAATATATTTTTGAAATTTATAGTAATAAAATACATATTTTTTCATATTTCCATTTAACCCTCTTTTCTATTTTGGATTATACTGAAGGAATCTTTATTTCGACAGCTGTCAAAACATAAATTTGTATACTATCTAGTACCTTTTGTATCTAACATCTAGTATAAACTATATCTTTATTTCGCGCTATTCTGTACAACTTGTGATTTTACATGGTATTGAAATGGTAGATACTAAACGTTGTACTAAATTGAGCCTTACTGATCAAAGGGATTATGCAGATCTCAATACATATACTTACTCTATACTATAGGTACGAGGGAAGTTCTGGGAGTTGTGCTCTTATTAAATTAGGCAGAATTGTTATTGGTGAAAGACAAGTCTTGACATGTTCATGCAACTATCCAGTGCAATATTTTTCAATCCGATTCAGGTCTTCTTAGAGATTTTGCTGCGTCTTCTATGGTTACAAAAATAGTGCTATGAAAACTCGTCTATATCACTCGAACATCTTATTGAACAATGTTGCACTGAATACCATTAACATTGCCTGTAAGTTCTGCGTAATTAAATTAGAGCACAAACTTTGGAAACGTCCCTGGTAGATTGAGTACGGTTTTGGTATATATTAATGAACTTACCTTCTAAAGCTTTGTTTCTGGCTAAAAGGGCAAGTAGAACATCGGAATTGGGGGCACCGTCCATGGAATGGGGCGGCATCATAGGCTGGGCGACGGGTGGCAACCCCTGTATGTGCGGTATAGTCCTGGATTGATCCAAAATGGACATATTAGGCTCGGCTACCAACTAAATACAGGATTACCGCCCTGTTTGTGCAATCTACGAAATGAAACCGCATATAGATAATAACAAAATTACCTATTAGATTAAATATGCATAAAACATTAAGAAATTATGTTAGATACTCGCATGATGAACAAAACTGAACAAAACTGAACAAAACAGTTAAATATACTGCTCCTCAAAAGTTAAGGAAGTTCACAAATATTGAGATTAATTTAAAAGTTGCAGGTTTTTTGATCGCCAAATTTAGTCTGAGTTGTAGAGGAAGGGGCAAAAAATCCACTCAGATATGAGAGGAAACATTTAATTTCGCATATTTGAAAATTTGGTGATCAAAAACTTTTAAAATAATCGCAAAATTTGCGAACTTCCTTAACTTTTGTGGAGCAGTTTATTTAAAGCTTTTCTCAGGTGAAAATTTCCAAAAAAAATCAAACTTACATTAGTTTGGAACTGATTTACGAACGAAACACATACTTTTAGCGCCCGTTTGCCTTTCTTAACAATTCGTAATTCGCACTGCGTACTTAATTGTGTACATTTTTTATAACGCAACTTTATCACTTTTATTATGCGTTCCGCTATCTGTGTAATAGAAAATGCGGGCGACCGGCTGCGGAATTAGATTAAGATTTTTTTTATAACATTAATCGGTAAATAAGACTTAATCTTTGTTTGCAAACTAGCAGCGTCCCATTTGTAGTTCGTTGTAAATAAAATATTTGTCGGCGATGTAGTTACTGGAGGTTACAAAAATCCGCAAACAAAAATAGAGTCTGTGCTTGCACGCTTTATTATTTGTACATACATTTTAGGATTATATTTTTTGGCGTAATCCGCCGAGTGAATTGGAATATTTTTTATTTACAAAATTAAGTTAATATTGATGACATTTATGCGCATTAATATTGCAATCAAATTCATTGTAAATAAAGTAAATGAGCATTTCTAAATTATTGGGTAGATTTATATAAAATATTGAATCGAATAAAAATTTACCTATTTAAAACGATAATCGAGGCAGGCCCGTTTAACCCGACCATTAAAAAGACACATGGAATCGATGACGGACCGGACCCATAAAGAAAACCGGACAAATGAAAAATTAAGAGAAAAAAAATCACTGGCAATTCGCGAAAACTTCGGCCGATTCCCGCCTCGTAAATCCCGTTAATCTCCTCAGATACGTATGTTTCATGTAGGTGATATTTTTCAATTTGCGCTCTTAACTTAACTCGGTCTGTCCGATTAATTTCACTAAGTGTTCGAGTCTAGCTAACCCGAGATTCACTGCCTCGCGAAAGACACTGTATAATCCACCCCTCCAGACTGTTCCTGATCGACGCCATTATTAAAATCTGTCTTCATAATAGAGCGTGACGTCACGAGACGCCGGGGCGTCTGCGCGCCTCCTGGACACTCCCTCTGGAAGAAAAAGGATACATTTCCAAAGGAAAAGGAATTGTGTTGTATAAGAACAACCAGACATATTTTTTATATCATTTAACGTTTATAAATTTTTTAATCAAATATAAGTAATGTAGTTAACAAAAAATTATTACATATTTTTGAATTAGAGGAAGCTATTTTTGAATTTACTTCGTTGCAATCAAACATAAATTGATTAGTTAGTGATAAATTAAAAACAATAAACCTACTTCTGGTCGTATAAAGTTAACGATTTTCCGTATAAATTCAATGGAAAGCTCGACGGAATTTATTTTATATAAAGTAAATAGCATAAAAGGCGCGGGATGAAAGAGGATGACTAGGATTGTATTTAATACTGCTGGGTGTGGTTGGTAATACTGGGGCGGCGTATCCATAGCAACAGGCCATATCGACACGCTATGAAAAATCTTCTACTGTTGAAAAACTGAATCAATAATTATGTATTACCGATACATAGAAGGATACAATTTTTGTTAGAGTTTTCTGTTTACAGAACCCAGGTACCTATATGAATAGTCTATTGTAGATAATAATGCAGATAGTTAATGTGGCGTTCTAATTATATATTAGGTTTAGAGTGATTGAGGAGAGGATGAAATGGATTTGGAAATGGATTTGGAGTATTTGGTAGACTTTAAAAAGTTATTATCTTCCTTATTAACTAATGTAGTTGCTTATACAGTGAAGTACAATTTAGTACAAATATTAAAGATTAAAGATCATATAAAGAAGAAACAAATAGTGTTAAATTGCACTCATCTAATATAAAATTCGGTAATTCATATATACAATCTACATATCTACATGATTATAGATTCATAAGAATTTTGATAATGAGATAAAGATATTGATTACCTTTTTGGGTTGCACTACCAATAGAATAACAATACTAATTAATTACACACCTAAAAACTTTAATTAAGTTTTTTCAATATGTACATAAAACTTGGAAATACGCGTAGGTACCTATATAAAATATAAAATTGTAAAACAATAAATTTTACATGGAAAGAGGGTTAAATACTATTTACCTACAAGCGAAAATTCTTGGCAGTGTTTTAAAAAGCATTCCAATGCAAGGCAGAATAGAAATAGAGAGTAGAGAAGAGAGTAGAGTAGAGAGTAGTAGAGAGTTAAGGCGGATTTCTGACGCTCCCATAGATAGGTATCCAACAATCCAACAATCTATCATAATATTGGTTATTAAACTCTACGATATCCGAAATGCGGTTTGGTCTCCATCCACATCAGGATATCGCGCACATTCAATTACGGCATTAATCCCGGAACAAATATTTGATAAACAACGAATAAATCAAGCAGCAGGAGATCGCGGGACGCCCGCGGATCCCTGCAAGGAGCAACTACAAGCGTCCCGACGCCGGGGTGCATAACGACCGCCCGTCGCGTCCGCTGCGATCGCACCCTCGCTAAACAATCGCCCGGACGGCAATAAATATTAATTCACTTTTTTATGGTATACAGTTTCGATGTGTTAATTCGACATTATGTTTTGACATATTGGCTTCGTAAACACCGATCGAAACGCAGCGACCTAACATATGCGCTGTAGATTCGAAGATAAGGATCTCGCACGTTGGTGTACAAAATTCGCTTTATGAGCGGATTATTTCCAAAATTTAATTTAAACTTTCTCTATTCCCGCGAGAGCGGCCGCGCTCGAAACGTAATGAATAGCTCGAAGGCGGGCAAATAGCGGCCTAAATCATATCCCGAAAAACTCGCGGGCCGGAAAATATGGCGCGCAAAGGGCCGCAATAATTTTTAAATAATTAAGAAGGAACGCGTCGAACGGGGCGCGAGCTCTGCGGCCCGCCGCTCTCTGTTTTCTAATTCCTTTATCCAAACATCCTGCCGACGCTCCGCAGGGAGAAACGACGTATTAATTGAATTACAACCCCGCTTTGCTCCTGCATTACGGCCTTATTTTTCCTATGTATTATCCCGTCATAAAAACCAATTATGATTCGTTACTTGAGGCGAATATATCCCCAACTATTTCATACAAATGTATACTCGAAACTCTAAAGAATATCTACTGAAAAAATTATTGTAAAATCACAATATTTTTAATATAATACAGAGTAGGTATAACTACAACATGTAACAAACTATTTCTTTTCACAAAAATATTCAACTAGTCTAAATTACATACGATCATTGTAATTTTACAACAAATGTTTAATTCGCGGTTTTTCCAGTAAATTTACTGCAAATAATTTTTTCGACGAACGTAACTGTTTTAAATATTTTCCGGTTGTCCGTAGGCGAACTGGAACGGGAGCAAAAGCCATATTGTACCGGCGAATTCAACAAATTTCCCTGCTCCTTTGGGAACGGCGGATGATAAAATAAGCTCGTCGAGTCGTGTTCGACTAGAGACGGGCTTCGGTGACTTAACAATCAATCACATTGTTGAGGGACTGAAAAGGTCCCGCGGTGTTTGGGTGTACGCCGTGCGGATCTTTTAGTACGGCGGATGCAGCAATGGGGGATGATTAATGAGACTGGAAAACTCGTTCGGTTGCCTTTGATGGGCGAATGTTTTAGCGGAAAAGCGGAAAATGTCGGCGCTCCGTCAGGCATATTCATGAATACGGTTAAAAATACAACTGTATCTGTGTGTCTGTATTTTATGGGATAGAATGTAGTGGATTAAATGAAAGGTTAGGATCGTTGGGATCCCGGAAAATCCATATAACTCCGAGGAAACTATCTTTATCGTTAGGTTAGAGTTTAATCCCGTATTTTTCCGTTGAAACTTCCGAGCCATTAAATCAAGTGTTTATGGTGTTTATGGCTTTCCTAATTGTTCGGAATGTTGTAGGGCAACGGATTTATAATGGTATAAATTTTAACGCTCAGAAAAAAGGTTGCTACTTTCAACATAGTCGAACGTAACAACAATACATAGTTGGTATTTTTTACGAATTTAATTTTAAAATGGAAATTTCTAAATTTCGTTTGAAAATGGGTTGATAATATACTGGGTCAAATCATTCAAGGTCGCATGCTTAATTTTGTTTCATTGATCTTGCGACTAGCTTATGTAATATTTACCTTTTGTTCGGTCGTCGATGGTCGATGTAATAAGGTAATTATAAGAAGCTTTTTGGTTCATTATTTTATTACTTGAAAAAAAAATCACTAAAATGCAAGGATTTATTTAAAAATTAAGCACAGCTATAACCACAGGTTTATACTTTGAAGTAACAAATAGCACCTAGTAGTTTACTATTACCTAGTAATCACCGCCTATTAGTAATTACCGCTAACAAAACCATTGTTTTGTTTTTTTTTAATAGCATTTAATAGACTTTAATTGGAGCAAATGGGTTTACATAACTTCAACTTTAACTTAACGAAATGAAAAAAAACCTTTCTTACATATCTACAAAAATCTCGTTTTATTTTACACCTAATTAGACCAAATTAGATCGTAATTAAGCAAATCGAAAGCGGGAGATTACGAGTGTATGTATATACGCACAAAAACTCAAACTGCATCAGCGGATAGAAAAACCGATTCGCGTTTCCTCGATTGCGGTCGAAGCGTATTATTATGTACCAAACAATATTTTTCAATACATCGAGAGATATTTTCCGCATGCGAGACCCACTTCCTCGGAGCTGTAATTGACCACTTTCACTAGCTAAATCATCGAGACTATATAGTAATTTTGAGACAAATTTCATTAACTCGACAGTTACGTGATAACAGTGATGACAAAGTTTTAAAAAATATGATGAAATGCGTCATTATAACATACATTATCGACAGCTTTCTCTTTAAGAAAAAAAAACTACAACGTACGTGTATCATTGCACGTGTAACTTAATATAAATAAAAATAAAATAATAATTTAAACATATTTAAGTACTAAAATACAAGCATCTTCTGCACAAAATATAATTAAAACAATTTCCTAAATATATACTTGTGTTTTTTAATTATAATTCACATCGGCCATTCCTCAATGGTTCACCCCGAGGTTCACCCTTTAATTATAAGTTATCACCATTCGGGCCGCTCCGTCGAAGGCGGGTGCTAGTTATCTTCGAATAACCGAATGATGTTCGTCTTTGGGCGGCGCGGGCGGCACGAACGAATGATGGTGCTGCTGCTGCTGCTGCTGCTGCTGCTGCGGCTGCTGATCGACGGACGTCGTGTCCTTGTTCAAAGCTTGCAACACCTGTTTGGCGAACTTCGCTTGCACCTCTTTGTTGTGGCTCTGCGTGGCCGCCGAAGGCTGGGGCGTTTGCCGGGCCGACGATTCGCCGGAGGACGGGTGCGAGTTATCTTCGAATAGTTCTAGAAGATGATCGGCACCTTGAAAACAAAGGATTAATTTCTCAAACCCCAGAAGCTAACGAGACGATCTTCCATCTAGGAAGAAAAGCACGTCTATTGTAAACCAACCAAATAGGTTATTATGTTCTCTATGAATCCCTATAGTTTGCGACAGGTCTAAATAGTAAGGCTAATTATTAAAAAATACCTGTGTCCGGGTCTATAACGGGTATAGCGTTTGATCGCCGTTTGTGTTGCTGTTGACGTGGAAATGTCTGCTGATGATGATTATTGGTCACTATAGGAACGCTTGGCATCTGATTTTGCGAGTTCGGATTCGCCACCGGCGCTTGAGGAATGGTACCCGTCGCTCTCTGCATCATCGATGCAGGATAATAGACGTGAATTAATTGAGGCGCTGCCGGTGTAAACAAAGCAGGCTTCTGAGGCTAAAAAATGAACCACCATCATTAGAAATGTTTACTATTATCAACTATATCATCAAAATCGTATTCCATTAAAAAACACTTAATATTTACCTTAGTATTAGGATTGGCCATTCTATTATAGTAGGTTAACTCGGTGGACCTGATGATCTTGGATAATATTTATGATCCTGCAATCAGTCGGACAGCTGCATACTGTAATAGAAAGCTTTATTACAAAATATTACGAATATCATAAAATGTAAGAGCTATAGTAACCCAAAAAGAATACTGTGTTGTGTAACTACGACTCTGAATATGTACACTAAATTGATAATGTCATATGACAAATGTGCAAAAATTATTGAGTTTTTATTAGTTTTTGTAAACTAGATATCAATAATTTAGATAACGTAACGGATTATTAAAGATTAAAGGTATTATTAAAGGTATCTAAATGAACGCTGAATTGTTTACAACACACATTAATTTTTCCTTAGAAAAATATAAGTACAAAACAATCTGATATCTAAATCTATGGATAACAATAAATACAAAAGTATTAGAAAAGGCAGTGTTGAGTCAATGATATAAATAAATTATCTATATGAAAGTGTTTAATTGTATAAACAATACAGTACACACTATATCTAATTATGAGGTTTTATTTCTCAAGTGGTAAGGCTCTATATTGTACTGATAAAAATATTGATAATATACTTTTCGATAGATATATTTATTTCCTTATTGCAAAAAAAAGACAAAGGCAATTAAGCACCGCTTTTAAAAAAAAATTATTTTTACACAATGTAACGAACCTACATGAAGAGTTCGATGAACAGTAAGTTAAGTTAACTAATGTTGGAATGCATGCTGAATACATAAAAAATGTTTAATATTTGTGGCAAAACTTCCATTTTGCAAATTCCATTTTTCCAGTAACTTTCATCGAAACATAATTGTTTGACGCTGTTTTACAGAGTCGATGGTTAATCCGTAAATCCCCGAGGTCCTCGGGGATTCGCGACTAATGGTCCAGGATAACGGCAAACGGCCGTGCCTCCTGTTCTATCGTGCTCAGGAGAGCAAGGGCCAGGATCGGTCGATTGTCGCGCAACACGACAGCATGCAGCCTGTCAGATAACGCCGCTAATTATATTAAAGCACCGAGAGTTGCATCCCCGAGGGCCTTAGCGTCGCTTCGAACGGGAAAAGTTCTCACGCCGCAGGAACCTGCAATAAACAAAAGCCGATGACGCGATCGCGCGAGTTATGTCATAATAATCGAAACGGAACCGTAGCGGTTTCACGCGTGTTTTTTTTTGGAAATTTTTCGGAAAATTTCACTTCGACTATGAGCGACAACGAGGTTACGCATCTGAAGTTCGCTCTGAGCAGCGCCACCACCGTCGAGCCGAAGCCGGAGCGCCGCAACCAGGACTTCCTGGACATCAACCACGTCAGGATAATACCGTCGTCGTTGTGGTTCACCGGCGCCTACGACGGGAAGAAGTTTACGGAAAAAATGCAGATAATCAACACCGGCAGGTCCCCGGTGTTCGTCAGAATCTCCAAGATATCTTCCAAGGTGGTACCTTCCGATATTCCACTTACCTGCGTTTGATGAGTGTAACGTTTTAGGCGTTCAGAATGAAGTTACTGCCGAGAGGCAAGATGCTCTCTTCTGGTATGAGCATCATCAAATACGTGAGTTTTCAGTTTAATAAGGCGGTTGCAATTACTCAGGCTCTTATTTACGTTCACATTAACGAAGTGCCTGTGTACTATCCCATTGAAGTGTAAGTTCGAATAGAAGAAAATACTTAAAATTATATGGATTTTGAGGTGTATATTTGTTTTTTAGCCAAAGCGCGGTTTCTTTCGTTAAAATCACTCCGAGGATGTTGTATTTCGGCGAAATTGATATGGGCAGATCGTCGGAACAATTGACCGTGGCTTTGGAAAATGTGGGAGAAAAAATTGCGCAATTTTCTATAGATTTAGGAAGAAACGATCTCGAATTAATTATCGAACCAACAAGGGGTATTATTAAAGTAAGGTTTAAGCTAAGAGTACATAGTCTTCTCTTATGATTATTTTACAATTAGAATAATTTAATCATAAACAAGAAATATTCATCAAAATAACAATCTGGAATTGAATTAGTTGCATATAATTATATACACTTTATCAAGGTTATGAAAGCATTATTATATTTAATATAATTGCTGCGAATTTTTACAAAATCATGGAACTTTGGATATTACACAAATGCAATACTTAGCACTTTATGCAGTTAGCATTCATCTAAACAAAATTTTGAAAATAAAACTAAACATTCACACAAATAAACAGATAAAAATTTTTCCATAGTCGAGGATAAAAAAATCCAATTTATTTATAATATTTCTTATGTATGTATGTGTACCTTTCACAATGCTAATTTGCACAATATAATTATCTAATTATTATGCAGATTTTTCTTAGGCGAAATAATAGATAATTGTCTTATGTAAATCCGCAATTAGACTGTATGATTACGGAAAACAATCACGAAATTGGCAAAGTTATGAGTTCGATTCAAAAGTAAAGAGAAAAAAAAAATGTACTAACGAATGCATCTAATTAGTAATTAATAACAACGAATGATATACGCGGATCGTCCTTGAATTACATGAAAATGGTAGTATTGTAGTATCCTTTGTAGCAGAAATTAATTTGAATGCGTTTTATATAAATCTATTCATCGTAATCTCTGCCATAAAACATTCATTCAGCAACCTCAACACGTGCTGATTTTATTGTGGATTATCCTCCCGATGTTTTAACGAAAGGAAAATCAAAATTCACTCGATCATTCTAGCCCGGATATTCAACGGAGGTGACAGTGGAGCTGCTCGGCTCCCGCACGGGCTCGTTTCTCAAGGAGTTTTGGGTGAAAACCGAACCGCTCCAGAGAATATGGATAACCGGCACGTTCATTATGCCCAAATTAACCGTCGAACATCCGCTGAGCAACAACTTCGACCTCATCGTTATCGATTTTCCCAAAACGTACTACCTAGCTCAAAATAACCGGATAATCGTGGTGAAAAATCACAGCTCGACGAATTCGATGTACTGCGCAGTGGCCGAATGCAACAAAGGAGAATTTATCGTGAGTAATTCGAAACAAATCGACGACGGGAGAAATTCAAAAGTTTGTCTTAGGCTTTGGATAAAGCTATGGAAATGGATGAAAGTTTGAAATTTTTCCGCTTGAATCCCGTTGAAGGTCGTTTGTTGAAAAACCACAAGGCTGTCATTACAATTACGTATGCGCTCGAAGGGAATTTATCGGATAAGAAGATGAATAAATGCCTGTTTATTTCAGATTCGCTCCCTTTCAAATGAAAGCGCTGGGTAATAAATACTATTGCATTACTTTCATCAAAATTATGAAAGTTAATTATCGAGATGGCGTCGTCCAAAAGAAAGATATAGAAACAAAGACATTTTCCGGGACGGATCCTGGTAACTATTTATTCTACAACGACAATAATTATTATTCTCCCGCCTTCCGCAGATCAATATCAGATCGCCGATATCCGAAAATCGGACGAGTCGTTTTCCACGTTCGAGCTGAAGCAATCCGAATCGAACATAAGGATTTGCCTGTACGGCGAAATCGAAGACGTGGCCGTCGAACTAACGCCTTCCCGCATATACAGAGAAAACCTGCTCATCGGCGAGGAAACCAAGCTCACATTCAACATAAAAAACTACTCGAAATACCTACCCATAGCGTTCAAGCACGAGAAAATAGCCACCTTCAAAATGGACCCCTACGAAGGCACGCTCGAGCCCCAAGCCTCCGTCGACGTGCTGCTGTTGCTCAAGCCCCGCACCATGGGCGCCTTCAACAAAAAACTGCGAATATCCCTGTTGTACAAGAACCGCGACAACGACGTCTTCAACGTGGGCACCGCCATTTTGAGCATCTCCTACAACGCGCACTACTGCGACGACGTCCTCCACAAGAGAACGGCTCCCACCTACGTGATGGGCATCACCAGTCCGTTCATCAGCGAAGTCGGGCATCTGGTGGACGACGTTCGCTACAACACCGCCGATATCACCAAAGTACCCGTCCAAGCCTTCGTCGATCCGGCGACCATGCAAGAGGTGCTCGACGAGCACAACCACCATCTCATCGCCTTCCCCAACGACATGCCCAAATGGTTCCATCCCTGGCGCAACGAAGTACCGTAAGGCGGAGAACCATCGTAAATCTTTTACCAGCGTATTTACGCTGTTGGATCATTTGCAGATGCACCACGATATTCAAGCAACTGCCGCGGTACGTGACGCCCATGTGCTACGACATGACCTACACCCCGTCGCAGTGGCAATTCAAGAAGGAGAACGAGAAGAAGTACAACGATTACTTGCAGCAGAGGCCTTTGAAGAGACCCGCGGTGGAGTGCAATGAGATGACGGACCGGTGCTATCCGCAGGAACAGTCGAAAATGTTGTTGTCGTACTCGAAAACTCCGCAATGCGCGCTGACGTTCGCGGGCGGTGACACCGAATGGCCTAAATTGATACCGTTGGTTCCCAGCGAATTGATGAATATCGAAATTAAGCCGCAATGCGTTTCCCTGGGCAAGGTATGCTTCATTTCTAACGAGCTCCATTCAGAGTATCTCGGTACAAAATCTCATATAGTGTATTTGATTGTTTCAGTATCAGTAGCAGTATTTTTAGTATCTTAAACGTTTGATATGAGTATAGCATTTTTTCGTTAACTTCCAGATAGCCCCGCATATAATGTGCAACGATTTCTTCGAGATAAAGAACAACAATATGTTTCCTATCACGATTAAAATATTAGCGCTGAGCAACAGCCTGATAATCAACGGTAAAGACCGCCTGCGGATTTACGGAAACAAATCGGAAAAGCTATATTTCGATTGCTTTTCGTTCGGCCTGGGAAAGTACTACGTGCCAGTTTACATTCTCATCAACGACTACCACATATTCGACGCCATCGTGTACGCCGAAGTAGTACCGACGACTGTCAAGTGCAAATTGAAAGAAATCATAATTAGCGCGAAGGATAATGTCGGCTATTTGGAGCTGTACAATCCGGTGAATTGCGCCATAGATTTCGAATGGGAGGTGCAAGAAGAGACCTACCAGATAATGCCGACGAGCGGTAAAATCGAGTCGAGGAAGTCCCTCTATTGCAAGATCGTTTTCACTCCCCGCATCGGCGCTGTCTTTAGAACCGAGATTTATTTGTTATCGCAAAGCGGCGCCAAGCAAATAGTAAGAGTATCGAACGAGGAGGTTAAATTCGCGTTGAAATTCAGCACTCAGGCCATCGAAATGAAAAATCTCCCGTTGAATATACCGGTGAGCAAGCAACTGGTGATTCGCAACGAATCGGAGGAATCGGTGGCTCTGTACGTGAGAAATCCCCAGCCGATCGTGCAAATCCACATAACGCCGCGCGAAGGCTTAATTGAAAGCAAATCCGATATATTTTTTAAAGTCACGGCCCATTTTCAAACCATCAAAACCTTCAGTTGCCTGTTGGAGTTCGTCTTGCAGGATGGCAGGGAATACTCCATACAGGTATACGGCAACGTGTTGTATCCGAATCTGATTATAGAACCGGAAATTATGCACATTCGAAAAATCCCCCCGATGGCCTATCAACGTAAAGTGTTTAGAATCAACAACAACTGCTGGTCGATAACGACCATCCAATTCGTGCTGGAAGGCCATCCCGATTTGGCGGTAACCGATCTCAATTTCAACAAATTAGACAAGGAAATAACGCTGCAACCCAAAGACTACGTTGAGTTGTACTTGGAGTTCCAGCCCGTCGAGCCCACCGCTTACACGTTGTACCTACCGTACATAATCAACAACTTCATCGGCCCGCCGGTGTTGAACAATCCCAACAGCTTCAAGATAGGCACCTACTTGAAGCCGCCCAACATGGAGATATCCCGGCAAATACCCACGTTGCGGGTGACCTGCGCCGCCGGCGCCCCCTGGTTCAAATTCTCGGATTTAACGTTGACCTTCGAGGGCAGCAACGACGAGAAGAAATTCGAAATGACCAACGTGTCGTCGTTGCCGCAAACCATCAAATTCGTCACGGAGAACATCGACCGCTGCTTCTCGGCGAAGGTGGACAGTTGCACCGGCAAGTACAGGATCGAAGAGAAGTTCATCAAGGTGTTCCTGCTGGTCGACGACACCGTGGTGGTTTCCTTCAAATTCGAAACGGACGCGTACGGGAAGTACGAAAGCGACGTTCCCTTCTACATCAAGCACTACTTCGACAACTGCGCCTTCAACTACATCAAACTGCGCGGGATGGTTTGCAAGCCGTCCTTCGCCGTTTCCAGCAGGACCATTATGATGCCCACCATTCCGGTCAACAGGACGTTCTCCAAATCGGTCACGGTCAGGCTCAAAAACCACAAGCCGAGTTGCTCGGTGAGCATACAGAGAAACCACGATTCACTGCGGACGGAAATGCGCTACGATCGCGACGCCATCGAAATCACCGTTACGGTGCATCCCCTGCACGAGGGCAACATCGTCACCAACATGGTGATGTCGTGCACCTGCAGCGCTTCGTTTACGATCTACGTGAGAGCAGCGTGCGACAATTGCTCGTTGCTCACCTACAGGCACAAGATGAAGTGTTGGAAGGATCCCAACGACCCCGCCTCCGATCCGGATAACTACGCCCTCAAGCTGGACAAATTGAACAAGCTACTGGAAACCTACATCTTCAGCGAGGGGTTCTTCTTGACCTATTACTTTAAGATTCCCCACACGATTTCCAGGTACCCGTACACGATGTATGCTATAAAAGTAGAACAGAAACCTCACAAACCGCGCAAGGAGAAAATCGTGCATCTGCCTATCGTTACTTTGTTCAAGAATTTAATCAACGCTTCGGTGGTGTATCATCTTACTGACGGGTAGGGTAGTAAATATTGATTCGAATAAAAATAAAAAAGTAAAATTGTGTTCTTTCAGGAAAAATACCGCTTCTTTGGACGACAGGCAAGGTACTGCGTACGATTATAGCGTTTACAAAAATATGCTGAGGTTCATGGAAGGCTACAAAGTCTTCGTGAAGAATCTGAACCCCGAATTGCTGTTGCACTACGAGCGCTATGTAATATTCAAAACGATGCTCATCGACGAAGAGAACCTCTCCGGCGATCATATATTGAGCGAGGAAGAGTTCGACGCGCTGAGCAGGGAATGCTGGTTGGATTTGTTGATAAAAATCTACAAATTGTTCCACTACGATCGATTGCTGAAAGACGTGCCGCCCAGGACGGGTAAATTGGAGGTCGACGACATTTACTCGGACGAATTCAGGAAATACTACACCAACAACATCGAATCCATGCCGCCGGACATCAACGAGTGCGAAACCAAGCTGATGCTGTGGGTGGAGTTCCACTACAACGAGCAGCGGAACAAGCTCTGGCCCAACCACAATTTGCAGCACAGAAACATCAGGGATCTGACGTGCGATCTGCGCGACAGCTTGCCGCTGGCGGCCGTCATGGCGGCGTACTGTCCCTATTTATCCGACATATTCAAAGACATTTACTTCGAGAAACCCGACAACGCCGCCCACTGTCCCCTCCATCACAATGCCTGTTTGATCTCGGAGGCGTGGAACCGCTTGAATCTTTCCTTCAAAATATCAACCACCAGCATATTCAAACCCAACAACATAGAAATGCTGTTCATACTGTCCTATTTGTACGCCGTATTGCCGAGTTTCTATCCGTTGGAAACCATCACGATAAAATCCCATTTAGGTAAAACCTCATCGGCGAAGGTGATACTAAAAAACCCGGGGTTATCCACTATCAGTTACGTGCCGAAATTGTTCCTCAACGACACCGAGAGCTTCCACATCGAGTGCGACCACATTCTCATACCATCCAAAGGCGAGAAAGACCTGATCGTTTCGTACACGGCCAAGCACATCATCAAAGAGGAAGCCGTGCTGCTGGTGACCGGCGAAGACGGCGGCGAGAGGTTCGCCAAAGCCACCGCCATCAACCTGATTGGCATTCCAGACATACTGCACTTCATACAGGAAATCAAAGTGAAAGTCGATCTCTACGAAACCGTCACCAGAACCATCAACATAGTGTCGCCGTACGCGCAATCCTACCAAGCCAACACTTACTTTTACTTGTTTCAAGAAGGGAAGCCGCCGTTAACCATGAACGATTTCGTATCGGTAAACGCGTAGTATTTGTTAGAAGTTTTTCTTCTGATTCGGAAACTTGCAGGTAACGGCGTTGTCGGATTTGCCGAGGCAATTGGACTTGGACGGGGTGTGCGTGTTCAACGAAACCGGCGTCCACAAGCTGACCATAAAAATGTGCTTCGTGGCCTCCGGCGACTGGATCTACTATATTTACTTTTTGAACAAAGACGTGGGGATCTTCTCGGTGAAGATCCAGATCCGGGCGGAGCCGTCGCCCGAAATGTTCGAGACCATTTTGGTCAAGGTGAACACGAGCTTCGATCCGTTGGCACCGTGCAGGTGCAAACCGCACGCCAAGAACCTGCTCTGCTCCAGGATACTCTACGTTGATATTCCCAACCAGAACAAGGATCTGCTGGAGGGCTTGAGGAACATGATCAAAATATACGCGCGGAAGGACGAAATCGATTTTTGGAATACTCATTTAGGTAGCCAGTTGTTACAACTAGTATACTCCACTTTTAATGCATATTTTTTTAGTTTTTTCGAAGGGGATTCACATATTCCGGGTGTATTTGGACAACACGTACAACGAGGACTTGGTGCCGTTCAAGCAGGTCCTGTACCCTTCGGTTACCTATAAATTGAACAAGTCGAATTCCCAATTTTCCACCGACGATGTGTTCTACATCGATGATACCACCAGCGAAGGCACGCAGAAATTGCTGATACATTGGAATTCGAGGGAAATGCCGAAGCACGAGCACTTGACTCTGAGCGCCGTGCACGGATTGGAGATCAGAGATTACAAATTGCAATTCCTGCAAAGGAAAGCATGTACGTATTAACTTACTATTTAAAACGTGCGGTTGAAATGTATTACAAACTCGGAGTATTTCACGATATGAACTTTTGGTCGATTGCAGCATTTTATGCAAAATTTAAACTGAAGCCCTAAGCCTCTTTAAGTAAGAGTAATGATGGAAGGATGAGCGAATTGGTGCAATCGCCCATTATTATTTCTCTTCTAAAAACAATTTCAGTTGCATAGATTATTTTAATTTCAGTAAGGAATGTTAAGAAGCTCTCGGAAAACAAAATTCCTTCTCGACAAAGTTCGCGCATATATAAAGCAATCCTAAAATAATCGCTTTATACGATAATTCTGATGCTTAGCTTCAATATATTTAAGCGGAAATCTAGCTCTTAATTTTCCGGCCCTGCGTGTTTCTGTTTTTCGGTGCCTTTACTTTAATTTTTATTATGAAATAGCGAAATTTTTGTCGTCAGTGGGTTTATACATTTTATTTGAATTACTTACTAATATACGATTTGTACATAAACTTTGTTTCATTAGTATGAGGTCTGCTTAAAACGGATTTTTCAGGATATCTGCGACATTCGGAAATCGATGCACGTAATAAAACTATATAATGCCAAGAATTAACTAATATAACCCAGCGGGTGAAGATAAAATTCATGATAATCACAGAAAAAAAAATGTAATATAAATTACAACGACAAACGTCTTTTATTTTATTAATAGAATATAAGAGGATTGACGAGACGAATAATTTTTTTTCTGATCGTTAATTCGGCTGGATTAGTTTCGTTTCTTAAGTCTGCACATAAGTAGAAAGTCGTAAATTTATCGGCCATATAGTGGGGAAATTATCCCCACTGTCACCCTTCGAAAACTTTAAGAAGAGCCAACGAAACTTTTGTTTGATCAAATCATGCTAGTTTATTAAGAGCAATGTCGTTGACGCGTTCGATAAAAATGGTAACATGAATTTATCCGCGTTGAAATAAATCTATTTGGACGAGGAAGGCGTTAAAATAAATGTCGAGAAAAAACCGTAAAATTTTTTTTCACCATTTTCCAAGGATATATTGAGGTCTGATTAAGCCGTGACGACGCAACTCAGCCAAATATGATTCGTGTACTATATAAGAAAATGCCGCTTATCGTTCAGCTATTGTCCAAGAAGTGCCCGGCAACGTGAAACAATAAAAAGTGCTCCGGAGTATTTCGTTGAAGGGCAGTGTAAAGCAGTGCAAAGCAATCGGTTGCGGTAGATCCGACGTTTATAAAAAGAGAATCGCCGTTTATTCTCACTTTTATTTAAATCCTCCTCCAGTTGCTGGTTATTACTGCGATATTCAGAGTGAGCGTGAAAGTGGGCAAAGTTTCGTTTTGACCTTTTAGAGAAAGTGATTTTTCGTTCGATTTATTTCTTTTTTTTTTTCAACGTTAAAATGGATGTACAAGAATTCAGGGAGTTTGGCAAAGCCGCTGTGGATTACATTGCTGATTATTTTGAGACAATTAGGGATAGGTAAGTGGACCTAAAAATGGCATTAAAATTTAAAAAAAATATATTTCGTATTAAATTTTTTCAATAGAACAATTACAATTAATAATCTTGGAATATTTTGCTTTAAATATTAATATTTATTATCTCATTATTATCTCTCATATTTTTGTCAAAATTGTGTAGCAAAGAAAATGATTTTTAAGGCTTTGAATGAAATAAAATTTTAATACATTTTCATTAAATACACCGAAACACGTAACGAATATAAAAAGCGTGTCTGTTATATAATAATCTTCGGTTTTCCTGTTACACTCGAACAGGCGTAATATAGAGAAGAAATTAAATCGAAGGTGCATTCTGGGGAAAAATTATAACAATTACGGCGCTACCAATTTATAAATACAAAAATCTGACATTGATATTCGACGTGCTTAATAATCTTATTGCGTAACGTTCGAAGTAATCCCGGACATTGTAAAGACGAGCAATTTTTAAATGCGTTCTTGTAGAAAATTATTATCTTTTAGGATGCAGCTCATTGCTACATTCAATTCCTGATTTCCAGGGGAAATTTTAGTGTATTTTCCAGAAAAAAAAATGTGGTAGAAACAAAGTATATTTATGTAGGTGGGTAGTATTAAGGCCAATGTCAAGATTTTTTTAAATTATGTTAAATCAATAATATTACTAAACAGTTTTTATATAAGAATTTTAATAATTCATAATTATAATTCATAATTAATGAAGCAAAAATCAATTTTATAATTAAATTAATATTAATACATATATTAAACTAATTACGCATGAGTTTATTCAAAACTTTTAAATACTTGTGGTGCACATAATTAATAAAAAAACACAATTTAAATTCAATTTATATTTAATTTTCAACATGTCTTAAATAAATTACAATCAAAGTTTTCAATTGAATTTTTTAATTAACACATGAAACATAATTTGCATAGTTACCAAATTACCCAATTAATACAGGAAGATCGAAGTTAATACATGCTCATTACTCTAAAAACACAAATAATATTAATTATTCAATATTTATTTTAGCCGAAAATTAATCGGGCATCACAATGATTGTTTGGAAAACCGGGTTATAACGGTATAATTATTGCTGTCATTAACCTAAAAGAGAGATTCAAATAATATTCGCTCGTAATATATTACATCACATCTTGTAAGATGTAAAAGTATGGAGAATACGACGAAGTCTCCACTCCGATTTATATAATAATAATGATAATCCGAGGCGAGTCATTGTGAAATTGTGAATGCGTGCTTTTACTTAAAAAATAATTACGCATTTTTAAAAAAATTAACGTTAGATATTCGCGGAATATCCATTTTTGCGAATACCCCATGAACTTCTACAGGCCATATTACTGGCAGTGAACTTGGCTATAGAAGGTTAACTACTCGAGTAACTTTCTTGAGTACCTAATCCATGCAAAAATGCATAAATAAGACAGCTCTAATTGTTTATTAATTGAACCGTGAGATACTTGAGATTTATTGAATGACTATGCTAATGAAATTTATTGTTCTAATCCTCTAATTTCATTAATTTTTCACGCAGAGCCACAAACATGTTATTTACAACAATCGGTTAATTTTCCAGGCCAGTCCTGTCGTCGGTGAAGCCGGGCTACCTGGGCGAGTTGCTGCCCAAAGAAGCCCCGCAAACGGGCGAGTCCTGGCAGGACGTGCTGCAGGACGTCGACAGGATCATCATGCCGGGCCTCACGCATTGGCAATCGCCGCGATTTCACGCCTACTATCCCACAGCGAACTCCTTTCCCTCCGTCATCGGCGAAATGCTCAGCGCTGGATTCGGCTGCGTCGGTTTAAGCTGGGTAAGAGCTCGTTTAAAATCAAACTTTTACTATTTTCGATTACATCTAAAATGCCTGTTTTTAGATCGCAAGCCCGGCATACACGGAATTGGAAGTCGTGATGATGAACTGGCTGGGTAAGCTGCTAAACCTTCCGGAGGAATTCCTGAATTGTTCAGAAGGACCGGGAGGAGGAATAATCCAGGTAAACTATATTTTTTCTCTCATTCTCAGTCATAGCAATTCTAATTTTTGGTATTTCTGCAGGGATCAGCGAGCGAAGTGACATTCATCGGCCTGCTGGCCGCCAAAGAGAAGAAAGTCAAAGACCTGATGGAAGCGAATCCGGCCCTAAAAGAGACCGACATCAGAGGCAAACTGGTGGCCTACTCCTCCGACCAATCGAACTCCTCCGTGGAGAAAGCCGGCCTGCTGGGCTCGGTGCCCATGAAGCTGCTGCCGGCCAACGAAAGCGGCCAGCTGACGGCCGAAACCCTCCTCGAAGCCATCAGACAGGACAAGGAGCAGGGCCTGATACCGTGCTACTTGGTGACCAGCTTGGGCACGACTCCCACCTGCGCGTTCGACGACCTCCTCGAGCTCGGGCCGCTGTGCAACCGCGAAGGCATCTGGCTGCACGTGGACGCCGCCTACGCGGGCACCGCCTTCGTCTGTCCCGAGTACCGCTATCTGATGAAAGGCGTCGAACTGGCCGACTCGTTCAACTTCAATCCGCACAAATGGATGCTGGTGAACTTCGATTGCTCCGCCATGTGGGTGAAGAACGCCAAGTACTTAGTCGAAGCGTTCAACGTGCAGAGGATATACTTGAAGGACAACCACAACGGGCTGGCTCCGGAGTACCGCCACTGGCAGATATCGCTCGGCAGGCGGTTCAGGGCGCTGAAGCTGTGGTTCGTGCTGAAGATCTACGGCGTGGAGGGCATCCAGAAGCACGTCAGAGGCCAGATACGGCTGGCGAAGCAGTTCGAGTGCCTGGTGTTGCAGGACGGGAGGTTCGAGGTGTGCACGTCCAGCATGGGGCTGGTCACGTTCCGGCTGAAGGGCGACAACGACCTCACCGAGCGGCTGCTCGAGAAGCTCGACCAAAGAAAGCGGATCTTCGTCATCGCCGGCCACTTCGGCGGCAAGCTCGTCATCCGGTTCGCGATCTGCAGTAGACTGACCAACGGCGACGACGTGGACCTGTCTTGGGCGGAGATCAAGTCGCAGGCGGACGGGATCGTGCCGATGGCGGATCTGCGCGAGGAAATGAAGGTGAAGAGGAGCATCGGCTCGTTCGAGCTCACCGATACGGCCAGGGAGAAGATTCGATGCGAGAAATCCAAATGATGCGAACCTGTACGTTTTATACCTCCTGCCTAATTCGTTCAAATTTAAAGTAGAATTGTAAATGAATTTATTTATTATAAGAAAAATTTAGTTTGGTAATTTAATAAAAAAAAATGTGATAAAATTTGGATTTTGTTTCAATAAAAGTTTATTTATGTAAATGGTTTGTTTTGTATCGTATACTTTACACTTAAATAAAATAATCTGTATACAAATATACTAATCTATGCTATACGAGCTAAATATACTATTAAATGTATTATAACCAGTGTCAAATATTTTCTTCAAATAATCACATATGAATTAACCTACAGGGTGATCCAAAAAAAAATTCCTTGCATCTAAGCATCTTCTCTCTAGCATCCTGTGGGACGTTTAATAGTTAAAATCATTTTACAACAGAAATTTACCTACAGAAAATACAGATATCTACACTAAATGTTCAATATCGATTGAGGGTAGTTTTTGCTGAATTAGAAGATGCTGCCTCCCTCTATTGCCGATAAAATAATACTAGCTAAAATATCGATTATAATTTTAGAAGTAAACATTTTATTTGAGAAATTTTTAATAGTAATAGCTCATTCAAATGATTAAAAAAATAGGCAATTCATGTAACACATAGATTGATGATAAATAACCTTCCTCTGCTGAGAAAGAATTTCGAATAGTACCTACTTTATGGTAGGTAAATTGATGAAACTTATTATCTAATTAATTCACAAACATTAAGAATTTGCCAATTTACTAATTAAAATAAACGTAACCATATTTACTTGGAACTATTTCTTCAACAGATCGTTCAAGAACCATCTATCATTCCAGTTAACTTCTTACATAATTTAACAAAATTTACTCGTTATTTCAGCGTGGCCTACCTAAACTGATTTTAAAGATGACTTAACTGTCGGCAGAGAAAGTTATTATAATGCTAAGAAGAAATTTCATACAATCAGTAGTATTTCATAAGCTGCGTAAGACGAAATGAATGTCGAGGAATTTAGAGAGTTCGGTAAAGCTAGTGTGGATTATATCGCAGATTACATTGAAAATATCCGAAAAAAGTAAGTTTTATTGAGTTTTTTTGCTAAGTGTAGTAAAAATTTGTCCGATAGTTTTAAGGTAGGAGCGTTTTCACCCGGTGCAATATATTGCAGTTACAATACAAACCTTCAAATGCAAAGTTTTCATTCGTATGCGATACAATAATTTTTATTAACGCTTATATAAAAGCTGCAATGAAATATTGCTGTAATATATTGCACCGTGTAAAAACGCTCAAAGTAAAAAGAAAAATATTTTATTGCAAAGAAGGCATCTCAATTATTTATCAGTAATTTATATTTCTTCAGTATTAAATGCATATTAATATTAACTCCAGTTTATTCTAAGAATATTTAAAAACATTATTAACTCCATCTGTAGATAATAGAAATTTTCTTAAAGAATTATTATAATTAAAAAGTATTCCTCACTAAAATCCACTAATTTCATGCTTTCTCAATCAAACATCCATTTCACAATTTTCCTCGTAACATTAGGTAATTATACAGGGTGTCTCATGAGTTGATACCTTGTTTTAACTGCGTATAGATCTTTGAATTCTAAGCAACGTTTTCAAGTAATTTTCTTTAACATTCTGGAAAAGAGAGAATGTTTTTTTCAATTTTTAATTATTAATAAGTTTGTTAATTCAGCTCTATGCATTAAAAGTTAAAGGAACTGCTCAAAATTGTCGCTATTTTGATTGGAAACGCTTTTGGAAACACTCTCCATAAATAATCAGCATGTCCACCAATTCATTATTTGTATAAAAGATGAGCCATTTTCAATTCAACAATCGAAAAATTAATTTTTCGTCATTAATAATTATTTATTATTTTTTTGACGCCTGCATGATAATGACAGGTACGTATTGGAAAATATCCGAAATTTAAAGAAATTTCCATCTTTTTTATTTTCCAGAATATAAAAAAAAAATACTTGAAAAAGTTGCTTAGAATTAAAATATATAATTCTAATTACAGGCGAGTGTTGCCGTCAGTGGAGCCGGGATATTTAAAGAATGAGATACCGGAAACAGCGCCCCCGTCGGGCGAGCAATGGCGCAACGTCCTCTCCGACGTCGACAGAGTCATCCTGCCAGGACTCACCCACTGGCACTCGCCGCATTTCCACGCTTATTTTCCCACCGCCAATTCCTTTCCGGGCGTCGTCGGGGAACTCTTCCTCTCCGGACTGGGATGCGTCTCCACCGATTGGGTAAGAACCCCTTAACTTACTCTATCTACTGCTAGAGTAACTAGACAACAGTCGCAAAAAGATTGGAACTTCAGCACGATGTAATATAATTTATCAAATTCCAGCAATCGAATCCTGCTTGCGTGGAATTGGAGGTGAGAATGATGGATTGGCTGGCCAAAATGCTGGGACTTCCAGAGCATTTCCTTAACGAATCCGAAGGACCCGGAGGGGGAGTTATTCAAGTACTACACTTCACAAATTAAACATACAATAAGCATGAATTTTGTAACGAAATCTTTTTTAGAACGCCGCTAGCGAATCTACACTGGTAGGTGTCCTATCAGCCAAGCAAAAGACGGTTGAAATGGTGCTGAAAGAGCACCCTCACCTAACCGATGTTGATGTTAAAGCGAAATTGGTGACGTACTCTTCGAAGGAATCGAATTCTTCGGTGGAGAAAGCCAGTTTGCTGGCATCAGTTCCGATGAGGCTGCTACCAACTGATGCAGAGTGTCGTTTAAGAGGTAATTAACTAATAACCCGCGAATTCATCTGTATTATCATTTATTTATTCGCTGTTGTGTACAGGAAATGTTCTACAAGAAGCAATCGATAAAGACAAAACGAAAGGATTAATACCGTGCTGCGTGGTAGCCAGCTTAGGCACGACAGGCACTTGTGGGTTCGATGATTTGGAAGAAATTGGAAGAATTTGCAGAAAGGAGAACATTTGGTTGCACGTCGACGCCGCTTACGCTGGAGCCGCTTTGGTTTGCCCGGAATACAGGTATCTACTCAAAGGTATCAATTCGCATTAATTTCACCTACATATTCGCTAAATATATCAACTTCCAGGTATCGAGTACGTGGACTCGTTCAATTTCAACCCCCACAAATGGTTCCTGACGAACTCCGATTGCTCGGCGATGTGGTTCAAGAACACCAAGGACGCCGAGGCCGCGTTCAAAGTGAAAGCCACCATTCCCGAGGAGCCTCTGTTCGAGCCCCAAATCGAAAACTGGCAAATACCGACCACCCGACGGTTTAGAGCCCTGAAGCTGTGGTTCGTGATGAGATTGTACGGCGTGGAGGGCATCCAGCGTCACATTCGCCAGCAGGTGTCGCTGGCGAAGTACTTGGAGCAGCTGGTTAGAGCCGACGAGAAATTCGAGCTGCTGGTTTCGAGGTTAGGGGTCGTGGGGTTCAGGATAAAGGGCAGGGACTATTTGACGCAGATGCTGCTCAACAAGATAACGGAGCGGAAGAATCTGTACCTGATGCCGTATTATTTCCAAAACAAGCTGATGGTGAGGTTCGTGGTTTGCAGTAGATTAACGGAAAAGGAGGACATCGATTTCGCTTGGAACGAAATCAAATGCATCACGAATGAGATGCAAACGAACATTATAAACAACAGGAAATTGATCAACGTGAAAAAGGAGAAGATTAACGCTAATATTTTGACTAAAGTAGCCACCAGCACCTTTTCACCGGATCTAAACGAGAAGTTGAAAGTCGGCTTGTTTCTCTAACAATCGTATTAATCGTAAAAATAGTAAAAATAATAACATAGCACCTAATAAAATTAGTTGTATAATATAACTGTAGATAGTTTAATAAAGTTTTCGAGTAACAACCAATGCTTATTTAACTTTACTAAATACCAAAAAAAAGAAGAAACATAGACGTAACTGACAAACACAAAAACACATCAAAAATTTACATCACCCATCTACATCATAAATTTATGTGAAAGAATAATATGATACCTTTAGTTAAGATAGCTCGACGAAACATCTCGTAAGTATAAAACTATATTAATTAATCCTTTCAAAAAAACATTCGTATTCCAGCAAAACTCTTAAAGAACTAAACAGAACCCGCTACAACTACACCTTATTCGGAAACCACGAGAGAAAACTAATATCGGAAACTCCTTTTTGCATTATAACCGATTGCGCTATAGATTTGGATAAGCCCCAACCATCCGTACTGATCATCGGTGCTGGCATAGCCGGATTATCCGCCGCTCAAAGACTATTGCAATGCGGCATATACAATTTCAAAATATTGGAAGCCTCAGACAGGTACCTCGGCAGTTGAACATTGCGAACGATATTAATGAAGGAACAATGTTTAGGCTCGGGGGAAGGATCCACTCCTGCAAGCTGGGCGAAACCGTCGCAGAAATGGGCTGCCAGTACATCCGGGGAGCTTGTTGCAACAACACGGTCTTCAATTTGGCCGCTCAGGAAGGGCTGGTCAGGCAGCCGCTGGGCGAACGAAGGAAGTCGATTTTCTACTGCACCAGCGAAGGGAAATTCATCAACAGCGTCGTCTCGGCGAAAGCGCACAACATCTTCAGGAAAATTAAGAGCGACGCGCACAAGCTGTTCAAGAACAACAAATCGAGCAAGAAAGGATCGCTGGAGAAGTTTTTACGTAACGTTACCGATTCACCGGCAATTCGATAAACATAATAGAAATTAAGCGATTGATTGTAGACTTCAAGATTCAAGAAGAGCTTCGAAAGTTGCCCGAAGAACAACAAAGCGACGTGTCGCGAATCCTTCACGGTTTAACCAACGAAATAAGATACTGCGTGGGTGAGGATTTAGGGATGGTCAGTACGGACAGTATAGGAAGTGTTACAAACATCCCCGGTGGTGATATAACGATACCTAAAGGTCAGCGTCAACAAATTGCAAATGAACCAACTCGTGTACGAAAGCATTTTCAGGCTTCATAGGTGTGTTGGGTCCTCTCCTGAAATGTTTGCCGGATGATAGCATACATTTTAAAAAAGTAGTACGTCTCATAGACTGGAACATTAAAAAGAACAAAAGCAAAGCCACGGTTTCTTGTATCGATAACAGCGTATACTCAGCAGATTATGTAATACTCACCGTATCCCTGGGCGTATTGAAGGAACAGTTAAAAACCCTGTTTTCACCGCCGTTGCCCGAATACAAAACGAAAGCTATCAACTCCATAGGTAAAACCTAATATCACACAATATTACAACAATCTCAGTAGTTACGCCAGTTGTAGACCACAACCAGCTAATAGTGTAGAACTGGTACAGGTTTCTGAGGTAACTCCACAAATTATATGCGACATTTATCAGGATACGGTTACGCCGACAAGATCTTCATGAAGTACGATCGACCGTTCTGGGTCCCCCCGAACGGCAACTTCCGGCTGGCCTGGTCCCGCGAGGAGCTCTCCAACCGAACCGACTGGACGAAGGGCTTGAGCTCCATACAAGAGGTGGACGGCAGCGAGAACACCTTGTGCGGCCTGATCAGCGGCCCGGAGGCCGTCTGCATGGAGCATTCCACCGACGAGGAGGTGGCCTGTTGCCTGACCAAGGTGCTGCGCCAGTTCACCGGCGATCCCTCGCTACCCTATCCCTCCATGTTGCTGCGGTCCAAGTGGGCGACGGATCCCTTGTTCAGGGGGGCGTGCAGCTACTTGAACTTGCAGTCGTCGATCGGGCTGCAGAAGGAGCTCAGCAATCCCGTTCCGAGCGACGCCGGTCGGGCGACGCCCGTTTTGCTGTTCGCAGGTGCTTGTTTGGAGTGTTGGAAGTTTGAGTGAGTCGTTATTGTGAGTTTTGTTGCAGGAGAAGCGACGTGCGAGGGCCATCATTCGACCGTGCACGGGGCGAGATTGAGCGGTATAAGGGAGGCTGAGAGGGTTGTTAGGATGACGAGGCGCTTCGGAGGGCCGCCGTTGGTTAACTGAACACGCGGTTTTTTTCTATATGCTTTATTAATATACATTTACGTACAACACTTTTAGCGGGTTCAGGGTCGACAGTAACTAGTCTAATATAAATAACATTAATTAGAAACTATTTAATAAATTAACGGTTAACAGTATACGTATTAACTAACATGGTATCATATTGTGTAATCGATAATAAATATTTCTTTACATTTGCCAATCAACGTTCGATATACTTTTTTTATTGTCATTTAAGACTCTAATAATTTAATACATACAGATTATATTTGCAACAGATTGCGATCATTTTAAACATTTTTAGACAAAACATCATTAGCCGCTTCTTTGATTTCCTTCCAGGAAATCTCTATATCGGATTTTTCCGTTAATCTCGAACACACGGCTAATCTGAGAAAATACACATCCCTGATTTTGGAAGGGACCAAATGCACAACACCTCTGCCGTTGATCCTCTTCAACAACGACTCGTTAATTTCATTGGAAGCCTTCAATCTGAAGCACACCAAGCCCATGATGACCTCCTCGGTGACTTCGAATCGATCGTCGCTTCCCAACAAGCCTTCAAAGTGCTTCGCCAGCGATATCTGCTTCCTCACGTGCGCCTGTATGTTCTCGATGCCGTACAGCCTCAGCACGAACCACAGCTTCAGCGATCTGAACCGCCTGCCGAGCGGTATCTGCCAGTGGCGGTAGTCCGGAGCGGAGCCCTGCTGCTCGTGCTTCAAGTACAGCGGATCCACGTTGAAGGCGTTCACCAGCCAAGAGGGGTCTTTGAGCCACATCGCCGAGCAATCGAAGTTCACCAACATCCATTTGTGCGGGTTGAAATTGAACGAGTCCGCTCGCTGGATTCCTTTCATTAGATACCTAAAGTGATTGGAGATGTTGTAGAAGATGCGGAAGATGTGGAAGATGTGGAAGATGTGGAAGATGTGGAAGATGTGGAAGATGTGGAAGATGTGGAAGATGTGGAAGATGTGGAAGATGTGGAAGATGTGGAAGATGTGGAAGATGTGGAAGATGTGGAAGATGTGGAAGATGTGGAAGATGTGGAAGATGTGGAAGATGATGTGGAAGATGTGGAAGATGCTGAAGATGTAGATGGATAATTTACCTGTATTCTGGGCAAATGAAGGCAGATCCTGCATAGGCTGCGTCGACGTGGAGCCAAACATTGTTGTTGTTGCAAACTGGGCCCATTTCATCCAATTTGTCGAAGGTGCACGATGATGTTGTTCCTAATGTCGATACAGCCTGTAAAAGAATAAATTTATTGATTAAATAAAAGGAAAATGCGCATTTTTCTTACATAAAAAGGTATTAATCCGGCATCCAAATCATCCTGAATGGCTTTTTCCAAAACTTCACCGGATAACCTGTTTGTTCCGTCGGGTTGAAGAGATCTCAATTTTACGCCTCCCAATAAACCGGCTCGTTCAACCGAAGAATGACTTTGACCTGCAATCAAAAATATACTCAAGCATACCATTTCACATTGAAAACAAACTATTCTTACTAGACGTATACCCGACTAATTTTCCGACGATTTCCGCGTCGCTCCAGTCGGGATGTTCCTTCTTGATTCTATCGATGGCTCGAGCTTTAGCCCCGAGAAGGGCCACTAAGGTGGCTTCGCTGGCGGTGCCTTGGATCACTCCTCCGCCTTTTCCGCCCGAACAGGCCAAAAACTCGTCGGGCAAGCCGAGCATTTTGCCCAGCCAATCCATCATGACCACCTCCAGTTCCGTGCAAGCCGGACTGGCGATCTGAAATATCAATAGAGGTTGTTTGGTTTGATGGATTAATCCGGAATTTCCATTGTTCGATGGTAACCCGCGTAAGTAACGAAGTGTATAATTTCGCTATTTATCACCGACCTGATTTAACGAGAAACGAGATCAAACAAAGAGCCCCGACAATGGTTTTCTCCGCGTTTCCTTTCGACGTCTTTCGCCCAGAATTCGGGCCCTCGACTCGCTCGGACGAGCGTAAGGCTCATTTCCTCTTTTCAGCCGTCTAAAACGATTAATTCGAGCGCTCTACAACCTTCTTCAAGGGAGCAGTATGGCACAGAAGCCGGTATTATTTCCCGTATTGCACAAGGCACTTGTTGAAGTCGAGAGTTTAATTAGGGAACTTAAATTTGTGAATTATCTAATTCCTGCACGTCCTTCTAGTTTTTGAGCGTTTATAAAAAAATGTACATTTGCTTACCCATGAGAAGCCTATGCAGGCGATTGCACCGCTGAGTATGTCTGCAACGATTGCAGGATAGGAATTCGCTGTTGGGTAATAGGCGTGAAATCTGGGTGAATGCCAGTGCGTCACCTGCGGATAATAACAAATAAGAAAAACCGCCGAAATGATCTTCAAAAAATGCATGGTTCATTGCGAATTGTCCTAAATAAGATATTGGACAACGTTTTTTTTTTGAGTGTATAGTTAATGAGTTACTTACTCCGGGCATGATAACTCTTTCTATGTCTTTCATTATGTCTTCCCAATTGTCCGGTTTTTCCGGTGCTGTTTCCGGAATTAGGGGTCTTAGATAACCCGGTTCTACAGTTGGAAGTACTCTCCTAAACATCATAAGTTATATTATCTATCAATAATTGCAATAGTCGCATAAGATTAAATTTTTTTTGGTGTTAAGTGCATGAGGTCTTGAAATATCCGAATTAGATGCTAAAAATAGATAAATTCCCCCGTGAACATATTAATTATTGTTATCATTCAACTAACTGGATCAAGGTTAATTATTGCTTTCACATTTTTTCTACGATACGAGAAATACGAGATTTAGCGATACATGCATACATATCTCTGAAGAATTAATTAATGTTACAGAAGACCTCTGGTAAGGTCAAGGTTTGTTTAATTAAAAATTAGCTATTAAAAACAATACCCATCGTTAGTATTCATAGACATTAAATCTTGTTGGAATAATTTACAGCAATTTGCAGTATGAACTTAATTTTATTTACCTTTCCCTGATGTTCTCGAGGTAGTTCGCGACGTAGTCAATCATCTCCTTTCCGAACTCCCTAAACTGATTAGCCTCCATTTCTGTAAATACATGAATAGAATCAAATTTTGTGTAAGGTATTTCATCCTCCATTAAGTATTTATCCTCGAAAATTTGTTGGATTTGAAATTTTAATACTCACTGTCCATTGTTAGTCCTAAGCAAGCTATTAAAGCAAGAATAGTGTTAAAAAGAACTACGAATTACGGATAATTGGAAAATTGGATGGGTTATTTAGTTTGCTAGTAATATAAAGAATCTTGGATGATATAAATAATAAGGTCAGTATTATAGTATAATAATTATTTAATATAATTTTTGGCAATACAAATTGTTAATTGAAGCTTTTGTGCAATAAAATTAAGAAGCTCTCGAGAGCGAATTAAATTCAAAATTATTTTGACTATGCAACGTAGTTCAAATATAAGTACTGTAATTTCTAAAGGTGTTTTTTGAGTATTTCTAAAATTTAATAATTTTCTAGTTTTAGGCAATACAAATGGTTAAGGCATTTGATTTTGTACAATAAAATTAAAAAGCCTTTTAACGACTAAATAAAATTTAAAATCATTTTAAATATGGAAGGAAGTCTAGAATTATGTGATGTTCATTTTGAAGGTGTTTTTTAGTTATTTCGAATTTAGCGATTTTGGAAAAATGTTGATTCTTCCAAAATTGTAAAAGGACATACAACAAATAAGTCCTTCCTTTCTCAATCAAACTTTTTCAAAACAAAATTGCTAGATATTCATAAAAATAAAAAATAATTTTCGCAACTTTGTGCACCTTAGATTGAATTTTTCTAAAAAAAAAGAGTACACAGATAAATATGTTTATTTCTGGTCATACTCGCACCTCTATAAATTACTCTACATAATTCTGGACCGCCTCGTACGAAAAAACTTACTGTACGATAAAAAAAATCACAGACTTGTACTAAATTAGAAAAATTTGGACACCATACCACTCGCACTGAACACCGAAGAACCGAATCCCGGCGGTCGGCGGCAGCAAGCTTTAAATCTGACGGAAAACCGTAGTGGGGCCGCCCGTCAACTCGGAGCACTTCTGGCGATAATATCGATCACCCAGCACGGGACGCATCACATAATGGCCCGATGGGACTCCCATCTCCCATCGCTGGGTTTCCAATACGTTTCGTTTCATCGAGACGCGCCGGAAATCGACTTACGCAAATTAATTGCCGCGCTAGTTGGGTATTTTCGATTGCGGTGAATACCCCAGCTTCCTACATTGCGAATTTTTTATCATGTATATCAGTAGCGAGTATTTAATTAATATTCACAACATCACAGTTTCCAGTACCAAGAAAATTATTGTAATAAAATGTATGCTTAATTGTGTTAATTTTCCACGCGAGTGGTATTAATAATAACTAGGTGAAAAACTAGATTAATTGGGGAAACAGCACGAAATAATTGGGCGTATAAATGAGACGTAATTTGTGCAGGAAACTTTCCGTATAGAAAATTTACCCGTGAATAAGGTTTCGAATAAATCGGTAATTTTATTAAAATTACAAACTGTATCTTGTTATAACAATCTCCAACTGGTAAATAGGTATATCGCCCTTGAAAAGAATAGATTGCAAGAAACCGACCAAAAGTGGGTCAATATCCTTCCTTCCTTCATGATTACAAAATGCGTTATTGAGACCCAACTTAATTCGACCTCATTAAACGATAAATAACAATACCTTCGGCTACTGGGAGAATGTAGGAAATAATCCACTAATCCCTAATACAATTGTTCTTAAATTAAATAAACTGTGATTAGAGATAAAAAAAATGGCATTTGTGGGGCATTCTTCCGAATCAAACTACTAAAGAAAATATACCTTCAGTGTTGAAAAATGTTAATCGCTATTTTCTCGTTTAAAATTTGAAGGTTGTTCGAATGAAACGCTTTTAGAACGTTATTACACGAAGCTGTTATGATGCAATTGAACCTGCATTACTTGGACAAAATTCAAACCAATTAAAAAAATCCTAGAACGCTCGTTAAAACGATTTCATCGCTAGAAAACGAATGGAATAATGTCCAATAAAAGTATTGGAATGAAACGTTATCTCTTGGGACGAGATAAAAATGGGGATTTTCGAAGCGAAGGGATTATATTCTGCCGCTAAATCGCGTCGATCTGGGAAATTCGAGAGAACACTTGATTTAATTCGCCCCCCGACTACCTTACTTGTTGCATCTCGAGAGCACTCTGTTGTCATAGCGACCCGGAACATTCGGCTCGAAACGAAGTTAATTTACGGGATGGTTCAGAAAAAATGTTATTCACCCAGAAACGTTTTAACGACGAGAGAAGAAAAACTATAGAGCTCGAAGAAACGTGCACGATCTACAGGAAAATCCGACAATTAACGACATTAAAACGTATCGGAAATAATTACATACGAAACGAATAGAATGAAACAACGCGTAAATATAATTATAAAATTCCTTCGAGATTTGTTATTTACTTAATTGTGATTATATGGACGGTTTTTGAGGTAAATCTCATGAATTTTTATAAGCCATTATTTACAGTTGAGCGACATTTCGATTTTTATGGACATCCTATATAAATTCGCCCTCACATATCAATTTCCACGTAAAATTAATTACCTAAAGCCTTTATGACTCACTTAACCCAGATTTTTTTATTGTTATGGAACAATACATTACAGCATTACATATACAGGACCAAAATATAGGTACAGGGTGTTCCAATAATATTATAAATATATAATTACTTTAGTTAGCAAATGCCTATGTAAGTATAACACATAAATTTAATAGCGTACAGGAAAAACCAACAAATTTTTTGGGGCTCATTAAAATACCAGGTAAAATAAACGAATCGCCAACAAAGAATCAGGGAATTCCAATGAAAGTTGAATTTCTACATTTAAAAAGAAATGCGTAACCGCATAGAGAAGCATAAAATACATGAAATTAATACCTCGTATTGCAAATGACGTATTTATGCAAATTTATAATTAATTTTAGATATAAAATACATGCAAGTATTGATCTAAAATTTAGAAGAAATACCATCTGAAACATGATGAAAGTGCCAGCATAGTTGCAGCACGATTTAAATAGACTATAAGTTAATAATTCGCAACGAGACTTGAAGGACTCTTGTAGGATTGGCAGGAGAGATAATGCACCCGAGAAACAGGATATAAATCAACGAATTGAAACAATATATACAATGTATAATTAATGAAACAATGAAAAAAGTAATGCTTTCACATGGTGTGATATTAAAATATTCATTTGCATAATTAATTAGATACGCACAGGGCACAGTAATAAGTAATATTGTTTTTTCCTCCCACAATATCTGCATATTGCATTCGAATTCCTATCGATGCTCAAATATTATAGTACAGGATAGAGTTTCACATAAACAATTATTCGCTTGAGGTATGTGTATTAGGTTTTATTTTGTTTTTTCTTCGTTTATTGTTGTAAACAATTAGGTGTTGTCTAGACATGAATCAGTTTAATTAATAAGAAGACAAAAAATTTCGTAATTACTTCACAAAAAAAAACACATTTTGTATTAGTACACCGTATAAATATTGTTCCTGGAACAACAAGTACTGGAGCGTGTCTGGCGCTTCGTCTCCTCCCCATCGCTTCTATCCACCAATTTGCTCCTTTTAGTCCTCCTCTTCTGCGGCGCTCTCCACTTCTTCTCCGCCAGTTCGTTATCGCTCGCCGAGCACCTCGACATCGACACGGAATTCCCGATCGAATCGTCCCCGCATTCGGAGGGCCGAACCTCCTTCGAAACCGCGCGTCCCGTCCCCCTTTTCACGAACCTTTTAAACCTCCACGTCGCGTCGCCGACCAGCCGCCCGACGCCCTCGTCGACCGCCCTAAGATCAACGATTCTAGTGGCATGAAGAACGGTCATGAGAAAGAAGATGCTCAAGAAGTAACTTACGACGTAGCGCGCCGCGGTGTTGCGCGACGAGTTGTCGCACTTCCACTCGTCGTCGGCGAGGAAATCGTCGATTAAATCGGCCAGCTTCGCCACGTTGTCCATCGCGGCGGCTTCGAGGGGCAGCCAGAAGTCCACGGTCATACCTTCGGCTATGACGGCCGTCGCGAGGACCTGTAAATGCCGCGTTCAATCGAACTGCGTTGGGATATAATCGGGAATAGCTACCTCGAAGAGGCCTTGGACGAGGAAGCCGAGCTTTCGCAGGGAATTGGGGTACATGGGGAGCTCGCATAGCAGCAGGAACAGGGCGATTAGGAAGATGTAGGAGGATACCAACGGGCCTGGGGTGGACGAGGCGGCTTTAAAAATCTGGTCGTTTGTGAAAATTGTTAGAAACGCCACGAAAATGGCCAGTAAGCTTCCCATCGTTTGCCACGCTTCTCATCGCAAAAAAAATTCAACTTCGTGACTTTCGAATTTTGACGTGAAACTAGACTGGTAAAGAGAAGTTGAATTATGTGGGTAAGTCAAAATGTACTTGTCAAAACAGTTTGAACTTCGCGGAACAAAATCCTGGTTAGAGCATGGGAAAATTTTTAGCGGTATTCCTGGCTTACGTGCTAATGTGCAATCAATGCCTAATTTTTAGAGATCCCGATGCGAATTATGCGGGACCTAAACTCTCTTCGTATGTGTTTCTAACGGCCGTGTGTATTCTTTTGTACGATTTGAGATTGTATCCCAAGCGTTTGAGGAAACTGGATCACCTGAGTCAAAATATTGTTGAGGTGGGATACTCTTTAACTTTAATTAACTAAGTAGATTATTGGAGTTGTTTTCCAGTTTTTTATAGCGATGTTTGCGATGGAACTCGTACTGCAAGATTTCTGGTACCCGCTCATAAATGGATTAGTAGCGTTGCTTCTACACGGTGCAGAAAAAATGGAATATCTTAGCGATTACGAGTATTTGAGTGATTCCCTAAAAGATCCATCTACAGTGGATAGAATTACGTACATTTTGAGCCTTTTCTTCTTGTTAAGCGTCCTGCATGCTGTGAGAGCAATCGATTTTCGGGCGCTTCAGTGAGTAAATTATTTATTCTGTACAATTTTAATGGATTAGTAATTATTTTTAGAGAGGGTCCCGGTTGTTTTTTTGACGACATTGCGTACAGGGGAAGAAGATTTCTGCTGAAAAAAATTAGGTACTTGGGTTTTGCCAAGAAGCGGGTCAAAATCAAGGAGTGCAAGGAGAAGAGGTCGAGACGTAGCACAAGGGATGATGATAATGAAAAAACCGGAACCATTGATCTAGAAGATTTCAGCAAATCTGGAGACACGAATGTGGACGATAGCGTTTGTAGTAACAGCGACTGTGATTCACAGAAAATTTGCGATTTCGACGATTTAGACTTATTGATCGATATTGATGATTGAATTTAAATAAAAAGAATTAGGATTAACTGCAAAATAATCTTTCGTAACAATAAAAAATTGATGGATTGAAACATTAGTAATAGTCTCAACTTGGTATGACGTAAAAAGAAGAAACTTAAATGTCAAATGTCAAAATTTACATAATATTGACATTGACAAAAGTTTAAAATTTGTAAATAATTTAAATATCCAATATTAACTTTATAATCACAAAAAATGCAGAAATTCATAAGAATATTGTTCAACGCAAAAACATTAAATCGACTAGTCGTCCCAACGGTCCATAAAAATTATGTTTTTCTAAAACAATACAATCAAAAATTACCATTCACACACACGAATGTCTCCCAAGCAAGTTTGAGATTTCTAAAACCAAACGCAAAGTCCATACTAGCAATAAGTCTATTATCATGGTTGGGTTTCGCGGAAGAAGATAAAAACAAAGAATCCGAATTAATAATGACTCTAAAACGGTCAGTATTGTGCATTAACAGGGAGCAGTACGACAAAGCGGAGCAAATGTTGCACTTGGCTTTAAGAATAGCCCAGCAACAGCAAAACGAGCAAGGAGCTCTTTACTGCTTTGATTTAATGGCAAATTTGGCGTTCGAGCAGCGCGATCTGGACAAAGCCCACAAGTTATTTGTACACATTCTGCAATTGCTTTTGAGCAAAGGAACGCCGGAAGACGACATTAAGGTTTGTGTTAATCGTGTTAATCAATTCATAAGTATCCAACATATTTTATTACATACAGGTTATTCATATTAGCTTGAAATTAGCGAGGATTTACCAGTTAGGAGCTGAATTAGAGCAAGCTGAAATCGGTTACGCGTGGTGCCTCGAGCAGATTAAAAACAAGAAAAATCAGAATAAAGACACCAAAATCTTATATGGTGTGATCAATGACTGGTACGCCCAGTTTCTTTTAGATAAAAATGACGTGAAAAAGGCGCTGGTTCATTTAAAAGAAGCCTACAGTGTTTGCAACGAACTCAGTAGGCAAGATGTCGATCAGACTGTTTTGTTATTAAACGATTTGGGCACGACTTGCTTTAGAGCTAATGATATGACCAATGCGGAAAATTACCTGAAACAGGCTGTTAGTATTGGGAAAGACATGCAGGACAAGGCCTATCTGGGAGTCGTTCACGCTAACCTCGGTTTGATTTTATTGGAAAAGGGTTTGTTGGATCAGGCGAAGAAGTTTTGTAAAGAGGCTTTGTATTTAGGTAAGGAAATGTTGGTGTTACTTGAGGGTTATTAAAGTATATTTTTTTGTTGCAGGAAAGAAGCACGAAAATAGTGAATCCATTAATCAAGCCAATTATTGCTTTGATCAAATAAAAATGAACTTGAATAAGTAACATTCTTGGTGTTTTCGATTGAAATATTAATGGGGATTGGGGATTTCGAGTCAACTTTGCTAAATAACGTTTGTAGATGAATGTATTTTGTATTTCATTCATGTATAGGTCCTGCTGTTTTTACCAATAATACTTTTGTGATATGTACATACAATTGAAATATTAAGTTTATCACGAGAATTTTATAATTTATGAACAATATTTAAAAAACAGTATTTTTAAAAATTAAAATATTTTAGATACATACAATTACGATATTTTAGTAGCCTCCAGAACCGAAAAGCAATGAAAACAAAAACCCAAGTTCAACACAACTTTAATTGAAATATAAATAGTTCAATTCGTATTGCCTTAATTTCCATCTAAACAATTTTATCACATTCTTAAGATAAAATAAAAAATATATGCAATATTTCACTTTTAGCAACTTATTCGTATTCAGCTATTAATACCATCATCCCGACGCCTGTCAGCATAGCAGCTACTTGAAGAAGAGTTTGAACCACGCTCGGTTTTTCTTCATCTAGTAATTCTGGGATAACCGAAACCAAAGCTATGTAGATGAAACCTCCGGCTGTAAAGGGTAAAACCCACGAAGCGGCTTCAACACCGCCTGCATTCTGGGCAAGAAGCGACAAAGCGGTCCCTGAAATATTTTAAATTGTTCTGGTAAAAGTACGAATAATTTAATAACGAGGAGTAAAATACCTGCGAGTGCTCCCAAAGCTGTTGTGAGTTGCAACATCATGGCATTCCTTCTAGACACTCCTGATTGAAGTAATATGGCAAAATCCCCGATTTCGTGAGGCACCTCGTGCAATAAAATCGTAATTGTAGTAACAACTCCTAAAATACGAACCAAATTAATACTAAACTTCGTCTACATCAAGCCTAATTACACAAAAATGCTGCATTACCTTTAATGAACGAGGCAACCAAATATTTTAGAATGAATTTTTAGTACTTAAACAAAACACAATTCTTAAATTAATAAAAATTATCGAAGAAAAGTAATGTCTTTACCGATAGTATTGCCGGCTAAATATGAAGATCCAATAGCCAAACCATCCGTAAAGTTGTGGCAAAAATCCGCGGCCAAATTGAGATATCCAGCCACTTTGATTTCCTTCTCGGGTTCCTCAGCATCTCCTGTTTTCGATTTATTCTCTTTTTTCCCAGCTTTTTCTGGTTTCTTCGTTACAGCAGCATGCGAGTGACTATGACTTGTACCTTTAAAAACATCATATTAATATTAATACACATTAAATACTAGTGATATTAATTACCTTTTAAAATCCTTACTGCTTTCTCTACAACCAAAAACACAACAATTCCTGCTAGAACCCACAAGCCTACAGACATATCATGCGAATGTTCTTCCCCGTGAGTCCCATGACCATGGCTATGCGAATGCGGTGTTTTGCTATCTTCTACGTGCATAGCAGCATGAGGAATCAGATGCAAAAATGCATCGCCTAGTAAACCGCCTGAAGCGAAAGCTAATAAAATCTTAAGCAAAGGTTGGCTGCTTTCAGTGTTATCCAGGGGAATGAAGAATAATATGAAGAAAGGAGCAGCGCTTATTAACAGGGTGGATCCCATGGAGTGAAGCCACAAGTCCCTCGTACTCAGCGGGGCAGTCTTGGATTTTTGGGCCGTTTTGTCGTGGTGTAAATGTTCATTCTCCAATTTCTCGTTTGCGGTTTTTGAGTACTTAAATGAAGGTGGCTCTTCGTGAGAATGACCATGATGATCGTCGTGATTGTGAGAATGACTGTCAGTAAAACTAACAACGCAAATTACCACACAAATTATTAAGAGTTTCTTTGATAACATTTCGTATATTTATATAAATACTGCTAATCAATCGTTACAACAAATTTTAAGGTTATATTTATCTGTTGTTCGCTCATGGAACAATTTTATCTAAATGTTGCTTGTTTGGCAGTTGCTCATTGGTTAATAACCTTATCATTCTGTGATCTATGTATTTGTTCTGTTGGTTATTCGATATTAGAGGATCTATTGATACAAAAAAACGTACATTTTATGACATTTGACATTTGATTTTTCTTACAAATGGCGTATTGTTGATGATAAAGCGAAAATTTTGAGGTTGTGTATATTTTGATCAACCGTTTCTCTGATAGATTGTACGGAAATGTCGTCGAGATACGATAGAGCTATTACAGTATTTTCTCCAGACGGGCATTTATTACAAGTAGAATATGCCCAAGAAGCCGTTCGAAAGGGTTCCACAGCGGTAAGTTAAATCGCTCATAACCTACAAATTTTTTGCCCTATCATCTTTCATAATTTTCACTGGAATATATTTTACTGCAACCGTTTATTAATTGTTTATTAATTTTCTTAGGTCGGTGTAAGAGGAGCCAAAGCTGTCGTGCTAGGGGTAGAGAAAAAATCTGTAGCGAAACTGCAAGAAGAAAGGACAGTTAGAAAAATATGCATTCTAGACGATCACGTCGTTATGGCCTTTGCTGGATTAACAGCCGACGCTAGAATATTAATAAATCGAGCACAGATCGAATGTCAAAGTCACAAATTAACGGTCGAAGATCCTGTTACTCTAGAGTACATAACTAGATACATAGCTTCGCTAAAACAAAAGTATACTCAAAGCAATGGAAGAAGACCCTTCGGTATTTCTTGCCTTATCGGTGGATTCGATTACGATGGAAAGCCACATCTTTATCAAACTGAACCGTCTGGAATTTACTACGAGTGGAAAGCAAATGCAACAGGTAATATTTTTATCTACACAACTCCAATGTTGTATTAGGAGAGGAGTGATAGATGTTATTTTTCATTCTAGGTCGTTCTGCAAAGACTGTTAGAGAATTCCTCGAAAAGTTCTATACACCAGAAGAAGTGGAAACTGAGAAAGGTACGGTAAAACTAGCCATCAGAGCTCTGCTGGAAGTCGTACAATCCGGGCAAAAGAATCTGGAAATCGCGGTCATGAGACACGGGGAGCCCGTGGAGATGTTAGACGGAGATACCATCGAGAAATACGTTACGGAAATCGAAAAGGAGAAGGAAGAGGAGGCCGAGAAGAAGAAGGCCAAAAAGTGAACGAGTCGTTAGAATTTAGTGTATTCACTTGATAAGGTTAATTTCGAAAAAAACATAAACAATTTTTTTAAAAATATAATAACTCTGTAACTGTTTGTTTCATTTTTGTATAACCTGTTTCTAGGTTGGTATACAGTACATTTCTAAAACATCAAATAATAAAAAAGAAAATAATCTCATGTATTTCGTATTTAACATTTACCAAATTTAACAAACTCTATTATTTGTAGACATTACAAATAGTTTCTAACTAATCGTACTTATTCGTATTTAGAATCTTCGATAACGGAATTCAATTGATTTGCAGTCGTAACAATCAAAGAACAATGTTTCCTCAAGACTGACCACTCTGCATTTACCTTCGTCTCTATGTTTTTCATTTCTAATAAATTAACTCGCACATCCTCCAAATTTTTGGAGGTTTCGGCTCTCGACGGTTCCGAAGAAATTTCCCTAGCGATCAAATCGTAGTTCAATTTCTGCTGTTTGAATTTCTTCACTTCCGAGAGCAGCGATCTACTGGCCTCTATGGTCTTGTTGATGTCGCTTATGTTTCTCTCCAGGTCGTTTTTGTAGCTCTCGTATCTGTCCAGGTCTTTTCGATTAGTTTTTTTGAGTAGCTCCGACTTCCGTCGGGAGTGCTCGACTGCCGAGAGCTGGAAACATATCCTGTTAAACACGTTCAAATTGTCTTCCTCGGGCTCGTTGCATAAAATCCACTTGGCTATCATCTTTTGCAGCAAGTTCAAGCGACGTTCGTCTCCCAGTCCTTCTCCGTCGAAGAGTAATTTCCTTTTAATGACTAGCTCTGTTAAATATAAAAAAATCATTAACTAATATTGTTAATTTTTTTGGTTATACTACCGTCTTCCATTTTTGTAGTTTTATGAATTGTTTATATTTTTAATTTTTAACGACTCAGGAAAATCTGGATATTTTTAATTTATTCAGTGTTGCCAGTCATAATATTAGCAGGGGCGTAACAACCGGGAATGTAAAGGAGTGCAACGCAATCGGGTCCATAAGCTAGTAGAGAGTAGAGGGGCCCACAAACCAAAGTGCCAATGGGGCCTTATTTATTACTTACATTAAGTACTTACCATTTTTATATACAAGTAGTAAGGATAAAAGGGGTCTCTATAAATTCTGAGTGTCATAAAGGCCCACATAAAGGTCTTGCTACGCCACTGAATGTTGTGTCAAAATTATAAATTTAAAATGGCGCTCGACTTCCAAAAAACCGTTTTCAAACTTAATAACAAACTTTCAAATAAATAATTTGGTTAATAATAAAATCATTTAGTTATGAACGATAAAATTAACATTTAAAGGAAAAATCATATTTTTGTATACGAAGTCGTTATCTTGCTGTGTTTCTTTGATGAGCTGCTCCTTGTTGTTCCGCTCACTTCGTTTTGTGTTACTAATTTTTTTTGAAATTCTGTACTGCTGGATTGTTCAATTTTACTAAATCCTGTATCCTCGGTTGTTGATTTTTTGTGTTTGCGCCTGCGTCGCTTGCGTTTGTGTTTTTTTGTTGTATTAAGTACCATTTTCTGTTTGGTTTCTTCGATAATTCGAACAGGTTGCTGACTAAAGGATGTAAAATGTTTTGTTACATTCCCAAATTTCAATGTGTTATTAGCTTGTTGATGTTTTGTGGAATGTTTCAATTTCACTCCTTCTGTTATGGATACTTTGGGTTTCCTGGTAATCGTACGATTTGCTAGTGACATAAGCATTTTATTCGATATCATTCGCTTTTCTGCTATCGTTTGCCTAACGAGTCCACTTTTCAACATTTGCTTACGGAACTTCTTAATATCCAATCGACTCTTCTTGTACCTATTATGGTGCCTTTTTCTGTAGCTTCCCATGTGGTTTCCTTTTTTCTTTTTAGTTTCCCTCAAGTTCAAATTCACTTCCTTCCTCAACTCGGCGCTCAAATCGAAACTCGCTTCGCTGGTCGTAAAATCCAGCTCAATATTCAACGGAAAATGACCGAATTGGTTAATCTTCCTCACAGCGTCTTCATCAATTTGAAACGTCGTACTTTCGTGCCTCAAGGTACTTGAAGTGGTGTTTTCTTCGTAAACGTTCCTCCACTGTTTTATACCATACAGAGTGTCCTCGGTAGTTGTGCTGGCGTATAATTTCTCCAAAAACTCCATCATGTTCTCCTCCACCAGCTCGCTAATCGACGTTAGCGGGTACTCCGTGGTAGTCGGTTCTTCAATTACGGAATTAAACAGCGCCCTGACCATGTAATCTAAAATATTATCTCGCGCCCCCGACGTGGTGGAAGCGAAATAACCCGTGTAGAGTTTGTACTTGACGAACACGTTGATGAATTTGTCGATGTTGGGGAATTCGTGCACCTCTCGAACGGTACTCGATGGTCTTCTTGTGGGCCTGGTAGTGAGGGATCCGTGCAGTTGCGTCAAGAAATCCTGGTAATCCATATTCCCGCTGGTTCCTTTCAGGAATTCCTGTATGGATTCGTCGGCTAGATGGAATAAGTCCGTGGTAGATTCGTAGGCTTCGGTTGGAGCGGTACTGGTTGGAATTTTACGCAATTTAAACCGCTTAGGCGTGTGTTTTTTGCGCTTCGGTTTCGCGGTGACATCTCGCTTGGTAGGCTGGGTTTTCCTGGAAGCATCGGTCACGTTTCGAAAAATTTTCCCCATTGCCTGCGCGAACTGTGCGAACGAGACCACCAGGTGCTCGAGAGGAGTGGTTTGAGTGCAGTTGACGCTCTGGAAACCGCTGAATCTACCGTCTTCCGTAAATATCAAGGCGGAATCCATGTTTTCGACGCACTCGCCGCGAAAGGGCAGCGTTCTGAACGGTTTCATCGCTTCTTTAGCCGTCGAATTCCACCCCATAACGTAGTGGTTTTGGTCGCGATTAAATCGGCCTTCGACGAATAGGGTGTCGTTGGGGCAAGTGCCCGGCAGCTGGGGCTCCGGCACTAGCACCACAATCGAGCTGTTCTCTCCACTGAACAGCGTGTAATTGACTATTTCGTAGTGTTCGTCGCTTATTGTCCAAAACGGGGAGCCGCTGGTGAGGTAGTGTTTGCCCTTTACGGGCCGGCCGGATTCGAAGCATTCGGGCAGAGCCACGGCGAGGTTCTCGCCCAAGTTCAACGCTGTACAAAGGAACTTGTATTTCCGAACGTCTGGGGAAATTTTCTCCACTACGGCGGCTATTTGCAGGGACGAGCAGTTTCCGTTTCCGACCAAGTATCGCGAATATTGCGATTTCAATAAGAGTTTCGATGATGAGCTGAAGTAGTCTTTACTCACTAAGACAATGCACAGGATTATTGCTGCCGCTATAATTGGGACCGATATTAATAGAGCAATAACTATGTAGTTTTCTCTGGTTAAGTCGTCTCGGCACATTATCCATTTTAACTAATGTTTGAGTGATTGATATTTGTATACATACGTCAATTATTAAATTGTGTGGTTTATTTTAACCTTCATATATCCCAAGAGGAACATTTTTCTGTCATATTGTATAGATACTATTGATGAGAAGAAAATTATGGGTATACGAATAAATGATACAGCGATAAGTATATTAAAAGAATATTGTATTAATTAATTATTAAAAAAAAATTATAAATCAGTTTTTTTTAATCTAGATATTACATATACCATTTATAATCAAATATGAAATAGAAGAAGTGGGTGTACTGGGGGATGTACTTTAAACTAAACTGAATAAGTAGGTATTTTTTAAAAGTAGCATTTAACCGGAATTCTTAATACCGGTTAAAAGATTTTTCGTATAAATGTTTAATAGGATCACTAGAAGGATACGGATGACATGTGAATATCGATTGTATAAGAACTCTATGCAAGTATAGACACATGTAATTATACCTAAAATCTGAAATAAAAAAGAATCAAATATGAATCAGCACGTTAATAATTTATTCGAAAAACCATACAATTATCCGCATAAGAAATGCAAATTACAGAGATTGAAAAACTTGCAATAAATCCTCATAAACTCTCCCTGATCATTCTTAATTCTTCAGGCATCGAGAGAGCAGAAAAAATGTTTTTTGATCGTAAGTTCATCATTAATAAATATTCGCCAATAATTTTTTTTGGGATTATCAAATTTCCAATTCGCCTTTCCCATTTTCAGGTCTGGCTTATCGCTTGATGAAAACCACCGATTTCTGCAAACTACCCCTGTGGTTCACGAAGCTTCTTCTGCAATCAGCTCTTCTGTGGCCCGTGCAGAAAGCTTCGGCCACCAAAAAACTCCTCTTGTTCGCAGTGATCATGATTTGCTGCACATTCATAAAATTCGGTCTGTTAGTCACGCTCACTTCGAAATCATCCAATATAGTGGAATCGGCCGCTCAAATTCGAGATATTACTCTCATTCTTCAGGTAATACACAAACATTAGTCTTATTTCTTCCCTTCGATGAAAAGTAATGTTTCAGGCGTCGGTGAAGATCGTGTTTCTTTACTACAACCACAAGAAATTCCAGCCGTTCATTAACATGATACTCAACGATTTCTGGCCATCGAATCTGTTCGACGAGAAATCCGAGAACCGATTGAAAACCTTCTACAACGCGGTAATAACTATGATGATACTGAACACTATGTTTTCGACGGCCTATTGCATTACCGTCACCGTCTCGGCCCTGTTGAAAGGCGAATTCCAAATGGACACCATCTACCCGTTCCTCGATTACAAATCGAGTCCTTTCTACGAATTGAACGTGATGTTGCAGTACGTCAGCTTGCAGTACTTCTGCCACGTAGGGATATTCGGCGCAGATTTTCTCTTCATGTCCATCTGCACGTGCGTGATTTCGCAGTACAAGCTGCTGTGCCGGGCGCTTTCGGCTTTTGGCACTGACGAGATGATGGAGATCAACGAGAAGCTGAGGGGTATCGGGACAGACCAGCTGATAGGGAGAAATTACGGGCTGCACAAGGAGTATTTCGTCAGATGCGTTAATCACCATAGAATGTTACTGATGTAGGTGTAAGATGTTACAGTATGAAATTGATTTTTGAATATTTGGGTGGTTCTTAGGCTAACGGAAAATGTGAACAGCATATTCAGCTTCATGACGTTCCTTACTCTGACTGTGTGCACAGCAGGAGTGTGTACTGGAGTGTTCACGTTAAGTTCACTGGTAATTAGTAATGTTTTTATTGTTTAAATACCTCTTGACAAATATGATATATTTCAGGAAACCATAACAGTCCCTATGGTTTTGATTATAGCTAACTATACCATGGGATTCTTAACTGAACTGTTTGTGTATTGTATAATAGGAAACGAATTCTACGAAGAAGTAATAAAATTTAATAAAATAAAATCGATGTGATGCAAAATTTAATATTTTTTCAGGCTCTTCTTTTGCCAGAATTCATATTCGCCGGTAACTGGAATGAATACGCAAACAACGGAATGACTAAAGATTTGAAATTTATGATACACCGATCTCAAAGTGTTTCCCCTTTACACGCTTATGGATTGTACAATATCAACATGGACTCATTTGCTAAGGTAATTTAATTGAAAGTAGTCAATGAATTTAATAACAAAAAAAGAGATTAATGATAAAAATCTACAATATGTGATACACAGTATTCTTATAAGTATAAGTAATAAGTTTATTATCGTTTTATTTATTTTTTAGGTACTCAAATTGTCGTTTTCAGTGTACACCTTTTTATCGACCATAAAAAATAAGTAACCTTTTATTTTAACGACAAATATTGGTAATATATTGCTTATTATTAAATAGAATGGTTTTCAACTTATAAATATTTAAAAAGTGTTAAATTTTTGCGATAGTATTATATTATGTAATTATATGCACTAAAATATTACCTAACAGTACAATCACATTCAAATTGTAATTTCGATCTTATTCAACTATAAAAATAAATTGCATAAACACTCGCAATTAATTAGAATCAATTATACCTTGTAGGTACCTACGCACTATTCGATTGGAAATTACCTAATAAATATTATATAGATTATATCAATAGAAAAATATACTTTTCTGTATTTCATACAGAAAGTAAAGGTATAAATTGTAATTTAAAATTGGTTTTGACAGTTGATTAATTTTGTACTTCTGTAGCTGTGTGAACACATGATAAAAGTCACAAAACTACAAAAGTAAAAAAGAAGTGAAGAAGTCAAAAAATTATCAAAAATCAAAATAATTCTAACCAAACATTATTTTTAATAAATCTGTGTTTTTTATGATTACGTTACATTATCGCACAAAAGTTATTTATGTAAGCCGAACTAGGTATGTCTTCCAACAACTTGTTACGAAAATGCAAAGTAGCCGTTTGTCAATTCACGGCGACCAATAACAAATCCCACAATTTCTCCGTTGTTAAACGGCTAATAGAACGAGCTAAAAATGAGAACGCCCAAATGGCCTTCCTACCCGAAGCCTGCGATTACATCGCTTCGAACAAAGCCGAAGTGACCCAACTAGCCGAGGAAATCGACGGTCCGCTGGTCACCGAATACAAAGCTATAGCCAAAACCAATCGAATGTGGCTATCGATCGGCGGCTTCCACGAAAGATGCAACGAAAACACAGTGTACAACAGCCACCTGCTAATCGACGACTCCGGAACCATCAAATCAATCTACAGGAAAATCCACCTGTTCGATGTCGAGCTCCCCGAACAACGCATCAGCCTCAAGGAATCGGACACTTGCAAAGCCGGCTCGGAGTTACTGGCACCGATCGAAACGCCCGCAGGAATGCTAGGCCAAGCCGTCTGCTACGATTTGCGCTTCCCGGAGCTGAGCCTCCTCCAAACCAGATTGGGGGCCGACATATTAACCTTCCCGTCGGCGTTTACAGCCACAACGGGCGCGGCTCACTGGGAGACTCTCCTACGAGCCAGGGCCATCGAAAACCAGTGCTACGTGATCGCTGCGGCGCAATACGGCCAGCACAATAACAAAAGGACCTCCTACGGCCAGTCGTTGGTCATCGATCCCTGGGGTAACGTCCGAGCGGAGTGCCCCAAATACACCGAAGGCATCGCGACCGACGAAAGTGTAGCTGTAGCTGAAATAGACGTTGATTATTCGGATAAAATAAGACGGGAAATGCCCGTGCGGCGGCATCGTAGGAACGATATCTACGAGTTGAATTTAGTGCCTTCTACTGTAGAGGAAATTGGCGAATGCAATTACAGTTTCGCCGATAAAGTTATACCTAGTTCTACTGTGTTCTACCGATCGAAGCACTCGTTTGCTTTTACGAACATCCGATGCGTTGTTCCGGGGCACGTTCTCGTGGCCCCTTTGAGATTAGCTCCTAGATTACAGGATTTGACTAAAGAAGAGGTGGCGGATTTATTCCAAACTGCTGTTAGAGCTCAGAAGGCTGTAGAGCAAGAGTATGGAGCGGATTCTTCTAATTTATGCGTACAAGATGGTGAATCAGCCGGCCGGACTGTGCCTCATGTACACGTGCACATTTTGCCTAGGAAAGCCGGGGATTTCCAGAACAACGACGATGTTTATATGGAATTGGCGAAACACGACCGCGGGAACAACGCTAAGCCGATCAGGTTGTTGCAGGAAATGTCTGACGAGGCCGGTCGGTTGAAGACTTTTTTTAATTTGTAGAAATATATTTTTGGTTTAAATGATCGTGGATGTTTAATGACACTACTTGTCCCAAAAGATTTCCAGGATGGCTTAAGTCTAGATCGTTTTTTAGTACGGTGTGTTCAGAGAAAAAGCATTCTGAGGCGTTCTGGCAAAAAATCACAGATATTCGTGATTACTGCGTTTTTTACATCCAATTCGATAAATTTTAAACCTTTTACCAACAATTTGAAAGGATAACATTTGAGTTTTACAAATTGTCTTATTTGGGTTTATTTGTAACTAATGTTGGAGGTATTATTTCATATTTTAAATCTGCACAATTTATTTGAAAGTTAAACAGTAAAGTTGTGTCCAGTGCTTAATATTACCAAAAATTAGGTCATTAATTTTTCCACTATTTTCTAATTAATTAATAAACTAAAAGAATTTACAATATCTTAGGTACAAAACTATTTCCATAGTTCTAGGCCATATTGCAAATTTTTGATATTTTTTTGAAAATCACTGCTTGTTTTTAAATAAATCGTTGCGAATATTAGCATATATTATTATTATTATATACTTATTACGTATACAAAATTCAATTGTTTTATCTTTAAGTATTACTGAGATATTATTTTTTTAATTGTATAACTCCACTCTGAAAGCCTATAAATTCTCAGGAATGTAACTTTGCTAACTTTGTTAATTTGGGTTAAACTTTGGGGACTTTATTTTAGGCTCCCCTAGACTCCCCTACTCTGTGTCAGTTATTATGCGGGACACCCTGTATAATATAAATGATCTTTCAATTAATCTCTTTTAACTTATCCCTTATTTAAAGTTTTCTACCGCGCATCCAACTGCTTAAAAATTCCAACTGCTAATCTATTTGTTGAGGTATATAGTCCAAAAAGCTGGCAATATTTCTTAATAATTTTTGAAAGACAATAAAAAACATAATTCATTCCTTTAAGTTGTTTACTGAAAGGGCTAAGCGATTTCTGCGAAGTTACTACATCGCCAATTAACCGGCATTATAATAATTAAGTCATAAGTCACGAACGCGCTTCTATTATAACACTAACTGCATGCAAATAAACATTCGTTAGCAATTAGTCGATTCCATCGGAAAACGTACATAAAGTTTTCGACGAATAGCGCAAGATACACTTTCAAATCGACCGTTCCTGCGGCCTTACCTAACGGCGACTTTTCGCGGATAATAAACTGGTTATAATATAATCCAGTTTTTGCAAATTAATTCGAATAATTCCGAGTCGCGTTGCGGCGGTCTTGACCTATTGTATGGGGTTTTAGAAAAATAGGAAATTGCATTTCTTTCATCGGAAAACAAAGTGTTTTGATTCGTATTTTGCTGCGTGTAGGTATAAGTCCATTATGAATTGGAAGTCTTTGGTATTTCTGCTTATTTGCTTTGTAGCATGCGTTTATTGCGAGAGAAGTATCCGAAAGTAAGTGAATTTGTTAATTACTTAAAAACTATTTTTTATAAACTTTTGAGGGTATTTTCTTTTTTCACCATTTTGGGTGTTTCCGTGATTGTTTCTGAATTATTTAATCTGATTTATTCCTAACAATATTTTTTCACTATTTTCCTAAAACTCTTAAATCACTCTTCATAATTTTCGGAAGAGTTTTAAAAGTTATCGAACCCTTTATATTTTTAGTCAATTCGTATATGTATAGTTCCTCCATAGACAATAGTAAATTATTGTATTAATTTTATCGACATACTCGACAAACATAACGACAAATATACTTGATTAACATTCGCAGGCGCTCCTTGCTCGTGGGTTTCCTCAGCAACAAGACAAAAACAGCCACCCAAACTGTAGGAAAACTATCCGGTAAAGGAGCCTCGGTGATCGGAAACGTCGGCGCCAAAATCCTCGAACCGGTGTCTTCAGGAGCCTCGAGCAAACTCTCAGATGTAGCCAATAAAACCGGAAAGGCGATAGAAAAGACCGGCAACAGGACCGCCTGCGTTGCCGGAAAAGCGGTGAGAGTCGCGGAAACTGTCGGAGAAAAAGTCATCAATTTTACCTTCAGCGATCACGAAATACGTAAGTGTGAATTTCCATAAAGGATTTTGCTTTGTTATATCGAACAAATTTAAGGTACACTGGATCACAAAAGTTGATAAAATTATATTAAATGATGGTAGTTCTTATAATAAAAAGCTCGATTTTTTATATTATAGCCTTTATATTTCTTATATTGCCAAATGAATAATTAATATTCAAATAATATTAGGAATAATATTTTTTTCTGTGTAAAATGAAAAACCCTCAGAAAAAACACTGAAACTACCTAATTAAGATAAAAAGTAATTTAGTATTTTTTAGTTATTCTAATAACATTATTTTTGTAAGCTTGATGATTTACAGAATTTACATAAAACAATTCAAATAAGTTTTCCTTGATTACACACAAAAAATTGAATAGAAATTATTGTTTAACTAGGAACAGGAATTGCATTGAACCAGAACTAATATGATAATTCAGTCGATTTAAATCACAAATTTTCTGTTTATACAGCAATAAAAGATACATTATCAATATGACATCTCGTGTTATGTGAATTTAATTTAAATTCATGTATTTGGAGCATAAATGACCATAAATCTAGCACTGGAGTACATTAGTTGAATATTAACTAATACAAGCTTTTATCTTTACCTGACTTGGGAGTTTGTCTAAGGGATTTAAGGAATTTGAATAAAAAATACTTCAAAATTGTCCATTCCCAACAAAAAACCTCTTTCTAGGCGACATAGAAAAAAATTTCGCCCGGCGCGTCGGCGTCAGAATGTCCCAAGACACCGACGTCCAGAAGTTCCGCAGCCTCCTGGGCGGCGTCCTGGACCCCACGACCAAGCTGCTGGACGCCGACAGAACGGCCTGCGGGCTGTGCCAGCTGCTGGTCAGAGGCCTCCAGACCAGCGCCCTCACCGTCGCCTTAGTCGGAGAGTTCATTTGCAACGTCTACGTCCTGCTGGCCACCTACACGGTGTCCGATTTCTGCAAGTCCATCGTCGAAATAAATGTTGTAAGAGCGGAAAATATCGACAAAGCTTTCGATTTTGGTACACATTTTGCTTTCAGCCTATACTCAAGTATGTCCTCGAACACAGCGAGATTCTGGACCCGGAGCTGGCCTGTACGATCCTCCTGCAAACGAAGGAGTGCTCTTACGAGAAACCAGCGCTGGCCTGGCAATCGGCAGTGTCTACTACACCGCCCATTTACCCACAGGTAACTAATTTTATATCCTATTTTTATACAATTATTTTGGAACTGCCTATTATAGGTAAGTTTCGACCCTAACGAAACCCCATTAACGGTGCTCCATCTGACCGATTTCCACATTACCCCCGATTACGAGGTCGGGGGCGTCTCGAACTGCGGCTATCCCGTGTGCTGCAAAAAGGGCTTTGGGAGCCCCCTTAAGGGGGAACGTGCTTCCAAATGGGGTGACTACAATTGCGATATACCGCCTTGGCTGCTGGGGGCTACTTTGCAGCATTTGAACAGCACTTACAAGGTGAAAGAACGATCATGATTTTTGTTTGGTTGTACCCATTTATCGATCTTCCAGAATGTCAGTATGGTCTATTTTACTGGTGATATTATCGATCACACTATTTGGAACACGTCCATACGAACTAACACTGAAATGATATACTACACATACAAAGCTCTGGCTGAGACTTTCCCCAATTCCAAAATATTCTCTGTTATCGGAAACCACGAATCTAACCCTCTTAACCAGTAAGTAAGACTAAATGCTACATTCTGGTTTTTGGCTGATAATGTAGCGTGTTCCAGGTTTTCTCCCCCGCTGGAAGACATAGCGAATAAAGGATTATCCACGAATTGGCTGTACGAATTGATGGCCAAGCTGTGGAGGCCTTGGTTGCCCGAGAAGGCTCTGGAAACTGTCAGATACCAAGGCTACTACGCCCATTCTGTGAACTCTAGGCTCAAAGTCATAGGGTTGAATAATAACGTTTGTTATAATTTTAATTGGTTAGTTTGTTCATCTATATTTTTCATATACTGCATCATTGATCGATTTTTCTATACAGGTGGTTATTGTTGAATACGAAATTCATCGATGAGCAACTTCAATTCCTCAACCGGGAATTAGAAGAATCCGAAAGAAACCATCAGTTTGTCCACATAATAGGTCACGTTTCGGTGGGAAACCAAGAATGCATAAGACCTTGGGAAATTAGTTACAACAAAATCGTTCAAAGGTAGCAAAATTATTAACCCTTCATTCTAAAGAGTCAATTATATTGTTTGTTTTAGATTTGCGCACATAATTAAAGGCCAGTTTGTCGGGCACACTCACACCGACGAATTAAAGATATTCTATGATAGTAAATCGAAACCGATCAATATGGCCTACAATGGAGCCAGTTTAACGCCATTTGTAAAGTTTAATCCTAATTATAAAGTGCTTCACGTTCATCCAACGACTATGGTAAGTTTTTATATGTAGTAATATGTATATTTGTATAATAGCAAAAATTTTATAGGACATCCTAGATATAGATACGTATTATTTCAACATGACTGAAGCCAATCTTCACCCCGATAGGACTCCCGCTTGGGCCAAATTGTACTCCATGAAAGAGGCCTATAACTTGCCAGACTTATCACCGGCTTCCTTCGATGTATTCGCTGATAAGTTGCTCGTAGATAGAAATTTGCAGGACCTCTATTGGCTGTACGTATTGCTAAGTTTCATACAGGATGTCTCTAGAATATGTGGGACTATATCCAAAAATTAATGGTAAAAAATGATTGATAATATCTATATGATTTTTAGTAATTACGTAAGGAAAGGGGATGCTTCCATAAAGGACGGATGCGATGATGAGTGTAGAGAAGAAATAATATGTAAAGTAGTAACAACGTTGTCTTTGAATTCCTCCAAGAGCCAATGCGTTTAAAAATAGTATTTATCTAAAAAATATTCCCCACTTTATTATTTAAATGTAAAAGATGATAAGAAGTATAAAAATATAAATAATAACTCAAAATAATAAAAAAGATTTAAAAAAGCCGCTTTATTTTTATTTTAGACAACTTCCTAAATAATATTTTTTAAATAACAATTTAATCGGGGCTACTTACCCACTACAGTTCTAGTCAAATCTGACCTCTGACTTTAGGTGCATACAGCACAATTAAAATAATCCACAACAAATTTGACAGTCGTTGACAGCTGACACTTCGATTTCCCGCTTCAAAAGCTCATTAGTCATTTTATATTTTTCATTTCGTCGTTGTTTGCAGTATATTTCAAATTTATAGCAAAATTGTTATTAAAAATGTCGTATTCAAAAAAAAGTGACCACGATATGGACACAACAATGAATCAAACTACTACCGCAAAAACGGTAACGTACATTCATCAATATTTGTTCATGTACCTCAATAACCGCTTGATTTTATTCTGCTTCTTGCTTTTAAATCAATTCAACTCCTCAATGCGCCTTTTAGGAAGAAAGAATAGCCAACAACGTGATGCCTCTCGTAATAAAGCAAATTTTGAACTGCAACGATGAAAGGTTCCAGCAATTCGGATTTCCTGCTCAAATCGTAAGGTGACCTTTTCTTCAACACACAACCCTTGAACAACTGTTATTATCGTAGATTAAATTGGTCGCCATCATAAAGCATTCCGAAGTGCTCAGCACCAGGGTTAATTACACGATAGCCGACCACACGGGGGAAATGAAGGCCGTGCTGTGGCTCTCGATAGAAAACGGAGAGATTGAAAACATGCCGAACGTCGTGGAGGGAAAGTACGCAGAGATATTCGGCACTTACAAATACAAAGACGACGAAAGGGTAGTGATGATTTTGAAAATGACCCCGGTCAAGGATTGCAACGTGATTACCAATCACCTTCTAAGAGCTATCCATAACAGATTTTGGTGCGAAGCTGAGAGTAATAATATGGTGAGTTTTGTTGAATAATTCGACGAGATTTTTTTACCATTGGATTTTTTTAGCTTACGGATATTAAAATCAACAATCCTGGAGCGCAATTGGTTACTTCAATGAACCTGGTTGATGATAATATGGCTACTGGTTCTTCTGTGGATGGTTTGAGTGATATACAGAAGAAAGTCAAGAAGATCCTTTCGACTGATACCACAGTGCTCGGCATGAGTCGGGACGTTTTATATACGCATTTTAATGCTAATCAACGTCCACTGATTAAGTAAGTAATTTTGTTTGTCGTTTTTCGTTGTGTTAATACTGGTCTTTTACAGTAAAGCTTTGGAATTTTTATGCAACGAGGGACACATATATACAACACATGATGCAGACCATTTCAGAACTTTAAATATAGAAGTGTAATTTTATTACTATTTTTTATATGGTATTTTACGTTTATTCGTAGAATCCGAGTTAAATTTTGTAAAATATTTCTTTCATTTGTTATGATAGTTAAGATAGTATAGATAGTTAAGTGCAGTACTCTAATAAATATTAAACGAATTTTGATATTACTAAAACCAGTTAAAAATATATTTTCTTAAATTATTGATAAAATTATTTTCTTTCTTTTATATACATCGTAAAAAGTTTGAATTTTATTTTCAAAATCAATCAATTTAAAATCAAGTCACAAATGTCTTAAAACAAATTTAAGTTCCAATAAGAGAAAGATGCCAGTAACCTGTAAGTTCGCTCGTCTTACCGACTTTTAGTTCTTGTTCAGGCCACGAAAGGCGCCACCATAGTTTACGCGAATTCACTCGATGCTACACGAACTCCGTTGAACATTCCTCGGCAAACCTATTTATTTTAGCCTTGATTTTACTAAATTCCTCAAATAAATCATAAATCTAGATTGCACATTGCATTGCATTCTGGCGAAAGAACATAACAGTCGAATTGTTTTTACCATGGCAACGTAACTGTCAGCAAACCTGGCATTTTACTATTTTATTATATATTTTTTTTAATAAAAATGAATTCGTAGGTACCATGCGTTTTAATTCGAGCGGAATTTACGATGCAACGAATGCAACCGCGCCGAAAATCAACAAAATCGGTTTCGGTAACTATTTTATAATTTGACGTTTTACATCGAGCGCTCGGCACGAAATACAGTAATACAGAGCACAATCAATCAAGCCGTCGAAGAAGGTGAGAGACAGAGGAGATTTTTAAATGTTCCCGGCTGGAAGGTTATTGCCTTCGTCGGAGTTTGCGCACAAACGGAATTTCAACACTTAGACGAAAAACGCTGCTTGTTGCTCGTTTGCTCGCATTCGACGAATCTCCCGATCCGATCGGTAGAGAAACAACGGCTAAGTCGTAACTTTTACCTAGTCTTTAGTGGAATCTCCGACGGAATGGAAGCCGATAATTCCGCCGCCGACACAGAAAGGAGCCCGGTAAGTCGATAAAAAACCTATTTATTCGATTTAGTACGATCGTATTTAAACGAAACGTCCGTTATCGCCGAATTAACGCCACTTTACTCGTGGCTTGATCGAAAATTTTCTAAGTCCGAAAATGGCGTCCAGAAACTAAGTCCCACGTCTGTCGTATCTGTGCGAAACGTGCCGATTACCGAACGGGTTTTCGGCGTTTTTTCTCGCCAAATCGCTTCCGATGCGACTCGAAAACGTTTATAAATCATTTTTTTCCCAAACTGCACCTGCACGTGTCTAATATGCGGTCCTTTCGTTCGGTATTATAGGCGAACAAAGGCGAAAACGGCGATTCGAGCCATGTGAACGGCCTCAACGGCTACTCCGACAAGCACAAAAGCCACAAATCGTCCGATCACAAAGACAAGCATCGGGACAAGGACAAGGACAGGGAACGGGACAGGAGCCGCGCCAAGGAGCACAAGAGCAGCTCCGGCAGGGACAGGGACAAGGAGAAGCATCACAACAGCTCGAAGGACAAGGACAAGGAACGCCACAGCAGCTCCCACAAGTCCTCCAACAGGGACAAGGACCGCGGCGACAGGGACAAGGATAAGGAGCGAAGCGATAAGGATCGTCACAAGGAGAAAGATCGACATCGGGATGATAAGAAATCGTCGAGGGAGCACAAAAGCTCCCACGACAAGGACCACAAGATTTCATCGTCGTCGTCTTCTTCCAAGGATAAGGAACGGAAGGATAGGGATAAGGAGCGCGACAAGCACAAAAACCGGGATAAGGAGAAGGAGCGCCACAGTAGCTCGAAAGACAAGCATAGGGATAAAGAACGCGAAAGGGACAAGCATCATTCCAGCTCTAAAGACTCCAAGGATAAGAGCAGAGAAAAGAAGCCGGAGAAGGAAAAAAATACAGGTCAGTATTTATTTTTATTATTCAAAAGTTTTTTGTTTCTAAGTTTCAAAGTTTCTATTTGACTGTGCTCTATATCTATTTAATAATTATTATTCGTTTTCGTTTCAGAAGAAGATCTGAAGGTCAAGTCCCCTGTGGAGGAGCCTAAAGTTGTGAAGAAGGAAATCAAAATCGAATCGAAGGAGGAATCGTACTTCAGCACCGACGATGACGACGATAAACTCGTAATTAAGGTGAATTTTTCGAAACTCTTTTCATACATTTATGTAATAATAATCGTTGTTTGTCTACTTAGGATGAGCCCAGCAGTCAGGACGAGGCCGACGAGAGGAACCTCGTGGATCATTCGACTGCGAGCAGTTGCGATTACAACTATTCCCAATTCAAAAACGACGAATCGGCCTTCTCCGGTGAAGAAAACCAGTCGCCCGAGAGAAAGGTGGACATCAAAGAAGAGGAGGATAGCGAAGAAGACATGCCTTTGGTAATTATTTTTATGAAATTTATTATTTATCTATTATTGCTTCATTATCAAGCTTACTTTAAGATGTTGTATATTTCCTTTAAAATTGATTCGTTTGTTGTTTTGCGTATAAAAATCTTTTGATTTATAGTGTAACAGAAGTATTGAGCGGGTACGTTAAACAATTATTCATTTCATAAGTAGAAAGAATAGTTTCGTTATCTGAGTGTCTATTGAACAATTAATTATTTGTATCATTCGTAAAAATATTTCGCAATGATTTACACCTTCAATTTTAGATTGATACAATTTTTATGACCACAGTCGGCGCTTTATTATATTCGAGAAAATTGGAAATGATAAAAAACATATTTATTTACTTTTAATATTGACGATTTATTTTTGTTCTCCAGTCCGCCAGACTTAATAGCAATAAGAGAAAAATAAAGGACGAGGATGAAGACGACGATGATGACGCGCCCCTATCTTCCAGGAAGAAACCTAAACTGGAGAAGAAGGTTAAGAAGGAAAAGACGAAAAAGAAGCGCAAGATAGACGATGAAGAGGAGTTTGACGATTACCAAGAAGACAAGAAACCCAAGGTGAAAAAAGAAAGAAAGACCAAGAAATCTGAACCAGTCGAAGAGAGCCCCAAGAAAGGGAAAAAGAAAGCTAAGGAAGAGGAAGTTGAAGTTTGGAAATGGTAAGATTTTTTTTATATTTATTTTAATATTTTCTTGTGTTACAATATTTTTCAAACGATACACTTGTTCCTATTTATTTCACATGCTTGTAGAGAATGAACCTTCTTCTAATCAGTTATTCAGTTATCGGCACGTTGAATTTGAGTCTAGCATGAAGTTAGCAATTTAAAACTTGACACTTGACGTACGAATACGAGTACGTATGTCGTTGATTAGTACAGTTTTTTAGGTAGTGAATATTTTTGTTAATTTATTTAAAGCTAATTTACTGTTTATTGTATTATAAATTGATATGTTTAGAAAGTTGCATAGAACGTTATCGATGAAAAGTATTATAAAATATTTTAATGTTTGTGAATATTCGGCAATTAACGGCATGTGTTTAAAATTGAGGTTAGGAAATAGTGGAGTTAAATTTAAAAGAGGCGAGTTGTACAAATTATACGAACACAATTTTTCGACTGCTACTAATCCTAAAATTAGAAAAAGCAAAAGAGTTTCTTCCAGTTTTAAAAGGTACTCGAAAGTGAGTGTTATACAGTATTCTCGGAATCAGCAAACTTTAATAAATTTCCCGTGATTAGGAACTGGGTCCTTTATGAATAATTGTTTTCTAGGTGGGAAGAAGATAAGAAGGATGATGGGGTGAAATGGAACTTCCTGGAACACAAAGGTCCTGTTTTTGCACCACCTTACGAGCCGCTTCCCAAGGACGTAAAGTTCAAATACAATGGAAAGGTGGTGGAACTTTCCGAGGACGCTGAAGAGGTGGCTGGTTTTTACGCTAAAATGTTGGACCACGACTACACAACCAAAGACATTTTTAACACAAATTTTTTCAAAGACTGGAGAAAGGTAAATTTAATTTATATTTTTTATTAATATTTTGTCAGAAGGTTGGAATTTATGTACCAATTTTTAACAACTTTTTAAGGTGATGAGCGATGGAGAAAGATCTCTAATAACAAACTTAGAAAAGTGCGATTTTAAACAAATTCACGCCTACTACAAGGACTTGTCTGAGAAAAATAAGAATAAAACTAAGGAAGAGAAGCAAGCGCTTAAAGAGAAAAACGAAGCTCTGATCAAAGAATACGGTTTTTGTACCATCGATGGTCACAAGGAAAAAATTGGTAACTTCCGATTAGAACCTCCAGGACTTTTTAGAGGTAATTGTAATGTCATTTAACTGGAGCAAAAAATACTACTAAATGAAAAGATAAAATTTATCTGTAATGTTTGTTTTTGTTTGATTAGGAAGAGGTGAACACCCGAAGATGGGTATGCTGAAACGTCGACTAAACGCCGAAGACATCATCATCAATTGTAGCAAAGATTCAAAAATACCGGTACCGCCGCCGGGTCACAAGTGGAAGGAAGTTCGACACGTCAACACTGTAACTTGGCTTGCTTCTTGGACTGAGAACGTTCAGTCGCAGGTTAAATACATCATGTTGAATCCGAGTTCGAAATTGAAAGGGGAAAAAGATTGGCAGAAATACGAAACTGCCAGGAGATTGCATAAATGCATTGATAAAATAAGAAGTGATTATCAACAGGATTGGAAATCGAAAGAAATGAAGATTAGGCAACGAGCCGTAGCTATGTATTTTATTGATAGATTGGCATTGAGAGCCGGTAATGAAAAAGACGAAGATCAAGCGGACACAGTCGGTTGTTGTTCCCTTCGAGTAGAGCACATTGAATTGCACGAAAAGAAAGACGATAAAGAATATGTTGTAGTTTTCGATTTTCTCGGTAAAGATTCCATTCGGTAAGCAATAAATGTTAATTCATTAACACCTTTAAATATAACGTGTGTAATTTCTTATAGGTACTACAATGAAGTGCCTGTCGAAAAGCGAGTATTTAAAAATCTCATGTTGTTCATGGAAAACAAAAAAGAAGGCGATGATCTCTTTGACAGACTTAATACGATGATTTTAAATAAGCATCTCTCTGAATTAATGGAAAATCTCACTGCTAAGGTAAAGTGGTAAATTTAAAAGATTTATAACAAATATTAAATAACTATTCAATAGGTATTTCGTACGTATAACGCTTCTTGGACATTGCAACAACAATTGGACAAGTTGACGGATCCGGACGATTTGGAAGCCGAAAAAATTTTGGCTTACAACAGAGCTAATAGGGCCGTGGCCATTTTGTGTAACCATCAACGTTCGGTTCCTAAAGGGCACGAAAAATCTATGGAGAAATTGAAAGAAAAGATCGAAGCTAAGCGGGAAGCTATCAAAGACGCAGAAAGACAAGTAAGTTGAATATTACAAACTATTTAGAATCGCGTTAATAAATTGAATTTTTAGGTGAAAGATGCCGTAAGAGAAGCTAAACACGGAAGCGTGAAAGAAAAAGTAACGGCTGATAAGAAGAAAAAGACCCTTCAACGTCTTAAAGAACAGTTGGTGAAATTGGAAATACAAGAAACGGATCGTGACGAAAACAAGACAATAGCTTTGGGTACGTCAAAGTTGAATTACTTGGATCCTAGAATTAGTGTAGCTTGGTGTAAGAAATACAACGTACCCATTGAGAAAATTTACAATAAAACTCAACGAGATAAATTTCGATGGGCTATCGATATGGCTGGTCCGGATTACCGGTTCTAATTTAGTTAAGATTTAGTGTGTTTGTTTGTAGTAAAAACGTGAGTTTGAGATTTAATTATATTCACTTTGGTGGGGCTTAGGGTTTTAAATTATTATTTTTTAATGTATCTGTAAATTGTTTGATTTTTTTATAAAACGAAATTGTAGTATTAAGAACTATTTTCATTATGTTATGTTAATTATATTTCCGACTTTAAAATTTGTAAGCACCGCCAAAGAAATCTTTAAACCATTCCCAATAAACAAAATGTTTGGAATTTATTCAAACCAATACTGTCTAAACTTAATTTGAGACGACAGCATAGTTCACCCTGTATTTTTTAAGATTAAATTATTAGCAATTATTGAATTTTTACTTAGCGAATTTTTTTATTTGTATAAATAATTAAAGGAGGTATTAAATATCTTGTACAAATATTAAAACATTTTTGTACATTTGCCTTTGGGCGTCGACGTTTTTGAAAATTAATTTGATTTTAAATGTCTCGAAGCTTCTACTGTGACTACGATACAGTCACAGTGAATCTGAAACAAGGCAGTTAATTGAAAAAATACCAAGAAATAAATCATGAATGTGCAATTTTCGAGTGTCTTTGTATAACCGAAAGTCTTCGCCCACTGTCAGTTAAATTATCAGTTGTCAATGTTGAGGCGACATACATCCATGTAATCTGTATATTACAGAATTTATAAATAAATTAAATGTAAAAAAAATAATTGTTGTATTTTTACATTCATAAGTATTCATTCGAGTTTTAAGTTAATAACGAAGCATTAGCATTCAGAACAATGCAATATTATGGAAAAATAGCTTTAATCTTAACTTTCAAAAAAATTTACATTACTTAATTCCGGAGGCATGAAATATCCCTGTCCATCTGGATCGAGTTTACCGTAACCTAAAAAAAATGTTTTAGACTTGCACCTGTAAAGAACGCTTTATATCAAAAGAAACAAACCTAATTCTTTCATCAGTTTAGTAGGGGCATTTCTAATATGCATGGGTACGCTGGGTTGTGGCCCTTTATGGTTGTTAATCAAGGACTTTGCTCTACTTAAAGCCGTATCGGCTTCTCTGCACTTTGGAGCACGAGCCAAGTAAATAGCACATTGAGCAAGAAGTACATCCGCTTCGGGCATGCCCAATAGTTGGCAACCTTCCATTGTAGTTACAGCTAATTGAAGAGCACCAGGATCGGCGTTTCCTACATATGTAACATAACTAGTATAATTTATTTTAAATTAACTGGAAAGACTATACCTATATCTTCGCTGGCAGCTCTGACGAGCCTTCTCGCTATAAACCTAGGATCTTCCCCGCTCACAATCATCCTCGTAGTCCAATATAACGCAGCATTATCATCGGAACCTCTTATAGACTTGTGCATGGCGGATACTAGATTGTAGTGCTCCTCGCCTTTACGATCATACAACATGTGCGATTTCTACGAATTTGGTGCTCGTAAATTCGGTGATTTAAGCCACATAAAATTACCTTCAAATGCTCTTTGACATCTTCTACTGTAACCACTCCACCGTTATCATTGTCTTGAAGAATTAGCTGTAGATTGTTTAAAGCGATTCTAGCATCACCGTCACTTATGTCCGCTAGCCATTTTAATGCCGCATTTTCTATGGATATTCTGTAAATATACAAGAAATGTATTGTGAAATAATGTATTTTATAATCTGTAACGTACTGTTGGTTAGATTCATCGATCGAAGTATCTGATAAAGGACCATCCAATATATTTACATTAAATTTGAGAGCAGCGTTTGTAACAATACAGTACATAGTGTCCATGTCTAATTTATCAAGTACTATTACTTTACACCTACTCAATAAAGCGGAATTAATGGAAAAAGAAGGATTCTCAGTCGTAGCACCGATTAGCGTTATTTCACCCTTTTCGACGCTCAGCAGCAAAGTATCCTGTTGTTTTTTGTTGAAAGCGTGTATTTCATCGAGGAACAGGATCGTTTTTCTTCCGAATTTTATCTCGTTTTTAGCTATGCTTATGGTACTTTGGATGTCTTTTACACCGCAGCTGGCCGCGCACAGCGCCACGTAACGCAATTTCTTGGGATTCGACTTGCATATTTCGCTAACGACGCCGGCCAATGATGTTTTCCCGCAACCCGGAGGGCCCCACAAAACCATGTTTGTTATTTCGCCCTTTTCCAGCAGCGATCGCAGAATCGTGTCCTTGCCTAATATCTTGTGCTGCCCGTAGAAGTCGTCTAAAGACTTCGGGGCAACTTGTTTGGCTAAAGGAATTGCAAAATTTGTATTTGTATTCGAGTTATTGGAGTCCTTTCGACTTGAACTACTAGATTCGATGTTAATATTCGACTTGTTATTTTTCTTAGATCCTTCGATGAAAGTACTTGTGCTTGTTTTCAAAGGAGACTTCCCACTTGTGGACGGTTTTTTCTGCATTTTATTAAACACCGGTGAGGGGGAACGTTTCCTCTTCGTTGTTTCATCATCGGAACAATTAAGAAATATGCACCTGTTCACGTGTTCTTCTATTTTCCCTAAAGGAAATTCTTTATTGCAAATTGGACATGCACTTTTGGTTGAATCACTCATCTTGGCAAAAGTTATAATACATTTAAATAACGATAAATTCAGAGAAAAGTTAGTGAGGTTATGAAGCAAAAATTGATAATCGGTGACAGTTTGCCTTGAACTTTTCAGTTATCAAGTAAATATACAAGGAAAAATGAAAAAAGATGATTTTGTGAGGTAATGTTTTGTCGACAGTACCGATATATAGGTTAGAATTTTAATTTCCATATATCGTTCATTCTTGTGTGGTGCAGTGGTGAATGATGCAATTTTAGTTAATTAATTGCAATGGTTGGAATAAAGTCGCAACGGATCCCCCGCGTACCGGAAACAATTGTATTTCCCAAAGAAGAGGAAAAAATTCTAGCATATTGGAAGCAAATCGATGCTTTTAAAACTTGTTTGAAGCAGTCCAAAGGAAAACCCAAGTAAGATTTCACCTCTGAGGATTTATCTCATTTAATTTAACTCCATAATTCGCTAGTAATCTACACTATACATATAAAAAAAATTAAGCTTTCCATATGGTACCCATAACATTACCTCCAATTTCTAGGTACACTTTCTACGATGGTCCACCATTCGCGACGGGCCTGCCGCATTACGGTCACATTCTAGCCGGCACCATTAAAGACGTGGTCACTCGATACGCCCATCAACTGGGTTTCCATGTCGAAAGGAGATTCGGCTGGGATTGCCACGGCCTGCCCGTCGAGCACGAAATCGACAAGACCTTAAACATCAAAGGCCCCGATGACGTCATGAGGATGGGCATCGCGAAATACAACGAAGAATGCCGCAAAATCGTGATGAGATACAGCGACGAATGGGAAAAAATCGTTGGAAGGCTCGGACGGTGGATCGGTAAAAAATAATCCGTTGTGATCTTAGTGAGCGTATTGATTTTGAGGTAATAATTTTTAGATTTCAAGAATGATTACAAAACGTTGTACCCTTGGTTTATGGAGTCTGTTTGGTGGATTTTCAAGCAGCTGTATGTTAAAGGTTTGGTTTATAAAGGCAATAAAGTGATGCCCTACTCGACTGCTTGCAATACTCCGTTATCTAATTTCGAAACCGGTCAGAATTACAAGGATGTCGTTGATCCAGCCGTTACTGTCAGTTTACCACTCGTAGGCGATAAAGAAGGTAAATTGACAACAGCAAATTTCAATTTGCAACTCTTATTTACTATTCAATTTTTAGGAGCTTCCATTCTCGTTTGGACTACCACCCCTTGGACCCTACCCAGTAATTTAGCTACTTGTGTTCATCCAGAACTCATATACGCTCGCGTACAGCAAATTAGTACGGGAAAAGTGTACATTTTAATGGAATGCCGCATCGAATCGATTTTCCCCCTAGACGATATCAAAGTATTGAAAACCTTTCCGGGAAAAGAACTAAAGGATTTACGCTACGAACCAGCCTTTGGATATTTCAGTCACTTGAAATCGACGGCCTTTAGAATTCTAGTCGATGAATACGTAACATCGGAATCCGGTACCGGCATCGTCCACCAGGCGCCCTATTTCGGAGAGGACGACAATCGAGTGTGCTTAGCCAACGGCGTTGTAACCAGAGATCAGGAACCCATATGCCCCATCGATGCCAAAGGGTGCTTCGTAGAACCGGTGGTCGACTTTCTGGGTCAATACGTTAAAGACGCCGACAAGAACATCATCGCTTACTTGAAAGAGAAAGGAAGACTGGTCCATCAATCGCAGATAAAGCACAGTTACCCGTTCTGCTGGAGATCCGACACGCCGCTGATATACCGATCGGTGCCTTCGTGGTTCGTGCGAGTGGAGCACATGAGAGAGGACCTGCTCGCATCGATAGCCGATACGTTTTGGGTGCCGGATTTCGTGAAGGAAAAGCGATTCGCCAATTGGCTGAAGGAAGCGCGCGATTGGGCCGTCAGCAGGAACAGGTACTGGGGCACTCCCATACCGATTTGGACGTCTCCAGATGGGGACGAGATGGTTTGCGTCGGTAGCATCGCCGAGCTGGAGGAGCTCAGCGGTCGAAAGATCACCGATTTGCATCGGGAAGTCGTCGATGCTATTACTATTCCCAGTCGTATACCAGGTAAACTCCATTTGTGTTCGCGTTGTTCGATTAATTAGCCGGTTAATTTTGTAGGTAATCCGCCGTTGAGGAGAATAAGCGAGGTGTTCGACTGTTGGTTCGAGTCGGGTTCGATGCCCTACGCTCAGGTCCATTACCCGTTCGAGAACAGCAAAGAGTTCGAGGACGGTTTCCCCGCGAATTTCATAGCCGAAGGGGTCGATCAAACGCGAGGTTGGTTTTACACTCTCACTGTATTATCTACGGCTTTGTTCGGCAAGGCGCCGTTCAAAAATCTGATCTGCAACGGATTGGTGTTGGCCAGCGACGGCTTCAAGATGTCCAAGCGGAAGAAGAATTACCCGGATCCTTTGGAAATCGTGGATAAATTCGGCGCCGACGCGCTCAGATTGTATCTGATCAATTCGCCGGTGGTGAAGGCGGAGAATTTGCGATTCAAAGAGGAAGGCGTGAGGGATATAATTAAGGACGTTTTCCTGCCGTGGTACAACGCTTTTAGATTCTTATTTCAAAATTTGGAGATTTACACTCAAAACGACGTGGCGGTTTTCACGTACGACGAGAAAAACGTCCACAGCGACAATATAATGGACAAATGGATTCTATCGTTTACCGAATCGCTGCTGTTATACATCCGCAAAGAAATGGAATTGTACCATTTATACAACGTCATACCGAGATTGTCCAAGTACTTCGACTACCTGACGAACTGGTACGTTCGAATGAACCGAAAGAGGCTGAAAGGCGAGACGGGCCGAGCGGACTGTTACTCGGCCCTAATGACGCTGTTCAACGTCATACTGAACATCATCAAAATGATGGCGCCCTTCTCGCCGTTCATCTCCGAAACGATGTACCAGTACACGAAGGAACTGCTCGACCAGAAGGCGGACAGCGTGCACTACCTGATGCTGCCGCAGCCCAACGAGAAGCTGATCGATTTGGACATCGAAAGGGCGGTGGGGCGCATGCAGAGCGTCATCGAGCTGGGCCGGGTCGTGCGCGACCGGAAAACCATACCGATCAAGTACCCGTTGCCCGAGCTGATCGTGGTGCACCGCGATCCGCAATACTTGGACGACGTCCATCTGTTGTCCGATTACATCTTGTCGGAATTGAACGTGAAGAAGATCAGCACCACCGAGGACAAGAGCAAGTTCGGCATCACGCTGAGGGCGGAGCCCGATCACAAGGTGCTGGGCGCCAGGCTGAAGCAGGATTTCAAAGCGGTGACCGAGGGACTGAAATCGATGACCGACGAGGAGATAAATCGGATGATTCAGAAGGGTTGCGCTACCGTGGCCGGTCAATCGATCGACATCTCGGAAGTCAGGTTGATTTTCAAATCGGAGAATCTGAATAGCGATCAATACGAAGTGAACAGCGATAACGATGTGTTAGTGTTGATGGACGTGACTCCGGATTCTTCGATGCAGGACGAAGGCACGGCCAGGGAAATCATCAATAGAATTCAGAAGTTGAGGAAGAAAGCCCATCTGGTGCCTACCGATGAGATATCTGTGTTTTATTCAGCTTCGGGCGATTTGAAGAGAGTGGCTGAAGAGTACGTGGAGTTTATAGAAAACGTATTGAAAACACCGTTTTCGAAGCTATCGCAAAAACGACCGGCCGATCAAGTTATAATCGAAGATAAACAGAAAGTGAAAGGATTCGATTTGCAGATTTTATTGACCAAGAAAAGCGCGAGCGATATCGATCCGCCTTCGGTTAATTGGATCAATTTGGAACTGGTCGATTTGAAATCGAAATACTGCCGAGGCGCTACGAAGGGCATGGTTTTAACGCAAACCGGAAAAACGAAAATCACCTTGGACAAATTAAGGAGCGAAACGTCCCGTTTGTTCGGCATCGACCAATTCGATTTGCTTCTAAAAGACGCCGGTCCCTTAAAGGACGCGCAGCTCAAGGAACTCGCCAATCAAACGGTGTTCGTTGTAGCGACGGGTAAAAGGCCCAAGTTACCGGACAGCTCTTCGATCCCCTTTTGCAAGTTTGCGAATTTCGATGAAAACGGTTGCAAGGGCACCATCATTCAGGAAAATCCTGTTGGAAATCCCACCAAGTACGTTTACGAGAAAATTGTAAAACAATGGAAGAGTACTTGATATTTTTTTTATTGATTTTATTGAAAAAGTAACTCGAGGGATGTGTATAGTTACTTAAAAATGTTATAAAACGATTTAATTACAGTCTATAGCCTTTCTAAAGTAAATTGTATTTTTTGTAATGTTTTAGAATTGAAAATAATCGCTTTACTTTAAAAAGGGTTAACATTGTAAGTTTTCTTACGTGATTATTCAAATGAGGAAACTTAATGTTGTGTTAAAAAATTGGAAATAAAATGAAACAAAATGGAAAAAAAGACATTTTTATTGGTTGCTTTCAATAACAATGAAAAATTCACGTAAAACTCAAACTGATATATGTTAATACTTAATTAAGTTGTTGCGTGGACTTAATTAGTGTTCCCTTATACTGCCCCGTTTCCCGTCCTTCCTGCGCTCCTTTTCTTTCTTCAGCAGCTCCAACAAGCTGTGTAAAGTTTCCTTGACGCTCGTCACGGAAGCTAAACATATAAAAAATAAAGCAAAAATAGAAATAAATCGATTAAGTGATTTACTCAGGCCGAAATCGGTCATGTCCATGTTCTTGGAGAGGTTCTTGATTTTTCTATTCAAGCCCCAATCGGTGGTTTCGGGCTCCCTTTCTTTGGGCGACCATTTCGTGCGATGGAAGTAATCCGTATTCAAGGGCTTGCCTTCCACCATCAGGGATTTCAGTTGCTTCGGGGGCGCGTCTTTCATTATGGTACTCTTGTAGATCAATTCGAAGTTTCCCGTACTGGCGTTTTTGTTCCGATCGAGATCCACTACGACTGTTTTGTAACGCAAAAAAAGTTGTTAAAAGGTAGGGAGAAGATTTCCTCGACTTAGTTACACCTTTAATAACGTCCTCCATGAGCTTAGGGCACAATCTGGCGGTGACGGGCGTGGAAGCGTGCAGGGCCGGATTGGCGTTGATTTCCAATAGCCACGGCTGAAAATCCTCAGTCAAAATGAAATCTGCTCCGTAGACTTCAAACGAGTTTTTTCGCTTTTCCATGTTGTCCTGGTGCATGAGTACGGCCGCCGTTATGCTCTCCTTCATCCCCGGGTAGATTATTTCGTTGTACGCATTCGCCTGGCCTTTTCCTGCGGAGCGAAACAATCCCATGTATGTATAAAAAAAAATATACAGATAAGTGCAAATTTGTCCGCAATGTGGTCAATGGACACAACAAAGACAACTTCCATTAGTCCCGTGTAAAAGAAAAAGATAGAGTGATATTGTGGGATAGCAACTTTCTCACTCTAATCACTGTTATTTTTGTGCAACTCAAAGAAATTTCCATATTGCAAATTTGCACTTATATCCGTACAGGATGAAACTAGAAGATTAGTCATAAGTGAACAGGATTTATTCTCTGTTTAGAATCTTTTCGAGACACCCTGTATATTAGAAATTACCCATCAAATAGGCTTTGAATTCGTTGGAGTCCCACATGCAGTACGTGGGCAAATGGGGATCTTGTTGGGAATTTCGGTATTTACATTGGACGGAATTGTTAGTGAGATGTATGGATTCGTGGAGTTTCTTTAAATTGTACGTTTGTGAGCTGAACCGCAAGTAACAAATCCTGCAAAAGGTGGAGAATATTAATCTAATTGCTTCTTCGTTGATGCCGAAAATGACATCTAGGGGAAAGGTTGGTAATATACGCTTCATGTTTTCAAATTTAAGTTGGCACACTGCTAGATTTAAATTGTCCATCAAGAATGAAGAATGTGTTGAGTGCCAAGTAAATTCGTGTTAAAATTGAAGCTTTAAATGTAAGTCCCTAGATCTTATCTTACATTTTTCATTTCTTATATTTTTTTATCAATATTATTATTTATATTAATTATGGGCTTGACTAGCTAATTAGCATAGACAAAATAAAAGATCTTTCTTCTCTATGCTAATTAGATCAGTTCCGACATATTGGTAAAACAAATGTTGGATTTTATTATTACCAACCTTTGAATTCAAAATATTAAAGTATCGTAAATGAATCAAACGCTTACTTGTATATCCAAATAGTAAGAGGAATTGTCGAACTTATCATAAACCATTGTCTTATGTCGAATTTGGTGTTATAAATCAGTAAAGGTCGTTCTGAAAAATAAATATTTCAAGGTCTGTTTAAGGTCTACTGTAGAGTAATAAATATAATGAATTATAATGAAAATATTATATGGGTAAGAGCAAATTTGTTTGCAATATAACGGGTTGATTCATTCGACTTTCATTAGATACTTATAAAGGAAAAAGAAAGTGATATTGTGTCATTGCAACTTTTCATTGAAACTGACAACTGTCATTTTAATAATATTTCTTTGTTCAACTCCATATTATATCCATATGGTTCAAATGATCATCTTGCAAACTGAAATGAACCAAGGTGGAGTCAATTCCATGAAGTGGACAAAGAAAGATTATTAATATAACACTACTTTATAGAGTGAGAAAGTTGCAATCCCACAATGTCACTCCTTATTTTTCTTTTATAAGAGATTTTACAATGAAAGTTGTTTCAAGCCTATATTGCAAACTATTTAGCATCTACCTGAATATTGGAAAACAAATATCAACTAAAACAAACAGTTTTCCGGCTTTTCAATACATCTAAAATTAGAAAATTATTCGTAAATATCACCTTACCAATGTATTTCTGTATAATATATCTTCTATTCGGATTAGCCTTCACAGTATCCAACACGTATTTCAATGTTCTACACATGTGTATACCGATCCCTCTGCAGCTGTTCGTCGGCTTCAATATCCATATGTTCAATTCCCCGTCCATATCCATGCTGGGATAATACTCCTTGATCCTGTCCAACAGATAGGTCGCCCTGCGAAACATGTCCACCTCGGACACGTGCTCCTCCAACTTGAATTGGTTACCCACGTGCACCAGCTTGTAGAAATACTCCAAGTACTCGTTCCATTCGTGAGACAGCGCGTCTTTGATCTCTTGATCGATATCTATCAGTTTATCAATTATGCAATGGGTTTTATACAAATTTTATTAGATGAAGAATCAGTGGTTGGAAATAATTAGATAGCTAGTTTGGTGTGGGAAAATTGGTGATCCTCCATAGAGGGAATGTCCATATAGTGACTGCATAACAATAATACAACTGTTGAGGTAAAGAGATTCTTTAATCGATTGATTAGCGTTAAAAAGATCCACTGTAGGAATGGTAAAGAAATTGCTTAAAGGTATATGCATAAAAAGAAGTGAGAGGAATAAGAAGGAAGAAAGTACCCTGCTGTGGCTTTAAAGCAAAAGGTTGTATGGTGTTAAAGCCTTTGTTAAAGGTTTAATGGATGATTTTTTGATCGGTTCGAGTACCTTCGTGTCTGGCCCGTTTCAAGTACTTGTAGCACTCGTTGATGGCGAAATCGAATATCCGCAACGGCACCTTGCCGTTGGCGTTCATCAGCTTGGCCTTTTGGATTTCGTAGCGGCTCTTGGTCCACTTGAGCAGCGCCATCGCCGCCGTCATGTTGAAGTCTCTGACGAACTCTTCGGCGTCGCCCTCTTTGGCCAGCCGATAGCTGCGCGGCACATTCAGCTTCGCTACGCCCGGCAAATTGAACCAAAACGCGTGACGGGAGGCCTCGCACAATCCTAAAAACGAAATCCAAGAAAATTAAAAGGCGAATCAACGCGAGGATTGTACTAATTTATACTAAATTCGGGCCCTGTTTGATAATGTGAAGAAATGAAGGTGTATTCAAGATGATTTGTAGATATATCAGTAGAGGTGTATCAACATAACAAACTGCTCTACAAAAGTTAAGGAAGTTCGCAAATTTTGCGATTATTTTAAAAGTTTTTGATCACCAAATTTTCAAATATGCGAAATTAAATGTTTCCTCTCATATCTGAGTGGATTTTTTGCCCTTTCCTCTACAACTCAGACTAAATTTGGCGATCAAAAAACCTGCAACTTTTAAATTAATCTCAATATTTATGAACTTCCTTAACTTTTGTGGAGCAGTATATTTTGAAACAAACTACCTTTATAGAATACACACTTCTGAATGAACTCGATAACTTACCGTGCTTGCGGGTATAGGACAGATCGTTCCACCTAATTTTATTGAACATTGTTATTTTATATCGATCGGAACAATCGGTATAGCCGTCGTAATTGTAGCTCCAATACAAATCGACCTGTTGGTTTTTTAGCAACTTAGATTTTAGCGCTAGCGTCGCTTGTCTCGTCGACGAAAAGTTTCTCGTCAAATCGACGAGCTGTTGGGTGGACAACGTTAAGAATTTCCTCAAATCGGCCTCTCTGTAATCAGTCGTATGATATGTCATTTCAAATTCTTTCAGTCTAATGTTCGGTTTACGCGGGCGTCATATACAGAGTGTCCCAAACGAAATAACTTAAAGTGCAATTGAAAGGGATTTTTTCTCAAATATTGCGCGTTATCGGGACGTTTCTGAAAGAATTTTAAACTCATATTACAGATTACAGAGGAAGCTAAACATTTTGAGACACACTGTATATAAGTAGAAAATCGTACATCGTTCTCATTCCACATGTTCCAATGTTTTTATAATTATAAACAAACAGTAGGTCCCATAATTAAAAGGATAAGGGATTTTTTTCAAACAAACAAAAATACTAAGGAGGAGAATTGAAACATGAACACGTCTTCAAATACGCGAAACAAATAAAAAATATAATCTAAAATTACATACACCTACGGTTTTTTTTACTCACCATGTTTACTGGTATACGAAGCAGAATTCCATCTAATCTTATTTATAAGGGTCATCTTAATTTTATCGTAGCACTCCTGATACGATATGTAATTAGGCGCCCAATAGAGGTCGACCTGATGTCCTGGACCCAACAGCTTCGATCTTAGCACTTTCTTGGCTATCTGATGGGTTTCGGCTAGCTTAGTTAGATCGTAAAGTTCCTGCATTGTCAGTGACAAGTAATTCTTAATGCCTCTGGTATCGTCTCTGAAATAGTGTTGATCTAGATAGAGTCAAATTTCTTCGAGTCTTAATCTATACACGCTCTCTTATTCCTCGTTTCGTTCGATAACTAATAAGGAGTTGTATCGATTAAGATTTATTAAAATTCAATTGAAAATTTTGTGTTCATGTTTCATTATTCTCGGCTTATAACAACTAGTAAGCATATTAATCTACTACAGATATAAATCCATAAAAATTTGAACAGGTGTTCAATTTCACCCCGTACAACATTCGCAAATTAATTAAATAAAAAAAAACCTATAATAGAAACAATCAATTCATCAACATACCTATAACTCGCGTTCACCTTTTCCACCCATCCCCTTCTGATCAACGCCTGTCTGATAATCGGATAGCACCCTTTCACGCTGAAGGTTTTCTTCTGCATAACCGCTTCTTCAACTTCGTCTTTGAGCAGCCCCAGCGGATTGCAAGTATCCTTCGACAGTACGCACATTCTAAAAATAAATTCCAAACGTTCGCAGGAAAAACTCCAGCCGACGGGGCACTACGTACTTGTTCTTTTTGCTACCCGAACCGTCCAAAAGGGACGTGGAGCTGGCCTTCGGGAAATCGTAGGCGGCGCTAATTCGTCCCGTCATGTTAACCGCCGGATTGGTTAAATTAACAGTAGTACCTTCTTTCGATCCCGCCTCGGGATACTTCTCCGACAGCTTCGTCTCCGATTTCCTCGCGAGGCTGTTGCTCACCGACGTCTTCGATTGTCTATAATCAACGTTAAATAAACCATAATTAGACGCGCAAATTATTCCAAGATGTTACAGTGATTCTAAGAGGCTTGGTGAAGCATAAGATTGTTTGGAAATAACTGAAGAGATGTCAAAATTTTTGAAACTTAGAAAGATCTATGGAGATTTGAAGAGGTCAAAAGGTCTTGGATCTGCGTATGGATTGATCTGGAGGAATCTAGAAATACCTTGAATAAACCTACAGAGGCTCTAAAAGGCTTGAAAGTTACTGATTGGGAGATGTCAAAATAAAAGAAATTTGGAGAGGTCTACAGAGATTTGAGGAGACCTAAAGATCTTGTAAGTAACTAGAAAAGTTCTGTGAAGGTGTGAAAAGATCTGGAAGTATCTATATAACGTGAAAATTACTACAGTTGCTTGAATAGGCTTGAAAGTAACCGATGGGGAGAGGTGTTAAAATAGAAGCCATTTGGAGATGTCTATAAAGATTTGATGATATCTAAAGATCTTGTAAGTGATTTAGAGATTTGTAGAGGTGTAGATCAGGTGGTATTTTTGGAAACTGTTGGATTTTGGAACTCGAATTGAACTTACAGCACGGCCATCGTCTTGGACGGTTGCTTGGCCTGCTGAGTGACGACCTGCGACTTCTTGACTACCGGTTCGACAACCTGCTGGGTTTGAGGTTTGATCGGTTTGGGGGATGCATTGGCGGAGGCGGAGGCGGCGGTGGCGGCGGCGACACCTTCTTGCTTCGAGGCGGCGTTTCGCAGTTCCTTGCTGTGGCTGCGCTCCTTCCGCAATTTACGATGTGACAAACTCGGACTGAAATCCACAAACGAAGCGCTTTCATCTCAACATCTTGGAGGAGTAACGAAGGCTTTAAATTGTGGTGCTTACCGGCTGGAGGAGTTCGAGGCCGAATCCGCTTTATTTGCCTTGACAGAATTGGCTTTACGATCGATCAGGTTTTTTAACGATTTGTTGGAATGGTCGTTTTTGCTCTTGTTTTTGTCGAGCAAATTACCAGACGGGGACGTTTTGAATTTATCAATGGATTTTTTGGCGCCTTCCTTGTTAACTGGAGCTTTGCTCATCTTCTCCGGCGGCACTTTGTTTTTCGACAACAGCTTGGCATTGTACAGTTCCAAGTATTTTTTGCTGGGATCGAAGGACTTCTCCGAGGGCCGGCACTTCTCCTCGTTTCGACACCTATCCTCCGCATCATCGTCAGGCGCTTGTTGTTTGTCCGTAGGCTCCGTTTGATTGGCGGCGGTCGTTTCGACTTCTTTGCATTTCTCCTTCTCCTTGCCTTTGGGATCCTTTTCGGGCTCTTTGTTGATGGGCTTCTTTTTCGCGCCTAATTTCTCCTCGTAGATCTCCTTGATTTTCGATTTCAATCGTACGTCGTTCTCCGCTTTCGGGTGGACGAGCTGGTGCTTGAAGTTCTCCACCATTTGGGCCATGTCTTGAGCGAGCTACAATGAAGATAGCAATTGATTGTTTGTGTTTGTTGATTGGTAGAAGTTTCCATTGACCTGTTCGATGTTCGCGTTGGTTTCGTAATCAAAGAGGTTTCCATTGTTGTGTTGTCTCACTTTGATCCTACTATCGTTGTCGAAGAAGTTCTGACATATGTCTAAAATTTCCGAAATTTCCGATTCGAGAGAATCCAACGTGTGCGAGGGCAGGATCCTTCTTATTTCATCTGTCATTATCTATAACTGAATATTTGTAACTCGTTAATATTGTACTCGGTAATGTTATTAAACTACGGATCGACGGGAATAGCAGGAGACGAAGCTTGCGCGGGGAAATTAAAAGTACGCATAGCTTACTCGGTTTTTATTGAGTTGTAGAATTACAAATTTGAGACGTGCTTGTTTGTATGCAGGTAGATTCAAAATTGTTTGCAATATAGGCTGTGGGAATAACAAAGATAACTTTCATTAGTCTCATATAAGGGAAAGGAAAGAGTGATATTGTGGAATTGCAACTTTCTCGCTCTAATTACTGTTATTTTAATTATCCTTCTTTTTTCAACTCATAGAATTGACCATATTGCAAGCAATCTGATTGTTCGTTTTTTATATTTTTCTAAACGGTAAATTTTAGTAGTCTCTTTAGTAGAGTCCTTATGGCTTTCTAACAATTAATTTGCTCTAAAATAATTAATGATTTACCTTTAATTCATACACAAAATTAAGAGTTCATGATGGTTTCCTCGCAAAGTTCTGGCAATTTTTTCTATTTACTGGAATCTTTGGAAAAGACCTCGTATATTCAAAAAACTCGCCCGTTACCCGACAGGCGAAGCAACTGGAGTATTTTTTTGGTGAACTTACCAATCGGTTTCCTTGTGTAATATTCTGTTTCTCGTACTCGTGCGAAATGTTTTCTGATCTATTGTCATGTTTCACAAATTAATTTTGAAGATTTCAATCGCCACATTTGTGGGCGAAAACTGGAAATTTGACTTTTTGTAATGCGAAAATTTTTGTAAGTGACGTTTCTAATAATCAAATGATCCGGTTCCGCATTGTGACCAACTTATGGGAGTAAAAATTTCGCAGCATAAAAGGCTTTGTTTCGTGGAAAATGAAAATCGACAGAAAAATCCACGAACAGTTTGAGAATTGGTGAGACAGTTTTGAAGTAGGAATAGTTGCTTTTGCCTGAATGTATCTAGTTTATATACTGATTAAATTATTAAAATTTGGAGCAAATGTAGGTTAAATTAAAGCTTATATTAGATGACTTTTTTGATATTTTTTTGAGTAGAAACAGTGGTGGTTTAAGACCATTTAGAGCCTTGAATTGTTGCCTTTACCATTTTTTCCATTTAAAAGACTTTTGATACAAGTTTATTTTATTTAAAATGCTTGATTATCATCGTTTTTAATGAAAATTTAATTTTTTTAAATCAATTTATTGCAGTTGTAACAATTTTAAGAATTCATGATTTTCATTGATTTATGTTTTTTAATTAAATAGGTAATAAATAAATAATTATAAATATTTTACATTTATTTCCAAAGACGAAATTTCATTTGATTTTTTCGAAATCCAACCACAGCCCCCCTTCCGCTTGCGGAATGAATGCAGTCGTAAGCTTTACGGGCATTTTCATTTTCCTGCTGACCGAAATCCTGTAGTTTTTCAGTATGTAAAATATTCCGATTTTCGTCTGCATAATGCCGAATCTCTTACCTGCAAATAAATAAAACTAAATAAAAAATTCGTTATAAGATTGTTTTAATTACCAATGCACAATCTAGGACCTTCACCGAACGGTAAATACGTGCACAACTTGATTTTTTCCTTATTGCGTTCCGAAAATCTGTCTGGATCGTATTTTTCTGCATCACTGAAATATTCCTCATCGTAATGAAGCCCCCTAACTGGAATCACGATTTTAACGCCCTCTTCGATTACCACTTCCGTTTCCGGTACTTTATAATCCCGTACGCACTCTCTTGTTAGGTACGGAACGGGAGGATATTTCCTTAAAGTTTCTGAAAAAAAAATACAAATTAAAAAATTATTCTATTAGGAATTATAAAAACTACTTTATCGTGTGAAATTTACCGTCAATGCATTGCCTCAAATAAACCAGTTCGTTTAAAGCCTCATAGGTCATTTCTCCGTTGTATTTATCCAGGATATTCGTGAATTCCTCTCTAACTCTATCCTGACACTCAGGATTATGAGCCAGCTCAAACAACGTCCAGGACATCGTGGTGGCGCTAGTTTCGTATCCGGCTACGAAAAACACGAAGCTTTGGGCTACGATTTCCTCCATCGTCACCGAATTTCCATCTCCTAAAACCTCTATTTTCCCCAATTATTATATGCAGTGTGTCCCTGGATGAAGTCGACGAGAGGACAAAATCGCCAAGCACGACTTTTTATAAAGAATTTCCTCTCTTTCACTACATCCAGGGACACACTGTGCAATTTTTGAAATTATTCCTACCTCTCCCACGATCTCCCTTCAAATCGATCATAGACTGCAAGAAATCGGGCACGACAATCCCGTTTTCCTCCCGATATCTCACGGTCTTTTCGACGATCCTCGTGAAAAAGTCCTTTATGAGAGCCGGTATCCAAGTCAATCGGATCGCTTTGGCGAAATTCGGGTAATTCACCGCTATTGCGAATTTTACATCGTCGATGATGGTTCGATTGACCATCCTTTTGGCCATGCCAGCGAAAGGATTCGGCCTATCGAAGTCTCCGCATTTCAAGCCGAAGGCGCAGGTGGCTATGGTGGATATGGTGAAGTCGCCTGGAAATTGGTTAAATTGAATCTATACAGGGTGATAATTTAGAGATCCTAAGTAGCTAGTAGTATTTTTGTGGTTATGAATATCAATAATTTTAGTTTTGTGATTAGCATATAAAGTAAGCCTTACATAAAATTTGTCTAATATCAACGGGATCCTGTAAGTTTTTTTTGTTTAGATGCATTTCCATCGCATTTCCTACGTTTATCACAGTTTTGTACATTTTTTTCATTTTGGCAGAAGTGAAAGACGGAGTGAATTTGCTCCTTAGGTTTCTCCACTTTTGTCCGCCTATGGCGAATAAATGTGCGCCTGGAAAAATAAAAAAAATTATAAGAAATTTGTAAAAAGTTCCGGGTTACGGTTCTGTTTACTGTATGCGAAATGACAGGGGTGTATTCAGATAATTGTGTACAAAAAAGTCTTACCTATTGGCTCGTCCTTTTCGTTGACATAAATACCTTTGTCGGTAAAATAGTGGAAATCTTTTATTAAAACTTGCTTTACCAACTCAACATCAACGGGCACGTAAAGTGGAGATGTCATGGTAAATAAACCAACATGTTTTAAACCTAGTAAATAAAACAACGCTTGATCATGTGAAATATTTTAGTAAATTTAGGGAAAAAAATTACTGACCTTTTTCCCGGGTTTCGCGATAAATGGCCGCAAACTCATCGCCCATGGACATTTTCGGTGTGAAGTAAGACTGAAGGCTGCCCCATGGGATTGTAGGCTTAGGGAACGGTACGCCCCTGTTTTTCCAATACCTAAACGCCCTTTTGTAATAGACTACAAATGTTAGTGTAAACGTAACTAATGCCAAAAAGCTGTCGAATAAACTGTCTCCTGTTATAACGGTCATTTCGTTATCAGTGAGCTGAAATAAACGTTGTTTTAACTACCTAACTACTTATTATATACCGTTCATGTTTTCGACTTATTTATTGATTGATTAGGAATTTTTTATGGAACACTAGAAATGGTATGAAGAGTGAAACTTACTAAAATTTTTCTTACTTATTAAGCTTATAAAACGGAGATTAACTTTATACATAAATTTCGAATAAATCCACGCGATTTAATATTTGATGCTTATTAAATTCGAAATAATTATGTCAATTACCTAGAGAGGAATTGGATTATATCCAAATGTAATTAGTTTTTTTTGTATGGTTTTTGCATTTTAATTTTTCCTAAATGTAAATACGCATACTTTTTGCTATTAATTATGAAAATAAAACGATAACAATCCGAAAACATTCTAATTAACCGATCCTACAAGACAAAAAACTAAATAAAAAACGAAAGTAGACAGAGATTGTAAAATTATAAATTGTAATATACCCATTTCTCGTCAAATAAATTAAAAATTCTTATTTCATATACAGATTGCTCCATTTTTCATTGCAACATAGGCTATGGGTGAAACAAGGACAACTTCAATTAGACACTTATAAAGGAAAAAGTAAGAGTGATATTATGTCATTGCAACTTTTCACTCTGACAACTGTTGTTTTAATAACCTTTCTTTGTTCAACTCATAGAAATGCCCATGTTGCAATCGCGAATGAAGCACGGTGTATGTATGTATGTAGGTATTGATATGACTCTATTTTTCTTGTATATTTATTGTTATACAATATTTTTTTAATATACTTTTCATATGCTTTCCATAAAGATTAACATATAGAGTCCTACTAATGGAAATTTCACTTTTTATGAACACATTTAGTCGAACACATTAATACAACAAACTATCATATAACTAATTAAGCGTAATTGCATGCGATAACATCAATTTTATAGAGAAGTATTATTTAAATACTTATATGTACGATAAAATGGAGGCTACAAGTATTTTTTGTCTACTGATATGTTATAAGTCTAATAGCGTATGAAGTTTTATAATGACAGTAATTTCGATACAGGCATTATTAGCCAACCATAGACAACGAAAATCGAATGAATGAATAAAGAAAATATTAATAGATTCACTTATTAATTTTCTCGAGCATTTCGTTCAAGTCAAAAACGTGCAAATTGAGACATTTGTAATCATTTTTATTAATATCAGTAAAAACGTTTGTTCCTTTGACTAATTGCTTGGTCCCATTCAGTAACATGGCAGTATCTGCTAGCGTCAGTTTAAGATTAGTCCAATTACTCGTACCACACGTTATTCGACTGGTCGTCGGTTTATTTTTTTCTCTTACACTTCGCCTTCTACAACAGAAACAAACCAATCATAAATAAACCACGTTTCGCATTCGGTAGCCGTCATCAGTTTCAAGTTGTCAAATCCTCATTATATACACTAACACCAACGTTGCCTATGGACATTTGACATTTGACAGTGTTCAATCCAACAAGATGGCCATTGAACAATTTACAAGAATACGACAATAGAGGTGAATTTTATACAGTAATAAAATATGTTGCCGACCATGTTTTTTATTTGGAGATTTTGCACTTCAAACTTCGAATTCATTAGAACCTTTTAAATTCAAAATAAGTTCATTTTCTATAGCTTCATTCTTAGGACTTTGCACTTGACTTCAGGAAAAATGCTTATAGTAACTTTTGATCTGTTTAGATGCAAAGTTAGACCTTTAATTTGCTCAATAAACAGGGTGAGGCAAACATTTTGGGACCATCATTGGAACAGGCAAGTTGGGGCCAATCCTTGTACTTTATTGCCAATAACCTGAGGTATACCTCAGCAAATGTAGCTTGGCAGTTGGAATAATTAGAATGTTGGATGCACCCCAGCAAAATTTAAACAAGACAGAGGGTAATTTAATAGAGTTCAATTGATACTTAAAGAATAATCGAAGAACTTTGTCTACCTTTCTTCTCCGTTTGTACATCAATGTTTCAACTGCCAAGCTACATTTGATGAGGTATACATGCCCCAATAGTTACGAGTAACCCTTATTTATGCATTCATATTCAAAAAGGGTAGATAAAAAAGTACCCCGAGATCGGACAACTTAAAACCGATAACGGTCGTACCGACAATGACGAGTACTAGCGTCGGTCGTTTTCGGTTTAGTAACAGCGGCGGCGTCGCGACTGCGCAATACCCGATCGATTTTCTTGTTGTTCGAACTGCCGTTGCGACTGATGATGTGATGATGGTTCATGAAATTCTGATGGTGCGGATCCGATTTGGTCGACGGTATGAAATCGACGCCGCAAACGCGTTCCGTCGCCACTTTTTGGATTTCCTCGATAAAGTCCGATATCACCGGGCCGCTGTAATCGTTCGAACAGATCAGCTTCGGCAATGGGAGCAGCTTCGCTATGTTATTGTCCCTGCGAAACAAACAAAATTCGATTCCTCAAGATCCGCGTGGTATAGATGTCTATATAATAACCTCATAAATTCGGACTTGACGAAATCGTGCTTGCGAAGCCTCATCAGCGCCTTTTCCTTGTCGCCCTTTTCTCGGTGATTCGATTTCGATTTCGTTTTGAAGATCTTCCTGCCTCTAACTGACAAGTTCAATCCGAGATAGGGGGGAGCTCTCGGATAGTTTTGCTTGTAGATCAGTTCAAAGAGGCCGGTGCTGGCGTTTATATCTCTTCTCTTATCCACCACAACTGGAATCGAATACCAAACGATCAAGTACTCTTCGATTAACAATACAATGGCCCGTATTCAGCCTCTCTGTATAACTTTAGAGTGGCTCTAAAGTCGCGTCTCGAGTCCCTAGTTACTCCATAACAATGTAAATTTGTCAAGTTAAAGACGCGACTAAACTTAAAATTAAATAGAGAGGCGCTGAATATGGGCCAATATCAATGCAATATCAATGCAATATCAATGCAATATCAATGCAATATCAATGCAACATAAACGCAATATATCGATGGAATAATTACGCGGTTACCTTTGATGATGTCTTCCATGCATTGGGGACACAGCCTGCTGGTGACGCTGGTCGAAAACGACAAATCCGGACTGCAATTGATCTCTAACAACCACGGAGTGCAATCTTCTCCCAACATAAAATCAGCGCCGTACATTTCGAATGTATTTTGCCTTTTATCCATCGTATCTTGGCTGGCCAACATGGCGCACGTTATACTTTGCGCCATACCTACAAAACAACGCTATCAATCGATGGAATTTTCGCCAAACCAGATAAATAACCTGGAAAGATAACTTCGTTCCATTTCTCCAAGCAGCCCATCTGCTTCAAATACGCCTTGAACGTGTTGCAATCCCACATGTTGTCCGTAGGCAGGGCCTTGTCCCGTTGTTCCATGGGAGTGTACTTGCACTGCACCGCGTGATTGGTCAGGTGCAGGGATTCGTGGAAGTTTTCCAAGCTGAATATCTGGCCGCTGAATCTCAGGTAGCTGTCCCTGCAATGGAAAATATTCCAAATTCGCTGCGTATGGAAGTACCCGGGAAGCATGCTAGGGGCAATTCTAGGCCACCATCTACACCAATTTTCTACCTGTATATCCAAATCGTTAAAGGCTGAACGCACGTAACCAGAAACCACTGTCGAATGTCGAATTTCGTTTTGTAGATAATCATCGGTCGCTCTAGAAGTAGCAAAATTTCGATTACTAACTAATTTTTCGTGGATTTCTACACGTACCTATGTACTTTTGAACGACGTACTTCATCTTGAGGTTCATCACTCTGTCAACGTCCGAGACGCTCCTGACCAAGTGGATGCCTCTGCCGCGACACTTGTTGCCCGGCTTCAAGATCCATATGTTCTTCATACCGTCGATGTCGTATTGGGGCCACACTAATTTAACGTCCTTTAAAGTAGCCTTAACATTAGCTGAAAACCAAACAAAAATTTCATTTGAAACTAGATTTTTTTGGTCAATTTTAGCGATATGCAGATTCTTCTAAATGAATTATTTAACGTTTTAATGTGTGTGAAAAACAGAGTCGTTCAATGAATGCGTTAACGACCTCCACGTATTTATAACACCGCGATTTACCCAAAACAAAATAATTCATAATTTCAATAGGGTTTCAATGTTCCGTTCAAAGAGTTTTTTACTCGCTCATACTCAATCAAATCAGCTCATTTTACCCTTACTCAAATGGTTCCAAAGCAATTGAAATGGACGAGTTGCTCAGTTATACAATAATGCGCAAAAAAAAAGTGAAATACATCGTACGTACCGACCAGGTTTTTTGTCGACACCGCTCTAGTAGTGCATTGTTCAGCTAATAGTCTATAAACTCCCTGCTTGATGCATTGAAACCCTGTCAAAATTCAATCGGCAGTCTTTACAATTCAATCGGTTCAAATAGACCCGGTCCCGCGATGGATTCGCAATGCGCAAGCGCATATCGGGTTGGCTAAACTGCGTTTTACACGTCCATATGTCATTACTGTCAAATTTGACATAAATTGTCTTGCGCCGGCGCACTTTAATCCACCCATAAGGATGGGTCTATTTATCGACAATGCTCCTACTATTTTATAGTATGGTTATAATCTACGTCGCTTCAATAGCACGGTCAAATTTGCCGGAAAATTAGTAATAACGACAGTTTTTCGAAATTTAGGGCAGTAATTCTAGTTTTCTACGACATGATGGAGGATAAAAGGTTTATTCAAGGAAAATGGCCACTTTTATTTGCATTTGCAATTAGCCAACTCGACCGGGCTATCGACGTAAAACCGGGATTTATGATAAAAAAAAACAAAACTCACCATACGCATTAGTTAGCGATTCCGTAAAATCGCTAAATAAACCGTCTTCATGCAATAGATTGTAGTAGTTCTTTAGAAACTGGTCCCATTCGTGATCCCACACTTGAGGAAAATCTCGGTCGATGTCCAGGTGCTTCTTCTTTGCAACGAAATCGTTGCACCTGCAATAAAACTATCCGTTAATAGGTATATTTACTTTGGTTTCATTAAAAATTAACAGCATTGATAACGAGAAGAATAGTGTTTCAAATCAATACCTAGAGAAATAGCAAAATACAATATTTAATGTATGCTATAGAGTAGAATTGACCAGCAAATTATAGACACGTACCTGTCGAGAGCGAATTGTAAGCTAGCATAGGGAATTCTGCCTTCGATCGATTGAATATTCGCCTTGCCTCCTTTCTCGAAAACCTCGACAAACCATTTCAATAGACCTATACAGGCCGTTAGACGGAAATCTTCCACGAAAAAATTGTAGTGATCAGGGAACCCTTAAAACAACGTAATAATGCACATCCATACCTATCATCAAAGTACAAAGTTGCATAGAATGTGGAAGTATGCTCTATTTATCTCCTTGCTCTATGCAACTCAATTGCACCACTCAATGCAACTGGTATGAGAAATACTATAAAACTATCAGCGTATTGAAACTTACCTAAAACGTAAGTTCTGGGGAAACTGACGGCAGCCACACCGGTTTCGTTGTACCAATAGGACTGCTGCAGGAGCAAGGCCAATCCCTCCTTGGATGCGAACAAGGATCTGCTGAAGCGGTTGATCAATTTGAAGGGATTGGCGCGCTGCTGGATATCGCATTGTTCCTTTCGCATGCTCCAATAGAAATCGACATCGTAGCTTTGCAGCAGTCTGGATATTATCTGCAAAATAATAATAGTTTTACGTACATTTTTCTACCATTAGATTGATCTATATCTGGCGCTAGAAAAAATTGATTTATTGTCTTATTGATCTAGTCTAACTAACCATTTTCTCGATTTTCTCTTCGTACGTTTGAGTGGATTCCCAATCTTGTTTAATCGGTATGTTGCTGACCACATCTTCAATTGTATTGAATTTGGGTTTTACGGCCGGCTCGATTTTCTCCAACCAGTTCCTCTTTAACAGTTCTCTTCGTATGACCGGCCAGCCGCCTGAAGTTAAGGATCAATAAGTTGTTTATGAACAACAATTAAAGAGGAAAATTTTACCTCTTATGGTGAAAACTTTGTGATCCCTGACGGCTATTTCCGTCATACGTTTGAGTTGCATGAGACGTTCAGATGAGAATTTAGGTTTGTTCTCCACGAAGCTGCTGGATTTCTTCGGATGAATCAGCCCGGAACCGTCTGTAGACCTTTGATGATTGTCTGCGGATGTTATTCGGGGTCCGCTCGGTGATCTACAAGCGATTTACCGTGATTTATTTCGATACATACCGTTAGGAATTGCTGTAGATTTGAAGATGCGCAATCGCTAACTCTCGCGCATGTCACGTCTACAGTTATTGCTATCGGTCTGTACTCGCTTAAAATGGGAAATTCGGTTAATAAATTGCCTATCTTACCTAGACACTGCAGATGCATGTTTTGCATCATGACATTGCGGCACTACTGGTTGTTGCAGCGCTATCGCCTCCGGTTTTTTCTCCTTCTCTTCGGCGCCGCCGTTCTCTGGGGGTTGCTGCTTGCTGTCTTCCGTCGGTTTCGATGTTCTATCAGTAGTGTCGGCTAATTCAGTGCCCATTTTGTGAAGTTTTTGCGTGACATTGAAGTGTGATAAAGATTTTGCTTTCCTAGGCAACAGGTTTTGCCGGCCGCTGCCTAGGTATGACATGTCCTTTCATTTCATCCACTGCCGCATATCCGAGTACTTATACCGCTGCTTTAAAATAGAGTAAAAATAACAATAACTATGAAATATTGTAATTATATCTAGGCATTGTTAAATTTCCTTAACTTAACTAAATAAAACAAACAAAACATCTAGGTGGTGCTCTATTTAAACAAATAATTCACCTGCAAGGATAATAAATAAATCTCAACGGAACCACATTTACGTATTTTAGGCGGATCTTCACCGAGATGTGCACGAGGCACAAATGCACTCGACTCGACGTGGTTTTTCAAATTGGTGCGCGTTGCCTTGTCGTTGACCTGGATTTCCCGGTGTGTATCTAGGGCTCTGTACCTCGCGCCTCTCGATACCAAGGAAAATCCGCTAAATGTGATACCTGAACGGCATTGACGTGCTTCAAGGCAAAAGGTCCTTAATTAGGTGATCCATATCCATCCGTAGCGTGTGCGGAATTGTTTGAACGGAGTGAAAATTGCTGGGTTTTATTAATAAAACTAGGATACGGTGTTTAATGTATCGTATTTTCTGTGCAATTTTCTCTTGGAGGGTATCTAATTACATAGGTTGAAAAGTGGAGGTTTTCAATATAACTTTAGAAAACCATATTTCAAATAAATGAAAATTGATCATTTCTTCTCATATATAAAAAGATAAAAGTCTAAGAGAACATTTAATTGTTATACCGGAGATAAAATTCGTCTACCTAAAGGAGAAAATACCGGACATAACATTTAAAATACGTTCAGAAACTTCTGCTCATTCTCATAAATAAAATTGAGACTCGATTTTTGTAGTTATGGTTTGGCTGCCAAAAAACAAAAGTCAAAATAAAACAGAAGAAATGAAAGTAATTCATTTGTCAAAAATTGACAATCAATGAACTGGCACATGCGTATAAATATTTTTAATAAAATACGTGGATTTGGTGGATAATTGTAAACATTTTTTAATATTTAGCAAGTTATAGTATTAAAAATAGTGAATTTGAAAATGGATCTTAGTAGCATTTTTCCGACACACATGGTATTTAGTTTTCGAACAATAATTTAGGCGAAATTCTGTCAAATATTGTCCAGTTTTTGATAACAGCCGGAGATTGTTGTGTATTTTAATATTACGTTTTTCAGGATTACGAAGGGCAAGCCCGAGCGGAAAAACTATCTAGGATTATTTTGACACTGTTTGGAGCAGTCGGTTTAATTTGGGGATACATAATTCAGCAATTTTCTCAAACTGTTTACATTTTAGGCGCTGGTTTCGTTTTAACCTCTCTGGTAAGTAATACAAATTGGTTTGTTTAAATATTTTTAGCTTATGTATATTTTTTTGCAGTTAACAATTCCTCCGTGGCCATTGTACAGAAGGAAACCTTTGAATTGGCAACCAGCTAAAAATCCAGACAATACGCACAAGGAAACAACCAAAAAAGGGAAGAAGAAATAAACAATGCCTTATTATTTTTTTTTTTATTATTATTAAATAAAGAATAATTCATTATTTCATTATTCAATTAAAAGAACAAATAAACCAAATTATTCTTCTTAATATATTTGGGGCCTCACCTACTTGTGCTGTTCAGTTGATAAATGGTTGACAGTAGAAATGTCACAACTGTCAAAACATGTATTGAACCAATTCGATTTAAAATGGTTGTAATTTGAAACAATTTTAGTCGAAATTATACAATGTTATTTACAGATTACATGCTTTCATTATGTAGAATTGAAAGTATAGTTTTAATCACCCTAACATTTTTATACGATGTAAGTTTTTTAACCACATTATTCATTGTTAATCAACTAGTTTTCTTGTAGGTAAAAGCGAATTATTGTGCCTTTGGTACGTGCAATGAAGACGAATATTGCTGTGGAGAGAATATTTGTTGCAGAAAATCGTCAGACATTTGGTATCTATGGTAAATATTATAAACATATCAAATTGGAATATTATGCATTTTTGATTGTTTGTTTTAGGGTCTTAGGAGCTGTTGCATTTCTAGTGTTATTCGTTTTTTACGTGTGGATTAAATTCAGAAAAAATCGCCACATTAATTACAGCAATCAGTATCACCCTTTGTTCACAAACGAACCAGAAATGGAAATGCCTATATCTTAATGAGTTTGCACAGAATAAGTATTTTGATTTTTCTTTACAATTTTAATGTAATTGTAAACAAACTACCAATTTAGTAATACCTTAAATGGTCCATTTTCTATACTTTGTTAAGTGATATATGTGATAAAAAACCATTATTGATATTTCATTTAACACATTTTTATTTGTACATATTGTATATTCTATATAACACTATCTTATGAAAGTAAAACGGTAGAGCGATCACCACAGAATACTGAAACAAAATTATTAATTACTACAGAATGCTTTACACATGAAAAGTATAAATATTATACTTATTACAGAAATGAGAATTTTAGACAATATCAAATAATCCAAGTTAGATGAAAATATAAGAATTTAGGACTGTTTTGACCGCGCAATCAAGTTAACTTAAAAACCAGATGACTAGATAAATAGTGATATGTAATTCGTTTTAATGAAATTGCTTACTTTGCTACACTGATTTCTGGCATACCGGGATCCGCGCCTTTTGTAAACCCTTAAAATTAATTACAAATTATTGATTAAAATAAAAAAATGCTTCCCTGGTATCTTACCTAGATATAGAACGGTAGGAATAAATCCGTAATGGAAAACGGTTTTTGCTACCTCAATAACAACTGCAAGTCTTTGCGTGGCTCCGCTCATTATTTGTTTTTTTTATTAATAATGTCTTAGTTTTCTCAAAATTAAGAAGTAGAGAAATATAAGCTAGTAGGGCTAGAGCTAGTGCTAGTAGAGCAGAGCACGACGTGAAGTGAGGTTCTTATCTTCTTCTTCGTCGTTATTTTAGTGCCTGTTGTTTCAAGACTTTCAGCCAATTTTCATAACATAAGTGAAGTCATAGAGAAAGAAAGATGTCTATGTCTTTTATTTTGTCTATGAGTGAAGTTATTAGAACTTCAAATATATTTTTAAAAAAAGAGAAGATTTCAGTTTTCAATTTTCAGTCTATAAAATTTAATATTTAGTATGTATACATTGAGTTCATATACCTATCAACTACCGGTAGTTTATAGTTATAGACCTATTTATATAGTTCATCGACCTTATAGTCATTATTTTATACCAATCAAAGAGAAAGATGATTCCAATCGTTCCAGTTCGAGCGGTTCAAGTTCAAGCAATCATTAGAAAGAGAGAATCAGTCGAACTGAGGAAAGGCGTGGCTTCGACACGTTGAATCGGCAAGTGAATGCAGGGTTCCAAGGTGACCGTTCGGTAATATAAAATATAAGTTATAAGCTCAACGATTGAGTTTGAATATCGGTCAATTGGTCAATTAATTTCGAATTTGTGGATAAAACACAGGTATAATTTGTAACTTTATGATTAACTTTAAGTGCGCATTATAATATCCATTAAAGCCTGGATGAAATTCCACCGCTAATACAAATTGACTCTCCTGTAATATAGCTCGCCTCGTCCGATGCCAGAAAGGCAGTTATTCCTGCAACATCTGCAGGTTGTCCCAATCTAAAATATACATTTAATGATAATTTGTAATTGATCAAACTGGGATATGGAAAAAAATACCTTCAGGATAACTTAATAAAGGAATAACCACGTCGTATAATAAGATAAGAATAGGTCGGGCAACTCTGAACTCATGTTAGAAATTAGAAATGTTACAGATGGCGCTAGTATCGGGTAGTGTTGTTCAATCATGCATTTATAACGCCAATTTTCCTTCATTCCACTTTTTTGCCTTCCATATATCATTTTAATTTGATTTACGAGTTACGACAATTTTAATTTAATTTGACGATAATGCCATGTTCGTGCATCGTAACAAAGTGTAATGAGAACCCTACTCGACACTAGCGCTCCTAGCGGATTTTCCGTGAACCTTCGAATCAAAGTCACAATAAGCACAACACTTTCTGTAATACAAAATTTTGAGAATTTCCAGACCTACTAAATAATACACGGCCTTGGTCCGACCTAAAGCCACTACCCCCTTATTAAGTTATCCTGCATACCTTTTAATACAGACAAGCGACAGCCACTTCTCGCTAATATCACTGTCCTCGCAAATGACTTTGCTAAATGGGGTGTCGATTAATCCAGGAACGATGCAATTGACGGTGATATTGAAATGGCCGAGTTGCAGAGCTACCATTCGCGTTAAAGAAATCAAAGCCGCTTTGCTAACTGGATAAGCTCCTAGGTTCTTAAAAGAGAAATTTATTTTGTTGGAATACTAGGTATGAGGATAAAGTAAGATGGAAAATCTTAAAAATGGGAGATAAAAGTATATTGAGTATATTGTGTATTACCCAAACTGGCATGTAGGCACTCATTGAGGAATTATAAATGATCCGTCCGTTTTTACTTTTTTTCAAAAACCTGGCGAGGTCGCAAGTCAGTTGCCAAGTGGCCTTTAAATTGACTCCAATGGTTTTGTCCCATTTTTCTTCGGGAATGTCCAAAATAGGACCTATGAAAGGATTCACTCCTGCACATTGAACAAATATGTCCAAGCCTGCGTCATATAAACGTTATAGCATTATTTTAAAAGTAATATGATGTTTTTTATGCAACATAATAAATTTACCTCCCATTTTTTCCACCAGCTCAATCACCCTTTTCCTATGTTCGGGGTCGGCTATGTGACAGGCTATTCCACAGACATCGTAACCTTTACATGTTAATTTTTTTACGGCACAATCGACGTTTTCTTGAATTCTGCTTGATACGATGACCTTAGCTCCATCTTCAGCCAATCTTTCCGCTATTGCTAATCCTATTCCACTGGTGGAACCCGTTACTAGGGCAATACGCCCTCGTAAGCACCCTTTATTCGACATTTCCTTAAATTATACGAAATCTATCAGTAATTAGGTGATTATACTCGCTTTTAACAAGGAGTGAATTTTGTAATTCTGGTGTAATACACCATATGTATTATTTTCTAAAAAAGTTAACAAAGCAGCATTAGATTTGGTTTAAACGTTTATACTATCATAAATTAAAATATTTTAACTTACTTTCTTCTGGTCGATAAAATTTGAATTAAAATTGTGACAAAAATACTGAAGTAAAGCTAGTTCAATCGGGTATTTAATATAGAACAATTTCACATGACCATAAACTTCCCATTATATAAGTGTCTAATTTAAATTTAAATATTTAAATTTGATTTAAGTTTTAGGTTTTATTTAAATTTAATCATTACTCCGAAAATTAACACATTTTACTACAAAAATATAATAATAACAAACGGAATACGACTATATAATTAAAGGTACGGTTGCCAACCAACAAACAATTTGCACAAATTCGTAGGATCAACGGCTTGTTGTATAAGAGCTTCGACTTGATGTTCAATGCTCCTGGGATAGCCTAATTCGGTGCCTTGTAACTTCTCTCTGAGCCTCAACAAGGCCCTTTTGGCCGAAACGTTTTTCGGTTCTGCAAATTAATAGAACGCTAATAAAATTAAATAATATCAACTAATAATATATATATTTAAATTGACTTTAGAGAGATATGTAGATTGAGCTATAATTTTGTTCCAGCTGTACCTTCTGAAGAACCGGAACTTTCCGCTTTTCCGGTAACAGCGCTACCTCCGTCAATTTGCCGTTTGTTTGCCTCCGCATTCGTTATAGTCCACACGTACAGGGGATCGTACAAAAGTACCTCCAAAATAGTATTGATGGTTTGGCCGTTTTGTCGCAGTACTTCCATCGTTTTCTCGCACGATCTAAAGAAAGAAGAAATTATTAAGGATTTTTTTTTAAATAATCATATCGGTAGTACCTAGTATCATATTTAAATTTTACGGATCAGTGGAAAATTACGCGATATTTATGCAAATTTAAATATACAGAGAGGCAAGTTTCGAACACTGCAATCTTTAGAGAGTCTCAATCAATATATAAGAAAGGTAATTAACGCGTGATTTGTTTTAAAAATGGCTTCAGGTATGGACTTTACGAATGAGGAATGTTACCAAATCGTGCTGTGGCACGGTACTGGAAAAACTTGTCCTCAAATAATAGAATTATTTCATAAAATGTTTCCGGGACGGCCACTACCAACACGCAGCATAATCGCGCGTATTGTGCAAAATCTACGTGTGCACGGATGTTTTTCCTTGAAGAACCAAAAAAATCGAGCAGCCGCAGTGGTGCCAAGAATTAAATTAAATCCAGACCGCGAACTGCGGGAAATAATGGTGTGTGCAGCCATGCAACAAGATTCGACCAGACCGACTGTGGACATTGCCCGAGAATTCAACATTTCAAAATCTTCCGTCTGCAACATTTTACAACGAAATGGATACCGTACTTACCGACCACTGAGGGCGAATGAAATTTTTTCCGAAGATACATACCTTCGAATGGAGTTTTGCGAACGCGTTATGGAAATAGCGAATCGCGATGAAAATTTTATTTCCAATATTATTTTCACCGACGCTGCGTCGTTTCCAATACACGGTCGTCACAATCCCTCCATTAATCGGTATTGGTCGAGGGAAAACGAACGCCGCACGTCCGATGCACGCAAACAGCACACCGAAACCCTCAACGTTTGGGCTGGTATACTAGGGAACCACATTGTAGGGCCTTTTTTTATAGAAGGTACCCTCGATGCCCAAAGATACCTAGCGCTGTTGCAGAACGAAATTATTCCGGCTGTGTGCTATTTGGGCGTGCCATTATCATCCGTTTGGTTCCAACAAGGCGGAGGGTCCGATGCACAAAATGCCGCCGCTGTCAGGGAATATTTATTGCAAATGTTTCCCAACCGCTTACTTGCGAGATTTCGCAAATTTGCGGGAGACGGACAGATGAATATTTCTTGGCCGCCGAGATCCCCGGATTTGACGCCCTGCGAGTTTTTTTTATGGGGATATGTCAAATCTAAGATCTACGGATTTCAAGGGCATCGGGCTAACAATCTCAATAAGTTGCGATTACAAATCGTCAACGCATTGAAGGCTATTAGTCCAGAGATGCTAGCGAACGTCCGGGCGGGATTTTATAATAGGCTCGGTTATTGCTTAGCGCAGGGTGGTGACCGTTTCGAACATTTATTGAATTAATTCTATTTATTTTTATTAGAATGTTCATATTAAGTTTATAAGAATGTTGTTTAATTTTGTACCTTGAAGCTTTTTTTAGTTAACAAATTTATTTGCGTACTTCCTCGATAAAAAGCTCAGCTTGTTTTTAACGATTGGAAATGATAAACAATTACGTTGAATTCCGAGCCTCGTTAATGCTAAGAGATGTACACCCTACCTAATATTAATGATAACTAAAATTGCAAATCCAAACTGTTGCTTATTGCTGTCCGATATTAGAATTCGCTTTGTCTACTAGCGAATAATGGGGATATTTCGTATGCTCTCTTTATTCCTTATATTGTAAAAGTTCAATAAGCTATCTCATCGAAAGATTGCAATAGTCAGTCCGAAGTTGCCTTACTGTATATAATAATTAGGATAATCGAACATTGTTATAAAAAACCATTGCTTTAAAATATTTACGTGTATATACTAGACTATGTACCAAATTATAATTACCTTCTAAATATTCCTTCCACGCCGCTAGCGCCCATACCATCAACAATATCCCTGGTCAATCGGAAAGGTACCGTTTCCGGCGTAGGCAGAACCCTTCCTTGTTCGAAAGCTACACCTGCAACAAAATTACACAGATTTCAGGCGTCTCGCTCGCTATTTTCACTCGATTAAACATACCGAAATCAATGTGTATGACTTCGGCCGTTGTTTTATCGATCAATATATTGCTGTTGTGCCGATCTCCGATTCCCAGCACGTAGCCGCATATGCTGGTGGTGGCGACGCTGTGAATGTAGGCTCTTCTTCTTTCGTACCAAACGGCCGGTTGGAGGAAGAAATTTTCGAAGAAATGGTGGAATACGGGCCTGAAATTCCTGCAGATGTCTTTGTAGGTTTTCAGTTTATGTTCGGCGGATTTCTGAGCGACGTTCTGAAATGGAAATGTTTAATTTGAAGCGATCTTTGGTGCAATATTGCAAGTATAATTAATTATAATTCGTTAATTTTATAAAATTTTTAAACTACTGTGTACCTTAAATACATTTTTAAAAAATGACAAAAATTTTTCTTTAAAACGAACAACGAAACAAACAAACCTTAAAAACATTTTTAACATAATTCGGTGATTTATCAGTCGGCCTGTAAATTTCGTGTGCCCCCTTAATTTTATTACGACTCGTCCCAACCAAATACTCTCCGATCGGCATACTGTTATCTGCCCATTTCAAAATTCCGCTTCTCATCGACAACGGAACGATTTTGTACGTCCTAATCCTCAAATGCTTCGTCGATTTGTTGTAAGACAACAGATTGTTCATGATATTGAAAACCTGCTGCATTACCGCGTCCTGTCTCAGATCGTCGTGTCCTTTGATCAACTGGGAATAGAACAATCCGTTCGTGCCTACGCATATTATTTTCTTCGGTTGATTGACACCCCCGACTATTCGATAAGAGGGTTTAAAATGGGAGATACCTAAAACAAAACCGAATCGTGCAGAATACTGACTGCTAATAAACCATTTTGGGAATCGAACTCACCGATGATCTTCGTGTAATCCTTCGATATGCTAATAGGCAATTCACAAGTGGGAACCAAAACGTCGTCGAATTGCTTTATGCTCAGTATCTTTTGCTTCGATATGGGGTAGTCTTTTTCTTCGGGATATTCATCCGGACATTTGAGGTAGGCCAAATCGATGAGAGCCTGCGACATGCTATCGGTCCGATTGATCAAGTCTTTTAGGCCTTTTCGCTTCAGCAACGCCAGCAACTGCTGAGCTTTGATCGTTCTCAAGTCGTTCGTCACCGTTTTTACTTTGCCGTCCAGGTAATCTCTGTCTTTGTGAGCGTTAGCTGCAGATAAAATAACAGTTATTTAGTAACGCCTACGGCCACATCTCTATGCTACAAAATCGAATCCCAACTCTATTAACGAAATGTCGTTAATGTCAATATTGACAGTTCGCAGGTTTTGTTTAGATTATGTATCATAATACGCAATTTAAAGTCCTCCAAAATGCTATTACATTATTAAAATATTAATTTAGAACACTTTGACTTTTAATATTAATGAATAAAAGGGATTTTTCAAAGGTTTTAAAAAAGGGGTTTCCATACCACATTCGAGAAACTTTGGAAAACGTACTTATAGCCAGTAGAAGCGGCAGCGTGTGATATGGATGGTCCAAGGCGCAGGCCCGCAACACCTCCGTAACCTTTTTGCCGAACAAATCCACCTCTTCGTCCGCCAGATGGGGCACTAACTGGGGCAGCGTCACGATGAACTTGTAACTGGGTATTTTGAGAAAGTACTTTTCGATGGTGTCGGCGATCTCTTCGTTCTTTCGATTCGTCAGGAACAAGGCGATGAGCTGGAAAATTCTCTCGTTTTTAACGTTGCCGTGCGTCAAGCACAACGAATAATATCTGGAAAAAAATAAACGTAGGTATTGTTGAGCACTTTGGCGACTAAAAAAATTAATGTAATTTACTTTAAGGCGATTTTCAGGAAGTTGTTGCTCTCGTGATAAGCGGCTTTTATCTCGGCGTCATCTATGGAGCTGTTCCTGTCGTGTATTATGGCCGCTCTCTTTTCCAAAACGCTCTTGTTCCTTTGGTTCAGCAAATCGGCGGCCGTTTTCTTCGTTTCTTCCATGTGATCGATTTTCTTTTGAAACACGTCCGATTTTATGTAAGTCATTATCTAGCAAAGCAAACGAAAATAAATTAAATTAGTCCATTCATTGCGCGACAAGAATTTTGCTTTAAAAAAATCACCTGTTGGTACTCCTTGTCGGCGAAAACGGCCAATTTGTCGAAAGAATCTAACATAATTTGTATATCGGCGCCGTTTTTTTCAACTTCCTTCTTTGCCATTATGGTGATGGATTTCTCGAAATACTCCGATATGATGGTATTGCTGTTTTCGGATCGGGTTTCGCTCATGTAGTACCCGGTAAGTTTCAACGCCTGCGAATACAACCTACAAATGTTTTTTCTATGAACAAAGTTTCTCAAATAATTTCGAAGTAGTTCAAAAGAAGTTTGAACTCAATTTTGAATCATCTTGTATTACATATAGGTTACCAAGGTCAATTTTGTTTCTAGATGAGAAATGCCAAAGATTTTGTTCCAGACGTTAGACAGACTATAAGCAGTATAGAACACCTTGCATATACTCACTTAGGATCAGAAGTTTTGCTAATGTGACACAGTTCTTTCAATATCTGCTTGGCAACCACCGTATTACCAACGGACCAGCACAGCTGAGCATCGAGTAGATTAATTTTAACGAGCACGTCCGAACTTAGGCCGGGAATTCGCTTCAAATTATCGAGTATCATTAAGCCTTTTTTGTCGAAACCCTCTTCTCTTGCAAAATCTAAAACCCAAATCGAATCAGTATCGCAGTATGTAGTTTAAAATCAGAGTATTTAAAAGCACCTGCGAAAGCCAGGTACAAATCCGCGACGTAATTCCTGACGACGTCCGATCTCTGGGCGCCATTCAAGCAATCCGTCAACATTATTAGTCTATGCGCAACGATCGGCTCGACGTATTTGAAATCGCTTTTCCTCGCAAACCCGTCCTGCGACCTCCACTTCTCGATCAAACCATCGACCGAAGCGGCCTTCGAGAGATCCTCCAACTCCACCAACGCCTGTAGTTTACTCAACGCCGGATAGAGATTGTGGCTGCTCTCCAAGCTGACGGTCTTCAAGCGATTCGCGACGCAGAGGAACTGCGCTTCCGACGACTTCTCCAGCGAGTAGGCGTTGTTGTTGCGGAGCGCCTTCAGCGCCGAGAACCTGTGCTTCTCGTAATCGTCGAAGCTCGAGGCTTCTTCGAAGGACCAGCGACCGAGCCGCCACAGGCACTCGTAGTCGGGCGCGGACGAGGCGTACAAAGCGGGCACCTTGTAAATTTCCAGCGCCTTCAGGCTGGCCATTAGCTCGTCGTTGTGGGCCGGTTGATTGGAGTAGTATTGCACGACTTGATCGTACTTGCCCTGTTCTTTGTAGTGCTCGATGCGGTACTTGGGGTGGAGGAGGAAAGAGTCCCCGCAGCCTGATAGAGCATCGAAATCCCCGACGGCTTTGTACGCCTGAAAATACGATCAAAAACATGTTTAAATCGTAATAAAAGAACGCTTTTAAGCGACCTGTTTCTCAATCTCTCGTAAACAAATTTTAAAAATACTCGCGAAATTGAGCAATTATTCCAAGAAACCGGTCAGTTGATTGCCAACTACGTAGCCACGAGAAGAAAAACAAGACGCAATAATATCCCGCAGGGGAATCACAGAGACTCTATAACTATATAAATACGCCACACACGTCAGCATTATCGCTCATTAAAACGCACTCAAACGACCAGATAACTCATTCTAGTGATAACAAAACAAAAAACCATGTTGAGAAAACTAGTGCTGTTCACGTGCTTGGCGTTCTCGCAAATCGAATGTTCGGGCCTCCAAGGTGGCCAAGTCGCCGTGGAATTCGTTAGAAGATCGCTGGATATCCAGTACGATTTGGCTGCTGAAGTGAAAAGGGCCGTGAAGGAGCCGATTTACGTGTTCGACGCGTCGGGAACGTTCAAAGACGCCCGGCCGATCATCGTGGGACACACGAGAGTATTGAAAACTGACGATGGAAAATTCGGGGTTTTGTCGGAATCGGCGCAATTCGCGTTCGCAGGCGTCAAGGATTATTTGCAATTCACCAACAGGACCTTCGACTCGGATAGCACGGGCTTGTATATGTAGAATAAATTAAAACCGTTTTTTAATAAATATAACAATGGCTACTGTTTGTTTCCGTTATCAAGGTCGTCTTGTTGTTTAGATTCAATTTTGGGAAGCAAATTTATTTCTTACGTTTCTTAGTATGTTGTATAATCCTTCAGCTAATTCGGGATTCATATTTTTATAAATAGCGTCGATCATCGTCGAGCGTTTCTCGCAATGGACGGGATCCTCGTCTTCGATTTTTTCCACGTTTTCTTGGCAAAAGAGCTCCGCGAAGTACAAGGCCGAGAAATGATTGGCACAAAACGCGGCCGCTTTCGCCACGTACAAATTGTTCACGTTCAATTGAACGTTGTACCTAAACAATCGTAATTAAACAGGAATTTATCTGTCGTAAATACTATAAATGCTCTTACTTTATCGTGTACAAATTGCTTTTCTTCATCAGCCTTACGAATTGGACTAAGTCCAGCATGAATTTCACCGATTTTTTGTTGGTCGCAATGCATCGTCTTCCGTCCGATTCTTTCGTTATTTTCCAATGTTGCGAGAAAAAGTAATCGATTTTTTTCGATATCAATTCCGCGACTTTTTTGTGACCTTTGACGAGAAGAATGACGGTTACGATGGGAAATAACCTTTCCGAGAATTCCACCTGAAATTAATGAATATAATTACAAATGGTGAGAATTTTTAATACTGAATTACTCCCCACCTTAATTTTGCAAATGTCGATCAGCTTTGGTAAAATACTACTTTCCGAAAATGTATTCAATATATTAGTAAATAACTTGACGATCCAATTCTCGTGAGAAACACAACTGTTCGGGCACCATAATTCATCATCTTGAAGATTAGTTAAAAATAAATTCGCATTAACGCTTAAATTTTGCGATTGTGATGGCTTATTGCACGGAACGTATGGTTGAATATAATCATTAACAATAGGCCCGCAACCGAAATCATCATCAGTACCTAAAAAAATCGATATTTATAACCCAGTCAAATTGGTTAAAATCTAGCTAATGTATTAGACTACAATTACCTAGTACAGCTGATGCTTCCTTTGTTGCCAATACCGAGTATAACAATTTACTAGCCGCTTTTATAACATTAATATCACAGTCAACAATATACTCGGACAACATCGAAATTACGTTTCCAATTAAAATTTGCAAGGGTGAATATTCCCGATGTATCGTGTACTTTTCCGGTTGCAATACAACGGTATGTAAGTTAGTGGGACCCAATTCTCCCAAACACCTCGCAGCTTCAATCACCACCTAAAAAAACCAAAAAGTAATAATAAAATAATAGAGTAATAGTAACTTAATTACCCTCTTCTTGTCCGACTGGCACAAACGAGCCAGAGCGCAAATCAACCTATGCAACGGGCTGTTCTCGCAATCTTCGGAGAATCCCCTGGTCTCGTCCAGCTTGTCGTACAGCGCCATCAGTTCCTCCTTTCTGTCAGCCAATGCTCGCCTCAAATCGACCAAACCGTCCTCCTTCTCCGAAGCGTCTCGTCCGTCCAGGAACCGCAGGATCTCCTCCGACAGCTGGGGACGCTTGGCGTCGCGACGGTCCTGCTTCTCGTCGACGAACTCCGGAAAGGCGTCCAATTTCGCGATGTCCTCCCCGAACTCAGTGGAATTGTCGATCAGCAACCGATGCAAGATCTCCTTGCACGTCGAAGACACCGATTTCCTCGTCAGGTAAAATTGGTTTATAGCGCTAACGGTGTCCGAGAAGAACGGTTTGAACGCGAGCGACAGTCTCGGTAGAATCGCCCGCAGGAAAATCGAGAGGAACGTGCAGGAAGCCGTCGCGACGCCGTCGCCGTCGGCGCCGTTTCGTATCGAATTGGTCAGCGTGTGTAGGACGTCTCTGATGAAAAACCGGCCGCAATCGTCCTTCGTATCGAGAAATTCGACGACGAAACCGACGAAGAACGTGTACCTGTGTAAATACTTCAATCGATCTTTCGCCAGTGAGGCCCTCATCAGTTGTTCTTTCGATCGCAGCAAAATGTTTTCGAGTTGCGAAGGGCGCTCGATCAATGCGGATCCTAAAGGTTTAGCGCATACAAATTTCTAGAAAATACAATTAGAAATCTACTATTAGTAAAATCAAAGTTTAATATGATCAAAAAATAACAATGTCTACAGCTAATTAATCTAATTTTAAACAACTTACAAAGATAAATTTTAGGTCTGAATTCCTAGTATCACTTAATTAATGTTACCTGTTATTTAATTGTTCTTACCTCAACAAAAACAAAACGTTGGGAAACCTCAGACGTGGTTAAACGTTTGTTAAAAAATATCACAGTTTCCCTCAACGTATTACTGATGTACTGATCGTCGTTGAGGTGGTTCAAGATTTCCATTACAATATCTTGCAAATTTTCATTCAATATCTGCTTCAATCGTTCGGCTCCAACTATCTCAATATAACTGGCGAAAATCTTGTTGTTGCTGAGCGAGTCCTTCGGACAGTTGTCCCTGTCGCTGCAAATCAGGTGAGAGAGAATTTTCGCGGAGGTTTTCTGAAAAATTCACAATTGATGAATGAGATGCGGCGAGAGAATTCGAAGTAATACCTCGACAATTTCCTCTTGGGTGAAAGTGAGAATGTTCGCTAACGATGAGAGATCGTCGGGCGCTTTTAGGACTATCAAATAACCGTAATCGTCGAAATGCTTCCTGTAAAAGTCGAATTTATCCGTGCAGTTGAGCAAATTGAACGGGAATTCGTCGAAGGAGTATCCGTCTTCGAACCATTTTTTCATTATGTGGAGCAGGTATTTTTCCAAAATGCTCGAATCGACGTTGCCGAATTTACTTTTATTTATAATGCGCAACGCTTCCTTAATGTTTTCTAAAAATGAAATTAATCCAACTAACGCATAAGTAACGTGTTATTAAGCATTTCATACCAATATTCTTGACGTGCGAAATTTTAATCAAACTATACAGGCTCTCTTCTATCCAATTATCGCAATTGTTAACAATGTTAACGAACGTTAATAACACGCTTGCTGTTCTGCATAATGTCTCATCCATTTCTCTTTGATTCGTGTAACTACCTGTCACTTCGAGGTTTAACAAGCTCTAAAATGTAACAAAAATTAACTCATTTATTTATCCCGCCACGGTTCCAATACCTTCTCGTAAATTTGGTTGAACACCTCTTCCTGCGTGTGAATCCCCGACAATTGAGTGCAACCGTAATTAGCGCGAAAATACGCGACAAAAACGTCGATGGCCTTGAATCGAACCTCCTGGTAATCGCTGGTCAAGAAGTCCGGTACGAATTTTATAATCTCCTTGCCGGACCAACGCGAAAAATCGTTCTGAGCATCCAGCTGAAATGAAAACAATGGAGAAAAACGTGGGATAAGAGGAGGCTTGAGAAACAGGAACTCACCTCGCACAGAATCCTGCAGCACTCGAGCAACAACAGCGACACATTTGGCCCGTAATGGTCCAAATTGTCGTGGAACGGTTTTAGGAAGCATACAGATAGCGATTTTATTTCTACGTCCGCAGAGGAAGATATAAATGGAAGCATACCTGAAAGAAAATATCGTTTATTAGTAAGAATGTGTAATAATAAAAAAAATCATACCGCTTAAAATATCCAAAATGCCTTCGGCCTCGTCTTTGTAGCGCACTTGGGCCAATTCCTTGATACAGGCGTTGATGTTATTCAAAATAGCATCCGGAAATGTTTTTAAATTTGATGATTTCAGTGAGTCCAGGAAGGTTTTTAACTGTAAAAAATCATCGGAAATTATAGAGAATAACTTTCTTAACCAATTATAACATACAAGATGATTGCATTTTATTTTTTTATGTTAAGTATTGTACTGGGTTAGATAACATTTATAAAGCAAGCGAGGTAATAGGTAATAAATAAAAAAAACAATTACCAATTCATACTCCTGATCAATACTAAAATCATATGAGGGATTAGACAAATTTAGGAGTACTCTTGATTGTCTTTCGTTCAGATTTTTCCCGCAAACGCACGCGTAACTCGTCAATACTTTAACGATGCTCTTTTTTAGTTCGAAAGCGGCATTAAATTTGGAAGATCCTACCAAAAAAACATTTTTATATAAAAAAAATGGTTCATAATTATACAGAGTGTAACAAAATAGGCGGGTAACTTACACCACATATCCCGCGATCAAAATTAAGTCATTAAACTCTATTTACATACGTCCAAAATGCCATACAAAACAAATTTAATGTTCTAATTAAAGCAACCCTTTTTACACCCCGTATATCTACGATTTTCATAATTACCCTCCATCTGCAGGCCATTCAAACACTCGACGAGCGATTTCAGAAACTTCATGGGAACGAACTCCTTCAGTTTGTCCATCACCGGCTCGGCCACATCGAGAGAGAACAATTCCTCGACGATGCCGAGGCAATTGAGCAATTTCTTCCCGCTCTTTCCGTCGATGTAAGAACACAAACGGAACTCCATGATCAGATCGTTCTTCCAAATATCCTCGAGTAAATTCATAAACGGGCAATTGGAGATTTCCCGCACGTTGTATTCCCGCAACCAGTGGCACAAGTTGCTCAAAAGAGCTGCTTTATAAAACAATATTTCTTCCTTATTCTGCTCACAATCGGTGGAATTACCAACGAATTCGGTTACTACCGTTGTTAGCAAACTGATCGAACCATCGTGCACGTCAGGTGTAACGCTCGGTGAATGTTCCTTTCGATTGACACTCGATACTTCTTCATTATGTAGGTAAGATGTTTTCGAATAAATATCGATTATATTCGAGTAAATATCATTAGATTGGAAAGGTTCCGGCGATTCGACGTTTTCGCATTGGAACTCGCTGAATACCAGTTTCACCAGTAGCCTGGCGGTTTCCTTGTCCAGCAAGTGCTCGTAGGATTTGCAATTCCTCGGCAGAATGCACCTCATGATGCATTCTTTCTTGTTCAGCTCGTTCAAAGCGGTGAATTTCAAGCCGGTGTTGAAGCAGGCTATCGAGCTTATTGTGAGCGAACTAACGCCCGATTGGTACGTTTGCAGGAGATCCTCGAAGTCGACTATTCCTTTGGATACGAGCCGTTCGATTAGTTTCTCCGCTGGTTTTTTGTGCTGGTCTAAACCGAAGGCTCTGGAATGAGTGAAGCTAAGTTAACTAATCAGAAGACAGTGGAATAGAATGTTTACCTCACGCTGTTAATTCCTATGAGTTTCCATAACTTCGTAATTGCTTCCTCGTGTTGTTTTATATCCAAAGTGGTTTCTATTCGAATCATTTCAAACAAGCAAACGTAGGTTTTTTCTACGACGTTGTGCTGGTTGCAATTTACTTGAAAAGCCGATAAAATTTCCAGAAGAGCAGTATAATCGCCGACTTCGATTAGGCCTGGATACGTTTTGATCAAAGATGTTATAACATGTAACCTGAAATGGTTCGAATTAAACCAATATCCGAATGTTGAGATACTTTTTATATTGAAACAATCTCACTTACCACAACCAACTTTTGGTTTTCCTCAACGAATCGAGATAATTAGCAAATGAGTATTCCATTTTGAGTTTTTTAGTTGGAGGAGATTCGGGTCGTACGGACTGATTTACATTAGGATCCATAAGCAACTTGAATAAAACGAGCTTCAAATTAACGAAAAAAATTCATTATAAATTCGTGTACTTACTTGCCAACTGACTTCGACAAACAATTTGGTGAAGTTATTGCAGAAAACGCTCGTCTCGTCGTCTTTTTCTAAAAGGGAATTGCTCATTCCCTGTTTGAACTGTTTGCTGTCCCATTCGATGTCTTTGATGAGCCAAGACAAAAGGGATTTCTGAAAATTCCTCCACAAATTCCAGTTGCAAGCGTAGGCGGCTGGATTGTTTGGAAAAACTCCCCTGGGATGATGGATTACGATTTGTAAGAGGAAAAATTCAACCAGAAGCCTCTAAAAAATTAACAAATGAGCCATTTAAATATTAATTACTAGAAGTAATCGACTCTACTTTAGTTAAGCTTGGTCCTTTGGATGTATAATACATTTTTCCGAAGCTGGTAATTACGTCCTCTCCAAACTTGCAACAGGAAACCCGATTGTCTTTAATCGTCTAAAAATGGATAACAGAACTAATCTGTACACAAAAAATATGAATTATTGATAGTATACGCACTTGTTCACAAAAATGAATGGCGATTTGGATAGTTTTCATTTGTATATTTTGCCGGGAATCACAGGTAGCTTCCAGGCAAAAGTTAGTTATGAATTGGAAATCTTCTCTTAGCAAATTGGGGGACATTCCGTAACTCGGGCCCCAATTGATTAAATTGTCCAAACATTGCAGTAGCAAAGATTGTCGAATGTCTTCGTTTATTAAACTTTTTATTACGCCATAAATTTCTATTAATAAGAAGGTGTTATTAGATGGATGTGTTTGATATTTAATGGGTTACCTGTCCAGTCTTCTCTCTTTAATTGACCCATGACTTTCGGCTGGGATATAAAGTTTTTTTGTATGATTTCTAAAAATTGGGTTTGGTAACATGCTTTCATTTGAGCCTCTTGCATACAACCAACTACATATCCGACCAAATTTCTTAGATTAATATCAATATCTGAAATTGATTGATTTGTGTAAAAAGTAATAATCGAATAAACCATGTTATTATTTACCTTTTTTAAGGGATAAAGTAATTATTTTAACCAGTTGTTCAGCTGCTGATGATTTCTGAGCTAGATTAACATCCTGTAATACCAATATTGTAAAGTTAGTAAAGTACATGTTTTGTAATTAAATGAATATGTTAAAATTGGGTAAATGCCAACTTACTTTTTTAATTGCCCACTGCAATGAACTTATAAGTCTTCTGCATATATTTTCTTCTAAACTATCAACAATATTTGTGTCTAACAATTCACTTAACAATGTACAATACTTTCTTCGTATTGTTACCTTATCACTTTCTATGTTTGTAACGCATTGTTCCAATTGTTGCTTATCCATTATTACAAATAACTAGATCGAGTGTAACGTACAAAATTATATTATTGTTATGTTAAAAACTTTTTACTTTACATCACAGATTACCGCCTTTTAACATCTAAAATCTAAAATTTAACCTAACGTCAAATGTCACTTTACTATTTTTTCTAAGAATAATGGGCCTGTTACGAGTGATACATCCAGCCAGTCCATATTTTTAAAACTAATCGTATGATTTAAAAAGAATTATAATAAAATGAATGAAATTTTTAGTAACTAGAATTATAATCGTAAAAATGATTATCTTTATTTTGGATTCTTATTTCACTTCTTTTTTCAACACCACAACGACCACAATCCTCTTAAATTGACAAATGACAGTTCATCAAAAATTGCATTCATAACCTCAAATCAAAAATGGAAATTAACATTCGAAGACTGAAATAGCCACAGAAAAAAATGTTTTTATATCCAATAGTTTTTATACAAAGTGTTTTTTTCTAAAACGAATTCACTGAAGATTCGCAATGAAATCTAAATCCCCCACTTTGGCTGCGATTCCCAAAAATGAGGTAAAAAATTTTGCAATATTTATCGATCCACAAAATTATTTAATCTAATTATTGCATTGTGAACTCGCATTATGCAATTAAGTTCAGCAATGATTCTTTAAGTTTGTAAATTATTTATTAAATTCCCAGTCAACACATGACTAGTCGTAAAATACCAAGGTTATGATTTATTGATGAAAATTTAAACTATCCAAACAGTTAATTTTAGAAATAATGATAGGGACATATTTTCATTTTTTCTTAGTGATTCAATTGAAAATGTTTCAAGTCAAATGTTAATTTATCCTTGAATGTCCGTATTTATAAAATTTAATTAACATGTTCAATATCTAAAGTATTATCGGGTATAATTGGGTAATTAACTATAGTAAATAATATTTAAATGTTCGTGTATTTATTTATGTAAGTGTAAGTACCTAAAGAAATAAAAACGCACTAGAAATTAAATAACACTTGATAATATCACTCAGTTATCAGAAATTGTTTGATGACTTTAGTATCATGTACAATTTACCAGGTTTATTATTGTTTTACAATTATTGTATTTAGCGTATTGTAATAATTACAATGTTATTTTTTTAGGAGAAGAAAACAGTCTATATGGTTCCTTATGTAATTTTATCTATTTTTCCCTTGATAATCTCCTTCATAACCGTCTATGACCTAGAATGGGAAGAACATGTATCAATTACCAGAGGAACGATTATATTTTTTTGTGGTTTACTATTTTTTACTTGTTTATATCAAGCTTTAAATTCTATTTTTCTACACACCAACAAAGGAAAAGTAATTATTAAGGTTTACAAATTTAGCATTAGTGATGTTTACGACATAAGTAATAAGTAAGTAAGAATATTTTATTTGTTCTATTTAGTTCTTTATTAATGACTGATTCATGATTTGCTTTATTGACTATTAATAGATCAATCAGTTCACCTCGCAATTTTACACGAATCATTTCTTATTTTCAGACAAGTTTCGGCAGTGCAGGCTCTATTTTGTTGCCTAACGGGCATCACGTCGGTGGCCTATTCTTGCAAACGCGATGTCTTGAGAGTTTCCCATTACATTTCGGAGGCTTACGCCTGGTTCGGGGCAGCTTATTTTTTCTACGACATATGGTCTATGTACGAGGTGTACGTAGCGAAGAAATTCGGAAATCAGATGAACGGGGACTTCAATCGAACTAAGACCCTGTCGACGTTTTCGAAATGGATGAGTTACCTTAAAAATAATTTCGTTATAGTTGGGCATCACATATTTATCGGATGCTTTGGATTTTTAGTTATTACTGTAGGTTTATTGATGGTGTAGTTAAGAGTTAATAGTAATGATTTGTTTTTAGTATTTAAGGGGAGGATTAGGCGATTGCTTCTTCGGATTCGTGTACCTGATGGAAGCAAGTACTCCTTTTGTGTCTATAAGGGGCATATTGTCCAAAGCAGGGTTAAAAAATACTGGTGTTTACGTATTAAATGGACTTATGATGTTGTCTGTGTTCTTCTTATGCAGGATTGCAATGTTTCCACTAGTAATATATTTGTACGGAAACGCCGTAGGAAAGGATTTCGTATCTGTAAGTTGCTATAATTCATCATTACATTTATAAGTTTTTAATTATTTTCATTACGGTTTTTATCAAATTATTAATTGAATTACTAAAAATAAATCGACTCATTTACAATCGATTGTTGAAAAAACCGACCAGATGCAATACCTATATCTGCGTGACTAATTTTTATCAGAATTATTTATTTTTCAGGCGGTTTATTCATTACCCAGAGGTTGTCTGATAAGCATAGCCATATTGTTGTTACCGCAAATGTACTGGTTCTATCTGATGGTGAAAGGAGCTTTAAAAGTACTGGCAGGTCCATCTAATAACAATAACACTTAAAAGTCTCGAATTATATAAAATTAGTTCGTGAACAAAATCAAAATATATGGAATGGTGATTAGGTTGTAATTATGTGCATCTTCAAATTACGCAATAAAATGTTTAAAATCAAACAAAACTAATTCTTTTGATGATGTTAATCAAATACTTTGTCCATTCTTGCCTCTTCGTTCGTACGTAAGAATGTTTTAGGTTGTCAGAATTAAATTTATGTGTATTAGAATTACGTGGCGGTTTTTAAAGTCTGCTGAATTTGGAGGTGCACAAAGACCACAGCAAAAAGTTCAAGATATTTTAAAGGTATCTCTAGACTCTTGCCAAGCAAAGCCAATTACATAAGGAAGGATATTCATTGGGCGTTTGGGATTCACTCGATACTAAATTGCTCATAATTGAATACAGTTTACAAACTTTCAAGCAATGTAAGTACTACCTTCCCCCAAGGTTACCGATTAAATCATACGCAGGCGCACTTACATTTTTTCTGAGTTACTGAACACTACAGAATTGACAAGAATCTGGAGGTGGTAATATTTATATGTTTAACATACCTAATTGTACGCTATAAATGTCTGTTATATTTGTTGTAAATGTTAGATGATTGCCGAAGAAACTTGAAAAGAGGCTAGAGGTAATATTATCAATGTATACACATTTAAAATGTTTACCACATCCCACCTGTTAACGTCTACTGCGTTCATTGATTAAAAAGAATAAGGCATGAGTACAGTTTTACCGTAAATTTAGAGTAAAAGTCGCTTCACTCCTTACTCCTTTTGGCTTAATGATTCCAGTACCTGTTGAAGAGATAGACGAACTTGAGAACTTTCAGTCTGTCTATAGTGAGTTTGATTACCATTCTTAAGTTGGTCTATCTCGAAACCTTCGATATTGGTGTAGTACTAGTTTAAAACAAATCAGAGGTATTAGTATATGTCTATTACATCCTATATTAATGTTATATCTGTTATAAGTGTTTGTTGTAGCCATAAAAACGATTTAGAGATTAAAAGACTTGACGTTTTTGGCTTATGTTGTTTTCCATAAATGTATTTGTAAAATTGATCCAATTCGTAATATTTTTGCGATATTATGTATGTATTACTTAAGTTCAAAAATTGTGTTTTAACATTATTATTTCTAGTTTAAAAACTGGTAAAAAGTATTCAAAAATACCGTGGATAAAAATATCCAAAATTATCACTGAAGTGGTGTTGCCACGTTGCGAAATTGTTGTACATTCGCTGATAAAATAAAAAAAATCATTACGAATTGGATATTTATGTAAATGGTATAAAATTGCAGCTTTTTGAGGTCATCTGCTACGCTGTTTCCTAATTTTTTGTTTTCAAAATTTGCGCTCACAAAAATTTGCATGACAAATAATCTTAGAATACATATACAGGGTAAATTTAATAAATTTATAACATTGATTTTACCAAGACTATATTTTTAGATGAACGTAGTTTTTACTAAACGATTGACTGGAATTTTTTAATCTGTCCTTTGGTGTGATAATAAATCTTCGAATATAATATTTTCAATCTATATTAGTCAATCAGCGTAAACTAATTAAATTTTTCCTAACTAGGGAAGTAATCAAATAAGTGTTTTGAGATGTTATAGTTAAATGGAATTTGTAAGAGTAGTTTTAAATTATTTAGGATCAAATTCTATGAGTAGGAATTAATTAATCTAATATTGAAGCTATCGAGGGAAAGTAACGACTAATTATAATATGTAAATGGATTTTTGAGAGCAAATGAAGAGTTACGGAACGTTCCACAGTTATTTTTTGCCAATTTTTTACACAAATCCAAAGAAAATATTTGAATAAATAACGAACGCTCTTTTGACAATAATTACGTTATAACATTTTAAAATAAATTAGTCGAATTTTTGTCATGCAGATTGAAATTCCTTTTAATAACGAACTATTTCAGCGAGTAATTTCGGTACTATATTCTCCCTAAAAAGGCGTACTCACGCATGATTATTGTCGTTGAATGTACCTAACCTACCCAATGATTGTGATTTGATGTGTTGCACATAGGTACTCGATATTTCTATAATTTATTTCCCCTTATTTATTTGCCTTTTTTATAAGAGTACCTACAATGAAAATAAATGGATCATTAAATAAACGCGGTATTTCTTTTACCTCCTTTTAACTTCCACAGTTTTATTACAATAAATAGATTAATCTATAAATAATTATGAGTTTTGAATGTACTGTAAGGGACTACAAGCATTTGTTATTTTTTTCTTATTTCTTCTTATTTTCGTTTGAGTTGTTGTTGAGTTCATTCGAGAAAGTAGTAGCTAATCTTGCTATTGAACCAACGGCTTTGAATCTGGTTTGGGCTTTCATTTTGTCCACCTTTTTCTTCCACTGAAATGTTCAAATGATTTCAAATTTCAACAATGTAACGTTCATACGTACTTCCTGATCTCTTGATGGCATATCGGCCAAATACTGGTTCATTTCTCCCTTATCAGTATCAACAATCGCTAAAACGGATACACATCCATCTACAGTTCCTAATACCAGAGCTTTCCCATCCGGCGTACTTTCCACAGCCGTAAGTTCGGCTTGAACTCTGTAATTAGCTACCATTTCGGCGTCTGCGGTACTAACAAATAATCATTTTTCACAAAAAATCCTTAAATTTTAAAAGGGAGACTCACCGAAATACTCTCAACGTCTTCCTGCCACTGTGATAATACAGCACGTACTCATCCGTACTGTTGAACAAACATATTATCGAGAAAACTCCTTCGGCTACTTTAGGAATGAAGGTCCTCACTGTGGTGCCTTTTTTCAATTCGATCAACTCCAAACCGCCTCTAGACGGCGCGTACAATCCGTATTTCCCGTCTTTGGTGAGACTGCCTCCCCATTTCGGCACCGTCCTCAAATGCTTCTTCGATTTAATGTCTATTATCGACCCTTTGTCTGTAGCCAGGACGGCAATGAGGTGTCCTTTGTGCGGCATCGCCACTAAACCTGCCACATCCTGTGGAAACAAATTGGTAGTAGTAGCAAAGTCCCGTGCTGGTGGGGAAAGTGTACGCATTTCTTACCTTTATTCCGCACATTCTTAAAGATATTCGATGCACCAAAGCGCCGGTTTGGGCGTTGTATACAACGACGCAATCTCTGTTGGTTTTATCAGCACCCGAAACAACTATGTACTGGTTATCGGAAGTGACCACGGCTGGTCTGAAGGGCACTCCAGTGATGCTGCGGACGGTGTATTCGAAGCTGTATACTAACTCGCCGCCTGCGAACAGAACCGATTTTTACATAATACAGCGTTAGAGTAAAGAAAGGTTGAATTACTCGGTACTTCTCGAACGCAGACTGTCGCCATCGTCCTGGCGGAATCCGTTCCCGGCGGATTGCTCGGTTTCGATATGGACAGGATCTTCGCGCCGTTTTCTATAAGAGTCAGTTGCCTTATGCCGGGCTGCTCCTCCTTGAAAACCACTTGCTGCGTCAATCTCAACCAAATGAGTATGTTCCCAGTCTCCGCCGATATTATGTACCTAAAACGAATCGATTCATTAGCAGTTTCTTCTATTCATTGAGGCGTAATTGTAGTACTTTCCGTCCGGAGTGATGATCGCGTGAGTAACGATGGCGCCCAGAGGGCTATCGGCCAGTTTCGCCATCAATTTCCCGAGCCTCAGGTCCCAAACCCCCACGCAATTTCTGGTCGCCGTCACGGCTAGACTCAGATTATCTGATAAACTTCACAACAACAAACAAATGTTATATAAACTACAACTTATGCATCAAAAACGGTACCTGATGGAGTCGACTTGGAGTTCGTGCCTGTCTATTACGTGCACGGTTTCGAAGATGTTGTTTACGTTCCAAACTTTGGCTGTTCTGTCGATGGAAGAGGTCACAATGCAATTCCAATTGCCCACTGTCAATGGTTCCAGCTGGATGATGCGCCCGAAATGGGCGTCCAGGATTTTCACGACCTTCCTCGTTTGCATGCTCCAAACGTACAGGTTTTTCCTGGAACATAAAGCGACGATAGCCACTTCAGTTGATCACAATTACCCCGACTATGAATCAAGAGAGTACTTATGTGAATGTAGGTGCAAGTAATAAGGTATCCAGCCCATTTTTTTAGTAGTAAGGGGTTCAAAATTACTTCCCGCTGCTTCGCAACACTATCTTTGCTCTTCTAACAATTGAAGATGTAGCTCTATGAAGAGTATCGTGGTCGTTCGATGTTTCTCTGTTTTGTGGTGAATTAGAATACACTAGAATTGTTCACATATCCCCAAAGATAATAGTCCAAAGGTGTTAGGTATGGCGGGCTTGGAGGCCAGGGAACAGGACCTCCTCTTCCAATCGACCAGTTAGTAAACTCGGTATTTAAACATTCTCTTAATGTTTTAAGTATTGACTTTTGGACAAAAGTGTATCAGGCATTTTCGACTTAAAATTTACCAATGAATACCCTAAGCTATGTCCATCGAGTCACGGGACACCCTCTACATTTATAGGTATATGAAAAAATTTGTGTAATTACCTGACTCCGGCAATGGCGTAGTTTTTATGAGCGCTTAATGTAATCGAATTGGATTGCAACATTTTCGTAGTAATATTTCTCGTGCCGTACGGAAGAACTAAACAAACGGCGTCCGTGTTGCTGTTTTCTTCATCGAATCGCCACAAAACGAAGCCGTTATTCGTCGTACCTGCAATTAAAATACATTATTCTTATCTATCCAGGAGGTACCTCGAAAAAGTGGATTTAAAACTACGTACCAAATAAAACTTTATCGTCTTTATCCAATTTCAATTGCAGCATTTCTTCTTTATCGTCATCGTTCGCTGCGGGTAAATCTGAGATTTTTTCCCATTTGTTTGCTTCATCGTTCATCATGTATTTGGACACAACGTAGGAATCGGGAGTTGAGCATGCATAGAGCGTGTTTTTGTCTTTTGATAAAACTATTGCACTAGAAAGCACAAAAATGTTCATTCATTCTTACTGGTAGAAATAAAAAAGCGTTATAAAATGATTCTTGATGAATAAATGATGCATTGCATGTTTCACAATGATATTTTGAATGGTCTCACATGTGTTATAATTTTACCACCTATAATACTCAGGTTTTATTCAGGAACACCCTGTATACTATTTAATAAGAGTAATCAGTGTTATCATAAATTTATCACGAAAAATTAGTAGTATGTAGATAAAATAATATATTATATATAGGAAACACCTAACTAGCCTGTTTCGCTATTGTATTTATAGAAGCTATTTTATTATTCTAAAGCCATAAAAAATTTTACAAAGTATATTATTTGAATTGATTAAATATATCAATAATAAAATCAGATATTGTCTTTGTGCGATCATAAACGAATTGATAAGATATAAAAATACATGGTATGTGTGTTGTTACGCACAAATGGATCCATTAACGCTGAAACAAATCAATTACGAGATTTTACGATTTCGCATTAGTTAAAAGTGGTTATTGGATATCGAAAATGTTTGTGAAAAATTAAAAAGTACGTAAAATATATATCTCTTGTGTTCAATGTAGATAATTTTATTGATTATTGATATACTTACTTGTGGAAATTTAAATATTCGCAATCGCCCGTCTTTTTGTGTACTAACAGTGACATTCTCGTGTCTTCCAAGCTACCCTTCCAGAAAATTATCCTATACTCTTCTTTGTTATCGAATTCGATGCCTGAAATTTATAAGCGATTTTATAAATTATAGAATTCTTATAGCTACAAATAAAGAGTGTTTCCTGTTTAAAAAAACGCAAATTTGTAATATACTGTGCGTCTCTCGATAGGGATAACATGATGAAAAAATCGTTATTTTTAATTTTATGAACAAAAGTCTCTCCTGGCTCATTTAATCTTTAATTCAGCGATACCCTGTAGATCAGATTCCAAATTAAGTACGGCAAATTTAGTTTTTCGACAAGCAGGACTTCTCATACACTCCGTCTAGGGACACACTGTATATTTGTATCCGTAAAAAATATTTAAATTTAATGAAATAAATCGTACTCAGAATAGTCCAGTCGGACATTTCCAGAGGAGCTGAGTACTCTTCCAGTCGATTACCCCTCATATCGAATTTTATCCAATTTTCACTCCCGTAAATGAATAGATTGTGGTTCAGTAGAAATATACCGGTAACACTTTGATTTTCCGGCAAAGGATTGTCGATTAACACAAACTCGCTCGAGAGCATGTTCAGTAAAACTGTCTGGAACAAACAAAAATAACACCAGTTTGTCTTTGAATAATTTATAAAATTCTCATTTCACAACAAATTATTTATGAATTAAAAGAGTAATAGAATAAAATATATTGCTACAAATACTTCAAAGATATTCCGTAGACATTCCGAACAATCCACCTACGAATAGTTAATTTTTGACGAATCGCTTTCGTAAATACATCTGTATTTGGCTTATGACAATCGCAAATTAAATGTGACAATTCAAGAAAGAAACGCATTGAAGTTCCGCTGGCCCATGGAATATCTTTAACGAAGCCGTCGCCTCAGAAGTGAATTTCTGTATTTCAGGTGAGGCATCGCCATGTCTTTAGCCACCCCGCAAACCTCGGAGACCGACCTGATAATGCACGAACTCGTCGGCAAGGGCTCCTTCGGAGCCGTGTTCAAAGGCATCGACCAGCGCACCAACCAAGTAGTGGCCATCAAGATAATCGACCTGGAGAAAGCCCAAGACGACATAGACGACATACAAAAGGAAATACTGATCCTGTCGCAATGCGACAGCCCGTTCATCACGAAATACCACGGCTCCTACTTGAAGGACTCCAAGCTGTGCATCGTCATGGAGTTCCTAGGCGGCGGGTCCGCTTTGGACCTAATGAAAGCCGGCCCGTTCGAGGAAACCCACATCGCCATCATCCTGCGCGACGTGCTCAAAGGCCTCGACTACCTGCACGACGAGCTCAAGCTGCACAGGGACATCAAAGCGGCCAACATCATGCTCAGCGAGAACGGCGACGTGAAGCTGGCCGATTTCGGCGTCGCCGGCCAGCTGAGCGCCTCCATCAGCAAGCGCAACACCTTCACCGGCACGCCCTTCTGGATGGCGCCGGAGGTGATCAACCGCAGCTCGTACGACTTCAAGGCGGACATCTGGAGCCTCGGCATCACGGCCATCGAGCTGGCCAAGGGCCGGCCGCCCAACGCCGCCGTCAATCCCATGAAGGTGCTCAAGATGATCGTCGACAGCAATCCGCCGCAGCTGGACGGCGAGTTCGGCAAGCCGTTCAAGGCGTTCGTCGACATCTGCCTGAACAAGGACCCGCAGCACCGGCAATCGGCCAAGGAGCTGCTCCGGCACGCGTTCATCAAGAAGGCCAAGCGGAACTATCTGCTGGTGGATTTGATCGACAGGTACAGCAAGTGGAAGTCGGAGTCGGCGGAGAACGTGACCACGAACTACGAGGACGCGACGCTGAGCACCGTGTCATCGCTGCCCGATTGGAACATGACGCTGCGCGAGGAGGACGAAGTTTGCGAGGTGATCAAACCGGACGGGCCCGAGGACGTTGATGGCATTCGAAATTGCTTGAATAGCATTTTGGGCGGTTTGAAGGACGATAACGCGGAGGTGAGGGGAGCCTTCGAGGCCGCCGAAGGCGCTTGTCCCGGTTTTATTGACATTTTCGTTCGTAAGTTGGTCGGGAAGTTGCAGCCGACGATCGGCGATCGGAAGCTGAATCAAATTTTGGGTCATATCAAAACCGGAAGGTGAAGTAAATTGGCTGTTTTTAAAATGCCTGTGTAATATATGCTTCATTGTTAGCTATTGTATAGTCGATTTTATTTTTTTATTTTCATTGTTATTTTATTTATAATATAGCTTTTAGCACTATTAATATCATACAGCAGTTTTTGTTGATTCCTTTTTTTTTATAAATTTAAGGTTTGTTTCCAGAAAGTAGCACCTTATAATAACAACGATTGAACTGTAAAGCGAAACTACTCTTAGTTTGCACCAAATAATTGTACGAGTTCACATAGAAAACATATTTATTACCTGGTTATTATTGGTGTAAGCTGCTGCCCATTTGTTATCAGGGCTCAGAACTAAATGCTGCATAATACCTTCGATATTGGGATTGACATCTCGCGTGAGATCGCTGGTGGACAAATCCCACGTTATGAACCTATTCGAAATTGACACTACGTACCGATAATCGGATGTCAGACAGATGGAAAACACGGCAAACTGATGACCTTCTAGGGAATACTACGACAAAATTCCACTTTAGTCTTGTAAAATTCAACGATTAATGTAATAAATTCACTTTTAGAGGTCCTCCGGGTGTGTGCAAACAATGGTACAGCGGCAGCAGGGCGCAATGCATCGGTCCTTTAATATCGCAATCGTTCAGCAACATTTTAATGTTGGAATTATGGGCTACTTCGGGTAATAGTCGTCCTATCAGTTGCGGGGCCAACATGTTAGGGTATTGTCCCAAGACAGCGCCCCCTAATCTTAGGGCATCGGCCACCAACATCAGCTCCCTGAAAACGTGAATTATACATGCACAGATCCTTCATATTGATCTATCCAGATTCAAGAATCCAAGATCCTAAAGGCGCTAGATTTATAATCTTAGGAATCCTAGAGATTTAAGGTTCTAAAGATTCAAGATCCTGGAGGCCCAATTAAGATTTGACAGGTCCAAGATCATTCATATTAATCTGTTCAGATCCAAGAGATCTAAGAAAACCAACAGGACCAAGATATCTAAGACAAGAAAGGAGAACCAATATCCTTGATGGATCTTGAAGATCGAATAGATCCCGTGATCCTAGAGATTTAAGATGCTACATACCTTTTCGATTCGTTGTCTTCGATAAAGGCACAGGCATCTTCGTAATCGACCAGAACCGCTTGAAGAGGGCAACTGGATAATTTGGCGTGCAGCCATTCGTAATTGAAGAGGACGTTATCGTACAGATCCTTGAAGCGTCTAGACCTCACCAGGTGATAAGGCATTTCTCCGAACTTTCGAAGGAATTAATCAAATATTATGCTAATTTATAGTACTCAAAACAACGCACCTTTCTCAAATTGTACCTGGATACTTTTCCGTCCTTGGAATAGAACACCAAAGGTTGAATGGGTACTTTGCGGTCGGCCACTCCCTCTTTATCTGTTAAATTGAACCTAAAATAAATCGATTACACGTGGTACTGGAACTTTATAACTGGTTTGTTATAATTTGTTGGTACCTGTGACGTTGAATTTCAGTGTATTTAAACGGCTTCGGGATACCTCCGCCCCATATACCGAGAAAATAATCGGCTATCATCGAATGAAAATAGTACGCCAAGTTCATGTTTTTGAAGTACCTCTCCTTGGCCGTGTCCCGGAATTGCCTGTAACGTCAAAATGAGCAAAACCTCCGTACAAACAATAGCAGTACTTACCGGTGGTACCAGTTCATGACGCTCACCCCGTCGGCTTCCCTTTCGGATAAATAATTGGGCAGGTCGTTCCTGATTCTCGTCCACAACAAGGGCGGTATCCGCCGCACGGGCGGCAAGTGGTACTGATAGACGTCGTCCAGTACTTTATCGTCCAAGGAAATCAAATCTTCCAATTCGGATTCCGACAGACCGCTTTTCGCTGCTGTTATGTAGGCGAGACCGTGGAACACCAAAATTCGACCGTGCTGGGAAAACCAATCGATCAATACACTACGTACTAAAAGATCAAAGATCTTAGAGATTCAAGATCCTGAAAAGTGAATCTTAAATGAATAGTGAATCAAGGTCTTAGAGAGTCAAGATCCAAGGTCTTAGAAATTCAAGATCCTGAAGAATGAATCTTGAATGAATAGTGAATCAAAGTCTTAGGGATCCACGATCCTAGAGTTTTAAGATCTAAAAGATCCAAGATCTTAGAGAGTCAAGATCCAAGGTTCTAAAGATTCCAGTTCCTGGAGGTCCTAGAAGTCCAAGTTTATTTACACTAATCTGTCCGGATTCAAAAGATTTAAATCTAAGATAACGAACACGTCCAAAGTCCAAGATATGCAAGACAAGAAGAGAAGGGGTTCCAGGGTTTGATAATTACTTGTTTTTCGATTCTCTCGAAGAGCATCATGATCGAATCCATTACGTTCGAAGCCAAATGCGTATCCTGGGATTTAGTGTAGCTCCTCCACCTGCATATTTCGGCGAAAACCAGTTTCACGAAAATGGGTAGGCTGCATTTCTCTATGGCGTTGGAAACCAGTCGCCACTGGTAATTCGTCAGGTCCCTGTGAGCCGTTTGCATCCACATCCTAAAAAAAATATTTTTTATAATCCTAGAAATATGGATTTTTTTTAGGTATTTACTTGATTACTTTCATGGCCAGTTCCTCTCCCAAAGCCCTCACTTCAATGAAACTATCTTCGGCGTCAATCATTCTTCTCAGTATGTGATATTCCTTCGACACTTCGGGATTGCTCTCCTCGCAAGCGCAAGAAACTATTATCTAAAAAAAACACGATTCGAAGCCCAAAATACCGCTAGACGAAAATCGAGTTTACCTTGCAATGGGCGGGAAGCCTGGTGGGCAACCAGGATACTTTATTGGCGTCAGCCGTTCCCGTCAACTGATCCACAGAGTCCAGAAACAGCAGGAGCGGTTGTTCTTTCGAAGCCAGAGTCAGCAGTTGCTTGAAATGGGCGGTCAACGGCACCAAATCGTCCGGTATGCTCTCGAACGGCAGCATGAAATTGTAAGAAATCTGCAACAAATCGGCCTAGAGAACGCTGTTAAGGCGGGAATGGAATCGCACCTGCTGGCAAATGGATATCAGCGTGGGAGTTAGAGCCGACGAGTCGGGAGTGGTGCCCAGAAATCGGACTATGCTGATCGGTTTAGCGCCCTCGAACCAATCTTTGTTCGTCGATAAACTGGCCGATTTGGCCAGCAAGGAGGTTTTACCGCAACCTCCTTCGCCGTATAGTATCAAGCATTTTTCGTTGTCGTCTAGCATGTACCCGCGTATACGCTCCAAGCTGTCTTCTCTCCCGTAAAAAACCTAAAGAAAAACAGATTTACCGCTCTGCTGCAAGATACTGGATATTTCAAAGATAGTTTCCATTAGCCTGTATGGAAATGTAGTAGTGAATTTACCTGTACAGAATTGTTGCAGGCGTGCAAGTGTTGCAATATTTCAGTGACGATTTGCCCTTGAGCGCTGGAATCCTCCTTTCGCATGGCTCTATCGACTAATTTTACGATATTTTTATAAAAATGCGTAATAAAATGTTTCAAATATTCTTCGTGCGTTTCGGGATCTAATCCCTCTCTGCCTATCCATTCCACGTTGTATCTGAAAGAAAGTTTGTGGTAAGTGAGAAATGATAAATTATTGCCTATTGGTTACTTTTGGAAATTACTGGTTTCGATTTTAGCCGGTAATCTTTCGTCTCTTAAATTGGCCAGTAACTTGGACGATTCCGTGTCTAACGTTCTGTTGATGATATCGACGAATAGTGAGGCTTTCTTTAAATTCTGCAAATTGATGTTGTTTATGTATCTTATGTAGGCCAAGCAGTGGTTTTTGGTGTTTTTAACGTTAAGAATCCCGTTGATCACTTCTCGTTCCGTCACTGAAACAAGTTTATTGCAACAAATTTTGGATTATGGTATCATTACAAGAATTTACCGGACATAAAGTAATTATGTGTAGCATCGTTGTCGAGTTTTCCTTGTTGGTTCAAGGCAGCAGCCGCTTTTCTAAACAATTTTTGAAATTTACCAAGCGTGTCCCACCATTTCGCTTGGTCTTCTGCTTGTAATTTCGGCACTCTCTAAAAAAACAAGCGTCACAAGTACCATCGAGTATGTAATTTTAATAAACCTTGTTGTTAAAATTCACTAATATTGATGAAATTGGTTGTAAAACGGACACGGGAGGCACGGCGTTCGCGTCTTTCTTGTACCAAATATCAAACAACGTGGGATCTTGGCCGGTGGAGGCCAATTCCTCGCGAATTAACAGCAATTCCGATGTCAGGACGTACGTAGGTATCGGCCTGTAGCCGTATTTCTGACCCAAAAATACCTAAAAAGTATGAATTTAGGGAATAAGGGTAATAGTAGTGGTTGTAGTTGACTGGGCATACCACGAAATTGGGCCCCATGGACAATCTCTGGCAATTTTGGATTTCTTTCATGCACAATTCGGTGGTCATGTGGTCGTCTGTGGCTTCATCCCTCACTCCCCATCTCATATCTACAACCTTAAGGTAGATGTAATTAACAGAAATTCTCCATTCTCTAGGCAATGTGATGAATGGTTTATCATAAAAAAATGTTATGAAGAAGTAAAAAGAATTCAAATTAATTTAGGGGATTTCGAATGAAACCCGCGTGTTCGCGGATCCTTTGTGGGCTCATCGATTTTTCCTGGATGGATTTTAAGTAGGTCGTACCGCCTCGTACCAAGACAAGTCGAGTGCCAAGGGCAATTTTTGCGAACTTATGAAATTGCGTGACCGGGACAAGCAAGTGCAAAGCGATTTCGGATCAATTAGGAAGATTGGTGTTGTAAATAACACTTGATTAGACCGCGTTTTTGCAATTTTGCCTTTTCAGTGCAGAGTCTAATGATCGAAAATTGTATGCAATTTGATTAATGAATGAAAATGTATTAAAACGTAGTAGAATGTACCTGAAATTCAAGACCGTGCTTCTCTCTGCAATAGTCTTTAATTTTTGGGTAACACTTTGCCATTAGTGTGTTTCTTTCCATTGTTGTGTCTGTAAACGCCAAAATATTTAATACTTAATAGTGCTTAATAGACTGCGAAGAATTTATAACTCTTTCTTTTTGTTCACGAAATACTTACCGGTGAAAGTAGAGCTGGTAAATATTCTAACAATTTTCGAACTGACCGGCGGTAGGCTCTCCAGCGAACCGGCGAAAATTAGATCTATCGTTCGATCGTCCATAATTTATTTTTAAGGAAAACGCGATTTTGACCTTCAAAACGGCAAGTTGCAGGGAAGTTTGTGCACCTTCGCAACTCCGCAACTACTAAAATACCGCGAAACTTTGCAGAAATAATCGATAAAAGCCATTATACGGTCGCTGGTTGTCGCAAAAATGCCTCACCGGCACGAACGGCTTGGGGTAGAGATTATATACAGGGTGTTTTCAAAAAACTTGACCCCTCTTAAAACTAATAATTGTATGGGATGTACCAAAAATTACCAAATTAATATCTAACAATTTTAAAAACAAACCCTACTTGTAACACAATTTTTAAAAGTTCTAAGAGCCAATTAAACATTTTCAATTAAACTTTTTTTGTAAAATAAATATCTTTCGTTTGTGAGATATAGCACATTGTGAGTATGTAAGTTGTCATACTGTAGGTACAATTCAGTACAGAAAACTCAATACTTAGAAACAAAATATGAGGATTTTTTGTATTATTGGTGCATAATAAAAACACATTTAAACCAATCACAAAGCAAAATATTTTATGAATATAGAAAGAGATCCATCTGTATTACAAAAAACACCGCAATTTCGATCACAAATATAAAATGCGCCCATATTCAGTAATTTACAATATCTATAAGTAGTAAAAAACGTTTATATTATAATCATACATTGACTTAAATATTAAAATAAAATAATACAATAACAAAAAACGAGTAAATTAAGATGAATAAATGAAAACAGTAAAAGACCTGCTAGAATGTAAAAAAATGAGCAAAATTAATCCTTGCGTACTGTTACTTTTCTGTGCAAGAAAGAAACGTCGCTATCACTTGCAGTACTGCTGTTACTGAAGATATTTTGGGTAAGTTCCGCCTGAGGATTTAGAGTATCGCTTGGATGGAAATTTCTCGATCCCGAAACATGTTTAATGACTACTCCCTTCTTGATCATCTTATCTAAAGACGGAGGCAAATGGAAGCTTTCGTTGGATTCCAATATTTGTTTCTGTGCCGGTGTGTAAACAACATTGGGTAAAACAGTGGAATTTTCCTTATTCTTTTTGGTAGGTGCATGTGTGTTACGCAGTATTGGCAGTTTGGAAGTAGAATTAACGTTTTGTTTTAAAACAGGCCTCGGGCTATTTTTTATGTACATTCTAACAGGGCTTACAATATCCTTTAGATTTGGATTAGTCCTGCTAATACATTTCGGCAAACCACTGGCAATAGGTTTTTTGAATTCTGGAGTATACTTGTGAGATCCTGACTTAATAGCTGCTGTTGTCGGTGGTTTTAGTTTTGGAGTTTCCAGTTCGTCCTCAAATATATTCTCTTTATATTTCTGCAAATGAGAGGATGAGATTATGTTGCATTGTATAGAAGATGTATCTGTTTCTGCTGAATCGTTTTCCTTCTCGTTCTCTACCATCGGGTCAGGATCTTGACCTAAAATCGCGTTAATTCTATCCAGAGTGGTATCTAAGAGTCCGCAGGATTCATTAAACTGTTGAAGATCTATATCCGGAACCGAAAAATCTTCTGTAGATGATGTGGAAGCTACACATAGAGAAAAATAAATTATTAATTTTATTTGGTTATAAAGTAATAAGATAATACAATCTTAGATCAACAAGTATATATACTTGCCTATAAGCTCATCGGAATCCTCTTTACATTCATCAGTTTGAGTTAAATTACCTTCATCGCTTGATAAATTTATAACTTGTGCCAAATCAGAATCATCACTTTCCTCACTGTCATCAGGCAAACTTTCAATCGTATGATTTATTAAGGTAAGATGTTCATTTTCTAATTCTACATACGTCTGATCTTGTACCTTTTGAATTAACATTGCTAGAGTTTCATTTACCGGTTGATTAACCGGTGCTTCTGGAATCTCAGTATCTTTCGTTGAGAGATCAAGAAAGCTTTTTTCCGCATTGGATTCCACGATAGAATAGTAATTCGTTGAGCCAGAATTGTTCATATTCAATTGTTCATTGGCACCTTCTGAAGACGTCAAATAGCTGGAAATTGTTGGAATTGAATCGTCTTTTTCGAATTGATCAGTATTCGGCATGTTTGATGATTCGGAGTTATCGAGTAATTGATAAACGGTGTGACGAACGGACGGTATAGTGAACGTGTGGGATTCTAGAGGTTTCCTTAATCTAGCCTTCGCCTCTCTTAAAGTCATCGGTCCAAAGCCGAATTCTTCGTCGCTGTCGTAAAATTGCACTTCTCTGTGTTTTATTTCGTTAGGCTTAGATGCTGAACTTCCCTCTTCCATTAGTAATTTGCAATTTTTGAATCTATTTTAGAAACTTGTTTTAACGGTCAATGAAGTTGTCAACAAATTCGTAATTTGATGTTTTGTGATTGGTCACATTGGTAACGGTTAGCTTCATGCCTGAAGCAATGTTGCCAAATTCATGTTTTACTTAACTCAATTATTATTTATACCATTTTACCTTACTATTATAACTTATAAACACAACTACAAGCCAAACATAATTGCAGTTATATAACAAACATTAAAAATTACTTTTATAATTACAATCTAAGAATCTAAAAGTTGAAAAGTACCCTAAATACCGAATAAGCCGAGTCTTTGAAAAAAAAAAGAAGTACATTCATTTTGACAGTTGATTTCGTGGCAACACTGTATTAACTTGTGATTTAAAACTCCAAAACAAAACGTTCGTTTCTATTAAACTCAAAATTATATTTGTTAGTTTATATAAAAATTATGCATTTCATAGACAAATGATACAGTAATTATGTCTTTTAAAGCATCGCCATATTTGGAAAGTCTACACGAATTGCTTTCATGGCAAGGACGATTCGATAATTTACTTGTGCAAAAAAACAAGTCGAAAACTTCAAGAAATTCAACCGAATCCGATTTTTCGGATGGTATAGAGCCTCTAAACGAATCTAAATCAGACAACTCTAATATCCAACACTCTGATTTCGATTGGGACAACAAAGCGATCGTTCCTACCAAGCCATTTACAGAACTATTGGAAGAGAAACTAGCCGAATATCAACCAAACATTTCTCCAACGAAACCCAAAAAGCCTTTCCTCAAAAAAGGTGCAGGCTTAACGCGTTACAAATTAACGCCGAAAGTATGGTCACCCAAAACCCAAGCACAACGCAACCACGAAAAGACTATTTCTAGCAAAGAAGTAAACCAACCTGTAAGTACAAACCATCAAAATGAACCAACACCTTTAAAAATGCCCGAAGTTTCAATTAAAAGCAAAGCTTTCTGGATTAAAGCAGACGAAAATGAAACTGACTGCGAGACAAACAATTTCAAAAACGCCAAATATTCATTTAACAACATCAAATCGAATAGCGAAGAAGATAATCACATATCGAATAACGAACCGTAAGTTACCGTTCAATAATAAACATTGTAGTATATTACAAAAAGAGATAATTTCAGGGATCACAGCAGCAATTTTGATTTAAACTATTCTGAAAAGGAGTTACAGGTGTTTGAAATGCTTGAGGAAAAATTAGCCGATGGTTTCACATCGGCCAATTCCAGCATTATGCAATTACTAGCCAGTACTCCGAATAACAGAAGAAAGTCTAATATTAACGGATCTAACCGAGACAATTCGGAAATGCTGTCCAAAATTCTCCAGAGCCTCAAATTAATTACGCAGAACAACCGGAACGGTTTCATTATAAGTACGAATGCTAATTCCTGTATACTTGTAAATTTAAAGACAGTTTCGTAGATTCTCCGTTGAAAAATTCCGCAACATCTTTTTCCGATGCTGAAAAATGGTATACGTCTAATTCGCGCTCGCAATCTTCTTCCAGTTTCTACTCAGAATTCGAGAAAACGCTAGAAACACACGAGAAGGTGGATACTGGAGTTAACACGAGTTATGTGGAAGAACAACAGTGCAATCGACCAAAGTTTGAGCAGTGTACGGGGTGCGTTGAGCTGCGAAACAAGTTATCGAAATTAGAAAAAGATATACCTAATATTACTGTAAGTGATTGTGGGAGTTTTTTTATGTAAATTTATGTAAATCTTGTTATAATTTTAGTTAGAAAAGGCGAAGCTGTGTGATTTTGCGAAAGAATTGGAATCGAAACGTGACGATATTCAAAAAGAAATGGAATTTATGAAATTGAAGTACGAGAAAGATCTGGAGGATCTGAGGGAGGAATTAGCCGAAGAAAAAGTTAAATCCGCTAAAGACAAAGCATTAGTTAATATGTAAGAATAATGGGTGTCTGTCTAGTATGGGGTCTACCCTACCGCATCGGGTCTAGTATGCAGTCTACCCAAATTTGTCTTATACAAAGCATAACAGCAAGATTTTGATAAGTGATCTTTCATTAAAAGATTTTGCAAGTATTATATTATTATGAATGAATTAGCAGGTAAATAATTCACTTTTAAATGGACAAAAATTTGCAGTTTTGTGGTACATGTTCACAACAAGTTTCATTTTTGCAAAATATAGCACCTATTAAAGTATTTAAGTATACTTGGGCGACTAAATATGTAGGTAGACCCCAAATATTACGGTAGACCACATACTAGACCAGCACCAAACAATGTTTTAGAACCTTTAAGAAAAAACTTGGTTATTTGTAGGTATCTCAAGGAATCAAGACCTTCAAGAAAGGATCGTGAACAGATAGACTGCTTGAAAAGGGAATTAACTGATTTAAAAGAATTAATGAAATTAAAGGAGACTAAAAATGGAACGACGCTTGCTAGATTAAGGAATCAAATTAAACAATTCGAAAAGGAAAAGTCGGAACTCAAAAATTCATTAGAATATCTGCAAAAAGAGAACGCTAAATTAACCGCAAATCAAAAAGTCCACAAGATTACAGATTCTAAAATGTTGCAGCAAATTAACAGGAACCTTCACAAGTGAGTTTATTTAATTATTATATGTTTAAAGTTTATTAAGAAAGAACACGATCTTTGGTTGGTTGCAGATTAACAGAAGAAACGAAATTAATCAACAACCCATCAACAGTTGTGAATCCGGAAAATACAACTTGTAAGCAGAAGAAGAATAGACGAAAAAGTATGGGAGATGTTAAAGATAAAGTTGAAGATAATCCAAAAATTGAGGTAAATGTATAACAATTATTGGTAATAAATTTAAGATAATTATATAATGCATTAATATCGTTGTTTCAGTTGAATAAAACGACGAACATTCCCTATTCTGTTGACAAAGACAAGGATGTTGAGGTAATATATAATGCAAAATATACGGAAAGTGATTTAGAAATGCGATATGAATCTGCTTTTGGGTTACAAACAGAAAGCGCTGGCAGATTGAGCGATTCGAGTCGATCAGCTAAAGGTAAAAAATCATTGCAATAATTTGTGTTCCATAAAACTATTGAAGTTGTTTCACTGTATTAATGATATTTAAGATGAAATAATAACAGCTCAAACATCCTTTGCCGATGGATCTCAAGAAATTAAATATTCCAATGGTTGTATCAAGATAATTTCACCAGACGGTAACCGCATTTCCTTAAAATATTCAAATGGAGACTTGAAAGAAGTATATGTTAGTGAGAATATTAAAAAATATTATTTTTTATCGAAGGATGTGTGGCTTACGAAATACGGCGATGGCGTGGAGCTAATAGAATTTTCAAAGTAGGTTTTATAGAAATTAAAATTTTTGAAACTGGTTTTTATAATTTTTTTCACAGTGGTCAAAAAGAGAAAAGGTTTCCGGACGGCAGAATAGAAGTTGTTACTTTAGACGGGACAAAATTGAAGAGATTTCCAGGAGGCACGGAAGAAGTCCACTATCCGGATGGTTCAAAAATGGTATGTTCCGAAGATGAAAGAATTATCTACTTACCTAATGGGCAAATAGAAACCCACAATAAGGAATATAAGGTAATATCATTCTAATTGTAGACTCTGTTATTACTTTGAATCTATTTATTTTCTTTAGAAAAGAGAATATCCTGATGGAACTGTAAAATTTGTATATTCTGATGGAACTGAAGAAACTCGTTATGCAAATGGAAGGGTTCGAGTTAAAGATATCGATGGAAATCTAATGTCCGATTCGTATGAATCATTCAGTCCAAAAATTTCATAAAATACACCGGCTTTAAAAGACATATAAGAAGTAAATTTGAATCAAAAATAATTATTTCATCAGTAATGTATACCATTGTTTAAGTTATTGTTTTTCCGTTACTTTGTCCAACTTATAAAATGTGTTCAATGGAAATTATCAAGTTTAAAATTAAAAGATAATATCCTACATTCATTTCGATTTTTTATTTCAACCGACACTGGCCTTATCAATGAATTTTCAATCATCTAAAATTTTATTTTTTTGGACTTGAACTAGCTGCTTACCTGCCTAGTTAGAGGACTACACACACAAGTCACCGAATTGACATTTCTCATGAAAATTTTTGTTCTGAGCATTTTACTGTCAAAAGTGTCAAAGTCAAGTCAATAGTTTGTTTTTATTTTGTAGAAATACATTTTATTTAAAAACATTTTATTTGAGAACAAAATTAAACCATTCGATGGCAATTTGAAGTATAAAAAATATCTACAACGTATGTGCACTATAATACCCACTTTAGTAAGTATTAAAAATTCGTCATATTCATTTAAAGGTTGTTATTTTAGGTTTATTTACAACAATTTAATTCCTTTCAAAAGCGGATATGTTACGATTGCTAAGTAAGCTAAAAAGGACAACAAATGAGGAAACAAACTCAAACAATGTAATGTAAAGCGTACGTCTCACTTAAGAGAAATAATATATAGTTTTATAATTGAAGGATTCAACTAATAGTAGCACTGAAATGCCTTCGGAAACCATCAATTCAATCATCGGAATTAGTGATGTTAACATAAACACAGATGATAGTATGAAACAAATTCATACGAACGTTGAAAATGTTTTAGAAAACAGCTTAGTTGAAGGTTTATACAGTGAGGAGGTAAACTTGATTAAAATTATATTATTTTAAGTGTAAATTAAAACTAATGTAACTTTTAGGTTGTTTGTGAATCGTCCATTGAAGAAGAGAACTCGCAACCGTCACTTCACAACAATGGAGTTAATATTAACTTAACGATGACAGAAGGTACAGAGTACATTTAAATCCATTAGTTAAAACTTGCTAATTTTGTCTTAAAAAGTTTAAAATGTGTGCAGGTTTAGAGCTTCGAGTGATCAAAAACAAAAACCCTTTCAAAGTGTCTGCGAGGCATCAGCCAAATGATACAATAAATTTAATTTAATTTTATAAATCTATTTATGAATTGAATACTTTCAGGCGAATGAAACAGTAAATCAAATTGTTTATCAGCGAATCTCATTAAATTTTAATGTGTAAGTCATATATCAAAGATATGAAGTTATCAAGAAAGAAGAGTGAAGATGATGAAGAACAAGAACAAGAATACTGCTTTTTTGATTTCTTTTAATTTTTTTACTTAAATTAAGGCACAAATTACAATTTTTTATATCAATTCAAGTTGAAAAATTAAGCAATTGTAAGATGATAAGGACTTTTTTACATAAAGCAAGAAATAATTTTTGAATTCATTTATAATCGATAATTTGTTTTCAGAAGTGGCAATTTCAGAACTAGTTGAAACTACAGAAACAGGTACTTTATTCATTTATTATTATTTTGATTTATTGCTTATTAATCAATTCTAGAAATCATTCATCATCGTTTGTCAGAGAAAATCGACAAAGCAGAAGACATCTACGCCTCGGAGGAAATATCACAAATTAAGCTTCCATTGAAAAAGCGAAAACATTCCGTCATTAATCCAATAAACCACACGGACAATGTAGAAGAGGAAAATCAAATAGAATATCTTAAACATAAGTTAAACTATATAGAAGAAAATCAATTTTACTTTTACCCTAGTAAGCCAGCAATGAGCATAGCAGAAATAATGGATAATTGGCCCCATTTCTCTAATTACCCAGTCAAGAAATTTAAAACGGCTGCTGAAAGAAAAGAAATTCCTTCAACGGAATTGCAATGATTATGGCAAATATCAACCAAACGTTATAAATCATCCATTTTTCTTAGCATAAATAACAAATGGAAGTATAAAAATTCAAGGATTAACTAAAACTAATGAATGTATTTATATTGTCTAAGTTATATTGATACTGGAAGGTGAAATCTATGAAATTTTTAAAGAATAAAATTTTAAACGTTTTTTCGTACTTAATGCTAATAGGAAATGTAAACAGATAAATATAATTGTAAATTATTGTGTTATATTAAAACAATACTTTCGTCAACAAGCTGTGATTTTTTTACCATTTGCATTTCAATATACTTATTCAAAATAGATTACATAAAATTAATTTAATTAAAATTTACAATTCAAATAAAACGTGTGTTAAAAAAACAAAAACAATATATTTTCCAAAATTTTCGTTACATTAAGTAGAAAGCATACAAAAAAAAATGTTGCATTATCAAAATTGTTTTGTTACATTTACTTGTTTTAAAAGTATAAAAGCGAACAAATATCTACTTAATCATCTTCTACTTCAATGAAATTGCATTCCAAAAAGGCTTTGGCTATATGATTGTGCTTTTCCAAAAATCTCAGTTCATCTGTCGTCAGTTGTTCGTTCAGTTGTCTCAATGCTATCAATATTTCGGCCTAAAAGTAATTGTAAAAGTAAAGTAAAATTATTCGTGTAGAGCAAGTTAATATTAATAAAATTTGAATTACTTTTTGTCTATCTCTGGCTTCTTCGCTCAATTTGTTTCGTTTCACTTCTTCATCGATTAAAAACAACCTTTCCCTCAATTGCTTCGGTTCTTTTTTCCCAAACAGTCTTATAACCTCAGGGGTTTTGAATGCTTTTGATATAGCTGCTTGAGTAGCCTTAAACAATATCCTCGTATGAATTTTATGCTTTAGAAATCGAAGGAAAGCTATTTTGTGTCTACAGAGGATTATAATTATTATTAATCATACTCTTCATATTATTATTAGGCCATTTTAAATGTAACATATGAATAAATGAGTACATAGATATAAAATCTATACTTACAAGTTGGACTGCACCCAATGCACTGATAAGCGAAATATCTCCCTTGACTAATTTGTTCAAGCTGTTGTTCAATTCCAGTAATTGTTCGTTTGTATCGTTTTTAATTTCTTCGTACTCGTCCTTATCTAAATCATCCCTACAAAAATAGCGAATATCAGATAGTAGTTTAATCAGAAAATGTGGATATAAATTTACTTGCAATTTTCTAAATCCTGTAATTGTTCGACTAGTCTGTCTAGTTGCTTCTCCAAATTTTCCTTGAGTTTTTCGGTTTCTAATTTTCCGTGAGAAGTCATTTTAATAAGATTATTTATTATTTAAGATATTGACATTTTAAATTTTGAGGTTAATGGACTATGTCTTGTTTATTATGACAGTAGTGACGACTGACGTTTCTACGACAATCCCACTCTTCGTGAAGTAATCAAAGAGAAACGTCTATATGCGTTTGATAGGAGCTAGACAAAGATCGCAGAGAGAAGAGAGTCGGAAATGAATGAGAGACGAGCAGTGATTGGTTAAATTAGTTTTACAACATTCCGTTAGGTGTGCTTTTGTGAAAACGTGAAAGCCGCGTGTCATTTTTGATAAAGTGAAAAATTATTAACTTTAATTTGTATAATATAAAGTGACATTTTATATGTGTTATTGAAAAACAATTATTCAGTTGTCCCGCTTCAATCCCTTAAATTATTTTAAGGTGAAATGAACAAGAACATCCAGTGAATTATGTTTTTAGTCTAATACTCCGCCATTTTGGAATTATCTTAACCTTCCACTGTGGAGTTCGAACTATTCAAATAGTGATAATTTTTTTGAAATTTTCGTGTTAATCGGTGCGTAAGGAGGTACGGTGTTTAGTGAAGATGCCAACAATTAGATCATATACTTTCTCAGAGTCGCAGTAAAGTGTCAATGTTAAACATATGCAGATTCCTAGAATTGGTCTGCCACGGCTGCTGTAAGGGACTTTGCGCCCGAGCCTGAAATGAGCAGTAATCCGAAGCAAAATGCGGCAGGCGGGCCGCAAACGCAAAGATACACATCGTCACCGTATCCTTTTTATTATTTTTTATTTTTTTCGAAATTCCTAGCCCTAGTTACACCCATCTGTCACACCGAAACCAAAATGTCAAATCACGTTCACTGTTACCTACTTCCAAAGAAAGTTATTTCAAGTTTAAATATGCGAGGAATTCGCTCGCCGAATTCCCATCTGAACGCTTATGTTCCGCTTTAAATGCGAATATACGAATGCATTTCCTAGTTTCGGCGTGTCAAGTGGCATCTGATTAGATTAGCCTCGTAAATAGGTAGGTTAGGTTTACCATAAAATCAGGTAGGTCTACATTCACTCGCTCATGAAGCTCTGGTTATGGTTAGTCTGTTAATCCATATGGTATCGGCTATTGTGCATTTTGATTGTTTCAATTCGAATTTAATGCACAATCGGATTTTTCCGGGCGATTGTTAACTTGTTAGAATGTGTTTAGTTGAAAATTTAATTTTAAAAGGCTAATTAAATTTAAGGAGTGACGTGTTTTGTACTGGAATGTATTACATCATATGATCTGAATGGAAAAATGTTTAATAACAATAATTGTAAGTAGCTAGATAAATAGTTTTCGTCGATTTCACGTTACTCGTGTTTCTACGTTTATTGCGGTAATCTCGAATGCGAAGGAAATATTTTTATGCCACGTTGTGCTTGCCGAATTTCTTTAATTGCTCCAATTTTCCCTACGTATTTACGATTAACGAAATTGATATTATAAATAAGGTGTTTTTGTTGTATTTTTTTGTATGCAGGTATACAGGAAGTTGTGCATTTTTTTATTTTTCGAATTTTCTTCTAAATAAATAACGTTGGCCTCGTCCAAAGTTGCGAAATTTAAAAACTGAAATAGCCAATCGGTTAGAAAATGATGGCGCATGCACTGTCGTTTCCTAGCGGTCAAATTCGGAATTACGATCCTACCGAGGTTGCCGGATACACCGGAAATTCACCTGATTGAAATATTTTGATATAATTACCACATTGTTTTTAGATAATTATTTAGACCAGTTTTGAAGGTGATTAGGTTAGATTATTCGAAATGGTAGTTTTATTAATAAAGTTGTTGTTATGGTACTTTCGGGTGTTGGGAAAATGTAATATGTACGTTAAAAGTTACGTTTTTTTTTCCTCCTAATTGTGAGATGACTTGCTTAAAAGTGTTTCTGTGCAATTGAATCGTAATCGCATAATAAATAGCGTTTTTTTTGCAATTTTACATTTTCGTGGTAATATCTGGGGACATTTAATTTATCGACTTGGCAACGTCGCCCATTGCTGTCTGTCACAGTCGATTACAATGGCGTGTGTCGCCGAATTTTTGTTTTGACTTGAAACGAGCAAACGGTTAACATTTTTAATTGTATATTGTTAATAGTGATAAATTAGAAAGATTGTGCATCGAAACTCGTAAATTACAGCGTGTGTTAAGTGAATCGCCGCGGTTATTCCACGTGATACGCACGGTCCTCTCCTGACGACTACCACATAAAACGCCCTTATTGATTTTCGCTGTTAGGTGCAGCGCGACGTGCTTGGCATGTTCGAGAGTTCGGTCGTTTCGTTTTCAACGTAGAACGGACGCCGCACGGAAATCACCACCGAAATTGTGTTCAACTAGCGAATCGTCGGAGCTTTGTGCGTGTGACATTATTTTTTTTTGCCAGTTTTCGCGTTCGATTCCCGATTGATACATTTAATTTTTTTCTCGTGTCCCGATCTTGCATGCATGCATCCGTCGCTGGTGGTTGCAGAAACCAGTGGGTGATTCACGAGATGTCGAAACGCGACTCGGCCGAATTTCTACTCGGTACCATCAGGGCAATCGTTAATAAACCCTCGTTGAACGACGCGAAACTATCGACGATGTCTTTTATAAAGGATTAGTCCGTTTCATTGACTGCGATTTTTATTTTGGTTATTCTTTTTTTTTGTGGTATTTTAATATTTCCCGTATTTGAATCGAAATGGTTTCGAGGTATATGACTAACGGTACGGTCAAGCAGGAGCAGGGCATCTGTCTGCTGCCCCAGCCTCATTATAGGATGTTGCCGCCGCCGCAAAGTAAGTTATTTATCACGTATATATCTGTTTAAAGCATGGTCGAATCTCGTCCCGCTTATTTCGTATCGGTCGCTGCATCGTAGGGACTATTGATCCCGCTTAAAAAATAACTACACCGTGCACTACGAATCAAAAGTTTTCTCGATTCTTTAGTTTTGGAATGTCGAAACTGGTGTAGCACGTGTGTACGGAGTGTAGTATGTGTGCGCCAATGAAAATGCCGAAAAATCAATAAAGTACGACGTAAGCGTCAACGTCGGGATGGATATCATCCGAGTCTTGTGCAGAATGCACCTTCCCCATGTAGAATCGAGGTCGTCGGTCGCGGGGCGCATCCCTCGCGACCCCTCACGCACCGTCTGCTTATAATCGAACTCGAGGGTGGTATTCTCTGATATGGAATAACCGAGGACCTTGACCATTCGTTCTAGCGAAAGATTCATTCTCGGTATCTCCTCTACTGGTACCTCCTAATATTTTTTAGTTATATACCAAGAATCGGGTATCATTGACCTTGCACAACAACATAACGATTTGTTTTCCTTCAAAACCAAATGCAACAATGTAATTATGTGTAGTTAATCGACATTGATTTTTTTTATATAATTTGGACGTTCCTATTGCTCGTTTGAATAGTTAGATTTTAGTGCCAATAAATTCTTATAAATATCCGCTGCACTACTTGCAGTTATTGTATCATAACTGTTGCAATTTCATTCATTTGACGTATACTGCAATTTTCGAGAGCAACAATGGTTATTTACTTTATAAACTAATGAGCCACTGCAATTGTGCATGTAATTTTAGTTGGTCACTAGAAGTTTATAATCCTTTATGGTTTTGGTATATGGCAGGTTGGTCTGTATAAAATTAGAAGAAATTCACTAAATTCATAAGCTTATTAATGTTTAAATTGCTGTAATATGTAACATTAGGAAATGAATTCGTTAAACCACGACTAATATAGCCTATTTTTTGCTTTGTGTCCATACAATACCGTATTGTATTGTATAGAATTTGAATTTAAAATTTATCAAAATATTTACATTTAATTTGAAAGTTTTAATCTAATCATTTCTAGACGTTTATGAGATATATGATGTAGAATGTTGCTGAAATTACAATTATATACGTTTCAACTTTCATATATTTATTCCATGATACGTGAAAACCCTAGATTAATGTTAGTCTAGAATTTTATTTCCAAAGTCAATAAATTGAGTTTGGTTTAAAAATAAGATTCAAATACAGATTAGTAATTACCCTAAACCGATTAGTATGTCTACAGGAAAAAATAAAACCCATGATATCAAGGATTAGTTAGAGATGGTTATTATTGATTCAAATAGTTGATTGATTCTGGAAATGGACGAATTAACAGTACAATGAAATAGGGCCCCAGAAATTGCATTATTTCACAGAAGTATTTAAATGTAATTACGTTTAGGGGTCGTACAATAAGATTTGAAATGTCTGGAAACAAGACTTAATATTTTTTGAAATATTTCATATTATGGCAATATTTTTGGATTTGTTTTAAACTTTACGCTTCGACAAATTCGTCGAAATAACCATGTGTAAATGAAAATAATTTTATCAAAAAAATTTTAAGCGCACGTTTAATTATGTTTCTGTTAAGATCTTTAGAATCTGTAGAAATTTATTTGAATATAAATCCAATGTTTTTTGCGCTTTAATTAAAATTCTAAATGATCCAGTCAGTTTCAAGGTTTTCCTTTATGTCGCTTTGTGTTGGAGACGTTTAGATGTTAACGATCGGGTTATAAAATATAGCATTCCACGAAATTAGTCCTTCTTAAAGTCATAATTCAACGTCTGAAAGATTTCGTCCAGAAAATTCGGAAGGTGTTTTTTTTAGAAAACTCCTTTGTTCGATATTCATTTCCTAATCTTTAATACGATACTTGTAGGTATTTCACTTGATACAATTGAAAATATTATTTAACCGATTTTATTTCGGTTTTTATTAAATTTTTATGACTTTCTTTGATTTTACGACTTATCCTGATATTTGCAATATTGATTTTTTTTAAATTTTTCATTGTTTCCTCTTTAATCGAACCTTCTATCATTCAAATAACATAAAAACGTTTCAATTCAAGTGGGTTCCTTCTAATATCACTTCATACCGTTGCCTCCGGTTGGCCTTTGACACACCAATCTTGCGATTAAGATGGTTGCTGGTGGGGAATCGGTGACGTTTTAGGGCAGGGTCATACGACAATCTACATTAGTCTCATTTCTCTATATTTTGACAAAAAAAAAGGTCATTAAATTATAAATTTTTAGTACATAAAGAAGTCGAGTCTTCGTACATTTCATGCTTGAAGCTACATCCAATTTTAGATTAGAATTCCACCTTTTCTTCCTAAGATTTGAAATATCTTACCGGGTTCACTCTGTATGAACAAAGCAATTCGATAATTCCGATTTATACGTATTGATAATTCTTCTATTGCTCTTTCCTCCATAAAACTGTTCAAATTCGTCAAATAAAATATAAATTATTACTGAAGTAAAATATTACAATTAATATTTCGAATATTCATACACAGAGTCAAGCATGTATTATGGTAACAGTTGTGTTTGGGTAAACACATTGTTGATTTGTTGGGAAAACCCTTTTAACATGTAATAAATCTAAAAACAAAATGAATTGTTTGTTGTTTATAAAATACTTTAAGCGGGAATTGTAGACCCATGTAAATTGAAATACACCATAAAAAATACCTTTGAACTACAATACATTCAAAACACCTAATACGTATTTTGTTATGTATTGTTTATTTACAGTAACAATAGCCTTAATATGCCATCAATTTTCTCGTTGATTTTATAAATGCAACCTAATTAGGATGAAATAAGACTTCCTTATTCGTTGAAATAAACCCACCCTTGGAAAACAAGACTAATTATATGCATTTACCCCTACCTGTACTTGGGGAAGGGGAAGGGGTAGGCGAATGCAATGGTGATTTAGACAAAAATCATTTAGTATTCCTTCGCATCTTTTGGAAAGAGTTTGTTCAGAATTAAATTAATTGATTTCGTACTTTTCTCAATGTATTCCTTAACGTTTGATCCCAGTTGTTACCAGCCAATGCAACCAGTCACCGGTAGTGAGTATGATTTTTTCAGTAGGTATCTTTTTTTTTTTGTTATATTTACAACTTATGTATGTTTCAACATGAGGTTTTTTTGAAAATTTTCAAGTACCGGCAATGAATAATCTTTATTGAAATCGTATGTAAAATTTTGAATTGGTGGCAAATCTTTCACAAGAAGCGGGGCTCGGTGCTATTTGATTATACTTTTGTTCGATACATTGAATATTTTTTACAGGAGGACCTGAAGGGTATCCGGTTTCGACGCCTCCAGGACCTTATGCGCCACCGCCGCCCAATCAAGGAGGGAACCAGGCTCCCGCTCTGAGAGGGCCCTCCGGGCCACCGAATCAGTCTTCGACGCCGCCAAATGCGGCAGATTTGAAAGTACCGCAAATACCTCAGCAAGCTTCCATAACGTCTATGGTAAGTCTATCTTTTAGGTTTCATTAACTATTCGTTTGTCTATTTTTGAAAAAGGAAAAAAATACTTATCGTATCTAACAAAAAGTACGAATGTACAAAATACCACTTGAGAATTAATACCTAGATATAGTGTGAACTGTATTTTTTACAATTAAACACGTTAATATAGATTTCATATCATTGGCTCAAATCTGCGCCTTTTCTAATAATTTTATGTTATCTGTCGAGTTAAATATCAATTTTTTTTATAACTACTTATGTATTTCTAAGGAAAAATTAATGTGTCTTGTTATCAGTACCTATTCTGTATTCATTTAGATAACCGTGACGTTATCAGTATTACCAACGATCGTGTCGCCCACTGATAGCTAGTTTAGCCTAATGTAACATGCTGTAAGTTGTGGCTGCTTACATTTGTATAAAAACTCAATAATTTTTGGAAAGCTATCATTTGATTTTATTAATGTAGTGTATTCATAGTCGTAGTCACACAAGACAATACTTTTTTTGCGTAAGCATAGCTCTAACATTCTATGACATTTACAGAAATATGATTTAAATTCTGTTACAGTATACAGCTGTCCGACCGACTGCGGGATCATATTATCCAAGAACAGCAGGTCCACCTAATCAACCTACTAGAATGGCGAATCCTAATACTAGGGTAAATATATGGTTTTTTTTTGTGGAATACGATTCTGACGATATAGTTTAAAGTAGTTAACATTTGTAATGGTTGTTAATTTTTTTTAGCCTCAGCAGCCTGCTTTGTTTACACCGGCAGCGCCTCAATTTATGCACGTCGCGCCGCAAGTGTATATCTCGTCGAATTCTGTTCCATATGCGTTCAACCAAAGGCCATCGACAGGTTTCGCTCAACTACCTATATATCAGCATATAGCTTATCCTTATGGCACTGCACCGACACAAACTCAATCGACGGTGTCTTGTAAGTACCTAAATTTGTACTATTATATTATGGGAGGCGCTAACATGTAGATCGTTAGTTACTAATTTGGTTTATTGTTTTTAGATAACTATTATCCTGCATCGATGATGCAGAGAGCGACGGGTACCATTCCTCAAGCGCCGGTGGCGAATCCGAACTCGCAAAATCAGATGCCAAGCGTTCCTATAGTGACCAATAATCATCATCAGCAGACATTTCCACGACAACAGCAACACAAACGGCGATCAAACGCTATACCCATTATAGACCCGGACACAGGTACTTTTTAATAATTAGCCTTACTATTTAGACCTGTCGCAAACTATAGGATTTCATATAGAACATAATAACCTATTTGGTTTACAATAGACGTGCATCTTCTCCTAGATGGAAGATCGTCTCGTTAGCTTCTGGAGTTTGAGTAATTAAACCTTTGTTTTTCAAGGTGCCGATCGTCTTCAAGAACTATTCGAAGATAACTCGCACCCGCCCTCCGGCGAATCGTCGGCCCGGCAAACGCCCCAGCCTTCGGCGGCCACGCAGAGCCACAACAAAGAGGTGCAAGCGACGTTCGCCAAACAGGTGTTGCAAGCTTTGAACAAGGACACGACGTCCGCCGATCAGCAGCCGCAGCAGCAGCAGCAGCACCATCATTCGTTCGTGCCGCCCGCGCCGCCCAAAGACGAACATCATTCGGAACATCACACGGACAACGCCGGCGGCGTTCACCCGGCCAATCACGTCGTACACGAACAAGCTTACGTAATGGGACAGGTGCATCAAGTGCAACAGCAGCAGCCGCAGCATCCGCAGATCAATCGCGAGGTCGTGCAGACCAGTAAATTGCAGGTAAAAGAGATTATTGATGAGAAGTTTGCAAACTACATCTTGCAAAGTCATTGTGTTTTTGTATGTATTACTGCTCTGTTTGTTGTATGTTCACTATTTCTTCTCATCTTCGAATCGAGTAGTATCGAGTAGTAATTTACAAAAAGACAATTTCATGTTTTTTGTTGTATAATATAAAAACAAATTTGATATAAATTATATAAAATATTCATCACTGATAATATAATCCGAAAACGATAGCGTACCCGTAAATGTAAGGATTTTCCATTGAATAATAGTTGTAATTGTCCTTTTCGATGTCCCATAAAAATCGGGCGCAACAGAAGACGTCTTGGTTGTGCTTTTCGCCCATCGTGGCGATTACGATAATTTTGTATCTGCTGAATTGGAGTTCCTTTACTTTGTTTCTGACCGTCTCCGACACCCATTTCGCCTGCTTGACGCACAAATCCGGATTGTATGGTAGATAATATTTCATGTCGGTCAATTCGCCTTCTTCGTCTGTACGAAACGCCCTGAAACGTAATGTAATTAGATTTGTGTTTTGGTAATCCATTTGGTAAAATCCATTACGTGTAAGCTTCGAAGGCCTCCTCTAAAACGGTCTTTATGATTGATAACACCTTTTCCGGATTGTACGGTTTGTCCGGTTCCATTTTATAGGTGTTTTGGAACCTTGCAACTTTTGGTGCGCCTGGTATATCGACGAAACTTTCGCGTCTTACATCGATTACTTCGCCTACGAGTTCCTTGGCTTTCTTCTCCAAGCCTTCTTCTATGGCCTGTTCGGCTTCTGAGGCATCTTCCTCTTTGGCAGCCGCTTCAGTGGGTTGCGGTTCGATGTGTTCGAAAGAACCCTCTAGAGAACGTTTGATTATGCTATAATCATTAAAATTTACGTAATTGGCTTTTACCTTTTTGTCCTGCTTCGCCGATCTTTTCTTCTTCGCCTTCGAATTCGCCTTCCATTCCTTCTTCCCCCTCATAATCGAGTTCCTCTCCGAATTCGCCGGCTTCTTCCAGATAATCTTCCTCCTCGAAAGCTCCCTCTTCCCCTTCGGCCGCCTCTCCTTCGGTGGCCCCCTCACCGGCGGGCGCATCTTCGGCGGGAGCAGCTTCCGACATTTTCTCTAACTTTTTTTTTTGTAATCACTGACTGATAATGTCAGTATTTGACGCTTCTGATTACAGTTTGACTTAAGGTTTGTACGAATAAAATATGGATGTTTCGAGGAGTTGGTTGACCAATAAAATTTTGGGCTAGAGCCATCTTTAAGTCTGAACTGTGCTTAAATTCAGTTGATATGCCTAGGCCTTATGTTTTAAAACATCTCGACTCGTTTTCTGTCATCGTCCTTAAATATTGTAGTTGGTTTTCTAAATTCTTATTGTTGATTTATATTTTTATTTTTTTATTTAAGTCTTTTTAAGGTAATTATTGCACATATAATCGTGCATACTATAATCTTTTTATCCCTGCGAAAACTGATTATAAACTTTTGAGAAAATAAATGTAATTCAAATAAAAAATTGTTTCAGGCCGAAGCTAAAGAATTCGTTTTAACTGCCAAAGAGACGCCAATAGTATCTGCTAATATCGAGGCCGTGGAGGTCACATTACCCAATAAGTTACCTAAAGATAGAGAAAGTCCCGCCAAGGGCCGTAAACAGAGAATAGGAGACCACAAGGATTCGAACAAGGACGTCGCGGCCGTTACAGCGGTAAGCAAAGAAGTCCTCGTCGACAACAAGGAACCTTCCAGTACGAAAGATGAGGTAATTTCCGAAATGTTTATCCCAAATATTGGTAATTTAACATTTCGTTTTGTTGTTTTCCTTAAGGCAAAGCCTATACACGAAACCTCCCCATCCCCAACGATCGCTCCATCGAATACAACTCAGGTAGCAGCTGTTAGTAAAGAGGCCGTTGCGCCCGCTAAAGAGGCCACCGCGCCTTTACAGGACAAACATCGATCTTCGCATCACCAACATCCCCAACAACAACCACAACATCCCCAACAACAACCACAACATCCCCAGCAACAACAACAACAACAGCAGCAGCACAGGAAAGATAGTAAAGAGAAGCAACCCTTGGAAAGACAAGACAGCAGTGGCTCAACTAATGCTGCTGCTGCAGCAGCTGCGGCGCAAGAGGGTAAGTAAATTTTTGTAATATTCGAAAAACAAGATGAAGATTAAGTCTGATAACTGCAAGTCTAGAGTAGAGTAAAAAAACATGATCGTAATATTAATATGAAAAAAACCATATTTCTAGATTAAATTACCTATCTAAATGTGATCTTTTGTCTTCAAAAATCGAATCCATGGATACGTTAAATCAATTTAGTATTAAGTATTTACAAATTTAGTATTTGTATTATTTTATCGGTGTTGTGCAAAAAAAGCAAAATACGACAAAAACATGAACGAGACACTAAAATTGGACGAATACAAAAAAAGAAATACCTAATAATGAAACACACATAAACCACGTGGTTTGGCTGTCGTTCACTCACTCTTAGTAATACATTTTAGCTATTTTTGAATCGGAAAATGTGTTAGTTAAATTCAAAACAGTAAAGATTATTCTTCGGTGACAGTGCGTTTAGTGTATTCCTAAAAATGTCGTTAATGTGAACTCGTCTCTCCCGGATCGTTATAAAAATATGGGCCGTAGAAAACGTAAGATTTATACCGATTTATTTTAATTTGTCGATTCCGATACGGACTCGGGAATATTTTTAGAACGAAACACACACATTATTCGCCTAAACGTGAATCGTGTCGTCTGGGTATTTGCATCTGATCATCTAGTAGGTTAGGTTCAACGATTCACTTTTCTTTTTGTATTTGTAGTTTTTGCGAGTATAGTCAATATTATTTGTTGTTTCATAAAACGTAGACCAATTTGTCGATATTTACTCGTTTCATAAATATTTTATCACTAATCAAGCGCGTGGAAAATGTACAATTATTCAGATGAAAGTTTGTTTGGAAATTTTATAACCTAAAAGATGTAAGGGATATTTTCTAGTCCTCGTATTTTATTATTCTTTTTAGATGAGTCTTAATCAGTCTTCTTTTGTTTAATTCAATTCTCTTTTTCAAAAAAATAACATTTTGCGTTCTGTATTTCAACAACTCAGCATAATTCTGAACAACAATTATCTACAGGTTGATTTATTTTAGTTTACAATATAGGTTATATAGGCTATGGCTGCGATAAAAAGAACTTCCATTAGCCACTTATAAAGGATAAAGAAAGAGTGATATTGTGTCATTGCAACTTGTCATTCTAACCACTGTCATTTTAGTAATCTTTCTTTGTTCAACTCATAGAAATGACCATATTGCACCATAAGGCATACCAATGTTTATGGTGTTCAATAAGGAATTCAGAACACCCTGTATATGTGCCTCATAAAAAATTTCCATTAACTTGCAATTTATTGTACTTTTTAGTCATTCAGAAATTATGTTGGAACACTTGTGTAATTAATACTTCGCAATTTAATTGGGCTTGGTCATATATCATATTAATCCGTTCACTTTTTTCCATTTTTGATGACGTGAAAATGAACGATGAAATTTCACAGTGTCATTGCGTTCGAGAGCTCTTTCAATTTGCTTTTATTATTGCATTTTTTTCAAATCGAAGTAAAATGCATATAATTATTAATTTTGTTTTGGTTTGTTCGATTCGTATGAAAAATGGCTCTTTTGTTTTATTCAGTTGCTTTGTCGTGCGGTGGAAATTGTTTACAATTCATTAGCATTTTTGTTTCGCAAATTGTTTTAGCAAATGTCATTTAAAAAAGCATAAATGGTAACTATCTTCTTCACGAACTTCCATTAGTTACAGATTTACAAGGCGTTTCTTGTAAAAATATTCTACTTCTATTTTGAATTTCGAAAGGTAATTTCCCTAACGCATAATTTAAATGACAACTTTGACATTACTTTTGACGTGTGACAATTACAATCTTCCATTGCATGAGTTTCTAGACGAATAGGGCTACTGCGATGTAGGTGTTTTAATGAAAGTCATCCATTAGATATTTTCCTTTACATATGGTATTTTTCCTACAAATTTCGGTAAATAGGTGTTAATTAGCGCGACATAATTGTAATATTCTTTGACGGCGTGGCGCCCCCGATCTGTTCCACACCAACATACGTATAGGATAGGTATCTCCGGCTCTCTTCTGACGTGTTGCCAAAATTGCACTTTTCCCCGCCGCATTTTTTCAGTTGAACGATCCGTCGTAAGTTCTCGACTTATCGTCGACGAACGACGAACTTATATAAGATGGCAGACAACCTTTTATTAAGCGTCGACCGCATGGGTCGGACGCAACGTGGTTAAGTTCCGCGAGACACATTTTTTTTTATTCTCGTAATTTTTGTAATTGACCTGAACCGTTTCTGAATTTTTTTTTTAATTAATTATCGATTGTAGTGTATTAGTGATTACGTGCTTGTGGCAAATAAATTATTTTTTTTACATATTGAATATACCTATATATATCTGACCTTGCCACCATACGACGATTAGAACGACGATTTGGGTTCGTTATTTTATTCAAAATCGCCAAGAAGAAGCTGAAAAGGGAGACTGTGAAAGTGAAATTATATTTGTGATCAATTTGTGATTTTTTTTCTCGTAATTGTAAGATTGAAGGAAGGCTGTTTGAAAGAATTTCGCGTACTCGCACTCGCACACACATGTTCCCGTCACGTCTAAGAATAGCAGCGCACTAAACATGGAAAACGATTGGACCACTGTTATTAAGGGTAAATAGTTTTATGAGAGACAAAAAATAAAAAAATATGGAATTTTTTGAGAAATTGCGGTGCGGCGTGTGGTGCTCCCTCGCTAACCTCCAAAACGGCTACGTGTATATGTTAGTTAGAGCGCACCTTTAGAAAGTTGTACCGTCCACATCGTGGCCTTCGTCTTCGTTTCTTTTAATTCGTTTTTCTGTTTCGCCGCGTATCCCGCACGGGCGCGAGGAAAGGAAACGCCACGGTGTTTCGAAGGTATTTTTGGAAAATTGGAAGTGTCGAAAACCGTGCGATTTATCGAACCACATCCTTTATTGGTTATCGAAAACGGCCGCGATAACGCCGCGAGCGCCGAGAACCTCGGGTCAAAGGTTCGAATCGAAAAACAATTTCTTTGGTGACGTCGAGAAATGCTCGATATTGTGACGGTTTTACGTACACTTTCGGTGTGCACTGACCTAGGGAATGATCCGAACGATATATATTTTTTTTTTCATTTTATAACTAGCACTGACGTCAATCGAGTTTGCATATTAATTCGGTTACCGTTGAAATGCAATTCGCTTCGAAGTACGGTGGCTGAATAACGGCCGCATTGGCAATCGTCCAATGCGTTTCGAATCGTCTAGAAACGGCGTGGTACCAGCGCGGTGGTGCCCGTTTCTCTCGTTTGAATAAATAAATCCGAAAATAATCCGACGAGAATTTTGTTTGCACTGTTTTTAGTATCTGTTTCAAGGTAATTTATCCGCGATGTGAACCGTTTTATAGTGAAATTTAAATTTAACCCGAACGGTGACATAAGCCACGGTGACGTCATTTCGTTGCGAGCCGGCATTTGAAGCGCTGAAAAGCCGCAAAGATTTTCAATTTTTTTTTTGAAGGAACCTTAGACTTGGATTTCCTGTCGCCTATAGACTCGAAAGAGGCATAATCCTCAGGTAGTTGAAGGATAATGGAAGTTGAAGGTCGTAAACCTATCGAATTAAGTCTAAAGTAACTGTAATAATATTCTGTTATTGTCTTAAATTAAACAGAAAAATATTGATACTTGCCTTATAGACTATCCTGGTTAAAACTCGAAACCAATGCTTTTATTGATTTCTTGTTTATTCTGTAATCTTTCACATACCACTACCTAAAGATTATTAAAATAAGAGTGATTGGAGCGAGAAAGTTGCAATCCCACAATATCACTCTTGTTCCTTTAGGAGTCTAATGGAAGTTGTCTTTGTTGCATCCATAGACCATATTGCGTACAAATTTGCACTTATCTGTATATCAAATAGTTTGTGTATGTTACAGGTAAAGCTAGATAACCGATCAAACCTAGGTTTACCTGGGTAAAGTGCGAAATACCCAAGAAGCATGGGCCGGGAAGGATTTTTGGGGTTTCATGGGTTCCCGTTATGCCAAGAGAAACTTACCCGATCCTACCTTACATTACCCGCATTTCGCACTTTACCCGGGTAAACCTAGGTTTAGTCGTTTATCTAACTTTACCTGTAACATACCGATTGCTTCAATTCAGACCGCAATATGGTCGTTTCTATGAGTTGAAAAAGAAAGATTATTAAAATGACAGTTGTCAGATTTAAAAGTTGCATTGACACAAAAGCCATTCTTTTTTTTTTCTTTTATAAGTGTCTAATGGAAGTTATCTTTATCGCACCTATAGCCTATATAACTTATGTTGCGATCTGGAATGAAGCACAGTGTGTACACTAAACTCTACTACGACAGTTATCAGAGCACACCTTTAAATGTCAAGTGTTCGATTTGTTAATTAATTTTGTGTTTTGTTTTAGCGAAATCGAAACAAAATGCTCAGAGGTCGTCCTCGAAACAGGGCTCCGGCGGCGTCAACGCCAACACGAAATCGCTTCCGACTCCAGTACAGGTGCCTCCGCCGCAACCGGCGAAACCGGCGAGCAAATCTAATAAGAAAAATGAACTTAACTTGAAAGGTGCCAATAAAGAAGGTACCGACATGGATGCCTTTAACGATAATTCTCTCCGAGAGGTCAGTATAACATTTCGCGTTTTACCAGACGAAGAACGCCGGAAATTAACGAAATGCTGTATTTTTTTTTTAGGAAGTAAACTCGAATGTAATTCCCACCCAAGTAGTTAATAATTCTGATATTATAAACGCGAACTCCTTACCCCCGACGGCGAATAACGCCGTACCGAGTCATACGAGCGAAGTCAATGCCAAAACTGAAGCGAGTAATAAGAAATTCGACAACAACGTTGCAGTTAAGCCCGCGGAAATCGTTACCAAAACTACAAAGAATAAGGTAAATTACAACAATCGTGGTATTCCGGACTTATCTTAACGCTATTTTTTATTGTTGCAGATTGATATTACAGATATCGTGAAAGAAAAACCCAAAAATATCAAACCTTTTACTAGCATGATTGGTCAAGATGAAATCGACCGGGCAGCAATGACTCAATCGAATGAGAAAATAGTGCAAGCTAAAAATGACGTTAACGCCAAAACTAGTGAAATTAGTAGGATAGAAAATAAGTTACCTTACACTGACGGTAAGTGCCTGTTAAAAATTAACGCTCTAATAAACCTCTACAAAAATTAATTCTAATTAATATCAAAGAATTAAAATTTAGCATTCTTATTTCTAATGAGATTCGATTGATAAAAAAAAGTAGAATCATGAAATACACAGTCCCAGCTCCACATAATTGTCGCGTAAATTATGGTGGCGTTTCAGTACTGTAAGATAACCAACTACAAAACTTTATTATCCAATCGATTGAGATGATTGGCGTAATTATACATGTAGTGACAATTTTTACATACCTGAACAATTGCTGTACCGGTGCTCGATAATTTTTCTACAAAATATATTCTTTTTACAGGTCAGTGGTCGCCGGCGAATCAAAATGGTATCAAAAAGTATCAAAAAGATTTTCTTATAGCATTAAGAGACACGCCAGCGAGCAGAGCTGCTCCAGATAATTTACCTGATTTCGTTTTAGCCGATGATAGAGGGGTAAGAACCTGAAACGATTTTTTTGTCTATTCGGATATCATTGAATTGTATTTTTATTTTAGCGATTAGGCGATGGACGCTTATCTATGGGAGGCAGTAGAATTGATTTTAATCCATCCTTTAATACGTACGGTAGAAATAGTTCTCAAAAGGGGGTAAGTTGATGAACTGCCGAAATTATATCGTTTGCTAAAATGCCTCGTTTTAATTTTTTTAGCCAATATCGGGTAGATCGAGTGCCAGTAAAATGGACAGAAATAAGGGTGGAAAGGGCAGCACTGCCAAACCCACCATAAAATTATCTCTATCTGTAAAAGAAGAAGTCAAACTTCACGAGTCTGAAAACGCTTGGAAGCCGGCTAGATTCACAAAAGGTGAATGTGCCACTGATGAAGATAAAAAAACCGAAGAATTATATAGGTTTGTATTTCTTAATCTTACTAGTATAGTTAATGTGACAAATTTTATCATGATTACTGCATACTTTTGCTATTTAAATATTTACATTGAAAATGTTGTTTCAGGAATGTAAGAGGTATCCTTAACAAATTGACGCCTCAGAAATTCGACACGTTGCTGCAACAAGTTAGAAATTTATCAATTGATACTACTGAGAGATTACAGGGTGTTATAGATTTAGTATTTGAAAAGGCCGTTGACGAGCCTAATTTCTCTGTTGCGTACGCGAGTATGTGCGGCCATTTGGCTCTGATACAGGTAAAGACGAAGGAATAATTTGCATTTTGTTGCGCATCATTAACAATTTTATTATTTCGAACAGGTCCCAAAGAGCACAAGTGGAAAAGACAAAGATGACAAAGAGGAGTTTGTGAACTTTAGAAAATTGCTGATCACGCGATGTCAGCAGGAGTTCGAAAAACAATCCGTCGATGAGTCGTTTAAGGAACAAAAACTGAAGGAAATCGAGGAATGTACCGATCCTGATAAGAGGAAAGATATCGAATTTGATTTCGAAGAACATTTAAGAAGAGTTCGAATGAAGTCTGTAGGAAATATTAGATTTATAGGTAAGCGATTTGTAGTTTAGTATTTACTGTTTTTAAAGTACAATTATGGTTTTTATGATGCTTTTTAAGAAAGTAGTGGACTGAAATTATTTGTGGACACAATTTTAACTGAATGATCTAGTTATAGAAAAAGTAATTTTATGTAGGATTCGTCGGAGTATTTAAATTTGTGTCTTTTTTTAGGGGAATTGTTCAAGCAACAGATGCTTACCCAAAAAATTATGCTCAGATGTTTGAACAATTTATTGGATAACGGAGACGAAGAAAGTTTAGAATGCCTATGTAAATTACTCACAACGATAGGCAAAGAATTGGAAAGCAAAGGAATCCACCTCGAAGATATATTTAACAAAATGAAAAACCTCGCCGATAGAAGACAAGGAACTAAAATTAGCAGCAGAATTAGATTTATGTTGCAGGTAAGTTGTGCATTTTTTTTGTGTACTAAAACGACACGAAAATAATTTCTATAATGTTTTTTAGGATGTCATTGATCTGCGAAACTCGAAATGGGTACCCCGTCGACAAGACTTAAACCCTAAGATGATCGACCAGATACAAAAAGAAGCCGAGCAAGAACAAATGAACATTCAAATGATGAACTCCGTGCCTATGACGCCTCGCAAGGACGAGAGAGGCGGCGGCGGAGGCGGCGGTAGCGGCAGCCAAAGCTCCGTCAACGATAGAAAGGGCGGCAGAGGTAGAATCACTGACGACGGCGGTTGGACGATGATGAAATCATCCAAACCATCCGGGTTCTCCGTGCAAAGTGATAAACTCAAAGCAGGAAAAGCGGTAAATATGCTTCATTGAATTAATTTTGCAAAGATTGTGTTGGTCTAAGTTTATTTCTTCCACCAAGTACCGCAGTACGATGACTTTAGTATTGTTGGTGTGATTAGGAAGTAGAAAATATTCTGCATTAATTACTTAGACTGATATTAAATTTCTTTCTAAAGAAATATATAATACAGAAAACATGATTATAAATTCTTGCTAATTGCGACTTGGTAATTCATTCTGTGTGTTGGTGTAAATTAATGCATATTGTTATTTGTTTTTAGCCAACGGCCGACGAACCTCTGGGTCATTCTGGTCAATTCAGGCACTGGCTGGCTGGATCAAATGTTAAACCCGCCGCTCTACAAGTTCCTAACACTGCCAATATGTTTACTGCTTTAGAAAATATAGAGTCTGATAAACGATTCAGTAAGTTACTCTCTACTTCAATTAAATAAAATTCTATAATGCATAATTAAGCAGAAAAATTGTTCATATTAAGAACTGTTTTTTTACGATTATGCTAAATAATAATTGAAGGTTTCTGTTCGCATCTCGCAACATGAGACTGTGGTTAGTTACCTTTAGACAATTTTACAAGTAATATTTCCTCCTATTATACTTTCTACGCTTTTGTATACTCATATAATTTGCTTATTACAGATTCACGTTCCGGTCAAAAGGACCCGTACTATTCGAAGGGAACGAGCCTCGAACGCGGTAGCTACAAGTACGACAGCAGGAGCGGTTCGCGTTCCGGTTCGCAGCACCGTTCCAACGACAGTTCGGCGTCGTCGTCGCAACGCGGCACGCCGGCGCCCGCGCCGCCCGTCGTCCAACAACCGCCGCACAACGTCGCGCAACAGCCGGCGGCGCAAAGGGTGCCGCCGACGGCGGTCGCGCCCTCGATATCGTCGGCGCCCGTTCAAATCGAAAATCTCACCGACGATCAACGGTATAGGCGAATCACGAACAATTTGGACGAATACGTCAACGGCAATTGCACGTTGGAGGAGTACTTCACTGATATTAGTTGCGCCGTGTCGCCCTCCCAGTTCTCTAGGATGGTTAATGACAGGTAGGGTTTAGGACCGTTAGTATTGCGAGGGATGTTTCCAAAATTCCAGCTATCCAGCGCAATATTGTTTAGTTTCATTGGGGTGTTTGATTCGAATAGTAATCATTTTCTTTTTGTGGACAAAATAGTTAGAAAAATTAGAAATTATTTGGCGAGTCTACGGAATCCAAAAGAACTATTTATCGATGGATCGATTATGGAGATTATAAACTGAACAATGTTAAGCAATGATAGTTGCATAAACATATCAATACTTATGTATCACTACGACCTTTGGAAACATTCCTCGGTGCTTGAGCCTCGGATCATTTGAGATAGAAAATGTTTTTTTTTTTAATAACTAATTGGTCCCTTTTTGTTTCAGTATATTACATATATTAGAAAAATCGCAAGATACTCGTTTGAAAACGGGAAGTCTATTTGCGAAATTAATATTACAAGGTAAAATTTCACTAGATGATTATTGCACCGGTTTAGAAGAATTATTCTGGCAAGCAGATGATCTTAAAATCGATATACCAAAAATCTGGGATTATTTAGCTGAAATTTTAGGTGAGCAATTGTATTTATCATTATCCACCGGCTTTAACACGTAGATTTTGAATTGCCTATTTTAATGATCAAATTTCTTTTTAGTCGATTCAATTATCGAGGAGGCACTACCTCTGAAGAGTTTGCACAAAACGGCGAGCGTACTCATCAAGCAAAAACAGTGCGACAAGTTGTTGGTTTCGCTTTTTAAGTTAGTCATTAGTAATAAAGGAACGAATTGCTTGCAAACGTTGTGGCAATTATCGCATCTGCAAGTTTCGGATTTCATGGATGCATCGCAGGTCGATGCCTTCATTAAGGACAATGTAAGTGTAATTTGTTTGACTAATCTGTTCTCGCCTAATTTTACAATGTATTTTCCAGCAATTTCAACTCTTACTGGGAGGTGCGACTCCGGGTAGTCAGATGCAATTATCATACGATGAAATTCAAACGAAATTGTTGAATTTCCTCAGGAATAACCGAAATATCGATGATATTTGCGACTGGGTGTTGGTAAGTCTAAATCTTGTAAAACTCTTTGGATATGTGGTATAATGTGATTATTTGTTTTAGGCTAATGTTGGCGAAGCCGGCGTAAATGAGACTAAGTTCATTAGAGCGTTGGCTACAGCTATCTTTGAAGACTCTATAAACAAGAACCTCAAGCTCGCTCCCGAACGGTTAGAGCAACATACGAATTTGTTGCTCAAATATGTTGACAATAACCCTGGGTTCGAACTCGAGTGCTTGTACGCCCTTCAGGCTCTTATCCATAAAATGGAACATCCTCAGGGTAAGTAATTGACTTGTAATTGATTCGTACTATTAGTATTTTTATCGAAACGAATTTGGTATTTATTTTGTGTTATTTTTGTTTCAGGGCTTTTACTAACAATATGTGATAAACTTTATGAATTAGGAACATTTTCTCAAGAAAGTTTTGTCTCTTGGGAGCAGAGTAAGGATCCTGCTGAACAGGAAGGCAAAGGTAATTAGGATTTATTAATTCTTTAGTGAGACTGTGTTAGTTAGTAACATTATAGTCCCCTTTAAAAAATATAATTTTCTTTCATTTTTGATTATTTTTTTTGTAATTTAATATTTTTGTTTAGGTGTCGCTTTAATGCAGCTGACGTCGTTCTTCTGTCAATTGAAGGAAAATGACGAGGATGACGTTGACGATGACGCTTCATCAGGTTCAGAACAGGATACAGAGGAATAGCGATTAGTCACAGTGCCAGTGATTTTGGCGCCCCGCATAGACTTAATAAATTGAAAAAACAAAAAACAAAAATAAAAACCTAAAATGAACTTAAGCAGCAAGTGATCGGAAGAAATTGTGACTAATTGACATATAAAAACTCTAGTTAAAAAAATTTATACAATTGTTTATATTATATATATATTATACATATTTAATTATATACTATATATAAAAACTGTTGTGTGAGTGCGACGACGACGGGATGTAAAGAGTAACAAGTGCCCTCAGTAAAAAATAGAAATTATACACAATACGCGAAAAGGACAAAAAAAATTTTTAAATTTAAGTACGGACTCTGTGAACGCTCATTAGAATATTTTCAAGAGGAAATAATACGCGAGGCGCGAGAAGGCGGGCTCAGCTGGTGCGGCTTCTTTTTATCTACAGGGTGTTTGAAATTGCGGAAACTGTCAATTCCACTAATCGGGCAGTACAAGCCAATTTTCTTTTATGTCTAAGAAAATGACATCCATCCTGTATGTTCTTAATTTATTTTATGCCAAGCGTAATGAAAATGATGAAAAGGGCGGTTTGATAAAATAAAATTGCTGTTGTTGATTTTATCGAGAGCCTTTTTCATGATTTTTAGAGTGTACGTGTATATCTACCGCCAAAAATTACCAGGAAGTATAAGTACCCACTTGATTAAATAATATATGCGTATATGATAAATGTTGCTTCTGGGAATTTTTGGGAAAAATTATGTTTTATAATTATTAGTCTCTTCGGAATATTTAGGAAAGCGGCAAGCTCCTTCGTATATTTTTACATAAACTAATAATTCAAAAATTTATGGGAATACTCATATTGCATGGTTTTTGAATAATAAGGTATAAATTCGATGCATTCATTTTTGTATTGCGGTTTATATAAATTAATTTGCATTTAAAAATTGATCGTTTTTATGGCAAAATCGGCAGTTTCCATATTTACCTAAGTTCCACCACGTAACTATTAATTTAATCTAATGTATTTATATATTTTATGTTTTATATTATTTAATTTTTATTTATAATGTTATTTTAGATAGCAAATTGTTTCTTATTTTTTTGTTGTCGAAAATAGCTGAGCCCACCATAAAATCTTCAGTTTTTTGGAATATACGGCGTTGCCTACCGTTGAAAACGATTGATTCGCCAATTTTTGTTTGTTAATTGTCGTTTTGTTATCCTGTAGTAGAACGGTAGTATGTTTGCCTTTTCATTTTTTTTATTTCACGAAAAACCCTTTGAATTAAAAAATGAAAATATATTTACCTTCTTTAGTTCGCATTACCTTATAAAATGTTAAAATTTGGAGTTGCCAATATGTATTTAAATAGGAATTGCTAATTTCTTTATTCTCTCAATTAAAATAGTCATATCCCATAGGGTGATTTATAGAACAATTCTTATTAAATTCCTCCCATCAAGTCCAAATGCTCTGTAAGTAGCCATTGAAATTTTGCGAACTAAAAATATTGGTAAATTGGAAATCATGTTTATTTTTGTCGTTTACTTCGTTGCAGTATTTTTTGGAATTACTTGTTATTTTTGAAAATTCAGAATTGCAAATTTTGTTAAACCTTTTTTTCATTGCAAATAATTAAAATCAAGACAATAGGCGACCCAAACTAGGACCTTTAAATTACTAGAACGAATGAATAATTGAAGAATAATTGTTTGTTTATTAGAACCTTTCACAGCAATTGTTCAGTATGTATTTTTTCTTACGAATTAGATGTTTCGTATATTTCCATTTTTTGCGGCTTTCGCATAGAAAATGACGAATTTTGTTGTACCCCTCTTATTTTTCATTGAAACAGTAAACAATACTACCGTCCTACGTATGCTGTTAAGTTATATAAATTTAAATAGATATAAAAGAAATTGTTCTGTATAAAAAATACGCAGGTGCGCAGTTCAGTTTTAGATAACCCGATTACTCATTGTTGAATCCAAATTATTTTTAACGCATTTGGCGTGTGTGCGACGGCGAAAATGTTCATGGATCGATCTGAAACTGGCTTGAGCGGCTGTGGCTAGTCAGAATTGTTCGCTTAAAAAATATTGTATATATTTTTTCTGAATGTATACAGCATTTTTCTGACTGATGATTTGTATATAGACTTCCTCCAAAATAAAATGCGTTTAAACAGAGTGTTTTCCACTTGGATTGTTTTAATCATCTTCCCCTTTATAATGCAATTCAAATGTAGGCCTTAGAGAGGCCTAACTGCGAATTGCATCAGATGGTATCAATCAGGAAAAAGTGCTGCCTATTTTCTAAATTTCTAGTCGATATAACCACAAATGGCCCAAGTATGCAAGCTGTATCTAGTAGTGACCTAAAAAAGCTCAGTTGGGTCAATGTGGACTTGAAATTTAGAAAAGACAACTTCCATTTGTCCTACAAAGAAAAAAGTGATATTGTGGGATTGCAATTTTCTCACTCTACCTACATTTATTTGAATAATCTTTCCTCGTTCACCTCGTAAAATATTGCCACCAATTTATGCATTTATATGTATAAAGAAAAATTCATATTCGCAAAGGCACAACAGGAAATTATCTTTTACTCGTCGAGTGTCTAGAGTATCTTGATCTTGAGACAAAATCGGCTTATTCTCGCTCTAATTTTCTTTCGTTGAAAATGCAGCAAAACAAGCAATTAAAACAAAAAAAGTGAATAGTCCTTGACCGAGAAACATGCGTCATGCGCCTCCTGCATCAATGATGTCATGAAAAACAATAACCAAACTTACTGAAAAGCTTTACTCTCCAAGTTTCACGCTAGTGGTGCAACAATAATGGAGCCTAAAATATATTGCGGGGCGTCCAGCCATCATGTGCATTGCGAAAATTACAATTTCGAACCCGGAAAAGCCCTAAAATTGTTCGGTAACGAAAACCCTGATGAACGAACGACTTGGGTGGATCTGAGAAATTGCACGGGTAAACAATACTCACTAAAACAACCAATTACAATTCCACTAATATACCTATTTTAGGAACCCTTGATAGCACATCTTTATCTCTTCTCCCAGCATTGGATTACTTGAATATTACAGACAGCTCCGTTGAACTGTCCCCTAAGGTTTTTTCTTCAATGCCAAAATTGAGGGCTCTAACAATAGGGAATAACTCAAAAACGACCATTCGTAAAGAGTTTTTCGAAGAGTGTGCTGTGCAAAATTTGACAATCGAAGATTCGCAGATTCCGACAGGTGATTGTTTCGCTCACCTAAAGAGCCTGGATAATCTGACACTGAAGAATTGTACTCTGGAAAAATTCAACGACGAAACGGTTTCGAATTTGCACTTGTTGAAATATCTGTATATCGATAAGTGCCAGATAGGCTCGTTGGGGGATTTCCACGAACACGTTCCACAGCTCGAGTACCTATACATTTCGGAAAATAAAATGCAACAATTCGATTACGAGGGTATCGCCAAGCTGGAGAAGTTAAACACACTCGGCATGTACGCCAATGAAGTCGGAACTGATATAAATTACGAGGTGTTCCAGAAATTGCCTAAATTAGAAACCATTTCTTTCGATACTGCTGTATATAAAAACCTGAAATTCACCGAATACCCATCTTTGAAAACCGTACACATTAACACGCCTACTGATGTTCTAAATGATGAAGAACAAAAAGTGATGGATGAACTTGAGAAACTTAATATAAACTTCGAATATCATTATTATGGCCCTCTTAATATTGATTACAGTAAAGTATTGATTTGTGCTTAATGTTTATAAATTCAAGTATTATATTTATCAATCATAGCTTCTACATAATATATAATAAGCAAAGTTTATTTAGTATTAACGATTATGGTAATTAATAAATGATTCTTCAAATTAAAGTGAAATATTGATTTGAAATTGTTGCCTAATAAAATAACCTAACTTTCAAAAACATACACAGAACTACAGAACACCAAACAATTATTCTATTCTACATTTTATATAGCCTTTTATTGATCAGAAACATGTCAGCACATGTTCTTGATAGGTAAACAGCCAGTCACTTCGTATATACGTCTGGAGCTTCTGGTAATAGATAAAATATAAGAGACCATAGACAAAATAAAAGAGAAAGAAACATAGAGAAAGAAAGATGAGAGAGTTCGTTCCTTTACTAAAAATTGGCATAACGTTGACGGTGCTGCCTCTCATCGGATAGCAACATTTTTCGCGAACTAAGCGTAGATTCCTTCTATATTTAAAACAAAAATTGGCGGAAAATTTAAAATTAATTTTTGTAATTCTACTCTATTTTCTTACATTTGACAATTGTGTAGTAATTTAATAGCCGTTTCTCAAGCATGAAAAACGGCTATCAAATGCTATTTTCTCTATGTAAGAGACTGTGTAAGAATAAATGAATTAAATTCTTGTAGTGTCTATTACTAGTGATTTATTATTGGTATTTTAACGATCTTGTTGTTACAGTATTTACAATTTTCTATTGATTTTTTTCAATAAATAGATAAATTTATTGAATAATGTTATTTGTTTTTTTATATATTCTCTTCATAAACAAAATGAAAAAAAATGCACTTTTTCCTTTGTAAGAATTTTCCTTATTCTACATTTAAACTGTATAGTATGAGTAATAATAACATTTTAGTAATTAGGGGTGTGTTTGATCCGAAGAATCGGCGCACTCCGAAGAATATCCCAGTTCAATTATAAAAATAAATTTAAATTGTTAATCAACCACATTCCCCGGACACGATAAGTTTAAAGGTGAGCCAATTATAATTCTTATATAAACAATAGAGCAGGTAGATCATTCGAAGAGTGGCGGTGGGAATACCTTTTGTAAAAGAGCAAAAGAGAAAGGCTTGTCGACCGTCGAAGATCGAGTTTAGTTGAGTTGACTCACCTTAAGATTTCACTGCGCTCGCTTAATTTGTATTCATAAACTCGTATAACATTTTGCAAACCGACATAGCGAGACTAGAAAATAATATGTTTGCATTTGGAACATGTCCTTTTGTGCTCATCGTACTTTTGATTGTGAATATTGGAATCTCCGAGACCGAATCAACAGGTATTAACTTTATTATAATAATACATTTAGTATTAATTATAAGTGGAAAAATATCAAATAAGTATATCCTAAGATTTTTTATTAGAATTATTTATATTTAATGATTTACCTGTAACATTACTAATTAACTCATGAAGTCTCTAGCAATATAATTTTAAAATAAGAAAGCAAATGAGATTAATTGGTACCACAGAACAAAAATAACCGGGATATTGGGACAATTAAACGGTATATCCAAATTGCAATTCCAAATATTATAATTTTCCCTAATTTGTTAACTACTTACCTCATGAAGCTTAAAACATTAATTATCTGTTAAAATAAGAAAGTATAACATGTGTACATTTATACCTTATAAATAAGATTAATTGGGATATCGGGACACAATTATTGTAATTCCAAATATTATAATTTTCCTTTATTTGTAAATAATTTGTTAAATAATCTAGTTGAATTAACCCCTCTTAAAACACACATTTCAAATTGCTAATCAAATAAGCACGCCTGTGATAATCAAATTATATCTACAATTTAATTATCATCATGTTGATCGTAAAAGAAATTTTTTAAAATCGAATTTTCACACTTTCTTCTCTGATATCCAACAAATCTATTAAAAAAATCGTGTCCATTCAATATTTAATGAAACGTAACATCAAATAATCATAAATGCATAAAATTTATTCCTAAATTTGTATTATTCTTATGTAATTGTAATAACTGTAACTATGTAATTGGATTAATAAGTAAATACAAATGAATTTTAGCTGCTACAGTAATGATGGAAATTGTTTTAGATGAATAATCGCTCTATTTTACGGTCTTTGGACATTTTCTATATAAACAATGCATATTAAACTGATCGAAATTAAATCAAATGTAACCATAAAAAACAAACGAGATTTTTAATAATATTTCTGTTATTAAATTAGTCTATTTCTAATTTATTTCACAATACACAGGGTGTACCAAGGGTTGTTATCTTATTCATATTGAAAAACTAATGTTAATTTAAGTGTAGGTGCCACAGATTTATCCATGAATAGGTTTTTTTACTTGCTGATTTTTTAATGATTTGATGGAGATAAATCGATTGTAAATTTCAGGATTTTTCATAACAACAGTTAAAAAAATCAAATTTTTTCGTTACCTTTTATTTGTTTAATAGGCAATAATTAGTCTCGTCAAATAATTGTGTATTGGACCATTCAAACTATAAAAAGCACCGTTGAACGAATTTACATTCTAATTCGGCGAATTTTATGCAATATTTTAATGTGAAAAAGAAAATTGCAATTAAGAGGTGCTCGTATTTCTGAACGATAAATTATGCAATTATGCCAATTTTATGAAGAAATGCAACCGTTTTTACGAAATTAAAACCAAAACTAACATTAAAACAATTTGAAAATTGCCTCAAAATTCAGGAAATCACTCGGTAAACTCGGTAGGCAAATAAAAATTTTATAATTCCTGAAAGTTCTTAAATAATTTCCTGAAAGATTAAAAAAATTGCAATTTGAAAATCATCTAAAAAATCTCAATAAGATACCTCAAGTCCATACAACAATTAAATGAAATAATCATTAATTATCTACTAGTATTATTATTAATCTGTTTAGTAAAATTAATCAATTAGTTAACAACTATCTTGTTTCAGGCCCCACTCATGGCAAAGTAGTAATATGTTATCTAGGAAGCTGGGCTGTATACAGACCTGATAGAGGCTCCTTTTCAATTGAGCACTTGGACCCGAACTTATGTACACATTTGGTTTACTCCTTCGCAGGACTAAACGTTACTGAAAATTCATTAAGGTCCTTAGGTAAGTAAAAAATACTTTTGCTTAAACGAAAATTACCAACTTTAAACGTTTAAGACCCATGGCAAGATTTGACGGAAGATTATGGAAAAGGCGGCTACAAAAGAATCGTTTCCTTAAAGCACAAATATCCACACTTAAAAGTAATGCTAGCAGTTGGTGGTTGGAATGAAGGCTCCACTAATTATTCGAAATTAGTCGCTGATCCCCATCGTAGGGGCGCGTTCGTCGGAAACGCCCTCAGTTTCATAAGGTAAACTATTATTTACTCAAATATTTACAAAGAAGACCCTAACATTCCATTCATGTTTACTTAGAAAATACAGCTTTGATGGGCTCGACTTGGACTGGGAATTCCCCGGATCACGAGGAGGTGCTGTAGAAGACAAACAGAATTTCCTCCTTTTGGTCAAGGTACTGACAATTTTATAGTCAAGTAATTTCCTTTCGAATAATTATATCGTCTTTAAGGAACTCAAAGCCGCTTTTAAAAAGCACAATCTCCTATTAACCGCTGCTTTTGGAGCTTCCAAAGCTACTATAGATGTCGCCTACGACGTTTTAGGTCTCTCCGTATACTTGGATTACTTCCACATGATGTGCTACGATTACCACGGGGCGTGGGACAAGAAAACAGGGGCAAACGCACCATTAAGAAGTTCAGACACGCTGAACGTGGTAAGTGCTCACCCTGTATACAAAAATATACAGAGTCTAGTTCACCGATTGCTTTTCTAGGAATACACAATAAACTACATGCTTAGCCTGGGCGCTCCGCCTCAAAAACTGGTTTTGGGAATCCCCCTGTACGGCAGGACGTTTCTCTTAACCGAACCTGTATTGGAAACGTCTAAAAGAAAACCGAAATTGGGCGCGCCAGCATTGAATACAGGTTTCACTGGTCCTTACACAAGAGAAGGGGGCTTCATGGGATACAACGAGGTAACTCATTCATATTGTCAAAGGAATTCCATCTTCTAGCAACGCATCCAATCTCCCTACAATGCATCCTGTGCTTAACTGTAAATGATTAATATTTTTAATAGATTTGCTTGGAGTTGAAAAACGAATCGCTGCATTGGAAGACCTATTGGGACGAGGAGTCCCGGACCCCTTTTGCAGTGTCCAACAATCGCGTGATGGTGTACGACGACGAGCGGTCCATCGCGGAGAAGATTCGATTCGCTATCGAGAAGAATTTGGCAGGCGCCATGGTGTGGTCGGTGGACACCGATGATTTCCAAGGCGATTGCTCCGATCCGGAGGAAGGAGATTTCGTCAACTACCCGCTGATGAGACGCATTAACAAGTCCATTGTCGAGGAGAAGGAAAATGTCGTCGCGGTCGATGGTGGTTTAAAGACTTGTAGTGTTTTGAGTATGAGTATTGTAAGTGTTTGTATAGTAAGAGCGTTGTTGTATTAGTGATATGTGGGTGTTTTATTTTTTCTTTATTTCAGTATTCCTTCCTTCCTTCCATTCCTATGTTTGTTTATTTTATTTTTTCTAAATTTCTGAATGTATATATGAGTCATTTAAAACCTCACTCGCCCTATCAAATTGTCAAATAATTTCCCGTTACGTGTTCGAGTGAATCAATATTAGCGTTATTGACCGTGGAAAAAGGGGTTGTGAATCATTCATGATTAACGGGACGCAAAATTTCCGACTAAACTCGCGTACAAATAAAATTTTGTAAGGAATGGAAGTAAAATTTTAGATAGAAAATCTAATACCGATACATAGTAGTTGAATTTAACATATGTTTTAGCAGGATGCAGCAAATTATAAACTCGAGATTCTATCACGTCTACTGCTGAACGTTCGAAAATAAACAAATCGACAAATAGGGCTGGTATAAATAAATTATACGTCGATTACTCGTTTTATAAGGGTTCCTTTTACTAAAATCCCTTCAATCTGTCATGCACAGAACGTTATGAATTGAACATTTCTATGTGTTTTCCCGGAATTGGTCTACAAATTTTGTTTAATTTTCTGTGCATCCCTTGTTGACAGAAATTTTATATCTTTATCAGTTCAAACTTTCTATAAGTATAGATATACAGGGTGTTTGAAATTCATGTAGATTCCAAAAATGTCTGTACATGGTGTTTCAAATTCATGTAGAATCCAAAAATGTCGAAACAAGTTGTTTTAAATTCATGTAGATTATGGAAATGTCTATACCAGGGTGTTTTAAATTCATGCAGATTCCAAAAATATCAATTCAGATTGTTTCAAATTCATATAAATCTCAAACACGAGAACATTCACAGTGTGGTCCATTTGAAAAAAATGACTTTTAATTATTCAGACATGGCATTTCATTATTATTATACGAGTGTAATGACTAGCGTAGAATTACAAAGAATTAATGAGCCGGATTAATAATATAATGAAATGAATAGGCCATAAATCCATCGTAAATCTCTATCAGTCGGTCCGGAAGCTAAGATGTCAGTGCCGCCGGGACGAATTAAATAAAGCTGCTCCCAGAGATCTCTTTTCATTCAATGCTCGATTTTCGAGCCAATCTAATCGACATTTATTGTAATTACGCAACGTCGACGTCAAGAAGAACGCTGGTTATTATACTCTCCAGCTCTTACATCGAAAACAAACTGGTACCATATATGTATGGGAGTTAAAAAATTGGGATTTATTCATATTGTACAGGATGGTCCTCTAAGAATGGCCCTCGGTTATATCTCGCAAACTAATTGTCGTAGAGACTTGCAGTAAAAAATCTTATTACTAAATTAGCTAAAAGAAAATGCTGGAAATTATTTTTAAGTCTCTAAAATGGCCACTAGAAGGAGTATTCGCCATCCTGATTTATAAAAGTTTTTTTTCCAAATTTTCGCTAATGAAGTTATCAAAAGTGTATTTTATTTTGATAGTATAGATAATTTCAATTCATTTTTGTTATATATTTTTGACTTCACCTTTTAAATAAAGTTTTGGGGGATGTTTGAATATTTAAACAAATAAATTAATGTTAATACTTTTAAACGGCTAAACGGATTTTCAGAAAAATGAAATTGTTGAAAAGAGCTTTCCTTGGTTTATAATTTACACTATTTAAGATATTATTTTAAACATTTGCTTGGTCGCAAGAGGGTGTTTTCCGACATTGCCTCTAAAAACACCGATTTTCTCAAAAAGTTTAAATGAAACGTTATAACTTTTTCTTTGGAGAAAAATAGTCAAATAATTGCCAAACAAGCCTGTGAAAACCGCATCTCGATATCCCCTTCCTAACCTAAAATATATCTAAAGAAGGAAAAACCAAGAAATTATATTAATATTAGTTAAATTAACTATGTATATTATGTAAAGGTATATTTTTGGAACAAGTTTCATTATAATAGCCTCTAATTAGCGATTTCCCATCCAAAAAATTAACCAATTTATTTAAAATTAACCAATATTCAAGTATGATATTTGAAAACCCCAAGCTAAGTAATATTCTTTCAATATAATTATTGGACTTTCCTTCTATTCGAACTGGTTGAGAACCAAAAAAATTAATATTAGAATTAAAAGAATTACTAGATATTAATATTCTATTATTACAAATTTTTAGGCACTTAGTGAAGCCCTAACCTGTATATGCAGATTATCCAAAAAAATCCTTTAAATTCAATTTATCGAAGCTACCCACTGACCCAAACCTAGGGGATGGTGCGAATAAGGGTCAGCATTGGTATATTATCTTTTGAAAAAGTATCGACCCTATGATTCTATTCTATTATTTAGATTATTCTGCTTTTAAATACGGACAAACTTGCCTATTTTGATGATACCAAAAGGTTCTTTTTTTTATCTTAAAGGGTAAGATAGGTGTTCGATATTGGTATCAATTGATACCTTTTTACATTCGTGCCCGAAATTTGACCGTTTTCCACTATTTTTGAACACCCTACACATGCATAAAAGCAATCAGACAACGCCTTTTGGCCATCTCCCTGTAGTATCACCGTAAATGCGGGTTTCGCTATCTACGCCGCGTGCATTCTCTATCTATTCAATTATATTCACCTTTTCCATTTCACATAGCTAGCGCGCAGCATACAATCTGAAATCGACAGTCGCAGTTCGACCAGCGAGCTGTGAGCGCGTACACCTATCGATCTGCTAGCTATCCCGCGCGTCTCGTTTCGGCTTCGATTTTATGAATGAACGGCGTTTGACAGGTGTAGTAGAGTGCCATTCGCTGGGTGGTTTTGCGAGGGAATCGACGGGGGCCGTGGGAATTTGACGCTTCGGGGTTTTTCTTCGGGAGATCATGGCCAACGATGCCGTGGTTGTCAAATTGGAGAAGGTGCTGCTCGATGTGTTTTTACTGAATTGTGGTAAGTTTGTGAGGTTACGGGTTTGTGGGTCAATAAATTCGTGTTGCAGGTTCGTTGTTGTGGAGTAATGATCTTTGATTGAATGACATGAGTTATTGTTTTTGGATTGTTTTGTTGAGCATAAAATTTCAATTGAAAGTGTGAATAGCTGGATAGGGAATTATTGCGTTTGGATAAAATTTTGAAATGTTCAAATACATGTTTGTTTACATGTTATGCATATGAAATATTTTGGAATTTTTTGCATAATGTTTAATGTAATATTGTATATTATTTGATAAAAGGGTTGATAAAAATTTGACTAATTTATTAATATATTACTTATACATATACATTTTGAATTAATTATTGTTTAGGTCATTATGGCGCCTATAAAATCTACTCTACTCCAGGATACATACATTATTACTTTATTTTTTAATTTATTATTTGTTTTTATTGTTAAATAAAAAATATTTTCCCCCTATTTGCATAAAATAATATGTCCCTACCTACATAAGAAATAAAATCTAGTCAAGACCTACATAATATGTGCAATGGAGGTCAAATTTATAAATACGTATTTAACTATTTGACTTAACTTCTTTTTAAAGATGTAGCCATGTACATGTCCTTTATGTATAATTGGATAAGTCAGGGATTTACGAGGATTTACTAGTTAAAATTTTCAGGGTGATTAATATTGAGCTTATATTAGTTACAGGTCTAATTTATTTTTAACTAGATTTTCTTCTTGGCAGGAATTACCAAAAGAAAATTTGGTGGAAAGAAATGTAAACTAAAATATTTGAAACTTTATGTCCTGAATTTAAAATTTTATTTATACTGTGACACACTGTATACTCGGTATAATAATTGTAGCAATAACGTGTAGTACATTTGATAAGAAAAGTAAAAAAATATATAATTACGTTGCTTTAAGGATAAATTATAAGTAATTATCAAGGTAATTATAGATAATTGGATATGGAACAAATTAGCATTTTTTGAACATTTTTCGAAAGATAAAAATAAAAATAAGGTATTAACTATAGACAAATGACTAAAGGAAAATAACATTTTGTCCCCAATTATAATTGTCATTTAATGATAATTCCGAAAATAATAACCCTTCTGTGATAAAAAGTGTCCCATTAGAGTCATTAGCGATGTTTACCAGTGTGTGAATTTAAAATAGAGTAGTAAATATCCGGAAAAGATTGTTTTTTTTAAACACATGATTAATTATAAATTATTAAACTAAATATCCTAAATTATTATATAGGTACTATCAATCTTTTATTTATTCTTTTTCAGTGGGCTGGCCAATATTTTTCCTTTTCCAATGGGGTAGTGCTTATCATAGAGGCGTCTTCTGCGACGACGAGACCCTCAAACATCCCTTTTTAAAGAACACCGTGCCGAGCTGGACTCTCTATATCACTGGTTTCGGCCTAAATGCAGTGGCAGTAAGTCTAAATTATTATTACAATTTTCAAATATACAGAATGTCCTCATAGCATAGGAGCTTATTCCTTATATCCATCGAGTCACGGGACACCCGATGTGTGATATAATAATAATAATAAAATCTTTTAAAGTTCAATTATACTTGAGAAGCTACTAGTTTCGGCACATGATCATCATCTTTTAAGGCATATAAATTATAAAAACAAAGATATATTTCATAACGTAATCTGATAAATCTTATTTATTTTTTGAAATAACCGTTGATATTTATGTGAGCCTCGCGGGATTTATTTTTATTGAACAAATCCCCTTTTATACTCCTTATAAAATTTGTACTTCAATAAAAAAACCTTTGAACCACAGATATTTATTTACATGGTATTAATTATTCACCGCAAAGCCGATAAAACGATATCTCTCAATTACGGAATATAAGTAATTGGATAGTTTTCGGAAAAATCGGTCGAAGTCTCTTTAATCGACTGATTTTTTAATTTCTAAAGGAGATAGTGCAATTATCGTAAACACTCGCTCGATTAATTGAACACATGATGTATAAATAGATACAGATTGTTGTGTGATTTCGCATTCGTTAATCTCTATGACAAATTGTATAATAATTTAAATAAGTACTGGAGTTCAACGCCATCGTGTAACAAACTTCTTTGTAATCATCTTTTATTTTGAGGGTTGATAATAATAAACGGGGTAAAAGGAACGGCATTGGTAAATTTGGCGCAGGAATTTATTTATTAACTGAAAGCTTACAAGGATATTTTAATCTTATAGGTAAATTGGGCGCCAGAATACTTTAGCTAAGAAAAGGGGATTGAGTTTGAGTTTATTGCAAGCTTTGAAAAAAAAATGGAATATTTTGACGTTGTTTTAAAAAGCAGTGCAAGAAACAAATTAACAAGATAGGATAGGATAGAGTAAAATAGAGTAGAAGAGAGTAAAGGAATCAGAAGAACATTTTTTGAAAAATAACGCTTATTTTGTAACAATCGTTACTGCACCTCTATACCAAAAAGTCGGTTGCCGGCACCTCTATTAAACTTATGTCGTTCGAAATGTCATTAATGTGAATTTTGGCAGTTTTTGTTTTATGTATCGTCGAACGCATCTTAAAGTCCCACAGCGCCCAATTTCTCTAAATTAATTCGTTCGTAAATCAATTACTCTAAATTATAAAAGCTAAAAAATATAGTCGAAAATTTATATCTATAAGGCGTATTCATATTACATTATTAAATTACATTTTTTATTTACAATGTTATCCCGTTTCATTAAATATTTCAATTTCTATTAATTTTCTAAACTTTTTTATTTATCAACCGCGTGAAATATTATTTAACGACATATTTCATTTATTGTGAAACAAATAACCTTCGTTATCGAAATTCGATTCATTAAAATTTATTAATTACGCGATAACTTTGAAGCGTATTCACCGATTCGTCCCTTATTAACTTGTTTGGAAGATAACGGTCAGATCAAAGTAATAGCCCAGCATGTCCTCTGTGATTTCTCGCCATTTCCTGGGTTTTTGAACTTCCCAGCATTCACGAGCTTTTTATGGGTATCAAGGAAGTCTTCACCGGTGTCCATATCCTTGGGTATCTTGGATTGCATCGGTGGATCCAAATTAACTGCATACAGTGTGTCCCTAGACCGAGTAGACTAGAGGAAATGAATCGATATTCTCAATTTTACGAAGAAAAGTAGTTCTTTATAAAAAGTCCATCATTTTAATAATTTCTTTACTTCAGCAACTTTTTTTTTTCGACAAGCAGGATTTTATAATGAATGATTTTTCTTCAAAAAACATTTTTTCCTCTCATCTATAGGGACAGACTTATGTAGATGTTCCCTTTAAATAGAACGTCCAATAAACTGCTATGAAAAATTATAATTATAAATAACTCTATGATTACAATTTGAGTAATAAAACCCAAAACCTCTGTTATTACCACAAGGAAACCACTGTGGTAAACGTTGATATCTTTCTTCAATTTTATTAACAGCATAGGTCTCAATTAATATCTACGATTTTTTTTTTTAATTTCAAATTAGCAAACTGCAACGTACGACAATGCTTTAGCATAACGCAGTAATTTAACTGCTGCACCGGATGCTCCAGGAGATTTATAGTAGGTGGCAAATATGTGCTCTAATAACCGTAAACCGAGCGCGTTTACCTTTGTGTATACGGGAGGTGACAGGGTAGATAAAACCGAACGTATTTAAAGCCACTCCAGAGAAATAAATTAAATGAAGGAAAAAAAAAATAAACGAAAAAACGAGTACGTGAACGCGGTATGTCTGTATTGGAATTCGAGGTGTGTATAGCTGGTGCGGGTTATCTCCGAGTTGCCAGGCGAAATATTTATGTTTTGGTGAACTATTTTCGGGTAAAAGGGGTTGGAAAATTAGGTCTATTTATATAAGTTATTTGTCAAACTTGGGTTGATCTATTTGGTAGTAGCCATTTGCGAAGGGTGGTGTTATAAATGGGAATTGTTTCTTATCTATCGTTTGCTCCATTTCCGATTGCAACATGGTCATTTCTATGAGTGGAACAAAGAAAGATTGTGTGTGAAAGATAAATGTCGTTCTTTCCTTTTCCTTTATAAGTGTCTAATGAAAGTTGTCTTTATCGCACCCATGGCCTATATAACCTATGTTACGATCAAAAATGGAGCAACCTGTATATTCATTGTTTAGGGGTATAAGTATCTATTATTCATATGAGAAACATTAGTAGTAACTTTCATTTCAAGTACGTTTAATTTTATTTTTATAACATCGTCTCCTTTACTTGGAACAAGGCTAAAAATAAAGCGATTTAACCGATTTTTCATCGATAACTTCAATAAGCAATGTAATCCTTAAATCATATTTAATCATAATAAACGCTTCAAAATATCATAAATTCGTAGAAAATCGACTTTGAGAGAACAATACTATTTACTCTAATATACCTACTTATCTTACAATGTTATCATATTTTTATTATATTTCCCAATTACCACGTCAAATTAATTTATTACATGTTAAATAAGCGAACGTAACGTAATGTTTATACACATAATATATTCTTAATCATTACATATGTTTGTAAAGGGACCAAACTAACCGTAAAATATATAACATATATTTGCATTAATCATCGTCATTATAAATCCTATTAACCAATTAGTGATAATTTAGTGAACTTCTATAAAATTTTCTTATTAGTCATCCAGTTCCAGTAGATGTTAAAAATGAGTCGTATGCTTTTATTATTTTGGTAAATTAAACTCGCATTAATTCAATTTTGAACAAAGTAAACTTACATAACATCTAAGCTATTATGATTTATTTTTAGAACATTCGTCTCGATTAATTTGCAATAAAATTGTTTGTAAATTGTTTCTGAATTGTTTTCAGGAAATTTTAGACGCAAAATGTTACGTTTTCATTGCATGTTTGATTTTTGCTTCTTATTTTCCGAAGATGCGCACTCGACGAGTTCTTACAACATTCATTATTTGGCCAGTATCATGAAAGTCAAATATTTGGACCACCCATCAGGAATCCGTCTTTGAAAGCTCCTTCAAACAAAGCTAAGTGGGCTCGTTAAGGCCGAAAAAAACATAAAACGTTTCGCATCGTACGTGTCTCGTTAGCGCAATCATCCTGAGATGATGATAAGCCACGCATTCAATTAGGTAAAGTTGTTTTGGATGTTGCCAAATTATCTTTACAACTTTGTAAGTCCCAATATTTTACCGATTTGCTTCTCTAGATTAGGGAGCATTTTGCATAAAATAATAAACTACTAAGACAATAATGGCAGTCTTTAATGGCGGATCCTTGGTAAAACCAAGAATAATATTACATATATCTACTCCTTTATTGATCTTCCTTGAAAGTAAAGGGAGTACTTAGCTACTAAATACCTATTATCATGTTGAAATTTTATCTTCGCCTTGCATGCTGCGCTGTGTACATATACAAATTTGAAATAGTATCAGGTTTACGCTCCCACATATCGTAGAAACGTGTAAATAAACCCATTATGCACCAACGACAAATAAACAAATATTAGTCCTACTAGTTATGAACAATAACAAACCGGGAACGCAACCATTCCAATTCCGTAATCATTTACCTGCCGGTAGACAAAACTCCTTTTCTGCGTTTTATCGTCGCCATTTAATTTTATTTGTGCGACAATACAGCCTAAATGGGGGTCATTGAATCGTATCGGCATTTTAATATAATCAGCATTTTCAAATGCACATAATTTGTCTGAAGTATTATTGCAATATTTGCCTTGACAGGCTGGATTTTATCAATACATGCAGTTTAATTAATTCTAATTTATTCATCTAATAATTGCCGTTTTATAGTAATGGGAATTTTCTCCAAACGACTCTATGTCCTAGGTATCAAACGGTAGCTCTAAAAAAACATTTATAGATACTTTTCTTGGAAGATTTATATTTGTTAACGCCCTATATACTAACAAAAGAATAAGGCTATTTTTTGAAAAATTTCTGTTACCTTTTGTCCATCAAATGCTGCCGACACACAATGGTTTCTCACGGGGGTTTTATTGAAGCGAAGCATAAAATTTACCAAAGTCGTAATGTCGTCGCTATTGAGGAATTCGAGCTTATCAGATCATATAAGAAATGTGGATATTCGATGCTATAAAAGCAATGGGTTGTTTAATATTTTTTTGTGTCAAGTCTATTCGAGGAGATTAAGTTTTATATGTAACTTTGTGTAATACAATAGGTGAATAGAACGCTTTTCTATACCTGTTCTATTTTATAGTACCATCAAATTCCTTCGTTAAGCTTTACGGAGTCTCTAAAAAATGACATAGAGAATAATATTTGATAGATCTTTATTATATTTTCACTCTAAGATCCTGCATTACTTTGCTAAGAACAATAAAATTGCACTTGTGTGAGTGAGGAATCTGTAGTTAATTAGAGTCAGAAACTTTTGGAGACATTCTGTACATTCGTAGGTAGAAAATACCAAAACTACCATAAACAGTTTTTAATAGTTTCCTCAGTTTTAAGCGCAACTATAAAAGGGAGGTTTTCGTTATATTTCCTTTTAAAAAAAGTTATTTGTGACACACAACACAAAATTTATTATGTCAATAATAACTTTTAAGATGGCTCTAGTCGTAAAACGCTCATAGTTGGGAATTCAGGACCGGTTGTAAAGGTAACAAAAGTTCAAAATCAAGTCAATACCAGAATTTGCTTTTATATTTTTATACCTTCGAAAGCAAGTGCCTCAACAGGTTATTTTTAGATGTTATAGTATTGCTATAGCTAAAGCACTGCAAAATTATAGCATCAAAATAACTGTTATTAGATACTAACTTTTTATGCTCGAACCATTTTACTCATTTTTAGGTAGTATTTATTTTCAATTAAATTTGGTTGTATCAATGCATCAACAGAACAAATTTTAATCAAGATTTACATGTACAATTGTGCTGCAAACGCCCAAACGCAATAAAATTAATGAGATCATTAAAACTCTTTACTGTTAAATGCACTCATGTCACAATTCATTCGTGCAACATAAAAATTGTCGGTAATCAATTTCTAATACAATAAACTACATAATACCTAATTAAATCGTGCAAAAATAGATAGGTATCTGGTATAACATTTCAGGTCGTGACTCGCGAGTGCTATTAAGAGACGTTTTACAAGCGTAATATTTCATACATTTATGCTCTATTGTCAACTATTAATTCAGACACGTAACAATAAAATCATCGGCCCAACATTTTCAATAATAAATAATTCAATACGTCCCTGATACGCGCCGTCGCGGTTTTCTTATTTATGCAACCCTATTACAAGAAATAACAAATTACAGCGAGAGCAATTTCATTTCTCCGCCGTAACCGCAATTAAAATATCAAACCATTTTAATCTGTCTGTTAAAACTTATAATTCAGCCGACGATTACTCGCTTTGCGACCACGACGAAGACTTCGTGCGTACAATTATAAACAACTAAAATCTCTGTCTACTCCGTAGTAGACAAGGTTTTATACTGTTTGGTATAAATATACATACGTGCGTTTGTATACCTAATTTTATGGTAAGTATTTCGTGTTTTTTTAATGCAACCTAATTATCATACGACAGGATGTCGCAAAATTTTATTGGGTTTTGATGGCCTTCGATAAATTGGCTAGAACTCGTCATATATTTACCGGAGCACCAGAACTCACCGCCGAATTTATTTGAATTTTTTAATCCGATACCGGAATTGTGCAAAAAAATTGTTACAGTAATACCAAGCAGGGATTACACACTACACATTCTACTCTATTCCACTTTCCATTCTACTCTCTTTATTCTCTACTCTTTAATATCTACTCTTTAATCTCTACTCTTTAATCTTTACTCTATACTCTAAACATACTCTCTATTCTCTACCTTATTCTGTACCTACTCTCTATTCACTACTTTAATCTCTACATTCTACTTTTTAATCTCTACTCTTTATTCTCTTCTCTTTACTCTTTAATCTTTACTCTATACTCTAAACATACTCTCTATTCTCTACTTTATTCTGTACCTACTCCCTATTCACTACTTTAATCTCTACTCTAAACTTAATCCTGCATTGAAAAGCTTTAAAAGCCTTTAAACAACGCCAAGAATTTTCACTCGAACTTTGTAACATTCGTTATATGTAAAATTTATAGTTTTGATGGACTAAAATTAGTTTTCCACATTCACTAAAAATATCATCTACATACATTTTATCCAAATTTTTTAATTTGTAGAAATTAAATCAAATATTTCACGTATTTTCAGTCAAATAGGTATTTTATAATTAATTTTCTGTAGGTACTATCAAGCGATTTAGATGAAAAAAATTGTATGTTTTACGAGCCAGAAAAGTAGAATTACCGCCTTACAGTATATTTAAAGGCTCAATGAGGCTCGTTTATGAAGACAAATAAATCATAAATAATTACATCTGAACTCGTTAATTTTAATTCCCCTTTAATACCGCTGATACTATAGTTACCGAGAACGAACCATCGGCGCGCTGCCAAAAATTGTAACTTCTAAAGTAGATATTTTACTTAACGGGACAGTTAAGTCTGACAGTCGAATTGATAATAACGTTTGATTTACCCCACGATTCGCGTTTGATGGCCTACTTGAAATAATATTTAGCTGAAAGTGTTGATGGGTTGATACTGGCAAATGCGATCGTTACGCGTACAATGTAAGAAAACACCGCGAACGTTTCGCATTCTTGCATAATTCAGCGCTTTTTATGGAAATCGTGATATTGTACCCAATTGGTACGAAATATAAAGTATTATTGCTAGTGCCTGCAGTGACCAGGCTTGTCATGTCTTATGAGTCACACAGGGCAGTAACTATTTATTAATTCCGTGGATAGATTAAAGTAGAGAGAAAATGTTGTGTAGAATAGTAGAGAGAAATTTTGGTGTATAAAAGTAGAGAGAAAATGTTCATGAAACTAGAGAGAAGATTTTGTGCAGAAAAGTATAGCGAAAATGTTGTGTGTAAAAGTAGAGAGAAAATGTTGTGTAGAAAAGTAGAGAGAAAATGTTGTGTGGAAAAGTAGAAAGAAAATGTTATTTACATTTAACGCCGAGTAAATTTGTTCATTAAGTTCTGCTCACTTAAGAAATTTTTACCCGCAATGATTTCAAAAATTGTCCAATGAATCAATTGATGAATTAAATAAACCAGAGAAAGCTGTATATTTGCGGCATGATTTCTATTATACAGGGTGTTTCTATATTATCTTACTACCACTTATCTCCAAAGAATCGCTCTTTAAAATCTTTCCTATCAATTTAGAAACGCCCTGTATATGGCACACCTGTTACAACACTCTTGTACTCTACGCACTACAGAGTGTTTTACTGAAATTTGAATAATTGCAATTCCACAATTTTCACGCCATTTTGCACTGCACGATTCTTGATTTTGATTTTTCTACGGTATGCTATTATGGTAATGCAACGACTGATGAAAAGGCCGAAGCCGAGGAGAATTTCGATCCTCGTATAGTAAAGTACTCGTTAACTATGCGGTTTCGCTTTAGGTTATACGAGAATGTGGCGTCTTATTATTATCTTTTAAACTGAAATTGATATTGTAGATGCAACGAAATCTGTGTAAAATATCAGCGTTGTTTTACTCCTCAAAACGTACCTTGTAATTATTATTAAACATGTTTTTTAATCAGTTAGTCATTGACACTTGTATTGCAACGGATGTAAATTGGTCGTAGATTCCCTAGAAAATAACCACAAATAATTCTTTTGTAATGAGAATTTTTATTTACAGCAAAGTATTTTCGTGCATGTATTCTCTTACAATGAAATAATAAGTTATATAAATTAAAATTATACGATCTACTCCATTTTACTCTACTACAACGCTAAAAAAATTAAATTTCTCTCATAAATTACAATTATCTTTCGCATTGTACACGAATGAGTGGGACTCATAGATGCGTTCGATGATACATAAACAAAAACTGATAAATTTGACATTAATGACATTTCATATGACAGAAGTTGAATGAAGGTGGGCATCAATTTTTGGTATAGAGGTGCAGTAACGACTGTTACAAAATAAGCGTTATTTTTCAAACATCGTTCTCCTGATTATTATACTCTCTTATTTAAAATTTTACCCTATCCTATCCTACAGTGCATGAACATTTTCAATTTCCAAGTTTTCAATAAACTCAACTAATCGCCCTTTTTACCTTAAATTTTCTGTTCTTTAAACTTATATCATTATAAAAGCCCTGTACCTTTTTTCAGATGGTGATGACAGAGTACCTAAACCGATCGAATGACCCCAAAAACATAGTGTTCCTGGGCGTGAAAATACCCAATTGGGTGTACAGCTTGTACTGCACCTTCGGGATGTTCGCTTTCGGGGCCGCTTGTTCCCAGCTCACCACGGACGTCTTGAAGTACACCGTCGGGCGACTGAGGCCCCATTTTCTCACAGTCTGCGCCCCCGACGTTTGCCAAGGGAACTTCACCCCGTACGAGTATTACACGAGCTACACGTGCACCAATCCGCAGTATAAAAACGTCGAAAAAGTAATGAAAGATATGAGGTAAGCCTTAGCAAATGTACGTTTTGTAAATCACAAGAATCCTAAAACGAGTCTCATTAAAAATGTTTCCACCCGTCCACTCATCCAGGAGATACATGTTGGAGTTGTCACCACTAATCAATCATCCTATATGAGAAAATAGTAGTGAGTAACTTTTAACTTTTTTTCCTTTTATTCATTATCCTCTCAACGAGCGTTCCCATGATTCATTGGATTCGTTTTTATTATTTAACCGTATCACTCGAGCCACTTGAATTGTTTTTAATCTAGTTGCAAATGGTCATTTTTTTTGTAGGCTGTCGTTTCCTTCTGGGCACTCGTCGTTTTCGATGTACACCATGCTGTATTTTGCAGTAAGTACCAATTTATTTTTTCTATTGCACAGATCCGGTCTGGAAAATTCTAAAATTACGGTAAATGCAGGATGTTTACAATCGAACGATTATTTTGTGCTAAAGACAATTACCAATTGCCGGTTTTTTGAAAAGTTGGCCTAGTTGCAATTTGTATATGTTTAAATTTTACCTAGGTACTGTTTGTAAGTCAAATTAACATGCCAGTTACTGTCAAAGCGATAAGGGTGTTGTTGTCAAATTCACAAACCTGTTGCTGTCAAACTGGCAAGCCTGTTACTGTTATTGTACCTGTGATTGTCAAATTGACGAGCCTGTTACTGTCAAATTGACAAGTGTGTTACTGTCAAAGTTAATTGGATGCTTTTTGGCACGTATCTTCTTTAATTAAGACCGGTTCTGTTTACGAATCTGATTGAGTGTTAAAAGCACTCGTGAACCGCCCAAAGTTGTATGTAAGTTTTTAATGCGTGTTTTAAATGCGTCATTTTTTTATAACTTATATAAATATGGATGTTGTTTATATCAATAGAATTACGAGGAGGTACTTAAATGTTTTATTTTTTCCAAATACTAATCTTGTTGAGTTAGAAGCGCAAAATTAATTTCGAATATTTTGGCTATTCAAATTTGATAATTACTTTTTTCTATTATTTTAGATATACCTGCATAAGCGCATGACCTGGGACGGTTCAACATTACTGAAACACACCCTTCAATTTCTGGCTGTTCTATCGTCGCTATTCACAGCAATGACGAGAATATCAGATTACAAACATCATTGGAGTGACGTTCTTTGCGGACTCTTACTTGGTGGGACGGTAGCTATTGTTACAGTAAGTACATAACATTGAATAAATAGTATGAGGAAGTAGCACATGACATTTTGTATAACACCCATATTGGCAACGGAAGTCTTCCTTATCTGTCATTGATCTGTCAATGTCACTAACCTTTAAACACAAAACGATAACGTTGAATAAGTTAATGCAAAAGCCTATTTAGATGTAAAACTATTTTACAAAACGCAACTAGTTGAGTTATAAAATTACAGATTTACATGGGTAAGTGCAAATTTGTTTGCAATATGGTCAATTCTATGAGTTGAACAAAGAAAGATTATTAAAATAACAGTGTGGGTGGGAAAGGTGCAATTACATAATACTCCCTTTCTTTTTCCTTTTTTAAAGTGTCTAATGGAAGTTGTCTTTGTTGCACCCATAGCCAACATATTGCGAACTCAAAGGCATCAACCGTCAATTCTATGAGTGAGAAAGTTGCAATCTCACAATATCACTCCTCCTTTTTTCTTTATATGAGTCTAATGGAAGTTGTCTTTGCTGCACCAATAGGCTGTCGTAATATTGTGTAATGTGTGTCGTAATTGTGTTTTGTTGATATTTGTTAATATTTGTTAAATGACAGTTATGACAGATTAAGAAGAGTCAAGTTGGCCGAAAATCGACTTCCTTGAAATTTTAATTATTTTTTATGTTGCAGGCGAGATTTTTTTCGAATCTTTTCGAGGACACGAAGAACTTCAAAAAACTGGAACCAAACGAAACAAGCAATTTAAATGGCAATCGAACGCACGTCTAAATGTGATTTTTTTACGTTATTTATGTTTATCAGAAAAATCATGTAAACGCCAATGGCCACTATTTAAATGTGATTATTTAATTTATTTAGATTTAGAGTCGACTTGTACCTAGGGTTAATTATTTATTTTTAATAATCGGACACGCGTATATACCTGATAATTTCAATTAATGGTTCATTTTAATATTTTGTTAATTTTGTAAATTAACAAAAGTATCTTAATTTATCATAAGACTAGTAAAATAATTATTTACATATCGATGAAAACTCGTGTATTTAAAATTTTTGTAAATATTTCCAATATGAATTCTAAATAAAAAAAATGGAATTAGTAGATCTTAAAATGGTAGCTTTACAATTTTCTACTTAATAGTTTTACTTATGTTAACGATTTAAGTATTAAGATTTCGACAATATTCGTTGAATTTATATCATTGAAATGATATCGGCCTAAAATCACCATTATTAGGTGTTAAAAATATCATTGTAATGACAATACTGTAATATTGTAAAATTCGTTCCTTATTTTATTTATTCACCTACTTCACATCGGGGAAGTACCAATGTTTCGCTATAGAAAAAAATAAAAATTATTTATTTCTATCTACAGTATAGGTATCTACAATGACCAGAAAAATTTAGACTTAGTATATAAATTAGTTTATAGTCAATTTTCGATCTCCTTCTTTAGAGTATTTAAGAAATTAGAAATCGTAAACGTTAAAGATAATACCAATGTATTTGATGTATATTTTTCAAATCAATGTTTTAACTCCTTTTCAACATTTCAGATAAGTCAAAATTTACGAATCTTAATTACTACAGCTTTCTATATTAAGACTAAATTTGCAATAATTCATTTATTATTGAGACTGTTTAAATACAAACTTTTTTACCCATCCTATTTTTTCTATAAAAATATCGTAAATTTTTAGTATAGAGATTGTAAGCAGGGTCTACATAAATCAAACGTCTTTTTGATACCTTCATAGCTATAAAACCTATAAAATAATGCATAGGAAATAAATAAATCGAACCTCCTTAAAGCGTCTTTACATGGTGCAATATATTGCAGCAATAAATTGCATTGCTGCATTGTTGCATCTTAATTTCTATTAACGCATGTATAAAAACCGCATTGCAACATTGCAGTTTTTTGCTGCAATGTATTGCATCGTGTAAATACGCTTAGAGTCGATTTTATGCAATTTTAGAATATTTCTGTTTTTTATAAAAAATATACCTACTATGCTCAAAAATATAGCAAATAGTTTTTGACATTATTATCGCAGCTTTTTCATTAACTTTCTGTTATTTAAAACATCTGATATTAGATATTCAACTAAAATTTTTAATGTAATAGAATTGCATGTTTTCTGTTTATGTTTACATACTTAATAATCTTACTGTTTACATTAAGGTGTTTTAATAACAAGGTAAAAGAGTGATCTGTTTGATGAACAATTTTGATCACAAGGGGGACCAAATGCTGAAAAATTTAAGCACACAATAAAGGCCCTAAATAGAGTAAATTTATCCTTCGGCTCTAATTTATTAATACCTCTCAATTAGCACAAAACTGAGATTTCAAATTATTTTATTTATACATGCCTACAGTAGAAATAGAATTTAATATTATAGGCTATAGGAATGTAATTAATGCTTTAATTCAGAAGGAACTCATCGAAAAAGGAAAGCGGAATGGATGTTTAATTTAATTTTTCTCGATATAATTTATTAATATATTTTTGTGAACTCGACGAGTATAAAATATGTTTAAAATACCTCACAAATTTTAATTTATGTGATATATTATTTAATAATGAGTTACGTATGTTCAATATTATGTACTAAAAGTGTGTAGAGAAATTTTTATTTCTACGTTTGTATTTTATTGAGCAAATAAAATTATAAGTTTCACGTTGGAGTTTATTTTAGAATGTGTTCCGAGAAGATTGGCAAATTGAAGATAACCAAGGAAAATCCTAACGATATTAATTTATTGGAAAGTATTGAGTAAAATAATGAAAATTAAGGACAATGGTATTCAATAACTGTAGTAGTAATCACCTGGTCACCCGATTAATTTTATTCTGATAAAAATGATATCAAATGACCTGTACTCGAAAAAATTATTTTCCAAAAATGTTTTTATACATTATTATTAGGAATACTTTAAATAATACAGTTGTACGTACAACGTCAAGTGCAAAAGGTCGTATTGAATTTTTTTTATTTTTGTTTTAAATTGATATGATTTCTCGAAAATCAATATTCTCCAAATTTACGAATCTTATTATTATTAGGTTATTTGATGTCTTTTATCAATAAACCAGTCCAATTACGCGGGTTTTTCAACAAACTGACTGACCTCAGATAGAATTTTTATCGAATTGGAACGAAGACACTCATTAGCGTCGTACGAATAATTTAATTACGATTTGATTGATCAAAAATTCTTTCAACACCACCAGAGTCGTTTCTTATTAACATTTCCACAGAAAGATTATCCATTTTCTCCGACCTTTCTCATTTTCCACTGGAACTAGTGCGAACTAATGACTGTAATTGGCACTGCAGGAAAAACCCAGGAGGTATCTAATATTTGATATATTTAAATTTATTTTATAATCTAAAACTTGTGGCTTCTAATAGCAATACAAGGACTATTATTATCAATGTTTCATAGACCTATTTAAACTTTTTGAGCAATCACTGGGTGGGTAATTTCAAAATATTTCCCGATATACAGCTAATTATCATTGATAATTTTCGAATCGATAAATCAGATTAGCGATATTTTGGATAAGTACGCCTCTGAGATTCGGAAAAATCGAGGGAAGGTGGGGACTGAGATTGGTAGGAGTTTATATTCACGTTGGTAGAACTGTACAAGTAGTAAGTTCTTATATTCAGGAAGATTGGTAGCAGGAGCAAAATTTGGTTTTCTACAAAAAGTGGTCTACAAGTGTTTTTACTCAGGGACGACGAGCTCTTCGAGGTAACTATGAGAAATTTTATTTTAAAATCGTGTATATCTCGAAATGATAATGAATATGAATAGTAGAAATTTTATTATAATGTTTTATTAATGAGGATAATAATGAAATATTCGGTTCTAATGGGTCTAATATTACTGGCACACCTTTTATATTGTATTGAACTTTTTGCAGGTTTATTAAATCTATAAGTTTTATCGTCTAAAATAAATAATTAATTCAAAAAGGAATTCATTAATTAGTCCTCCATCTTAAATATCAATTTCAGGTTTCAAATTTTAGTATTTTACCGTTTAAATGATGAGTTCTGTTACCTGTTCTCAAATCACAATGAAATTAATTGTGTCACAAAACCTAGTGCGCTGAGTATTTTTTTTTTCAATGAAATAAATTCAATTTACGTTTACTCCGGTATTCATACCGGTACGTAGATTTGTTGTTTAAGATGCGCATTGATTTACACTCGTAAAACTCGTTCCCATGAATGATTTCTCCGACAAACAGCCCGCAAAACTCGCAAAAAAATCGTACAAATCGCCCTGTATAACCTTGGCATCGAACTCGAACAAGAAAAACGGTTCAAAGATTCATTTGCACGCGAAATCACTCGACAATGCCGCGGAATTCCCCTGGATATTATATGCCTACATATAGCAAGTAAGCTGCTAACGTGCAAGCGTTCATGTTGCAGCATAAACAGTGAGTCGTGGGTTTTCCAATTTATCTCGTTTTACTTTATTAATCAGATTGTTTGTTCGCTGTTCCACGGTATTGTTATTGTTATACATCGGATATTATTTATAACATCTGTGGTTTCCTATTAATTTCATAAACGGGGATTTTGAGAATATATGAGCGTAGTAAATTCGTTGACTCCGGTGTGTGTAGATTACAAGTGGTACTGTTTTTACAAGATTTTTTAAATAAACTAGCAGAGGATTTAGGTAAAAAGATAATTTTTTGTTTATGTGGATGTGGTTATTGTAATGGATTTTTTTCTGTTTTTCATGACAGCTTTACAAGCTTTCTTTAAGTACTTACACAACATTTTTTTAAGTGATACTCAAAAATTATTGTAGGTACTTACTTAAAGAACTTTCGTAAATTTGTCGAATTGACCCGAATGAGGTCAAATCAGGGCGTTCCCATTATTCAAGTTCTTTTAATAACTTCTTCTGGTGGATATGGAAAAACCTAATTAGTATGGAATTATTCAATGCGATGTTTCATTAGCTTTAAATACGATATTTACCATATTTTATCAATCACTTCTCTGACCTATTCAATAATTGTGATTACAGAACATTCCATTATTATAAGTGAAATATTAAAAGTAGGTAGTTTTTTTTAAAATTTGAATATACCCACCATAACAGTTTAATCAATTTTGATATTTAAGATGTGCCAGTATAAACTCATTTTAAAAATATTAGTTACTTAATGTAAAAATTCCAAATTCGCCTTACTAATTTGTTTAATAATTTATTAATTTGTACATTTTAACATTTTTCAGAAATCAATATGAAGTGCTCCGTATTATTTTTATTGTTCGTTAGTGCAGTTTGTTCCGCACCAGCGGATGAGGAACCTTTAGCCCAATTAGTCAGTGGAAACCGACAGTTTGCTGCCAAAGTATACAAAGTAAGTAGATTAAAACAATACACCAGACAATGAAGTTCAATTATACTTCATTATCAACCAGTTTTGATGTGATACATCAATTTTATTGTTGATGAGTGATTAAAAAGGAGTAGATAATTATAAAAAGTAATTTGTTGTGGATTACTTGTACGTGTTATTAAGCAAGGTTTTTATTTAAATATGGAATTTAGTGCTCAATAATAAGTTATGTAGATAATGAAAGGTTTAAAGCCAATAGAGATTATCGCAATTTTCTATAAAAATGAATTATTATCTGCGTGACGATATTTAATGATTTAGGTTCATTACTTACAAATTAGTATATTTCGAATATAGATTTTTAAATAATGATAAAATAATATAAAAAATATATAAATTAATTAATCTTTAATAAAAAGCCACACAAATTTAACAAAAAAGATAAATAATTACACTTTACAAAAGAAGAACATGCTTGAAATAAGCAGAGAAATTTTTTTAATCGCTATTTCGATAAAATTACCAACAGATACTATTAGAATAAATAATTATAATCGTGCCCGAAAACGTGATAACGGTCAAATCCATAATTCCCGCTAACTCTATACCTCTTAGCCCCTTGGCAAACGGTTCCCTCGATCAATTTCTCCACAGGCGCAAAGTACACCCTGAAATTAACCTCGTTGTAATCCAGCGAAGCCTCCAAGAAATTGGACATCCTGTCGCTGATCACCCACAAATTCCGGTTACCGTCCACTTTAACGTCCGCTGGAAATATCAACCCTACATCGTCCCTGTCAACAACAGCGTGGTTCTTCTTGTGGTAGGGATACTGGGAGTTCCAACAACCCACCGCGTTCTGATCTATCAAATTGAAGAACTGCACCCCGAACTCGTCCATTACTCGCGAAGTCGTGTGGGAGTTGGGCCCTCTTTCCTCCAACGCGAGGAACTCCCTCCAACTCTCGCCCACCTTCGAGCTGTTCTTGAGGGTCGCCGTCGAAACAGCGAACTCCCTGTGGGACGCCAATGGACTGAAATACAGCCACTTGGACCCGTCCTCTTGCAGAGGGCTCAAGCTCATCCCGAAGATACCTTCGCTGCCCCACTGGAAGTTCAGCTTGTCTATGGTGAAGTCGCCGCGAAGGGGATCGGGCAGGAAGAAGCTGTGGGCGAACCTCCACGAGGTGTTCTTCTTGAATGAGTATACTATCAACCCGTAGCCCAATTCGTCGGAGAAGTAGGCGTGGGCGTCGTCGCACGTCTTCCCCACGTCCACCACGATGTTGGCTATGAAGGTGTTCATGTTGACGTCCTCCGGGCGGAATTCGTAGCGCCTGATGCGCTTGTTGGTGTTGAGGTCGAAGATGTTGAGGGCGTAGGGACAGACGTTCTGGGTGGTCTTGTCGATGCCGAAGGTGCCGGTGTCGAGCACCCACAGCCTGTCGCAGGCGTCCGCCTTCAGCCTGTAGACGGTGGATAGGCCCTGCTCGCAGTTGCCCAGCTCGTTGGACTTCAAGTCCGGGTAGGGAATTAGCGGGGGGTTCTTCAGGGGGCTGTTGATCGGCACGTAGTTTAGCGTCGAAGGGATGCCTGAAATGCGGAGGAGAGTTTATGATTTCTAGTAGTAGTTTCGTTTAACTCCCTTTGAAAATTGCTTGTTTATCGTTTCCCAATGTCTTAAAAAAATCATGTAATAGGCATCAAGTCGTGATTCAGAAAGTTTTGTGTGTCTTATATGGCTCGTTAAATCTGTGGTTTTGAAATCATTTGCCGTAAAAACGGTAACACAATTATTTAATATTATCATAATGGTATCATTAAACTGAGTAAGCTTGCGTATATCTGGCAATCAACACGTGCACAGTTAGAAAAAGAAAAACTCGTTTTGTCGAGCGAGGGATTAAATTGCCCTCAATTTTACCTGTACGAATTTACATCTGTCTACATCGTAAATAAACCGATTTATCTACGCATTAACATCGATCAAAAGCAATTTAATTGCTGCAATAATAAGTTATCGTGTTTACTGGAGTAACTAATAAGATAATGGCTATATCCAATTGCATAACATACCTTCTTTCCATCTGGGTACTGTTACGAATAGTTTATCGCGCCAAATTTCTATGCCCACTGGTAAGCTGTTTTCCGGTTTGTATTTCCCGCGGAAAATCGCCATCGCGCGGTCCCTCTCGGACGGAAAATCGAAGTCCATGATTTTCCATTCGAAGAATTCTTGTAATTTCTGTGCGCTTCGGGCGACATCGAGGATAAGGAGCAACAGTAGTAATTTCGGTAGCATTTCCATATCTAAGAGATATACAGAAGAAATATAAATGTCTCAGAATGTAAAAATGTTGGGTGAATGGCAGGATAATTCTAGTTTCCGTGTTAAAAAAAAGTAACTAACTAGTGTATAATTTCCTCACAATTTCTGCCATTTCAATTTAAATCTAGTTAATTACCTATTGGAAATAATCATAGATAAATACTATAAATCAATCTCTACGCGTTCTTGAGTTACTCAACATATTCGTGTTGAGATGCAAAAAGTATATATTTATGGATATAATAAAATTAGATATTAAGTGGTAATGCAATTCCTGCGTATCGACTATTTTTCTGAATGCACTAATAGTTAATAGACTCATTAAGATGTGAACGGAGAAAATTATTGCAAGTTACCTTATTTTGAAATTTGTGCGTTACATCTGCATGGACTTTCACTACCTGTACATTAAGCTTAATGTTTTGTGAGGCATTTGATATATGGACCTAAACATGTCCTGTCGGAAAAGTGTTTTATATCTACAGGGTGTCCTTGCAATAGGCGATTATTGGATTCAAAATGGAGCGATTTAATTGGATTTACATTAGTTTAAGTCTACTTTAATTAGAATTTATGAACCTTTGAAGCGGCTTAAGATTTTTAAGAAAGGTACGGAAGATTGAAATGTGGAATTAAAATGGTTTTAATAAAATATATTATTTATGTTTATTGTACTAAAATAGTATTAATTACATACAAAGTCAATTAGCAGATGTCCCTTCGAGCAATGGGTGCATTAATGCAATAATTAATAGTGACAATTTCCATAGTAATCTACATAAACAAATGCATTACGTAAGAAATACATAATTTAAATAAAAAATTCAGGGATTACACAATAATAACTAGATATTTCGATATATAATTCCCTCTTTCTTCGTAAAACATATAGGGAAATTTTGAGAAAAAAACAAATTTAAGCTTGTTACCTAAAAACTTTTAATATCTACAGTAACGCTAATATCAGATTTTTAACCGAAAATAATTGATAACAGAAAAATACATAAGGTAGAAACGAAGAATAAACAAGGATCAATTAAAAATTTACCCCACTTTATTTCGCGCAGAAACGAAGAATCACAACATTTTCATCAGAACTCAATCAAACAATTTTCCAACTCACAAAAATCAATTTTTCCACTACACGAAACATCCACACTTACTTATTATTGGGACTGCCAAAATTCTCTTCGAAAAATTCTCTTCGAAAAATTCTCTTCGAATCGGAGCTGAAAGCTCGGAGTGCAAGTCGCTCGTCCGCTGCGTAACACCGGCGCTTTAAAGCGTTCGCAATCTGCGCTCGCGTTACTTAAAGTGAAAAAGTGAAAAAAATTTTCAATTTCTATTCGACCTCCACACGTCCGCCGAATATGTGGGGGGAAGGAATGGACATTTAAAAAAAAATTAAACCGCATTCTTCTCTTACGTTAGATGGCTTATTTAGAAAGTATCTAAAATAGATTTCTGGCCGAGGAAATTTATTTGTATGTGTATGACAATAATAAATCTAGGGATTGTGGGTTGATTTTGTTGTTTTTAGGAAATACTGGTAAAAAGAAATAAGATGCAGTGAATAAATTAAAAAAAGGTGTATGGAAAAACATTCATAAATTATGAAGTACATATAGAATAAAATATGAGCTAGTTCTCTGGAGGATACTTTTAAAAACTAATGATTTTTTTTATTTTTTTCTAGTCTTTGTTGAATGTCATTCTAAACATAGATCAACTAGGTGGGAGCATAACTGATCTAATATACATTTTCAGTCATGTAGAGATAATCTCATGCTGATATTCTGCATGTAATGCTGTTGTGATACCTAACGCATTTTCATATAGTTTTGCCTATAAAAAAATGAACTTTCCGCACCCAGTAAATGTGAAAAGTTGCAAGTTTTTATATCGTTTGATTGGTTTAAATAGTTGCAGCCTCGCTTTGAAAAAATACCTTGGGTTAAGTAACTGTAACAGGCTGTTGGGTAACCAATCCTGACCCTGGAAGAAAACATACTGTACCTAATGCGAGCGGAAAATGTTTTTTGAATATTAAGTCATAAAGAAAATTCGATTTCTACACTCAAACTGGCCTTATAACTTTTGTCACATAATCGGCGGATTTCTCGATTTCTCGCCATTCCCATTTCGAGCTATTTAAATGTAAAAACTCGCGCCTCTGACAATTAAATTTCCATACGAAACAAGCGTAGGTTCGCGAAATAAATCTGTTCTAGTATCCGTAAATTAAATCCGATTCGATTTCGATAATTTAGCTTACCATGCCCATAAATAAAAAAAATATTTCCCAACGGATATTCCGTCAGTAAGTAGGAAACACTTTCAATTTTACCGTCTCTCGAATTTTCGTAAAATTTGACCTTGCGATTTGAATAATATATTAATTAATTTTGGAACGAAACGTTGCGTAAAATTCGTCGAAAACCTTTTTATACCGGAGATCAATAAAATCGAAATTTTATTGATTATGTAGTACCTTTCAATCTAATAACATAGTATATTTTATGGATGCGATTCTCACATAGGTACGGTCTTAGGTTAACATTTTATTAAAAAAAAATATGTGATAAATATGAATTAAATAGATACTCTAATAGCCAAGTATATTCCCGACTACAAATTTTTAAAATCTGGTGCAATAAACGGGACATCCTGTAAGTATTAGTTTTTCAACATATCTCCATCGTTTGTCATCGATTTTGTTTGGATAACAATTAATTGATTGAAATAATTTGATGTGTAATTATTGTGCGTTTTCAGGGCGCAGTTAATTTATTCCTAATCGTTAGCATATTTCCTAACGCATTATCAGACCTTGATCGAAATTGAGCCCAAATAATGCGTGTAATGCGAATTAGTACTTAGCAATCGATTAAAAAATACAGGGTCTTCTAAGTGCCTACCTACTTCCCGACTGCTTTATTTACAGCATGAAAACAAGTTTTGATTTCATACTAATGTATCAATTTATATACAATTATTTTTATTAGTTTATTTATTTATATTACAATTTTATCGCTTTGGTATTTAAATATGTTTCTAGATTTTTTTGCGGAGGTTTATGCAATTATTTGCAACGTATATTATTCTTTCAGGAAATACTGAAAACCAATCGAGGCAACCTAATCTTCAGTCCTTTCTCCGCCGAAACCGTCTTGGCTCTTCTCTCCGCCGGCGCCAAAGGGGACACCCTGGATGAACTTGTCACGGGAGTCTCCTTGCCCTCCGATCAACAGAACCTCCAGAGGGCCTTCAAGGAGCTGCTGCCCAAACTGAAATCCGACCACGAGAACCTGAAATTGCTCAGCGCCAACAGGATTTACGCCAAGAAGGGCCTGAAGTTAGAGCCAGACTTCAACAAAGTGGCTGTTGATATCTACGGATCCTGTAAGTACATAATAAAGCTTTAAGGTAATCTTTACAAAAAGGACGATTTAAGATTAAGTTTCCTTTAACCTTATGCCTGATGTCAAATGGTTTCTTAGTACAGGTACATGTAAAAGGTTCCTTAAGTAATTTTATTCTTCCTCATCAGACGAGCTTCAACTCGAAGTTTTTCGACACTTTGACTTGAACTGCCACTTTAGGCTTTAAAGAATCATTTAAATTGATTATAAAATCTATTAAAGGATCCTTTAAAGTTAAAGTTTCCTTCATATCTCTTTATAAAATCAACCATTTGTTCATTCTTTTATCATTGCTTCATCAATTTCATCTGTACTATCAACAGTGTATACCTAATGGAGTCATCTTTAAGACGCTCTACTTCACTAAAGGAAGCTCCAACGTTATCTACATTTTTATATGAACTATTTTTTTATATTCTAGCCATAGAGCAAGTGGATTTCAAGCAAAACGTCGAAGCAGCGAACACCATAAACAGTTGGGTGGAAGACCAGACCAACCACAAGATCCAAGATCTGATCTCTAAGGAGGATCTCGGCGAAGATACGGCCATGGTGCTGGTCAACGCCCTGTATTTGAGCGGCCAGTGGCTGCACACCTTCAGCCCCTTCACCACCAAAAATGAGAAATTCTGGAAGACCGCCAATGACGCCGTGGATGTTCCCACTATGAGTCAAACCGCCACGTTCAATTACTACGATAGCAAAGAACTGGGAGCGCAGATTTTGGAATTGCCTTTCGAAGGTATCTTATAAAAATCCGAACGTTTATCAAACAGGGTGCGTTAATTGGATGTTTAATAATGCTTCAGGGACCGATACTGTGAAAGATTTGAGCATGGTTATTGTTCTACCGCACGAAAAAGAAGGCTTGCAATCGCTGGAGACCAACGTCGAGAAATTACTGGCGCCTCAGGCTTTCACTAAACAACGCGTACACGTCAAATTGCCCAGGTTCACGATCGACTCCGAAATTCAATTCGTCGATATTCTGAAATCGGTGAGCCATTCGAATTCGATTTTTTCGCGAATCGCTTAACTCACGAGGTCTGTTTTATTCAGTTGGGCGTTCAAAAAATTTTCAACGACGATGCCGATTTGACTGGATTGGCTAAGACTTCCAGGAAGTTGTACGTTTCCAAAGTCATTCAAAAGGCTTTCATCAACGTCACCGAATCCGGTGTAGAAGCCGCCGCTGCCACTGCAGGTTAGTACCGGTTCATTTTTTTTCCATTATGAACCGACTAAATAGTGCTGGGAATATTGGAATAATATCGATAATCACTTAAAGTTCCTGTAGATGTTATGTTTTTGAGCAAATTTGGTCGGTTTTTAGCATGTATTAAGTTCTTTCTGCCTATTTTTTCTCTCTGTTTCTGCCTTGTAAAAAGCATTTTTTTGCTAAAACAGTTAGTAGAAAGTTTGAGTTGAATCTAATAGTGCTATGAATAATTAAGCTAATTTTTGAGTACCTACATCAATAACCCTTTTGTGATAGTGTAAATCGTACTCTCAATCATAATTTATAGTGGCTTGTACGTACTAACACCTATATTTTTCTACTTCTACTAACATCTACTATTTTCGAGGAATAGTATATGGGTATTTTATTATTAAACATAAAATTAACTAATTTAAAACCAAAAAAACATAATATATCGTGTGAGAAGTCCCTTAGCAAGAGATATCGGTTACGCAACGCGTATATTTCCACTGCAGCGAATATTTTTGTTCAAACATCCCGATGTTATTTGTTTGGTCTATTTGCAAATCAGTTTATTTACCTCGTATCTGGTAAAAAAACTTCGGAAATACGTAATAACTAATACCCTCGAGTCTATTTACCAATAATCCGTTATGCAACTTGAACGAGTAATTAATATAAAATGAAGTTAAGATTGGCCATTAAAATCGCGTGGGCAGTTTTTGTATCCACGCTCCTCGATTTATTGACATTCCCATTTCAAACAAAAACTAACTGAATATTATTATCTATACGATATGCTCAATATTATGCCACCTGCAAACTTGCAGATCTACCTGTAAATCGAACGGTGAGTTAGTGATTTGTACATTTTCTTTTTGTAGAGGAACGGTAAATATAATTATGTTAATTACTAACTTGTAAATAATAAAAATAAATGGGGTAAGTATAGTTTTAATGTAGATATTATTTTTAATTAATTTTATATGTTTTTGTGTTGTTTTATCCAAATGTTCCTTAATCATTCCTTCCTTTAACATGTCTAGTTAATATATTTGTAAGGAGAAGGAATCATGAAATTCAAATAAGCCATTTACATTTATCATTTTTTGTATAAAAATTGTGTATCCTATCTACAGTAGATGTGGGGAAGTGTAAATATTTGTAAATAGAGGAAAAATGTTTATTGCCAATTACTTAATTATTCATTATCACATATTTTCTTTTAGTTGTAATCGAAGATCGATTTGGTGTTGAATACGAGCAGGATAAGTACCCCAATTTCGATGTGGATAGACCGTTTGCATTTTCAATTAAACTGAGAGATATCGTTTTATTCGTAGGAAAATTCAATACTGTTTAAATCAATAATTTATAATAACGATGTTCCTACAATAATATTCTTCTTTGTATCTATTTATTTGAATAGTTAATAAAATAATTAAACTCTTCTTTAATACGCGAGTAGCTCTAATTCAAATATTCAACGAATACTAGTTAATTGGACAGGTATTTGTAGAAGCGAATGGAGATTGCAAAAACGGTTAATAAAGAGATATAAATCAGGTAAGCTTTTTGTCGCAGCGTGTCGGACGTTGGTAACTAGAATGTTAATTAATTTAATTGATACTTATTAGGATATTTATACAGTTATCTAGTTTTTTAGTCGATTATAGTGGTCATTAATAGATACTTCTGAGTTTTAATTACTATTAAAATTATCAGTTTTAAAATAGAGCTGCATATGATATTAGAGAAAATGTATTTTTCGTTTGGGAAACATCAATTTTAATATATAATTTTTGTTCTTATTTTGAAGATTTTTGAGAAGGGTAGGATAGGTATTGTAAGGTATTTATTAAATTTTCATTCATCGGAAACAGAGAGAACGAATTTTTCAGGTGAAGTAATTTGAACAGAATTAAAAACAATATTTGCCAATTTTACCAAAAAATTCGTCAAACAATGATGGTTCAAACTGCTCAAATTTTACTTTACCTGCTTGAGTTAAGTTATCAAGTCAAAATTATGTTTTATTGTTTAGAAATGTTATGTTTAGAATGGCTTAACATTTTCGCTTATTTTTTAGTGGAAGTTAATTTTATAAGGGCTATGATTCCACCGCAAGAACCGCCAGTAGAATTTTTGGCCCAACGACCTTTCGCATATTACATTAAGAAAGATGGATTAATTCTGTTCGCAGGGCGCTACCGCCCCTAAATGTACATGAATAATAATTGTGACAAGCTCTAATAATGTGCAATTAAACTGAATTTTATGGATATATTAAAAGGATAAAACTATTTTATTTACCACTCCTTATTCGTTTTTGTTTAATGCCACATCATAATAGCGTAATTATTCATATTTACCAAATTAGCACCACTGTGAACTAATGGCGTTAGATGAACTTAATTACATATGCGACTTTTTATACCTAAAACAGTTTAATTTTTTTAAAACTTATCAAATTAAAATTCTTTTCAGCTGCGGTTGAAAACAGGATTCTTTTCATACCGAAGAATTTACAAGAATTCCACGCAGATCGTCCTTTCTTTTATTACATCCAAATTGGCGAATTAATACTTTTTGCAGGACATCTTGTCATCTAACACTGTACAATAATTTGACTAATTTGACTAATTTGACTAATTTACTAATTTGTAATTTTTTTTCTAAAACAAAAGTTTCAAATTCACAATAGCCTCCAAATCAAATTCTTTGTGTATTTTTTAGTACTTGTATGTAATGGTGGAATAAAATTATTTTTGATATTTTTGGCTGATATTTTTATGTTAAAGGTAGGTACCTCATTTTTAGCTTCAAAAGAACACCCTGTACAAAAAATACAGGGTGATCCATACACGATATTTTGAATCTTTGATTTAAAAGTTTCGGTGAAATTGTTCATCTTCATGTGTAGTAAATGCATCCAAAATAATTCATTTATCGCGATATCATTGGAACGAATAGATTTACTTTCCCCGCATTATTTCCCATCGAATTTGGCCCCAATTCCTATCTCTTACCGCTCCCGAGTTCCCAACGAAACTACTTCAAATAGATATACCCTGTATACAGTGAACTGCAGGGCGTAATAATCACTCATTTTATTTTATTTTATTTTCAGTTATTGGTGTCCCTCTATCATTGGAGTACCCAATCCCGCCTCCACCCATTAGATATTTCGTCGATCGCCCTTTCATCTATTACATTAAAAAGGGCGGATTGGTTCTATTCGCAGGGCGAGTAAAGAGATAAACTGATGTATTTTGTGGTTTTTTTATGCTTAAGCACGTATAATTTTATAAATATATTTTTTTAAATAAAATAATATTTTTATGGCAGCGTTTTGTTTATTATTTGTTAATTAATTATACAATCAAACTGAATATTGGAACGTCCTTAGATTTTAGAGGAGAGAAATTATTACTTATTTTTGAAATTTTTTGAACTACTTTGAAACTTTATTTATATATTTCGCAATTTTTGGATCCTTTTTTTCAAAAATTATAATGTTTCTACTCTTTTTTAGTTCTTATCGAGACGAGATCCGGAAAATTCATCTTACCAGCTGAGACGACAGTCATCGCGGATCATCCGTTTGTGTATTACATAAAGTATAAGAATTTGGTATTATTCGCTGGAAATTACCGGATTTAAATCGACAAATCGATCATTTCAATCGAACTAAATCGATTAATCGATCGACTGTACCCAATGAAGTTACCATAAATTTCAAATGTGTTCTGTAAATTTGTATTGATTATTTTATTAATATACTAACGATTTACCTGCATTCTTACATTTTTCTATTTAAACTTTTTCGTATTTGTACCGCCAGATAAATTGTATCTTATTACACATCCTGTATACATATGTTTTACATATAAACGAATTTATTATGTCATATGTAGCAGAAAATGTCGTAATTGCATTAAAATAACTTGGAAGAAACGATAAAAGAAGCTCAGCTTGAAAAAGGATATGACTAACTTTTTCTACGATAATTTACCATTTATACCTCTAATACTTACACATTTCAGTAATCGAAAGCAAACACAGATAAGGATAAATTCTAATTTCATCGATTTTGTACGCATCTCCGTAAGTTATTGTACAGATATTTTATTCATAATAATAAATTATTCACCTCACCAGAATGAAGAGCTCGTTATTAGTGATTGTACTTTTTAATATTTTATGTTCCATTTGCTACAGGTAAGTTTATTTAATTTTATTATTGCTTTTCTACCGTTTAAAAGGCAAAAATATTAAAAAAGCGCTTTAAATAATTTTGTATATTTATATTTATAATTTCCCTTTCTTTTAGAAGTGTTAACTGTTTGCTTTGCAACATGACTGGCTCGAAAATCACCTGCCAAAATGTAACCATAGGAGACGGTCCTTTGGATAACATAACAGTTATAATAACCCCGCTGGACGTAGTCGAAGTGAACATAATCAACTCGTCCTTGCCGAGCATAGCCAACTGGACGTTCTCGAAGTTCAAATACCTGCGCACGTTGAACGTGCGCAACTCCCGCTTAACCGGCATATCCGAGGGGGCCTTTTCCAGCCTGGATAATCTGCAAAACTTGTATCTATCGGATAATTTACTGGATAACATCGATTCGAATATCATCAATGAAACCAAGAACTTGTTGAGTAGACTGGATTTGTCCTGCAATCGGATAAAAACTTTGGAGAACTTCAACGCCTCCAACTTCCCCAGGTTGAAGTTAATGAACGTATCGAACAACGAATTGGAGTTTTTGCCGGAGGATTTGCTGCAGAAATTGGCCCGGAACGAGGAGTTTTACCTAATCGTTGACAACAATCCTTGGAACTGCAGCAATGTTAACTGGGGCAAAAGCTTCGATGCCGGGGGCGGTTTATGGCGGGATATATTTTGCAACCAGTCTTACAATAAAAATAGGAGAAAAAATACTCGGGAGGACGAGGTGCCTTTTACGGAGACGTCTATGAGCAAGGAGAATAACAGTGAAATACTGGATGGTGACAATTATTGTATATATTCGTGTTCGTATACCAGCAGGTGCTTCTCTTATTGCACATTGTGGTTCGTCGGCGGGATTTGGATAGGAGTCATTTTGGGAAATGTCTGCAAAATCAGGAAACTGATGTGCAAACCGGATCCTGTCGCGAGGACGCAGCAGGAACAGCACACCCAATGCGGTGAGTATTTAGTTAGACATTGATTAGATTTTACAAGTTTTTTTTATTTTAAATATTCCCTGGTACAAGCTAATTGGAGCTTAGGTGAGTATTTAGGACACACTGTATGTAAAAAAATTAAGTTTTATTTTATCATTTGCTTGTACTTACAAAATTAATTTTGTCAATTTTTTTTGTAGAACCGGAATCTGTGGAACTCAAGCATTTAGAAAGAAAGCACTAATGTAACTAATTAATAATTTTTTATTTTTTTATTTCATCTATGTTGAATCTATAATATAATAAATAGTAAAAAGTTGATAATAGTATCATTCTAAACTAACGAATCTAATTTAAAAATTTTGATTGTAGAATTTTTAACGATATACATACTTAGCAATTTTAACCAATAAATTCTCCATCTATATAGAAATTTAAATGTAAAACGACCCTAAAAAATAGGACAAGCTTACAAATCTATGCAGCTTACATTGAATCAACAATTTCATAAAAATCTCGTAAAACTCCTCGAAGATATGTCAAACGTTAATATAGATAAATAGTAAAATTAGGTACTTAAAAGACGGATATTTGTTTGGGAGGAACCGAACCCTCCGATACGCATGTAGGAATCGTATTCGACCATTTCCCGTTCTTCAGGCATTTCAACATCGCCGCCCCCTTGAGCTCCAGCCCTTCCTCGCACGTGAACGTTATGTTCTCCCCGATTTTATAGAAGAACTTCACCGAAGACATCCTTCCGCTTATGGTCGTCCCCGGATACGAACAAGCCTGCACACCTATAAAAAAAATTCATAATAGCATGATGAAACACCCCGAACTCTCGTTCCTTTACTATCGATATAAGTGGAGAGAAGTAGTAGAAGAGGAGCGAGAATTAAAATGTCTTTTATTAAGCTGTTTTTATTGTTAATTTTAAATGATGTTTATACCCTTTGGAAGCTAATTTGAAAACATTTTTAAGAGTGTATATACAGGGTGGTCCGTAAGTAATGGTCCAGAAGTGAAGGGGAAGATTTTGGGCCTCAAAATATTACGATCTGATCCAACTTGCCTTAGGAAAATATTGCGATCTGACCCAACAGAGTGTCAAAGTTGAAATAAAAAAAAAAATGATTTTTCGGAGCAGTTTGAGAGATTTTGGATGTACAGAAGTGAAAAATTGAAGACAGGTGTTCCAAAGCATGAGAAATCATATTATGATTAAAACAATTTAACAAAACATTTCAAATTATAAATGGCCAGTGGCATTTCAACTTCATATATAATATCCAAAACATTTTTGAGTGTGTCTAGTTAAGCATTCAAACGCTTCTAATTTCTCCACCTCAACATCAGTAAAGTAGAGGCCATAAAACGATGGAAGAAGAGTACTTACATTTGGGCATCTTCCCCGACCACCTGGAGTTCTCCTGGCAGGCGATGATGGGCTGGCCTTCCATCATGTATTCCGGATTGCAATTGATTTGCACCACGTCGCCGGCCTTGTACGGCCCCGTTCCCTGAATGTACCCGTTCTCCGGAGCCACCGGATCATCGCAATGGACCTCTGAGGAACCGAATTGCGAATTATTCACGAGGCGACTAGCGCGCAAGACTCGCATAAAGTAACTAAAACATGCGAATTTGGTACCGACCTGCGCAAGTTGGGAAAGGGGTGGCCCAATCTCCGCTGGCCTGGCAAATCGTCTCGGACTGGCCCTTCAAGCCGTAGCCGGGCTCGCAGCTGAAAATAGCCCTGCCGCCTACTTCTCTAGATACTACAAGTACTTTCAAGTGCTCACTAAGTACTACTCCGACCTCACCGCATTCTATGCCTAAAAATAACAGTGTACGGTCTTTATAACAGTCTTTATAACATGCATTAATAATACTCTACGGTTACAGCGATCAACTACTTTTCTATATGAATTTGTATTTGTTTTTCTTTGGGCTTACTTTCGCAAATGGGAAACGGGGAGCTCCAGTTGCCCGATGGCAGGCACACGACCTCCGGCGCTCCGATCAAGGCGTTTCCATTGATGCAGGAGAATTTCAAACGGGTGTTCATTTTGGTGCTTTGCGTGTTGACCGTGAGGCCTCGTCGTTGGGGGATCGCGGGGCAATGAACGGCTAAAATAGAGGCGAATGAAGAACTGAGTAATTGTGATAGAGAGGATTGTTGTGTACCTTTGACTTCGATTTCCACGGAATGCGTGTATCTAGCCGGCGTGACGCACGTGAAGACGCCCGAATCGTCTTTGGAGGCGTGGAAAATGGACAGCCTGTATTCCAGTTGGGCGTCTCGGCCTGGATCGGTCGACCAGCCTTCTGGGTATTTTCTGGAAAAGCCCAAATTAATGAACCGACGAACTGTATTTTGTGGGGCTTCTTAGGTACCTATAGTCGTGACTAACGGTCCACTTTGGGTTCCCGAATCTCCTGATCCACAGGCATTCCATGTGTAGAATGGTGCCCGGGTACACTATTAGTTTGCCTTCGTTTGACTGCGCAATGGGGCCCAGTTGGTGTCTGAACAAAATCGTCGGCGGTTTTTCCATGGAGTAATCGTTGGCTTGGTTCAATCCGAAACAAGCCGGTTTCACCCCGTCCCATTCGCCGCCCATGCACCTCCTTCTATTCGGACCTGTTGGTGGAAATTACTCATTGCAACGAAGAGTTGAAAACTTACTGCGCGTCGGAGAATGTTTATACCTAAATTACCTATCATAGCGAATTTGCCAATATCGATACATCTGCTGACGAGCACCGCTCCCGCGGGGAACTCCACCACGTCTTCTCGAATTTGCTGATCGTTGTAGAACGATATCACGTTTGGTTCTTGATTCCTGAATATGCAAGTGCTGTTGTTGTTCAATATTTGCGTATTTCCCAATTCATCGGCGTCTGAAATAGATTCTGTTACTTACCAAAGCGGTGAATGATATAAACCTACCGCAATTCAAAGATCTGCCAATCCAACTGCCATCCTCGCAAATGATCTTCCACGTGGTTTTCTCGCCCATGATACTCTCTATGCAATTGAAGGTAACTTCGCTCCCGTCCGGGAAATTGTTTTCGTCTTCCACCACAGGATGGCCGTTTCTGTAAATCAGTGAACCGCGAACCCTGCAATGATTTTACAAACGATTTAAACTATGGTTATAGCGCGAATTGTTAACCGACTTACTTAGCAGGCGGTCCGCAAGGGTTCCCGCCCGAATTCCCGTATTGAATGACCGTGATTTCGCCGCCCTTCACGATATCGCTGCCGCCCAGGTACTGGGTTTCGGACTTTCCCCCGGCGCCGGAGTAAGGAGCGCAAGTCGGGGTATTCGGTTCCAATTCGCCCAGCAAGCACTGGATTTGCCTGGAAACCGACTGTTCGTGGTCTCCTTCGCATTGGTATGTAACGCTAGAGCCGTTTGCGATGGTCAAACCGGCTCTGTAGCCCGACATGTATTGACCCAGTGGGATTTTCGGCAGCTGGCAAGGCGCTGGAATGCAGAGAAGGTAGTCGAAATATGTTTAATAATGTTGTTTGGTAATGGTAAAGTTTAATCGTGATTAATTTAAAAATGCTTATGTATAATTTACATATGAAATATTGGCAGTTTTGATGAACATGATCTAGTTCTAGTCTATTATTTGGATACCTATTAATACAAGCCTAAAGCAACATGAGTTTGGTACGTGTATCTAAAAATTTTAATACTCAATGTCTTACAATTAACAATTTAAAGATGAGAAGGAAATGAAAATTTGATTGAAAAGAGCTACTTATTATTCCATTTCCTTCCCTAGTTACAAAAGAAATAATCATTATAACAACTGCATAAAAAATTAATAAGAACCAGGATAATTTAATAAGGGGGTAGTAGCATTAGGTGGGACTTTAAAGAAGATGGCGACTGAGGTTAGGGGAAAGCAGAAGTCAAACTAGGTTGGCAACAAACACTACAAACAGTGACAAAAGTGTCACATTAGAACTGTTGGCTAAACTGTTAAATGAATTTAAATTAAAAAATGATCTTAGTGTGTGTTTTGAACATTTAATTGCTTTTATACACTGTGCTTCATTTGCGATTGCAACATGGGCATTTCTATGAGTTGAACAAAGTAAGATTGCTAAAATGACAGTTGTCAAAATGAAAAGTTGCAATGACATAATATCATTCTTTCTTTTTCCTTTATAAGTGTCTAATTGAAGTTGTCTTTGTTGCGCCCATAGCCTATGTTGCAATGAAAAATGGAGCAATCTGTATGTGTGTTGTGTGTTATTTGAATCTCATTTATGAACGAAGCGAAAGATATTGGTATATTATCGTTTGCATCAACAATACAATTATTTACTTTTTCGCGCCAGATTGACGTTTGTGACTTTTCATACGTCACTAAGATGGAACCCTCTTCCACCTCGAAATGCCGTTACCCCTTTATTAAGTTATCCTGATAAGAACATCTTTTGTACGTGCACAACGCATGAATTAAAAATAAAACAATCTAAACCTAACTACAGAAAATGAAACGCGCGTAATAAACGCGCCGATCGTCCTAAAACGCAGAACAGGAAGCGAAACGAGCGCCGCAAAAACCTCCAGTTTCCTCCGGTCACCTACCTGGAACGCATTCGGGATAACCGGTCACGGCCCAGTCCCCGTGCCAGCAGCGCATGTTCCTCGGGCCGCGCACTCGGTAGCCCTCCTCGCAGGAGAACTCCACCGCCTGACCGTTCTCCACGTCGTCGGTCTCGTTCAGGGGCTGATCGAAGTCGACGACGTCGGACGCGTTGGAGCTTTCGGGCGGTATAGCGAGCTTATAAATACCGAACGGGGCTTCTGGCACGTAACACGGTACTAGAATACACCGGGGGTTCAGGTGAAGGAAAAGCCCACGATATGAGATATGCGGATTTTAGCAGAAGATATGGTTAGAAATGATTTATTAGAGCTCAAAACCGTTTTCAGTTGCTCAAAATGTGTTATAATTAAAAAGATATAGCCCTTTGAAATTTAATATTTTCGAGTATGACGTAGACACGCCTAATGAAGAATAGACCTATTCAGTTTACGAAAGAGAGTGATGGAGTTATTAGATCAACATAAGATAATAAAAGAAGCAAATATGTTTCACGCGCAATTTGTGGAACCATTTAAAATCTGCGCAAACGTAAGTGCAAGAGAGACGAGATATTTGGCCTATTTCATTGCTGATTGACAGACACATTGAATGATTCTTAGATGAAAACTGTTTAAAATATAAAAAAGAAGAGACCATTATCAATCTTAACATTCTTAACCCTATTTTGTTTCCGTTTGATGTTTGTTTATGTTCAGTGTGTATTATTTTTAACAGTATTTCTTTGTATTATTTAGTATATTTATTTATAAAGGTAATAATTTTTTGTATAGGTCAATGGGATTATTTTTTTGAAATATATATTATAGCAAACCGATCAAAAAGCATTTTCGGAAACTTTGTACTAACCCTCTTACTCTTTCTTAGACTTGACTTGTACGTAAATATTAAGCCTATAACCCCTTTCTGGGCAGTAAAAACAAATTTGTATCGAGTCACCGCGTCCATTAAATCCGACGGATTGTTGGATAATGACAAATGACGTCTTAAGTTGTCGTTGTCTGGTTGTCAGAACCGTATTTTACCTGAGGTGCGTTCGTTTGTTCGTTTAGATGTCCAGCTAATTGTCCACAATATGCGCGCGCAGCACAGGTTAAACTGAATAGGTCTATACAACAAACGAACAAAAATTAAACTGTCATTTGTCAGATTTTTCGATAAATGCTTAGTTAAGGTTTTGTTTCTCAACAATCTGCCACCCATATTTTTATAAATGTACCAGTTATAAAATTCATCTGGAATCTGAAATAATAGATATCGGGGCTTAAAACTGATCCATGTTCAGTTGTTCGGCTTTTTTCTTGTTTACATTTTTATTATGACTCACGATCGACAATATTGACGTTGACAACAATGTTGCCAAATAGATTTTTCACGGCTATTATTTGTGTGTTAACACCAATATTTGCTACAATTTTCCATTATGTAATAAGAAAATGGATATATCAGTAAATCTTTATCGCATATAAATATACAAAAAAACGCACATTTTGCGGAGTAAAGAAGGGTACTAAGGAATGTGGCAACATGGCTAAATGTGACTTTTAATTGCAACTCTCGCTCTGATTGGCGCACACGCTATGACGTTTTTCAAACTTTCAATTGTTGCGGAGTTTCCATCGGTTACTCCGCGCAAGTCGCGTATCCTGCGTAAAGCGTACAAAGCGATACTTACAAATTAAACACATCGGTTTGGCTGGTTTCCATTTTCCTCTGACGCATTTCGCCGTCTTGTTCTCGGGTATGTTCAAGCCGTAGCCCTTCCCGCAGGCCATTTTGATGATGGTTCCGGCGCTGTACGTTGTGTTAGCCTCTTTGCCGTACTTCACCACCTCTATATTCACGTAGGGTTCGCTGGACAACGGCTCGCACGGGCCTTTGTTCTTCGATTTGTTGGTTTTGGGCTCCACTACTTGTATGATGTGCTGCTCCTCCTCTTCGTCGTCGTATTGCTTGCGGTTGCCCCTTCTCAGGCTCAAGCTGGAGCTGGAGCCTCGGTGAGCCGTGCCCAAGGCTCTGCTTCCGCCGCCGCCTAGATACAGGTAAATATCGGACGTTTCCGTGTATATTTCTAAAAAGGTCTGGAAATTTAGGTCGAAAAAGTGTCCCGTTATTTGAGGATAAAACGGGGTTCCTAAGACGGCCGCTAGGAGGCGATGTTGTAAAGGACCATGGTTTTTTGCGTACGAATTATATAGAATTAGCATTAAGGTTTTATTCAAACTAAAAATAGGTACAAAATATAAAAATATACTTAAATCAGCGATGATTTTGTTGTTAACGTATATCTTCGGTTAATGTATTTCTCCATTTTCTCCTCGAAATGTCAAAAAATAATTTTTGAAGTTTTGACAGCTTGAACTGTCGTCACACAACCGCGATTTATATGTAGCGCGACGCTGATTGGCTGAGATAAGTTGGTCCTCCGATGGTTCGCCACAGTGCGGCGCAAAAGTGAAGCTCAAAAAGTCTTCAAATAACAGGACATATTCTCTAATGCATAAGCATAGCCTATTTCCAGACCTTAGAAATATCCGACCGTGCTTAAAAGTAATCTTTATGGGACCGAAAATCATTATTTTAGTGCAATTCCATTACCTTTGAGCGCTCGTTTTTTCCTTCTGATTGCATCGAAGGAACGCAACGCGTGGGCGATTCTCTGCGATACACTCCTTGCTACAGCGTGCCTTTGATGCGAGGCTCGATCCTCGCTAGCGAGATGGACGTAGTTGTGAATGTACCTCTTCTCTCTGCGACCGTAGAGGATCCTGTGGTTGCGGATGAACGCCCTTTTGTACTTCTCCATGATCGCGGACCGTTTCCTTCGGTTCCACCGGATCCTAGGGTGCTGGCCTAGGAGGCACCTGAGAAAGGTTTATTGCAATAAATAATACAGTGTTGCAACGATAGAGTTGAGTTTACTTGGGAAGTTCGCTGGGGCTCCAACGTCCACCGATGCAGGTGGCGCCCGGCGGGCCCTCCCCCAGGAAGTAGCCTTTGTTGCAGTCGTACATTATTTGCTTGTTGTTGATCACTTTGCGCACGTAGGGCCGGTAATCGTACAAGCCCATGTTGCCCACCAGGAGGATTTTGCCGTTCATCACCTCGCCAGGGTAAGGACAATAAACTGAAATGCAGCGTTAAATGCAAGCGATTCGCGGGGTTTAAAGTTTAAACAGTACCTTCTTCGCAGACGGGCATGTCTCCGGTCCAATTCCCGAAGGAGCACTCCATGAATTCGTCGCCTTTCAGTTCGAAACCGTCTTTGCATCGGAAACGAGCCTTCATGCCGTGCTCCATCTTCGGCGCGATGACCATCCCGTTGCGCGGCACTTTCGGTAGGGCTTTGCACCTAAAAATGCCATTCGTGATCGTTTAGAAGCAAGGTCGAATCGGGGAGCGATAAATGAAAAGAGTGTTAATAATTTAAACGGTATATTTCATCAAAGCGGGTTTTTTAATAACAATGCAATTGGTTGTATGTATTCATGCGTTTTCTGTATTCGCGTCCGAGGTATCTTTCCTAATATCAAAATTTGTTAGCCTGGAAAATAAGAAATAATTATTCAACACCTACAGCCTAAGAGAAACAACTAAAATTAAGAGTTTGAGGATGATTGCTTCGATGTATTCTCGATTTATAGTAGGCCTCGTAGGCCAGAAGGTGATGCAGGGAAGCTATTAATGGTATGAAGAAAAAAAACTCCAGCATAAATGAGCAAACAAGAAAGTTTAATATAACGCACCTGGCTGGATCGCACTTGGGCATCGAAGTCCACGTCCCATTGCTGCAAGTAACGGGAGATAAACTGGCTAAGAACTCATAATGAGTATCGCAATCAACGGCTAGAGCTTCGCCATGCTGCACCACTGTAGAAGTCATCGCAGTCTCGTTCCTTCCGATTAGGATGACTTTGCCTTGAGTCACGTGCGGTACCACACAAGGAGCTGTTAAAGAAGTTTCATTAAAACGGAACCTAATACACCTACACCTAGATACACCTACCTAAACATTTCGGAAGGGGATATCTCCACTTCCCGTCGATCTGACACACCGTGGACGTGTTACCCTCCAGCAACATCCCATCGTGGCACCTGAAGATAATAGAAGCGCCCAAACCGGTTCCTGCTTCGATGTTCTCCAGCCAGCCGTTCCACAGTCTCCCGGGATGTCCGCAGTTGATTTCTATTCAGACATCCATGTCACTCATCCGCTCGCGTAGCGGACCAATTCGAAGGATACTTACCCTTACAGACGGGCTGGCTCCCCGACCACTTCCTGTCGGCCCCGCACCGCCTCGTGCTCTCCCCGATCAACGTGTAACCGTACTTGCATTCGTAACTGACCACCGAGTTGTAGCTGCACGACGTGTAGATGGCCTTCCCGTGCCGGGGGTTCTCTGGAGGAGGACACTGCACCGCCGTCACCACTACGCAACAACGACCAATACAAAAACGTTTACGTTATAATGATCGCCGAAGGGGCTACAGGGTGTTTGTAAAGTTTTTCGAACGGCTCGTACAACACCCTGTAGGGCAACTTTCATTATAAGTTCGAATGAATGCGGTGCGAAGGTTATTAGGTTTGTTCCAGCAGCATGTTTTGTGCAGCGTGTTATTTGGTGTTCTGAGTAAATGTTTGATGTTCCGGCAGAATTCGATTTTTGTTTGGATCATGTTTGAGATCTGCAAAACTGTTCTCGTCTGAAGTGAGAACTTTTAGAACATTTCGAAAATAAGTATGGTTGTGTTTGTTTAGTTACAATTTAGCTTTAAATTATGGAAGTTATTGACTTATTTGGAGCTATGGGCGAAAGTAGTGAAAGGGTCATTAGTTGTGATGAATTATCGGAAGACGATTTTGAAGAATTGTTGGAAGAAACGCAATTCCTCAATATTCGGAAAATGAATTCAAAGAACATTTCCGTGCTACAGGATACCCAACAACTGCTCGAGGCGTTCCAGCAAGAAATGTTCCAATCGTATAACGAACCGTTACAAACATAATTTGAACATGCTGCTGGAACAAACCTATTAGTGGTACTTACGAACACATGTGGGTAGCTCCTTGGGTGACCACGTGCCGTCCGCCTGGCAATACCGCTCGTTCTTGCCAACCAGCTCGTAGGCTTCGGCGCAGTGATAGGTTATTCTGCAGCCGAAGGTGTAGCATTCCCCGGCGTGCCAGCCGTGGGAAATGTCGGTAGGCGGACCGCACGATCTCGCTGAAAGTAAAATTTAGTTTACTAAGTGTTATAGAGTAATCGAGTAGTTTCCTTACGTTCGCAAACTATGTCAGGTCCGTACCAAGAAGCTTGCCCGTCGACAGCGAGACATTTCGCTCTGGGGAAGCCGTTGGTAACGTAACCGGTGTGACAGTAGTACTGCAGAGTGGAGTCCAAATCGAAGGTGCTTTGCTCAGCCGGGGCGTTGTGCCTCGCGTGGTCAATAGCGGGTGGTGTCAAACAGTACACTGAACACCAGAAACGATTAATAAATATGCTATTGAGGATCATTTGTATAAGAACTAACCGTTTTGTTTGCAAGCTGGGGCGCTTCCGGCCCATTGCCCGTCCGCCTGGCAATTGCGGCTTTGCAGGCCTACTACGTGGTAGCCGTGTTGGCACGTGTACGTGGCTCTGGCTCCGAAAAGCTTGCCGCTGGCCGTTACCGTTCCGAAAGCGATTTGCTCCGGATCCGGACACTCGCGGTCTAAGAGAAGAATAGAGTAAGTGCACCAAATATGGACCACCGCCATTTTAAGATTGTTCTTTATATGGAGTAAATGATCATCACACACTAAGCATCACTCCTCCCTTGATCCATCTAAAGCTTGCAGTGATCCAGGATGCTCGTATATATATTTACGACAGCCTTTTTTAGTTTACTGCAACGCGAGATATAATTTTCTAGCGAATTTTGGAAGGTTTTTAACCCAAAAAATACTTTTTTTTGTGAAAGTGGATAAGACCACGAGGAAGGTGAGTCATGTTGCAATTAATTGTATTAAGTTTTAATATTCCAATTTTCTGAAGAAAATTATAGTCTCAAAATGAGTAAGTATCACAATATGGACCAGTGGTACGTTTTAAATATGGAGTGGCTAAAAATTAATTTTTATGTTCTAGAATGGCTTTTAAAGCAATACAGAAGACCAGACAAGCATGGGATAAAAAACGCAATGGTGGAGGCAATTCAAAATGCACGAGAAAAGAAAATGGGATTTTTGAATGCTTCCAAAACATACACCCAAAACAAATCACTTAATGATATCACCACCCAAAAACTTGGGATATCAACATTACCGAGTGAATTCGATGATGAATTAGTCAATTATATTTTAAAAATGGAAAAATCTGGATGTGGTCCATATTATGTTCACTTTCTGAAAGTTCATAAAAATGATATACTTTAGAAAATGTTATTTATGTCAAAGATTTTGTTTTTTTGGAGAATTTTATTACGAGTTTTTCTTAACTGAAAAAGCTGATACAAATTTAAAATTCGACTTTTTATTGAGAAAAGTGCCTAGGGTTGTCAATATATGGCGCACTTCCTCTACATTCAATAATTTTCATCTACGTTATTAACTAACGAAATACTGTACCGGGTTTGATGCAGGATAGTCCACAAGAACCGTCGCAGAGGCACTTCTTCTTCTTGCTCTTGCAGTCCTCGTCGGACGAGCATTTCCTCAGGCATTTTTGACCCTACCGCGAATTGTTAATATATTAATATCGCTTACATTTCTTGCATATTACCTTTAAAAGCAACAAATACGTACCAATAGAGTGGCTTGTTCTTCGTCTCTGGGACAAAGGGTGGAAGGAGAATTCCTGGGATTCTTGTAAACTTTCCCGTCGTCGTCGATTTCCGATGAATCGGAATCTTCCCAATCGTCCTCGTCTTCATCTGCAGTCGGAGTCGTACTTATCACCGACACGTTCCTTCGAACTCTCAATGTCGACGCTGAAATTTATTATAAATCCTCATTTAAGAGAACGAGAAGCGGGTATTTTTATTTAAAATCACTCTACAAATTAATATACACATGAATGCATTTATTTTTTTTAATGCAAAACGATGAGTCGTACGGAAAAAAATCAAGAAATCAAATTTGTTCTAAATTGAATGTAGATTCCGAAAATAATTTTATTTTTAATATTAGGCAGTGGCGTACTATTTTTTCTCCAAAAATATTCAATACAAAACCCGTACGGACGCCACTGCTGAAAATAATGGAATTATTTGTACATCAGAAAATGCATCTTGATTCATAGAAGACATGTGCCAACTTTCATAAAGAAATCAATAATAGTATCACAGTTATCATAAAAAATTTATTTTTTTCTTAAAACTTTAACACCCTGTATCTCAAAAGTTTATACGTTTAGGACATAAATTCATATGAAGTTTTTTTCTTAAAATGGTCCCAAAAATCACTCCCTTAAATATTAGCATGTCATTTTAGAACACCCTGTACACCGGGTGTCCCCAAAAAATGGCACCAGCAAATTTAAAATGTCAGTAACTTTTGGTACGCCCTTTAGTACGTCTTCTTTCGCGTCATCTCTAGCCGCCTGTCAGTGCATTAGCAGGGCTATATTCGTTGTTGTCATCGATGCTTTCAAAATTATAGCAATTTCCGCCGAACTCTGCGAAGATGACCGACATCGATAGCGACGGTCCGGAGGGCTCCTTCGAAACGGCCGACAAAGACGACGAACTGGAATCCGACTCGTCCCTCCTGTCGATCTTGGACGAGAAGAACAAACTCATAGCGAGCCTGCAGCGCCAGCTGCAGAACCAGAAGCTGCAGCTGATGTACTACATGAGGAAGGAGAGGAACTACGCGAAGCTGGTGGAGTTGTCCGGCACGTGCTCGCCGGAGAACTTCGAGGACAGCCTGCCGATTTTGCTGTCGCTGGAGCACTTTCGCAAGGAAAACGGCATGAAAAGCACGCTCTTCCGTCTCTACGAGTACATGGAAAATTTGGACCGGAAGCTCAACAAATCCATCGACTGCCAGGAGTGCATTCTGAGGAAAATCATCGAGCAATTTTGTTTGGTCATGAAGAATCGCGCCAAGCTCAACGTAGATTTCAAAATAATCCAACCGACGCAGCAAAATTTGTACGTCGACTTGTTCAACAGCCTCATAGAAACGACGGTGCGCCTCAGAAAGCGGCTGGACTCGTTCCGAATGTGCTGCAATCGCTTGTTGCTCATCGAAGACGAAAGGAACAATCTCATCGAGCAGGTCGTGGCGCTTCCAGCCAACGAAAAATTCAACTGCAACTTCCTGATGACCATCAAGCAGGACAACATCGAATTGGAAAGGAAAATCCAACTGCTCACGAGGAAGCAGAACTTCATCAACTCGGACGTGGAGGACGCGGACGATCTGGAGCAAAATCTGTCCACGATACAGAAGAAATTCAAAACTGCCGTGAACGAATCGGAGAACATTACCAGCATCAGCGATTTGATTAAGCAATTAAACATCGACGCGAAGGATTTGTTGCAAGTCGCAGAAAAGCAATACAATAAGAACGATACGCTAGTAAATTGCGCCACGAAATTCATTAGGCTCGTGTTAAACGAAGAAAAAATTCACGAAAACGCTTACACGCAAGAAGAATTAGATGCGATTCAAGCAATTAAAAAGGAGGTTGAGGAATTCAAGCAGAGAAGCAAAGATAAATACCATAAATTACAAATGGAAGGCGATGATCTTAAAAAAACCTTCATCGAGCTACTTACCGAAAAAAACAAACTAAAAATCGCCAACATTTACCTAAAGTTTCGAGTGGAAAAGCTCCAAAAACACTACGACAACGACATCTCAACGCTCAAACAGGAGAAGAGCAACTTAGAAACCCAACTGCAGGATTTGGAGGAATTAAGAAAATCCTACACTAAGCTGTTAATTATGCCCGACTTGGAGAACTCCTCCAAACAAAACGAAATATTAGCGCACACTATCGGCCATCTCGAACAGAAGCTCCTGCTGATGAAGGAGATAATCCAAAAGCAGAACAAGGAGATTTCGATACAAAGCGAGTTCATCGAGAACATAAAAAACCAGAATAAAACCAGCCAGGCGTCGTCTACGATCGTTTCGATCGATGGCAGCGATTCGAAGCGGCCATTCGAAGCCAACGACTTCAAAGACATCATAATGGGCGAGCTGTCGAGGTACATTGAGAGGAAAAAGGCGCAAGGCGATGCGGACGGCGACGGCGCCGACCGACAGTGGATCGTGGCGTTCGGGAACAAAGAGCTGCAGGAGGTGGCGAAGGAAATCGTGGAGACCGTGGTGAAGAAGCTGGTGAAGCAGAACGAGGGGAGCGCGAAGCCCAGCGACGAGTCGGTGATAATGTGCGACTGCTCTAGCGAGAGCACGGGCGCATTTTGCGAACCGTTGCAAAAAAGTAAAGAAGCCGCGGAAAATCGATATTCCAGGAACATTGAGGTGTTGGTGCAAAATAATCTGTTGTTGAATTCCTCGTCCGATGAATGCAATTTAGATACCAAATGATGTGTTAATGTAATAATAATAATGTGTATATCGGCCGATGGGTTGGGTGTTTTTTTCCGTTTGGGGCGGTTTAGAGGGTGAATTTACTACCCCGTGTAACGGGAAATTTAATTGGGGTAGGTAATAAGAAAAATAATCCTATTTATCTTGAAGAGAATTGCAAATTATTGTAACAATATGTGGACATTTATCCTAAAATTATTCATGCATATTAACAAAAAACAACCCTTGAGAACATTTAAAAAGCGGAAAAAAAATTAACGATTTTTTCAAACTTTACTCCAATAACAAAGACCGACTATCGAAAGGTCAAGGCTACACATTCGGCAAATTTACCATTACTAAATAAACTTATTGCGAGATGAAGTATTTTTTGACATTATTTGAATGAAAATAATAAATAATCAACAGAACAATTCAGTAGAAACATTATTACAACAAATTCAGAAACTTTGTAGAAGATTTTGTATACTTACCTACCACAATATTAATAAGACAAAGGCAGCATTAATAACATTGTATATCAAAAGTATATGATCAAAGCCTTGTGGGTACAAAACCTAAATAAGTGAACTATTAAATTACATGTAAAATCAAAACTAGACTCCATCGCAATAGGAAAATAGAAATTAATATAGGTATACTAATTGCAAATAAATCATTGGTAATCTCCAAGAAAAGTACCAATCTACATTCTTCGCATGCTCTAAACTCTAAACAATCGAATTTCATCATTTATGAATGGAAACATCTATTTTAATCACACATTCAGTTAAAAATACACTCGGCGACTATTGCACTTACCCTCACAACAAAAAAATACAATGCATAATAAAAGACACGAATAACGCAGCTTCATTGTTTCATATTATCCTACCGGTAAGACCCACAGGAGAGTTTCTCTATAACCGTTCAGTTACTCAAATCATAACAAGTTTAATACACCGAGGGGAATAAATTTATAGCCGAAGAACTGTATAGCGATCGGGGATGGAACGGTTGCAAACACGCGCAGCATCCGACTGAGCTGATCTAAAAAAGCGGGTTATTCTTGTAGGTGAATATTCCAGACGACGGCGTCGCGGTGCAACGCTCAGTGGCGTCCCCAACAAATGCAATCGAACATCAAAGTGTGCCATGACAATGATAGAGATGTTCGGATATAAACCAGTGATTTCCAATAATGACTGAGTGAATGAATAAAAAATTAAAGAATGAATGGACAAGTCAATCGAAAAATCAAAAATAGCACCAAAATAGTAAAAATGACAAATATTAAATTTCTCCAATTTTGTAAATAACAGTATATTTAGCGATTATAATAACAAACACAATATTATCCAATTTTCTAATTAGTATCTTTTAGCTAAATTAGAAAATTATACTAAAAACATATTTTATCATCACCAAATACCACTTCTATCAAAGACCAAACCTCCAGATTATCTTCCCGACTATTTACAATGAAGTTAGCACCATTAGACATAACCTCAAACATTGACAATACCATAACAAAATATACAAACGTCAAAAGTACCAAAATTTTAAGAACCCTTCAATTATTTATAAAAATGTCTGTAAAAATCCGAGCGGCTTACACTAACTCGATATCCACTTCCAGGATAATTTTCACATGTCTAGCGGCGGTAATCGTCCGATATTATTTGATGTTATCGAAGTACCAAACGGTGATAGCGAATCACGTTGAGGTGTCGACGCCTTTGAATTCCTGGAAACGGGTGTCGGAAGGGCTGTATTTGATTTCCAAAAATATAAACCCGTACGAAGGGGACGTGCTGCACGAGACGCCGCTCTCCTTGTACCTGTACAAGAACATTTTGCTGGTGTTCCAAGACAGAATCCACCTGGCTTTCATCACGTTCGATGTGGCCACCGCCATCATCTTGTTCTTCACCACGAAGAAGTTTAACTGGGATTTGTTCGTGGAGGAGGAGAACAACAAGGAAACGTTCGCCAAAGACGCCGTGGAGTGCTTTTTGAAACCCGAGAAGTTGTTCAAATCATCGTACTATGTTCTGCTTACGTATTTATTCAATCCTTTCACGTTGTTTAGTTGTGTGGGGTATTCCACGACTGTTTTTTATAATTTTTATTTAGCTGTAATGATGTTTTGTATGGTGCATGGAATTTCGGTGATTTGTGGAATTTTTCTTGCATTGGCCGCTTCAGTATCTTTTTATCCGGTGGTGTTGATCCTACCGGTTACAATGTATTTCAAATACGCTATTAAGAGTAATTTCAAAATCATCATCAATTTGTTCAGTTTTATCACCACTTCGGTGCTGATAATGTTGATGTGCACCGATTTCGGTAAAGATTTTAGCTACATTAGAAATGTTTATGGTTGCATTTTAACTGTACCCGATTTGCAGCCGAACATTGGGCTGTTTTGGTACTTCTTCACGGAAATGTTCGAGCATTTCAGGGAGTTGTTTATTTACGCTTTCCAGATTAACAACACGATATTGTATTTAGTTCCTATATCGCTGAGATTTAGGAAGCACCCCTTTTTGCTTACGGTTGCTATAAACTTTATTATAACCATTTTCAAGTCGTATCCGAGCGTGGGAGATGTGGGTTTCGTACTAAGTGTGGTACCCTCTTTTCCTCATCTGTTTCCTTTCAGTCAACAAGGGTTTTTGGTGGGTACTATGCTGATTATATCTACTTCACTAGCACCCATATTGTATTATTTGTGGATATATTGTAACTCGGCAAATGCTAATTTTTACTTTGGTGTGACTCTAAGTTTCGCTGTGGCTCAGATATTTTTGCTAACAGACCTGCTGTTTTCTCAAGTAAAGCGAGACTACATGCTGAAGTACGGGAAAAACAGGAAGATTGATGGAGAAGAAGGAATTTTGTGTTTAGAATAAATGTTTTTTTTATGTTTCTTAATAAAAATGTGTTTAAAATTAATTTTGGTGTATATTTTCCCAACTTAAATAACATACTATTTTTCTAAATACGATCAACGATAAAAAAAGTTTTAAATTAACAATTCAATTCAAAATACATAATGTAAAGAAACGATAAAAATTTAAACCACTGTAGTGTCATCTAATATTACTTGATGAAATTTTTTTATCCTCTTGTAGGCTCCTTGCAAGTTATTTTCAATTATCACAGGGTGCAGTTTATCCATTATAGAGAAAACCTAAAAAATAATGCAATATTAAACATATCTATTAAAAAATTCTGTAGATATTGTACTTACATGTCTAATAATTGGTTTGTAAACATCACAGGTTAAATTTATAAGTTCTATAAGCATGTACGTCAGGGCATTCCAATTTCGTGTCAACAAACATTCATTTACTGCCTTTATAATTTGCCCGGGTAAGGTCCAATGAGACCTCACTTTCGGGTGCATCTGTGACAAACACTTTTTGCACTCCTTCTGTTTCTCGTTCTCTATTCTCCTGTATTTAACGGAATTCACTAGATCAGTCAGTTCGTGTTTTTTGAACTTGGCAATTGGTTTTATAGGTTTATGTATGTGTTTTCTGCGTTTTCGTCTTGTACGAACTGGACCTCTCCTGGCGTATACGAATTTTTCTTTAACACTTTCTGTGATAGTTTCATCCGAATCACTATTTTCTAATTTTAATTTCTCGAGTTCGATATCTTCGTTTTCGCCAACATCATGGAAAACTATTTCCATTTCCTGAAACGATTCATCCTTCAATTCGTCAAACGAATTCATACTTTTAAAATATGAATTACAAAGATTTAAAACTGGGCTTTCACAAGAATAACAAAAAACTTAACCTCATAAAAGATTCATGTTTTCTTCTTTTTACTCAACACTAAAATTGTTGCCTTTTACTTGGAATTTTTTATGTGCCACCTGTAGTCGTATTGAATGTAGTGAGAGTATTTGCGAATAAATTAATATCTTATAATAAATTAGGAAGCACTATTAACAAATAATTATATAAAAAAATGACTTGTGACGTATTATACTTGCGACAAGTGACATTGACAGCAGTGTGACAGCTGGCAAACGAAACGAAAGGCAAAAAAGTATGTAAGATATGGCCACCTCATCGTAAATTTTATTGTAGTATAACTTTAATTAATTTACGATTTACATATATTTATAATTTATTAAAATGGATCTCGCGCACATTTCTTTCATATTCCTAAGTTTATTATTAACTGTGAATTGTATAATGTGGAATTTAGAGCCGAACACCAGGAAATGTTTACGAGAGGAATTACAGCAAAATATACCTGTTATTGGGGAATTCGAAGTGACCGAGGCGCTCGGTCAATCAGTCGATTACGTGGTTAGTATTTATCCTCGTAAATCTACCATCAATTTCGCAATATATATATAATCTACGAATTCTATTTTTGTACAGGTGACAGATTCGAAGGGTCACATACTTGCCAAACAACAAGGCATTACTAAGGGAAAGTTTTCTTTTAACACTGAAAGCTTTGATACGTATGAAATCTGCTTCGTATCGCAAGTACCTGCAAGTAAGAATTTTTTATCTTCCATAATCTTCGACAATCTAATTTCTACGTAATTTTTTAGACCTCAAAGGAGTCGCTCAAGAAGTGTCATTAGTCACCAAACATGGAGTAGAAACTAAAAATTACGATAGCGTAAGTTTATTTTATATTTCCTAAATATTCCGTAACAGCCACACGAATTGAATGTTGCATTTTTAATACTTTTAATATCTACTTCAGTATGGTGAAGCTGCCCAGTTGAAGCCCATTGAAAAAGAACTTAAAAGGTTGGAGGACCTCTCTGAAGCAATCGTTAAGGACTTTGCTATAATGAGACAACGAGAAGAAGAAATGCGGGATACAAATGGTGATAATGCAATTATAATTTAATATCAATTGAATTTATTGACGATTTATTTTTTCAGAATCAACAAATAGCCGTGTATTGTACTTTTCGGTGTTTTCGATGTGCTGCTTACTTGGATTGGCCACATGGCAGGTCCTGTATTTGCGGACGTACTTCAAGGCGAAGAAATTAATTGAATAGTATTGGGAATTTCATGGAAAATATTTTTTATTTTTGTACAAAAAGCGTCCGATTTTTTTGCAATTGCCGAGTAAATTGACTTTCCGTTATTTCTTTGTACATCTTGATCTGTTTTGTACAGAAAAAGTCGTTAATAAAATTTTATAAATTATCGCCTAAATCAATTTGTTGCGTAATAAATCTTTTTCTAAATTGTAAAAAATTTAAACATGCCCATAATAGAGATTGAAAGATGTTTTATTTTGTCTGTCCATTTTTTACGTAGCGTAATAATCATAGAGAAAGGAAGATGCCTTTTATTTTGTCTATGGGTAGTAATTTAAGGATTAGGCCAAATTACGCAAACTGACGAGGCCTTAAAAATGAGGAAATTGTTGACAAATGACATGTGACACCAAATATGCCATTTTAAATGGAAATAATATTTTGTTTTCTCAACAAATAATTAAAAATCTATGAAATAAATCTTGTACCCCCGAAGCTGGAACCATAAATGATGGTATAAATCGAAACAAATAAATTATTTCTCAACTTTCTTTAAAGTTACAGCCATTTATTCAATTAGAGACACTGGGGACATGTAGTGTATTCAGCTACCTTTCGAACTGAATGATAAAGCCAATACGAATATAAAATAATGTACCTGCCCACAGCATTACCACCGGAGCCCCAGACGTCCACGAAACAAGCTCAACAAAGCCGACAGAATTGGAAGATAAATCTAGAAGGAAGTAAACAAAGAAAGTATAAATGCAATGAGCAGGGCACAGCCCGACCCAGGGGCACCATGAGAGATATACGATTTTATAACGAGAGACAGCAGACTCCAATGTATCGCAATAATAATTCCAGTAGATGGGATGTAAATGGTTAGTAACTTTCTACTAGTGTTCTGTAAGTACATGAAACTGATCTACTTTTTTCAGATGTATATAGAAGAAACAATAATAATTATAGAGGTAATCGAACTTATTATGCACCAAATTATCAGAACCGTTTCTCTCCTAGATATACTCCCAATCAACCACTAAACAGGTTAATATTCTCGATTAATAAATTTTCTAATGGATATTTTGTAAACATTTTTGTTTCCAGAGGGAAAATTCCTCAAAAAAGCTCTGTACAAGAAAAACCGCATCTATTAGATGAAGACAGTGAAGAGTATGTAAACAACAAAATACAGCAAACCAGTGCAATAATAATGCGCCAGTTATTAAACCCCGAAGAAGATATCATTCAAGCTAAAAATAACAATTCCAAGTTACCAGAGTACCCAAAAGAACAAGCAAAGGTTACTGAAAAACCAAGTACACCCATTAAAAACAACAAGAGAAGAAGAAACGATTCTTCTAATACACTGGTGTCTACGGAAAATAAACCGGACAAAAGCACTACTTACACAGCAGAGCAAATTAGTAACAAAATAATGGCTCATTTGATCAACTTAAACGATGGTAGAAAGAAGAATCTTATAATCCGTGGAACTTCGTCAGTTTACGATGATGCAATTACCAATATTCTTAAGCAGAAGCGCCTCGAAATCTCTCGAGCATTGCGAAACGTTCGCTTAAAGTCTGCGGATGTTACGGATTCCAGCGAATTAATCAATTCGATTATACCCGACATGGGCATAAAAATCGAGGATTTGCCGCAAGAAATTCTGGAAGAATTGCAAAACACTTTCGAAAATTTGGAGGAAATCGAAGATTACGAATCTATTAATTCTGATGGTAAGTTTTCGATCAACCATAATTCAATCTGAGCTGCAATGTGTATATTTTTTTCAGATAACGAAATTTTCATTCGAGAAAGCGATGTTTGTTTTAATGTCGGTTCGCCTGATAACAATTCAATGCAAAGCAACTCTAGTGAAGCACCGATAAAAAATGAGTTAGATGATTTAGCAAATCAACCTGACAAAGATTTTAATGAGATGGAAGCTTCAACAAATCAAATAGACACGGAATTGAATGAAATGGATGTTTCAACAAACCAAATTGACAAAGACTTGAATGAAATGGATGCTTCAACAAATCATATCGAGACAGATTTTAATGAAATAGATCACAGTGAGATTAAAATTGAAGAACACCACATAGAGGACGATTCGGTTACTATCAGAGAAAGTGATGTTTGCCTAGACATGCCTTCATCGCAACATTCTGATTTAATACAAATTAAAAGTGAAATTGATCTTCCTTCAAATAAAGTAGATTCAGACATCACTAACACACTGAGTGATGATACAAAGGAATTGGATACTAACAAAGAAATGGCTGTACCAGATAAATCAGACAGCATGACCATCGAGGAGTTTATCAAAATGAATTTTAAATTTTTGCCAAAAAATTACTCTCAGGCTTTGAAACAAATGTCCACGATTGACGAATATATAAAGAAACTAATGGATTATCGGCAACGGTGTTTTATAGCTCTGGATAAACGTATAAAAAGGAAAAAAAGGAAGAGACGAGAAGAAAAGTCTACTGATTTAACAGTTAAACGATCCACAGATGAAGCTGTAGTGGAAGAAACACTAAGTAACGTGAAAACTCCATCTTCAATGAAAGAAACTACTTCAAATAATGATAATAATCTAGAAACTAATAAAGATGAAGGAGCCACTAATTTCACGGATATTAAAGAAAAAGTTTTAGTGTTAAAGGTGAAATATTCACAAGTATTCAAGATGTATTTTCTCATTGCAAAATTGTTATTTCAGGTTTGCGACCTTTCCCTTTTAGTAGCCACAGAAAGCGGGAAAATTTACTTCTACGATCTGAATTTGTTGGATTCGAATTTTTGGAGTTGCGAATACCTATTACATGTAACGACCCTGCCTATAACATACTTGGCTTACAAAGTGGGCGAAGACAAGAAGCCCTACTTATTCGTAGGATCCGCCGAATCATCGTTGAAAATCTACAATTTTTACAGCAAATGCCTTCTAAAAAACATCGAATTGGACGACAGCGTGCAGTGCATGGACGAAAATTGGGGATCCGTTTTCTTGGGATGTCTGAGAGGAACTATCATGAGATATAGCATAGAGGTACAACATTTCGATACAAACAACTCGAAATTACTTATTAATTATTTTTTTAGAAACAACAAATTGAGTACAAAGATCAATTTTTCACCGAACGCATACTAACCATCAAAGCCACCGTGGAAGGTGCTCGAAGAGTACTGTTAATAGGAACTCGCAATTCACCCATTATGATTAGGGACGCAATGAACGGTCTCTTATTGAGAAAAATCGATACTAACGATAGTACAGTTTACTCCATGGTGATTCACAAAAACTACATAATTTGTGGAACGCAATCGTTCGATATACTAATTTTCAATTTCCATGTAAGTACTATCGTTCCAGCAACAATCCACTCGTTTGTGAGGGTACATTGTTATTCTAGAACGGCCAATTGGAGCATAGATTCGATGCGACAATGTCCAAAGGAGTGCCCTGCATGAAGCTCGTTGGGAAATGTTTATTTGCAGGATGTCGAAACGGGAATATTTACGTTTTCAATTTGGAAACGAATGTTCTGCTTGATACTTTGCGTGGACCCGGAGATGTTATCGTATCGATGGAAATACTGAACAATCAGGTAAATTCAAATCAAAAGTTTATACAGGGTGTCCCGCACAGTTCAGGGTGGGATTCCAAATTATCTTGTTTTACCTAACTTAACTTAATACAATGTTGGTTTCCTGAAAAGTTAGAGGCCTTAGAGGCGGTAATACTCAAACTTAAAACAACTAAATTTTAGGTAATCATTGGTACGTTGTCGTTAAAAATGGTTTCTGTTCCAATCAGCTCAAAGGTTTTAAGTGAACTGAATTAAGCGAGACAAATGATCTGGTTTGTAAATGAAGAGGATCTTATTTTGCAAGTGCAATTTTTATACTTATTAAATTAGGAATAAATAATTTTTTTAAACTTTTATAACAAGTTTTTAATCCATTCCATCCTTTCCGTTTAACCCTTTGTATTCAACCGGTATACTCGTACAGGGTGTTTATTTCGTGAACACTCTGTATAAACTCGTAAGTGAACAAAACGAATATTTTGCACAATTACTGTTTTGTTCACGAATTGAAAAAATATTCATTGGGAATAAAGTCATTTGTCTGAAGTACATTGTAATAACAGATTAGTATTTTTTTGTGCAATGTCTGGCTATTTAAATTGTTTCATGCAAAATGTTTATCTGTGCTTATCGAGTCTTTAAAATATTACAAAGTAACAAATAAATTTAGATACCTACAATTGATTTTGATAAAGACACCTGTTGTCGATCTGTTTCATTTTTTTTCGTTTTGCAATATGTTATCTAATCTAAATGTCGAATTAACGGCGAAAAGACACAAACTGGAAAGTACAATGCTACATTGTATGTAAAAATACTTGATGTAATTTTTACCTGTTGCTAATACCTTTTAATAAAGTTACCTAATGTTAAAAATGGCATATTCCAACTAAATATCTCTTTGAGTAGTCTTTAAAGCTCTAAGCCAAGTCTTAACCAAGAGACTAACAATTCACCACATATGAATTTAATCGTTTAATCGATCATTAATTAATGGACATTATATTCAATGGGAACACCTGCAATTTGAAGTGGTTATTACTAGGTACTCAGATAATTACTAAGATATTCGTATTATCTATGAAAATATATAAAGTGATATAAAAAATAATTCACCTAGAAATGAGAAAAGAGATGAGTGTCATACTTCGCTTCTTAGTGTAGTGTCCTGTAGTACTAGAACTGCTCATAATTAAGCTGGTGTTAAAAGAAGTTTGATTACAAAAATAACAATGAAAAAAGGTAAATATAATTACATTACTGATAAAAGTTCAATAAAACGGCAAACTTTTCAACTGAGTTTTTAACTGTGTATATTCAATGAAAGTAAAGACATTACATTAGCGAGTTGTTGCACTTACACTTGCTTTAGTTAAAGTTAAAAACTAAATGTAACGACAAATAAATAAACAAAATATATAATGCGATTTTAATCAGATATTCTAGGTGAAATTTTATCAGTATATGATTGAGCCGATCGATAACATTCTAAAATTTTCCCTATGATTTCATCAAACCGTTTTAATTAACTAATTATCTGTTACTATTTTACGATTTACAGGCACGTTGAATTGCGTTCTATTCGCATTAATTCTATTGCAACTCCTGGACGTATCCTCAGCCAAATGTTCGCTTTACAAAGTCTGCGCCCATGATAGAGGATACGCTCAGTACTGCATTCCACACAACGGCTCGATCTTCCCTCCCTCATTTTCGTGGCTAATAGACCCCAAACCGCTGGATAAATCAGACGAAAATTACAAAGCAGCTATCGACGTGTTACATCAATTTTGCCCATACTATCTCAACGACGACGGCAGTAAGTCGATCGCCTCTGTCGCCGGAGACTTCATAATATTTTCGCGATATTTCAGCCACCAAGGATTTGTGCTGCGCGGCCGACCAAATAATCGCCATGGGCTCCGGTTTCTCCAACATGGCCCCTTTCAAGCGCTGCTCAAGTTGCACCATCAACATCCAGAACATATTCTGCCAGGTGACCTGCAGCCCCAAACAATCGGACATGATAGAGTCGCATAACATCAAAATTTCATCGGATTTTAAACGTAAGAAGAAGCGCCGTTTGGGATGTTCCTTTTACGATTCGCTTTTCAGTTTACGCCGACGAGGTGAAGATAATAATAAACGAAAATCTCTTGAATAAAACTTACGATTCGTGCAAAGGAGTGTCGCTGCCGTCCACCGGTACTACCGTGATGGAAAACGCGTGCGGAAGTTACGGCGCTGTATGGTGCACCCCGGACAGGTACTGAATGAAATTCATGTATCTACAATATCTCGAACTTTGCATCTATTTCCAGGTGGCTCAGTTACATTAACGATCCGAAGCAAAACCCGCTGGCTCCGTTTTTAATCACCCACACGCTCGTCAATGACAGCGTACCAGGCGCTCTGAATTATGAAGCGAAGTCTTGTAACGAAGCTTGGGTATGTACCTCACTAACTACATTCTGTTATCCTAAATATTATAATATAAAAAATGTATTTTCTAGCCGGGTCATGAGGCGTGTAGCTGCGTGGACTGTCCATTGAGTTGCAACGGAGAATCTTACCACAATTTAAGCCACGGGTATTTCATATTCCCCTCGTTAGAGCTGTACATTGTTGCTTGTGGAGTACTGCTGCTGGTAATAGCCACTATTATTCTAGTGGTGGTTTGTCGGGAATTAATCCAAGGATTCAGGATGGCCTGTTGGGGTAAGGATTTGTCAAAAGAACTCGCCACTCGTGATTTACGCGCGATTTCCTCTGCAGGATCAGCGACCGTTTCGAATATAAAAACCAAAACCGAAAACGCCGGTAAACTGCTGGAGGATTCCTTCTACATGATGGGAACAAGTAAGTCGAATATAGCTTTTAACGGGGATATTTGATTGTTTCGTTTCAAGTTGTGGCGGAGAGCAGGATCAAAGTATTGGTGATGAGCGTGATCGGTATAGCGTTGCTGACGTCGGGATCGATATTTTTGAAAGTTACTACCGATCCCGTGGAGCTGTGGGCTTCCCCGAAGAGCACGAGCCGGATGAACAAGGATTTCTTCGACTCCTACTTCGGGCCCTTCTACAGGACCAATCAAATATTTATCAGAGCCGTCGGATTGGAACCGGTAGATTAAAAACCTCACAATTGTAATCGTTGTTGTTACCTAAAAAGTAATTTTTAGTTCATTTTCGAGTCGAAATACGGTGGGAACATAACGCTAGGACCGGCCTTTAATAGCGATTTTCTACAAGCTGTCTTCGAACTTCAGGATCGTGTAAATAAAACCACACTAAATAATTTATATTTTTTCATATTGCAATAAATTCTAGATCACCAATGAAACGTCTTTGAAAGGGTTAGAGAAGATATGTTTTGCTCCGTTACGAACTATTTACTCCGGTGCACCTAAAGTATCCGAATGCACTGTAATTTCATTACTTGGATTATTCAAAAACGACAAAACCTTGTTTAAAAACGACAACTCCAGTTATGAAACTATCATCGGATGTTTACAGTAAGTTCGTAATAATCTGTAGTTTCTGGACAAACCAAGTAGTACAAATTAAGTACTGAATTTGCTTCCTAGGGCTCCGAATAGTATTAACTGCTTAGCTCCGTACGGGGGCCCCATTCTGCCGGGACTCGCTCTAGGAGGCGCCACCAAAAAGAACAACTACTTAGACGCCGTCGGGGTGACACTCACTATATTAACCGCAAACAGCGTCAAAAAGGAGGATTTGAAGGGAACTTTAGCATGGGAAAAGAAGTATGTTATCCCAGTTATATTGGAATATGCTATCACTATTGGGTTATTTTAGTTTTATAGAATTTCTGAGGAAATGGGAGGATGAAGAAATGCCGGACTTCATGGACATAGCTTACAGCGCCGAAAGATCCATAGAAGATGAAATCGAGGATCTCTCGAAATCCACCGTATCCACAGTAGCAATCAGTTACTCAGTCATGTTCGTTTATATTACACTGATGCTGGGCAAATACACTTCTTACAAAAACTTCATGGTGAGTAAATCGAAGGTTTAAAAATCACGTTTTACGATTGCATTTTTTTAAAGGTCGATTCGAAATTTTCACTGGCCCTGGGCGGAATTCTGATAGTGTTCAGTTCGGTGGGTTCTGCGATCGGTATATGCGGCTATTTCAACGTGGTGACGACTATGTTGACCATAGAAGTGGTTCCGTTTTTGGTGCTGGCAGTCGGTGTCGATAATATATTTATTATCGTGCAAACTCACCAGCGGAAAGAAAGGTACATTCCGGATGAAACGGCGAGGAAAGTTGATTCATCGTTGCTTTGTTACAGGAGGAAAGACTTGTCGATAGCGGAAAATATCGGGGAAACCATGGCCCAAGTAGGACCTAGTATGTTCTTGACTAGTGCTTCGGAGATATTTTGTTTCGGGATTGGTTCGTATAAATTTAGAATATCTGGATGGATATTTTTTTATTCGTTATAAAATTTTAGGTACGCTCTCTACCATGCCTGCGGTGCATACGTTTGCAATGTACGCTACGTTAGCAATTTTACTGGATTTCATATTGCAAATAACCGCGTTTGTAGCATTACTGTCTCTAGACGATCAACGATGCGAAGTAAGATTAATTCGCAACAATTGCAATATGTTGTTAAAAATATAAAAATTTTCCAGAGCAATCGATTAGACGTTTTGTGCTGCATAAAAGCCAAAGTTCCTGAAAATATCGATAATTCCGATTTTATGTACAAAGTATGGGCAAATTACGCCGTACCGGCCCTAATGAAGTTCGTAAAAAATGTTCTCAACGCGGTAATATAATCTAATAAAATTTTCTACCCGCAGACTCCCGGTGAGGTGCTTCATAATACTGCTGTTTATCACCACGTTAGTTCTATCTCTCGTCGTGTCCCCCAAAATCGAAGTCGGATTAGACCAAGAGATATCCATGCCCGAAGGCAGCCACGTCATTAAATACTTCAAAGTAAGAATAAGCCTTTAGATTTTCGTTTCATCATCGGATTTATTGCAGTTTATGAAAGATTTACTGGGCATCGGACCGCCCGTGTATTGGATCACCAAAGGCGACGTGAATTACTTCGATCCGCATATCAGGTATCGAACCTGCGGAGGAAGCAACTGCTCCTCGAACTCCATCAGCACTCAAATTTACATGGCGAGTTTACAACCCGAAACGTAAGTTGCAAATCGAAAATTATTAATTTCTACTACAGTAGGTGTACTTCAACGCGTGTAGCTTGGCAGTTGGAATTTTTAAGAAGCTGGATGCGCTGTAACAAAATTAAAAAAAAAAACGGAGAGGGTAGGTTAAGAGAGCTCGTAATACTGATCAATCGAAGAGTAAAGATTTATATTATAAATTTCACCTGTTTGTTGTGCATCTAATGCAATTTTCAACAGCCAAGCTACATCGGACGAGGTATAATTACCGTTGCATCTATCCAACGAGTCGAGCTCGCGCAGCGAGCGAGACCTTCTTCAGTCGAATCGTTTAACGTTTTTTTGTGTGTAAAGGTGACATTTTAAATTTGATTTCCAGAACTTTCATTTCGCAGCAGGCGAACTCGTGGCTGGACGACTTCAAGGATTGGTCGGAGACGGACTCTTGCTGTAAATACTTCAAGGATACCGGTTACTTTTGCCCGCACACGGACACCGAATGCGAGCCGTGCGACTTCGCCAGGACGAACGTGTCGGAATTGGAATATTTCAGGAGGTATTTGCCGCATTTCCTCAACGACAATCCGGATCCGGGTTGCGCGAAGGGCGGGCATCCTTCGTATTCGACGGTAGTTCGGCGGGTGTTTGGTCCGATTTCTGGATGATTTTGTTGTTGTTTTCAGTCCATTACGTACGTGTCCGATGCTAAAGGGTACACCAAGATTGTAGCGTCGAATGTGATGGGTTATCACACGGTGTTGAAGTCGTCCGATGATTTCATATCGGCTTTGAAGTACGCTAGGCACATTGCCGCGAATTTGACGAAAACTCTGGACGTGGCCGGAGTGGAAATATTTCCTTACAGGTAAAATATTCGCTTGTAAATTTGTACTAATTTTTATTTTCTACTATCCTTAGCGTTTTTTACGTCTTCTACGAACAATATTTGAGTATATGGACGGACACTTTGCAATCTATAGCGTTGTCTTTGGCTACTGTATTGGTTACAAATTTCGTATTTTCTGGATTCAAATTACTACCGGCTGTTGTCTTGACTTTTACCATACTCATGATTATAATCCACATGTTGGGATTGATGTGGTTGTGGAACATTTCCCTTAATGCTATTTCTTTGGTAAATCTCGTCATGGTAAGTACTTTTGAAATTATTTGTTACTTCATAATCATTACTGCTTATGTTTTTTGCAGTGCGTAGGTATTTCTGTGGAATTTTGCGGCCACATTATCCACGCTTTCGAAAAATCCCCTAAAGATACTTCTGTCGAGAGAATCACCGATGCTCTAGCAAATACCGGGATAAAAGTAAGTTGCACCACAAAAGTAAGTAGATGGTAAACGAGTGTTTTGGTTTTAGGTAATAAACGGAATTACTTTGACGAAATTCTGCGGGATTGTAATATTAGCGTTCGCCAGCTCGCAGGTGTTCAGGATATTTTATTTCCGAATGTACATGGGCATAGTGGTGATAGGAGCGCTGCATGGGCTGGTATTCCTGCCGGCTGTGCTTAGTTTCGAAGGTACTTAATACAATGATATGTTAATGTGGATGATTCGCTAAAATATTAATTTGTAGGTGCGATTAAACGCTCTAAAAAATCAACTCCCGTGAATGGTACAACTTGAAGTCGAACGATTCAAATATGCAATACGATCTGTTTAATATCGAATTACAAAAAATTTTAATAAATTCTATACAGGGAATTTTATTTACAAAAAACTTATCTACCTACTGATAATAAAAATTGATTAAGTGTATTCAACTACTTGTACAAAAACGAGGGATCGTTGGAAATATCCTCGTGAGTGGTCTCCGGGTAGCTGCTTAAATATTTGAAATACTGATCGTCGTCGTCGTGGTAAGCTTGTAGGTGGTTTTTAGCTCCTTTCTCTGGTACAACCAGCACAATTTTCTGCAGATCATCGTCGATCTTACCGCCCGTCTCCTCTTCCGTTACGATTTTCACCCTAAAAATCCTGCCGGATTCGCCCTTGTGGGCCCTGCCCGGTTTCTGGCGCGACGCGCCCTTGGTCAAACTCTCGATCCTCTCGTGCCGCTTCGAATCCTCCAAATCGAGCAGATCCGCCGGGTGCTCCGTGGAGTACTTGCGCAGCTTCTCGTTGATGCTCTCCGGGTAGATTTTCTTGTACAGCTCCCCGTACTCCTCCCGGAGGTCTTGGTCGGAGTCGCTGCGCAGCCACTTGAAGATGTTGGCCGGCGTCAGGCCGAAGAACCTTCTGACGTCCCGGCCGCTGACGAAGAATCCTTCGATGGTGTTTATGTGGGATATTAGGAAGACGATGGCTATCTGGAAGGTGCAATGAAATTGAAAATTGGCGTTAGGGATTCTAGAAATTGTTATGTTACTTACAGTTTTGAACATCTTTAAACGTTTTGATAAAGACGACTGAGTTATTGAAAAACGTTTTTTAGATTTTATACCGATCATTTCTGCAGGAACCTATCATTATTGGGTTATACAATGAATGCAATAGACGCCAAATTTAATATTTTTGGTTGATTTCCTATATAATTTCAACTTTCGTCAACCTATAATAAATTTATAAAAGATATAGTTCTGTTTAATAATATTTTTACTTATGAATTTACAATTTCAAATCAGAATTCTCCTAAAGCCTAATTTCCCTATTCGTTAAACTATTATACAGGGTGATTATACAACAAATATTGAATCTTCCGAGCATTTATTTAATAACAATTCCTATACAAAGCGTGTAATATTTTATTGTTTTCAACGCTAGTATCTTCTTTTATGTATATTCTATAGGCAGTTGAGTCTCGGCTAATTAACGATTTGTTATTTGGAACGCTCGCTGAAATTGTTTTCGTCGGTTCTGTCAGGTGATTCTCGTTTATTAATTTATTGCCCAACAATGGCGTTACAGTTGCAGATCGACAGATACGCCATTTATGAAACACATTTTCCGCTCGTATTTCGCAATTACCCGCTCGGCCTTTCCACTAATATCTATTTTATTGCTATATAATTCGAGCATTAGCGCAACGCTCGTTATAAAACACCGTTTAAATGAATGACAATATTTAATACTAATGGCCGATTTCATAACAAAACGTTAAAGTATAGTCCTTTAACAAAAGGAAGCTCTAAGTTAAAGTGTCCTTTAACCTTGTTCCTAATGGTTTTATAAAGCATGTATGAGTAAAAGGTTCCTTTAGGAAAAAGGTTCCTTTAATCGATACTTTAACTTAAAATGCCACTTTAGTTTTAAAGTTGATTTTGTTTGAATATAGAGTGTTACAGGCTTCTAGGCCAATAATTTCTCTAACTATAATTTGAATGCAAATTATATGAATCTTCAAATTTTTATAGATAATAAAGTCTTGTTTCCATCATTTCTAGACCTTCTAGAACCCTCTAGTTTCTAAAAAAGCTATACATTTGAACAATGTAAGTGGAGCAATTAACCGTTTTCTACATCGGTCCCTTTTGCAATTCAATTCGCGCTCGCCTAAAATCGCCAATTAATTAATGGAAGCGGCATGAATAATTCATAAAAAAATTTTGGAAAAGTTGTTATAAAACGGTACGCCTCTGCTGGCGAATCGGCAGAGCGTTCAGTGATATACGACATCGCGAAAATCGGCCCGGAATATAAAAAAAAAAATTCGGAAACGGGATCCGAGCTGAATACTCCGGTCCCATCGCACGCTTTCTACGCGGATTCGCACACGCGAAGGCGGCGAAGGAAGGAGCGAAAAGCGGCCGATAAAGAGACGCTGCCGTGCAGCATCGGCTCGGTGCAGAATTTCTTCTCGCCCGGAAAGTAGGTTAGGAGAAAGTCCGCTTTTTACAATAAACATTGCGCTTGGTTTAGTCATATTTTGACCGCTGTGGTGTGTGCTGTGTCTACGGAAACGCTATCAGTTGACAAGTAAGTTATACGATTCGAAACTGGAACGACTATCGTCGGTACCTACCATTGTGCCTTTTATGTTAATGAATTTATTCGCGTTCGGTTTTATATTATTTCGATAAAATTTATACGGAATGAACAACGTACTTTATTTTTACTTATAAGCATTCGAAAAGTACTAGAATTTTCATCTACAATTAACCCAGAAATAACTATATTTAAAGGAAGGATCTTACAACTAATTCATTACAGGTGTAACAAATTTGTATAACGTTACGTTTACAAAATATGTACAGATCGACAAGAATAACTAGAGACGCGAGATGCGCAAACATGTCAAATTCGCTACACCCATCGCACTGTACATATTTACGCAAAATCGTATCATTTTCTCTTCTCAATAACCCACAAATTCCACCGACTCATTACATACAATCATCCTCATCAACGGCAGTCCTAAAAGCGCGAATCTGGGTTGCCGCAATTAAGCGAAAAAAACATTTTAATAGAAACCTGCGATTTAATCCGCGCCCGGGGCGACTCGTGTGCGCGAAGAAGCGCCGAAAAAACCGGACAATAAATAATTCTAATCGAAGCTCTCCGGTTTCGTAACGGCTGCGATTTTCAATGTCAGGTCGTTCCGAACCGCCGGTGAAAGTGCCGCGCGCAAATAAGAAAGTAACGTTTAACCCATTTTTTTCCGCTTGTAAAATTTCTTCGTCCGCGAACGAACGGTGCGAGGAAAATATATGTACGGCTTTTTTTACCTACTCGTCGCGTTTTTAATCGGTAATTTAGGCGAGACAGATGCTTTAATGTTGAGTCCAATGCATTCGACGACGAATTGACCTTATATCGATCCGGAAATGTTTGTAAGAAATATAATAAAAACCTAAAAAGATGCATATTTGCCCTTTACTCAGCTTTTTAGGACGCCCTCTATAGTCAATTGTAATCCATTTTTACTCCACAGAAATCACCATTAATTTGTAAATATCGCTTCTTGTATTTATAATAAGTATGTATATTCACAATTCAATTGGAAAGGAGACCGCTTTGATTTAATATATTCAATAAACTGTCTAAAATAATTAACTTTCAACGTATCCGGCCCGACTTTCCCCTTTTCTTTCCTCGTTTTATTTCGTACACCATGCCGCGATAATGATGACAAACAATAAAATCGGCTAATTAGCCCGTAAAACGCGCGCAAAAAGGAAAACTATTTATAGAGATTTCGATTTCACCGACACAATGGTATAATAGCGCAACTTCCTATTGCGAATTTATTATTTATTTCTACGTGACTTCGGTGGCTAATCAAATAATATTAAGACACACATATCTATAAGTTTAAATTAAAATCACAGTACAGTGCAGTTCCGAAGCGGTACTGTTAGCGTTTTATGGTGTTCGATATAAAATTTATTTATTCTTTACATTGTTATTTTTTCTAGTAGTAAAGATGGGTTTAGGAGGCAAGGAAGAAACAGAGTACACATTTCAGCTACCGGAACGAGAGAAACAGATCGCTTTAGAAGAACTCAGGGAAGATGATAATATTAGGCAACAATCATTAGATCAAATGAGAGAATGGATAGCCAAGCATCCTCATATTAAAAAGTGTAGAACAGGTATGTTTATAATTTTCCTATATTTGTTTTAATTGAAGGATGTAATAACTACAAATCATTGCACCTGTATGGATATTTGTTAATAGAAGGTTGATCCAGAGGTGCTTTATCCAGAGGTGTTATTCAATAATATTGCTTATTTCATCAATAATCCTTCCCATCGACTACTCTCTACCATCAAAATTCCCCATTCAAACACTCATTTCCACTACAGCAAATTCCCCTTTTCAGACGCCCCGTTCCTGTTGCCTCCTCTACCATCAAAATTCCCCATTTATAGCGCTCATTTTCGCTATAACAACCTGCTCTTTTCAGACGCCCCGTTCCTGTTGCGCTTCCTGCGCACCAAGAAATTCAGCGTGCCGCTGTCCTGCGAGATGCTCGAACGGTACCTGTCCATCCGGCGGCTGTACCCGCAGTGGTTCCAGCGGCTGGACTGCGAGGATCCGCACCTGCAGGAGATCATCGACGCCGGCTACCTGGTGCCCCTTCTGGAGCGCGACAACGGGCGCATGGTGCTCTTCAGCTGCGCCGCGAACTTCGATCCGCACAAGTTCACGTCCGCCCACATGATCCGGGTGCACAGCTTGGTCACCGAGAGCCTCATGGACGACGAGATGAACCAGATCAACGGGTACACGTACATCAACGACGAGGCCGGGTTCACCATGGCGCACATCTCGATGTGGGGCCTCAGGGATCTCAGGAACATCGTTAGGTGCATCCAGGTATGTTTAGAATATAGTAATTGGAGTTAGTGAAGTAGAGGAAAGAGGGAGTTCGTAATATATGGACCACCATAAGTACTTTTCTCAATAAAAAGTCGAATTTTAAATCTTAATCAGCTTTATTTATTTTAAACAATTCGTTAACCATTTAGTTAAGAAAAATTCATAATAAAATTCTCCAAAACAACAAAATCTTTGAAATAAATAACATTTTCTAAAGAATATCATTTTTATGAACTTTTAGAAAGTGAACATAATATGGACCACATCCAGATTTTTCCATTTATACAATATAATTGACTAATTCATCATCGAATTCACTCGGTAATGTTGATTGTCTCCCAAGTTTTTGGGTGGTGATATCATTAAGTGATTTGTTTTGGGTGTATGTTTTGGAAGCATTCAAAAAGCCCATTTTCTTTTCTCGTGCATTTTTAATTGCCTCCACCATTGCGTTTTTTATCCCATGCTTGTCTGGTCTTCTCTATTGTTTTAAAATTCATTCTAATAGAACATAAAAATTAATTTTTAGCCACTCCATTTTTAAAACGTGCCAGTGGTCCATACGGTGATACTTACTCATTTTGAGATTATTATTTCTTTTTAGAAAATTGGAATATAGAATTTTAAAACTTAATCGCGCGTTGCAGAAACTTAGAAAAGGCTATCGTAAATATATTCGTGCATCCTGGATCACTACAAGCGACTGATGGGTCAAGCAATGAGTAATGCTTAGTGTGTGATGATCATTTACTCGATATAAAGCACGTCCTTCTTAAAATGGCGGTGGTCCATATTATAACACTGCTCCATATTTACCGCACTTACTCTACTGTTTGGTTGATTTGTTTCTAGAATACCACTCCAATGAGGCACAAGGGCAACCATTTCCTCAACATGAACTCGAGCGCCGCGAAGCTCTTCGAGTATTCTTCGCCGCTTCTCAACGAGAAGCTCAGAAACAGGCTGCACGTAAGCAACTCTTCGTCTATTTCGTTAACCGAATTTTCTCAATAAATTTCGTTTCAGGTGTACAAAAACATCGATGAGGTGTACGAGCACATCGACAAGAAGATTTTGCCGAAGGAGTACGGCGGGGAAGTGCCGTTGAAGGACATGCTGGACAGATTCAAGAGGATGCTGAAGGAGAAGCGGGAGTCGATTTTGGCTTTGGACGAAATGAGTATAGAAATAGATGAGAGGAACTGCCCGTTGGTGTCGGAGATGAACGAGGAGCTGGGTAGCGGCATCGACGGTTCCTTCAAGAGGCTCGCTGTGGATTGATTTCGATGTTTTTCGACTGGAATTTCGACGGAAAGGATTCGGTTTAAGGAGTTTTGCTTTTTCTACGCACCTTTATTAGAGAGTAATAATTCAAAGGGGGTGAAAGAAGATACACATTAATTTTTTTTGCTGGTTTACGATGGTCACTTCTGTATTTTAAATTATCGGTTCATGAATGATGGAATGAATGAGAGACCTTTATAATATTCAAATGTTCGTGCTTTAAGCGTTTGTTCATAGATGACTCCGGATGTTCGATGAGAAGGGCGAAATTAAATTTAGTTTTCTTAAAAAGACCCTTTATAGTTATCCCTTTATTTCACGTGCTTAATCATATAATTCATTTTAAAAGCTTTAGCTTATTTTTTAAATGCAATATTTAAGGTCTCCATAGAGATATTGTGATTATAACGCATAATATTTATTGTGATATACGATTATATGTATTTTACTATTTTTTAACAATAGTTGCAATAGCACTGTTTGAAGCACCGCTTGATTTTTTAATAAAGCAATAATAAATAAATTTAATGTGCATGTGTAAAGCGTACATTTTCAAATTTTAATATTAATTTCGTGTATTTTTAATTTTAAATCTAATGTATTATTTGTATATAATCGCCTGTTGGTGGTAAAAGTTACCGAAAATATTTTAATCTGCAGTACTTGATCTAAACAATTAATTATTCTCGACTCCTAAGAATATATAATTAGTGTACTAATTAAACTCACGATTAATTTCACACACGTAGTTTATGAAATATACGGATTACAGTGCTGCATTAAGTTTTTGTTATAAGTTATCTAAAAAGTTAGATAGTATCGTTGATTATAATTAGCTTTATGCCTACGGGTTAATCTGTTATTTTTGTTAGTTAATCAATTGCTTTATGTATTGTTTTGTTATTGTTATTTAGTTGGCACCGTCAAAAATTAAAATTATTCTCAAAAAAAATTGTTTTTCGTAGAAAATTGTGTTACCTATCATTGTAGTAAACCGGTAGAAAAATATTTTAGGGCAATTTTCGCGCATAAATAATGCTAAAGAAGCGTGTAAATGATAAAATTCGCGGCGTCTAAATAAAGAATACAGCGCGCTGACGTTGAAATTCTATTTGTACAAGGGTTGCCGATGGTGTTGAGACTTTATTGAATCATAGATATAAATTGGGAAATGATATCTTGCCGGGGGCGGTTGTCACTCGCAGGCCGAACTCCTCCAAAACTCCTCCGGAAAAGTGAGAAAAGTTAATTGAAATATAATATTAGTATTCTCATTGTCGACATTCTTGTGGTGGAATTTTTATAATTAACTTCGCCATTCCCGATTATGCGGTCTTATTTTTCGGCGACGGATCGTTCGATCTTCGAACGCTGATTGAATTTCCCATTTATTCCCGTTGTTTTCCGAATTTAAATTCGGATTATTTTTCGGAAGAAACTTCGCTTGTTAATCCAACTTCTGATTAATTCTTTAAGTAAATCAATAACACCATTATCACATACATAACTATAACATTCCTCGTACGAGGGGCGTTTGATATGTAATTCCCCGTACGAGATAAACCAGTTTTCCGTACGACATTGACCCGTTTCGGAAAACTCCGTTTCGCCTTCCTTTAGGAACGACGAAGATGTCGATTAACGAATTCCTCGACGAATACCGCGGCTCCTGACACTTAAACATAGATATAATCTAATTTGGAAAACACAGAGGCACGACTTCCACCCCTTCTTTGAGCCGGCCTTATCGAGACGTTTTGCAATTTAAATTTCCCTATCGGCTCTAAGTTGTTGAATTTGAAATTTCATGTTGCAGGTGCTCGCGTACCGGGCGAATTCCATATTTAATATTCGCTAATTGCTTCTGCATTAACAGTGCTAAGTAATAAAATTACTGGATTTTTAGTGGATCTAACGAGCGATTAATTATTTATTTATCTAAATTAAATACAGTGGAGTAAAATTGTTAATATACGCATAGAATCTGCATTTAGGAACGCGATTAATAATTTTTTTTAATTTGCTTTGGAAGGGAAGATCTCGCGCGCCCCTCGTAAGATCGTTCATCAATGAGAAATTTGAATACACGAATATAGGTATATAAGATGGTAACGCGTCCAAGTAATTCTTGGGATTCCCTTACGACCCTTTTCATATTGCTATATTGAAGATGTTGAAGGCGTCTTTCAATTGAAAATTGTAAACCACCCTAACCAACTCCCGCATTCCTGACATTGAACATTCACACCAATATCTCCCGACGATCGGGGGCAGGATGGAGGGCTGGCGGATTTCCATGAGGTAAACTAAAAAGGAACTTTTTAGGAAATATTGTTTACTAGTTAATGGTTACGACTGTACATATTTCGCTCTGTTAAGGGATGTAATTTAAGCTCCCATGAAATCCAATGAATGTTATAAGCTTCATTACCAGACAAACGTCCCTAAAAACGAATTTGTTTCAACCCCTGCGCTCGCATCGGCGGTATCATTGGCCGACGTTCGCTCGAAAAAAACGCAACAAGGTAGGTAAGTTATTGTTACGAAAGCAGCCCCTAAGAAGGGGGATCCGGTTACTGTCACTAACTCGAATAGCAGCTTTTCAAAAACTACTCGGCTACTGTAATTTCGGACTTAATCTCCTGATTGTAAACACCCGATACCGGGTATCATTATTGAATTAGCACATTTCCAGACCTCCCATATGATGATACGTATTTTTTCTGCTTCCTCGCGAGGCGTCGTATTTCGAAAATCGTACCGAATTCGCCCTTCTTTTATTGTACGAATACAATGTGCTACACATACATACATACGCTGTGCTTCATTCCCGATCGCAACAAAGACAACTTCTAATAGACACTTATAAAAGAAAAAGAAAAAGTGACATTTGTATCATTGGAACTTGTCACTCTGACAACTGTCATTCATTTGAATCAGCAATCGGTAGGTTAGCTGTAGGTGCGATAAAGACAACTTCATTTAGACAGTTGACATTTGTGACATTTGTATCATTGCAACTTTTCACTCTGACAACTGTAATTTTATTAATCTTTCTTTGTTCAACTCATAGAAACGACCATGTTGCGGTCTGAATTGAAGCAATCGGTATGTTTGTGATATCGCAGAAGTTTCGAATAAAACCGAATTCGAACACGTTCTCATTAATAGTCGGTTAATTATAATTGCAAATAAATAATTAACTCCGACACGCGCGTTTTATTTCTCCGATAACCGCCGCACGTTCGGCCGGTACACACGGGGCAAATCCTTTACGCGTGTCTTATCAAAGCGCGCCGAATAATCCTGCGCTAAGGATATTTTAAAGCGAAAACTCTGCCACTGACGTTTCATGGTGTTTCATGAAGTGCCGACGTTCACATGGAAAATTCTATTATTTCGCAAAAAGGGGTTACCTTTTGTCGTAATGACGGGCGCGTGAAATTGGTATTTTTGCCCGAGCGGGATTTATTTTTTGATAAATTGCGGGGGACGTCGCGTGTCTTCCTTCCTCTCGTTTGATCCCGCGCGTCGATGAAACGTTCTTTCTCTATTTATTAACCGTTGTTAGTATTTAATGAGTGACGGAGATTTTTCTCGTTTTACATACGTTGTATTAAATGTATTAAACAAAAAAAACATAGTATAATAAACGAGGAAACGTCTCGAGTATCAAAAGAAACTCTCCGAGAAAATAAAAGAAGGGTATCGCATTAACGGACCGGAAGGAGAATGTTAAAATGCAATTATTTCTAAGTTTTCTCTCGTTCCATTCGAGTTTCTTTATGTTGGAAATCTTTTTCAGAGTCGAGTGTACCTTTTCAGTTACAAAACGTTCGACATAGTGATCCCCATTCAGGGATAATAATATAATGGGCCGCAGCATGTGCACCGAGTGCCTCCCACTGCTTTTTCGCTTTGTTTAAACTATTCTAAAACGTTTTCGATCGGGCCCGTGGGCTTTAGAAAACGCTTCTCGCGCAAACGATTTTTTTTATTATTCATTCGGTTATTGTCCAAATTGTGATATTCGATTGTTCTCTGCCTATTGTACGGGCTTTATTCGACAGATTACTCCATTACGCTCCTTTAAAACAATGTCTGATAGTTGTTTTGTAGGGGAGCAGTACAATGGACGCGACACGTTTCTTCTGTTTTAATCTAGCGTCAGAGTCAAGTTCGTTTTACGCTGATTTCGTTTATAAATTAGTTCAATTTTTATTTCATTAATAATACCACTGGTTAAGTGTCTCTAAAAATTGATTAAATTTCAATCTAGTTGCTACTTTGAATTGAAATTTTATTTTGACTTTTGACGTTCTATATGTATCTTGATCTGTGACAAATTATTGAATAACGGATGTGTCAGCCATCTTTAATTTTCTCATTTAATATAATTAATTAAAACTACTACTTTTTATAATTATTAGATACATAAACCAATAGATCATTTTGTTATTAATCGGTTTTAAAAATAAATAAGTTTGCTAAAAATACATTAATTGGTTCAATTCAATGTTAGTGTTTTGTGTGTCAAGGTTGATGACATTGACAGATCAATGACAGATTAGAAGTTTGTATTTCCGCAAATGCTCCTTCCTATTAGAATTTTTCACGGTTAATAATTTACTTAGGTACTGTAATGGCACTTTTATGTAGGTAGATAACTAAATTGAATAGATAAATGACTTTATTACGCAAGAAATACAATACCCAATAATTTACATTCAGCAGGTAGAATAAATTATACCGAAACAGATACTTTTAGCGTACAATATAGTTCAACCGAACCACAGGTTACCTAATATCAAATTATTCTTAACAATTCTATCTACGAATTCCAATTAAGTGCCTCGTTTACAACGAAAACATAAAGAAAAGAGCAACGTGCCTTCGGATCCTTGTGCGCGGACAATGGGCGACATTTTGTGGAAATCCTTTTGGTAACGTTATCCTCGAATTTGTTTGTGTGCGCGAGGATTTCATCCTAAACACCGGGACACTTCATTGAAATACTGACAATCGCACAAAAGTATTGGATTACTGGCCTATTCACGGCGTGGATGCTTCGTTATCCAATTTTCTAGTCATGAAATACAGTTAAGAAAACAAGCCGAAGGGCGATGGGCCGAATCAAGGATAGACCTGATGCGAACCAACGGTTTATATGGCGAAATTTGAATTGCAAATATGCCCTATTTTATTAGAATTTTGGATTACTTCTCTTGCGAGATTACCTAGACAAAAACCCTTTTTTCAGGATGATTTGTGGGAATTGTCGAGCAAGAAATAATATAACACGAGCGATACATTTTATGTTTGAACGCACATTCTAGCATAAACATACGTAGGTACACAAGAAACCGAAAAACAATTTACGTTTTTTTTTGTGTCCAATTCGAAATGACTCTCTGTTTGAACAGTGGGTAGGTCAACAAATCGAGACCGGCTGTTTAGAAAGGAATATCGAAAATCATAAAAAAACATTATTATTATTTTACGAACAAATCGGTCCACAATGTAACCGTATAACGTCTTTCCAAAGTCAATTGGATATGTCTTATAATCCCGCTTCTTTTATACCGTTTTCTTTGCGATAAACTTTCAAAAAAATAGTCAAAAATAATGGAAGCATTAAGTATATCTCGAGTAAGGTAATGAAATTTAGGTATTGGTGTGATTTAAATCGATTTCGAACGATATTGAATTGATTTTGGAGATACTATACAGCGTTTAAGCGGGTTCGGGCAGATGCACCCGTCGAATTTTTAAATTCTCGAAAAGTTTACATAGCATAATGAGAACAAGCTCAGCTGAATTCATAAGCGCTCGGCCACTGTTTTAACAGTGTCCGTTTTCGTCTTTCGACTCTTCACATTGTTTTCGTATCTTAATGGACGTTTCTTATTCAGTTTTCTCAAAAGAAATCCTCAACCAACGTAAAAAAAACCGGATCGGAGGTTGAATTTGTACCTATCGGAATACAAATTTCATTCGCGAGTTTCCTTCTGGCATTTTACACGCTTAATTGATACGACTTGAAGCTCTCATTTGTGCAACGTGCCAGTTATTTTCCGCTAAAATCCGAGGAAAACGAATTACGGGCGCAAAATATAACGAACCTCTCTCGCTCCGATCGATTCCTCCTAATGCACAATGTACAAATAACGAGATCAATCAAGTAGTCCGTGAAGTCGAAAACATTCGAACGAGTGTTCGTGTACACCTATACACGGGGAAACGGATATGCGAGACCCTGTGATTTCAATTATTTTTCGATTTTCTGTTTTTTTTTTTCCATTCGCAGCCATCGTTATTTTCCGACGAATTATTGTTCTTTTCCCGGAGTGTGAACGGTTTTGCGAGTAAAATGAACCGAGCACTCGTGAAAATCACCTACGGGAATTATTCCCGTTTATCGCGCGTTTTTATCGACGGAATTAGCGTTTGATGCGGGGACTAGGAAAGGGAGGGAATTAGTAGGTAATAGGTAATAAAACAAAGCATTTTTTCCAGTGTAATTAGAATGCTTAATTCACCTATATTTAATCACTTCTTAATTCATGTGGAATGGATTCATTGGAACCTAAATCATGTGGAATGATTATTAAGACTTCCTAAGTATTAACTTGTTACTTGAACTAGAAAACAAAGTGTTGTGAATATTGCGTAAATTTTAGAGGGCATTATCATAATTTATTCAATACCTGCATATTTCACCTATCCTAATCACTTCTTAGTACCACTTCTGTAATTTCTTTATTATTATTTTGGGACAGAAATAATAAATAATGATTAATCATTTTAATGAGATGCTAAATAATAAGTAAAAAAATACACTAAAAGTATTGCTTTAATTTTGTGGTATTTTGTAGATTTATGATAATTCATTATAAATATAATAATACACCTATAGCCTAATCACTTCACAAAGTTTTACTATACTTCTTTATTCTTTTATACTATTAGTGGAAAAATGAAAAAGAAATTATTAATTAATAATGATAATGAGCTGCTATCGCAATAATTTTATTGGACGTCACTGGAATGTGTAATACTAATACAAATACCAAGAGGAGTGAAAAAAGTACGACGGTTTCCCATTAACAGAAAGGAAATTAATTCCGTCAGTGTTGGCCGGGGAGCGGTAAAAACGGCCGCCGTTCCCCGTTATCAGCAACATGATTGTTTTAGGATAAAAGGAGGCGGTTGCGAAACGCGAAAGTTAACGCGCAGTTGGCCACGAAAAGACGGCACCGTCCGGCATCCGTGAAAACGTTCCGCGTTGTGTAACTTGAGGCGAATCATTTTCCCGCATCAAAGGTGCCTTGGAAATTGTTCTAACGCGCTCCCTCTTCGAGCAGTTCGCGCTCGGCTGGCGCGCCCCGGCGCCCCGGCGTCCCGACGCCCGCCCCCCGCCCGCCGATTTCCGCGCGCTTTCTTTTCCGCCCGCGGCGCCCTGGAAACGTTAGTAATTGGTTATCTATTGTTTCTCGAATCGCTGCGGAAATTGTTTTTCCCGCCGTCTCCGACAAGTTTATTAGCGAATTAAAAATATTCAGCATGAAAATTTCCCTTTTAAAACCTATTAAATGCACCTATAATACCCGTCATTACGAATCAAGAAGCAACAGTAATGCAATTCGATGGCTGTAAGCAAAATTAGATTGCCAAACAATGCTTCTGCTATCTAAAATATATCGAATTTCATTCGCACTTCCTCCGTGGGTGCTTCTTTTTTCGAAAAACTAACTTTTTCTTTGACGTGAAATAATCGAAAAAGGGCCCGAACAATCGGAGGAGGTGTTCCCACGCATCGGTCGCGGAAAAAACGAAGAAGAATCGAACTGTTTCCATGGGATTTCGTTCGGCGATCGCCCCGAGGAACTTGATATTATTTTCGATCCCATTCGGGCACGGGATGGTTAATGAATGGCGAGCCAGCCCGTATAAAGGAATGTTTTGAGTGCAGCACAATGAAAATAGGTGAATGAGTGGGTTTTTATTTCGGTTGTATATCCGAAACGTTCTGTTTGTAATACTCGGAATAATTTACAGTAAAATTAAAAAAACAACAGTCGTGACTCAATTACCTCAAGTTTCTTAATCAACTTTTAAAAGGTAGTAAAAATTAATTAAAAAATCTGCTATATAAACCTGAGCATTTCGAGTAAAAAAATATACCGCTAAAATGTTTATTATCAACGCAATCAATTTTCTTGTTTTACTCGCAGTGTCTTCGGCCACATTTTTCGACATATTCGCCGAGTCGAACGGCGTGATAACCGAGAAAGGCCACGAAATCTACGAAAAGGTCAAAAACTACTTCTACTCGCCCCACGAGAACATCGAGGTGAGCTTGGACCTCGACAGCTTCTTGCAGGCGAACGGAAATGTTCTGGCCAAGCTGCGAGACGTTTACTTCAGGTCCATGGAGGTCTCCAAGCAAGCTGCCGAAGTGTCCGAAGACATTTCCGACATAACGGGGGTGTTTTACGACTCCATGGCTAACCTACAGACGGAATCGGCGAAACTATCCACTCAGCTGCAGGAGTTGCTGAACGATCCCGAAGGAAATTTGCACGTTTTCGAGTTGACCATTCTCAGTGCCGAAGATATCGCTAAAAATATATGGGATTTACTGGAGAGGTTCTTCCAGATACTAGTTGGAGCCAAGGAAGTCGCTGGCGACACCCACGTTTTGGTCCAAATGAGGAAAAAGGACACGAACATCGTCAATCCCGCCGAAGAAGTCCCCGAGGATTTGCCGGAAACCAATGAACCTGCCGATGATGCTAACGATCCGATCGAAATCGATCCTATTGATATCCCTGCGACAGACGATGACGATGATAACTTGGTGATTGTGATCTCAGAGTCTGCCAGTAAGGAAGTCGAACCGCTCGAACCCATCAAACCCGAGGAATCGATAATCATCGTTCCTAGACCTCCTTCTCCAGATTCCGTTGACTCCACTACACTTGAACCATCTACGAGCACCGAACCATCAACAACAACAACAACAACCACTACTGAAGAACCCACCACTACAAGTACAACAACCCCGAAACCTCACCACAGTCACAGTCACAGTCACCATCACCACGAAAATCTGTGCAATTGCGATCTGTGTTCGTGCACGAAATCCTGCAAGCCCTCTAAAGGAGAAGCAATTCCGTAAGTAAATTTTTCTATTATAAAAACATTAATTATGGTCATTGTTAACGATGATTGTTTCCCAGCTTTATTTCTTGCCCTGCACACCACACTTGCTGCATAATGAAGCCTACAAGCGGGGACTACGATTGGGAAGCTCTCTTGGAGACACAGTACAAACATCTGTATAACAACCTCGCGTAAATGTCGAATTCGAAATAAAGCGAACTTTAATCCTCTATATACGTTTTTTTCTTCTCGTAACTATAATAATTCTTATTTAATCTAATAACAGAAGGACAATGAAAAAAAGTTCTGTCAGCAACACCCCCTCTATTCATCGGTTTAAATTCGACGTGCCGAAATTATAATTTAATTCTATTAAAAAGGGGTTAAGGCCTCTTGCAAGTGACAGGCCTAGATAAAAGTGGACTTTAATCTTTCGAAACTCTCGCGCTTCCGCGAGTTCTTTTAAACAGTTTTCTACCGGAAAGTTTGCTCTGTCGAAGCGCAAGACAATGAGAAAGAATCCGCGCCGGAGACCCGGTGAAACGCGATTTCCACCTACCCGTCAACCGTCCATTGTGTTTAATAAGCCGGGCATTTCAACTTTTTGGGAAACGTTGAGGGTTATCTGTATCACGCGCCCACTTTTTGGTTTAATGTTGCGTGAAATCCCGCGTAATTGTCGAGAGAATTATACCGATGAGATGTTTTCATATTGAGGATTAGTTGAGCGGATGATTGTTGATGAACTGTTTAAAACATTTTACGGAATATATCTACCTGCGAGCTATATTGTGTACCTAGCTAATTTTAAGAGGTTTGGGTGAGTTTCTTGAGGGTTTAAAAAAATGTTGTTGGCTTCAGGTTTTTGTACAAACTGTTTGCTTCAATGCTCTAATAGTATTTAGTGTTAATAATTCCTACTATACAAGGTATTTGTGGTGCTCTTTCCATCGATTAAAGCTACACATAGGGACACTTCTATGAATCACCTATAGTTTTTAGAGTCTAACAATGCATGGTATGAGGTTGGAGCTAATCCGGGGGGACCCCATCAGCGTCCCAATCCATCGGACGAAAGTAGATCAAGTCGAGCTTTCCGATGCCAGGTCATCGACGCATTTCGGAAGCAACTTTCCCGGTGCCGGAGCGGAGCAGAGAGCTTCGAGCGTCGAGGACATGCGAACACAGTGGCACAATGGCGGCGTCAAGTGACGTGTACAACAGTGACGGACAATCGCGGAGCGTCGAGTCGACCTGCATCGGCTGTCAATTCGATGGCGGAGCCTTTGTGGCCGGCGGTCATACATCGGACGCGTTAGCCTTGCGTTTGACACATTATTAGCGTCTTTGTGGGAACATGTCCCGAATGTATATCGGCCGGGCACATACGGGGGGCCGTCGGAAGAGAGCCGTTTGATTATTGGGTCGGGGTAATTGGGAAACGATAGCAGAACAATCGGCCGCGCTTCAGATCACACGCTGAAGTAATCAATCACTTGTGCCATTGGAGGAATACAATCACTTTTGGATCTACGCCGGTCCGGCAATTCCATAGGTAATATGCCTTGGTAACTTCTCTCTATATCATGCCGTGTATATAGGTATACAGGGTGTTGATTAATCAGTGCGACAAACTTCTGGAGGTGATACTGCATAAAAGAATAATGTTATTTTGCTATATAAATATATGTCCGCAAATGCTTCGTTTTCGAGATAGATTTATTTATTTCTCTGAAACCACCCGGTATACAGAGTACTGTATTAACGCGTCGTTAAAATAGTGCTTCATTTACCTCTTTAAGACACCCTGTAGAATACAACATAAGGACTGTACTGATTGTTTTAAAATGGCGCAAAAAATACATAATTTCAGGTAGCTATATCCTCGGGGATATCAGGAAAATCAGATAAGTCCCTTTTCAAACTAATAAGTATATAGGCAAATTCACACGCTTGGTTATTTTAACATGGCCGATTAAACGGCGGGTCTAAACAGTGGAAAACATCCTACTTCTCGACGATCAGATATCATTCAATAAGCCATGTTTGAATGACCATATTCATATTCAATAACGAAACGGGGGCATTATGGTGATCCGTGTGATTGTACGCCGTGATATTACTGAAAAATTTCTTTGACTGTAACCCACTAGGGTTTTTCGCATCACTGCTTAATTGCCGCTTCAATGGATGATGAGTTTTTTATTTGTACATCCACCGGAGTCGTTGAGTTGTGTTTGCGTTATTTTTTTTTTGTAGGAAGCCTTTCTTTTCGATTGAAATTTTAATGTTCACTGCAGTATTCCTAGGTTTATAGGGCAGATGTTCGTAATCAAACCCTTTATATTATGTAAAATATTTTGTAAATGTTTGTGGAAGGATTGTTTGTTTAACAAAAAAACATGGAAACAAGTAAATGTGTTTTTCTGCGCTTATTTATATTGTACTGCGTTTTTTGTGAATTTTCTATCGTTTCTTAGCAAACGATCCGTGAAAACACTAAAGGTAAACTTCAAAGGTGTTTTGCAACTTTACTGAAAATAATTGGAGTGCGTTTCATTCGAAATATTTGCGTTTATCGCGTTTCGCGACGTGGAAATTCCCGCAAACGCCTGGTTTCTATGAACTCTCTTTTCGCCGTATTCCCTCAAAGAAATAACATTTTTTACATTTCCATGAAATCCACAGAAAATTGTATTATATCACTGAATGGCAGATCAGCGTTGCCATGAATCCAGACAATTATTGACATTAACTGTCAAAAAAATCATATAAGAAAAAAAATTGTAGAATAAATTATAATTCATTCACCTGGTGAATTTTGTAACGGATTTTTAAACAAAAACGTTATTTTGAAAGTTTCCTGAAGATTTATTTGCGAACTAGAAAATTAATTGACACATATCTAACGTCATTTTTACACTTTTTTGACAGATGGCCTCTAATGTCGATGGTCATGCGAAACATTGAGCTGTCACAAATATCCTAATTCTGAATAAAGTCCTATAACAGTCAACAGGAATAAATCACTAAAAAAATAAATGATACTATTATAGTATCTTTATTTTCTTAGTGTACGTGACAGTTTTGTTTTACTGCGACGGCGACTTAAGGAGAACAGGAGCCTAACCACAAATGTACCCTTTTAAAACAACCCTTCGGATAAAAGGGGTGTAACGAATCGCCGCATTTTTACTGTTAGACTGCATTTTATTGCTCAAAACGAATCTAATCTCCATTCGATAGCCCGCCGAAAGTTCTTTTCAAAAGCGAACGCGTCAGGGCCGTATCGAAGGAATTAGGGGCAGACGTATTAGGAACTGATTTAAATTAATTTCGTGCGAATGAAAGATAAAAATTTAATGGTAGAATTCAATTACCTATAGATCCGCTTTGCGCGTAAAATATTGAATATTTATGTTCTGTAATTTCGCTTTTGTTTCATCGAACAATAATAAATCAACTTCGAGTGCGTATTTTCGCAATAATTATTCGAACTAAAACAATATTGCAAAGTATTACCATATTTGACATTCGAATGAGAGTATTAGCATTAAATATGCGAATAAAAGCGTCGAGTACAAAACATATCCTATCAATCTGAGTGATTTGTAAAAAAATTATTATTAATTATTTTTTTATATAATAAATAATAACATAAAATTCGTATGAAATACTGCCCTGCTTGACGTAATTTTTCAAACATCGGGCGTGTCTTAGCTGTAAATGTAAAATACTCATTGTCTCTCCCTTTTGATATTCTTTTACACAATTGCGGGATAACTTTTATAGCTTTCTTAGCGCTCGCAAGTCGTTTATATTTAAATTTTATCAACTTCTGGCTCCTTAAAAACCGCATAAAGCTTCATGAAATCCCCGAACGTTTGTACAAGTTATTTCACGAAGGTATTTTCCATATATCTACTTCAATAAACATCGAATACGGAAAATACTTGAATTTTAATAAACAAGCCAAGCGCTAAACGAAAATTAAGAATCACAACAAAAACAATGCCGTGTAAAAACAGATTCGAATAATTCCACATGAGTGAAAAATTGTTTCCTATTTGCGGGAATACAATAATTCCCAATAATTGGAATATTTATTGATTCGCCGGTTAACACTTCTATCTCAATATAATGGTTATTATTAGCTTTAAAAGGAAATATTTTTCAATAGCACTTATCGCATCGCTAATCGATAATTAATTTTTATTGGGCGCGCAAACGTTCTTAGTGAATTTCAATACCGAATTAAGTTATATTGACGCAGATTTTCCGAGCTGTTTGCGCGAACTATTATCGCTCTCCGGCTCGATGGTTATTTTTCGGCATCGACATCGTCAATCCCATTAGCACCTGGAGTTTGCTATAAATGGGAAACATCGCCGGAACCATCCAGCATTCCAATCAGAACCAAAGTACAGTGAGTTTGTGCAATGACAATATTTGCGTTCATCCTAATTGTGGGAACGATCAGTCCATTTCTCTGCCACCCGTTCGACGGGCCGGAGGTGGACAGATCCAAGCGATCCTTACTAACAGACAGCGAAAATGGCCTCACCGGCGGCGAGAAAATCTCCAAGAGATCCCTCTTCACCGACAGCGAGAACTTCCTGACCGGCGGCGAGAAGATTTCCAAGCGGTCCCTGCTCAGGGACAGCGACAGCGGCCTCGTGGGGGCCGAGAAGATCTCCAAGCGCAGCTTGTACACCGACAATTTCGTCGATTTGACCGGAATCGACAAGCTCACCAAGCGATCCGCCGAGGAGGAGGACGGTATGGACGCGGAGTCCCAGTACTGGATCCCGCTCTTCGCCCAAAAGACCTTAAGGCAGAAGAGATCCGCTGAAGACGATGACGAAGACACCGGCAGAACCAAGAGGAACATAGGTTTCTTACCAACGTTCAGCAGGAAAGGGTTTAGAAGGAGCCGAAGAGAAGTAGATGCAGATGAAGATGAGAACGAAGGCAGATCAAAGAGGAATATTGGATTTCTACCAACCTTCAGCAGGAAAGGTTTCAGGAGGAGCAGAAGAGAAGCGGATGTGATTGAAGAAACTGGCGATGGAGAAAGAAGTAAGAGAAATATAGGGTTTCTACCGGCTTTTAGCAGGAAGGGATTCAGGAGGAGTAGACGAGAAGTAGATGGTGATGATGAAGATGGCAGTCGCAGCAAGAGGAATATTGGATTTCTTCCTGCGTTCAGCCGAAAAGGGTTTAGGAGAAGCAGGAGAAGCATAGAATGGTAGATCCTCAACCGGCACCGCATTTTTAAGGCAATAACCAAGTAATTTATTATATGTAAATGTACTAGCTCGTTAGTTGTTTTTTTCGAATGTTATGTAAAAATTGTTTTTATATATAAATAAATTATTATTAGTAGTAGTGTTGGGGTTTCAATGGTGTATTGGGTACGAATAAACATTTACCGTGTATCTGAACTTCCGTTTTTTATTTCTTTCTGCACATCAACGACCCGTGAAATACGAAAATCCTAATATTTTCAAAAGGAGTTATTATACCCGCAAATATGACGACAAATTTGTATGGAAATCGACCGGATATCTCCACGTAAAATTGTCGTAGCGAAATCAAATATCTAAAATGATATTAATAGCGGAGGAATATAAAAATGTTTAAAGCTTTCAAATCCACCAGCATCCAGTGATTCGAAAAAACTAAACGCACATAGCCGTAGAAGATGAGATGATGGAGGAAAAAAATTAGTTTGGTTCTTCTGTTAGACTTTTACAAAAGTTAATAGAGTAGTCTTCATTGCAGGAGCGATGTAAATAGAAGGATAGTTGCCTAGCGCTTTAAAGTTATTGGTTAATATTTAGTTAAAAAGTTCCAGTTAATACTGCGTGTTACGCCACTGTCGTGATTGTAAACTACAATGCGAGTTCGGCTTCATCGTATTCAGATAACGAGATACTTGTATAGGTTTCAGAATCGGCCCATTCAGAATTCCTCCTTTTCATTGTAGGGCTCTCGAGTGTCCACATGGAAAAGTTCATCCTGACCGAACCGGGAGATGAAAAGCCGCATTCCGGCCCTTAGAGGAGCGCGCCCTAAGGGCGACTCGCTTTAAAAAGTTGTCTTTTTCAACTGTTAAAGGTTGGCTTTCATCGGAAACGGGCTCTTCGAATCGAATTCGATTGTACACGGGGGATGTTTGTAGCTCTAATCTTTTTTTTCTCGAGGGTGTTTCTTAACTCGGGTTATCTTTTGGCTATTACTCTCCGAGCTTTCCGAGCACCTATATGTTTCACTTCGCCTAGTTTTTTGTGCGAGCAATAACAATTCGCCTCCCTTTCTTCCGCTGATATTATTAGCCCAAACATACGGTTGCGAGTCTCTATAGAGTCTCTATAACCTCTCGCAGCGGGGCCCTGCAAGTGACAGTCGCGTTCGGCGCCCTCGTTGTCGTTATCTAGATCGGCTCTACTTAAAAATGAATCACAATTATCGAGAGAGAAGGCCGCCGCAGCGCGGGCGAGCGAGCGAGAGGGACGCCCCGTCCCGAAGACCCTCGATCGCGACATGTTTGTTACAACCATCGAGTGCGGTCGCTTGTCTATGGCCCTTCAAAAATTAATTATATTACCTATGTTCCGCGGTCGAATGTTATTGTTGCCCGCTCTCAATGCGACGATTTATCGACGGGAGGTCCTTCGTTAGTTACACGCATTCAAACCACCGGAATTCCGCACCAAAATAATAGCTAATCCCTTACCAATTAGGTATAACAACGCCTAATTGAGTCCATTTGAATGCAGTGTAGAGTAGATTAAAGTAGAGAAAAGAGGCAATCTAACGAATCGCCTAAACTTAAAGAATATTTCAAATACGTCAAAATGACATGGAAAGGTCTCGATTGATTATTGAACGATATGCGATCGATCAACGACACGTCCGCTCAAACAGTTTCGTACGACATCGAGGAAGAGGACGAAGTGACCGAGGAAATCGACGATGAATTCGAAGAGGAAGGCGGAAGAACGGCTGTTGTGCAGGCGGTGCCGGCGGTGGATGACGAAGAAAGCGAGGCGTACGGAATGGAAGACGTGAACTACAAAATCGACGATAGGAAAGAGAAATTGACGACTTACTGTATCGCCTTTCACGCCGTCATCGTCTTCGTGCTGTTGGTGCTGCTGTTGTACCCGTTCCTTTTCCGACGTAAGTTGAGAAATTGTTAATGTTGCGTTGTAAATTATTTCTTATTCCCGCAGCGAACATCAGGTATATTATTGTCAACGTTACTGTTCTTGTTGAAAGCGCCACCAGCTCGCTTAAGGAGATTAATAGCATTACACCCGAAACTTAGTATTGAGGGGCTTTAATGTAGCAGTAGTATTTTAAGATTTAATTGGATGTGGACAAATCAAATGCAGGGTTTTATTAACATTTATTTATTTTATGCATTACACTTTGTATTCCATCAAAAATGATACGTACAATAATTGTTAAAATCTAATTTTAAATATATATAATACACAATTAACATATTAGTTCTATTAATCATTTCCTAATCTACGTTTCACAACATCGTTTATAATACAATATTATTTACAAATTGGAATTATATAATTTTATGTATACGCACAAATCAATATTTCTATACAGAAAGATCTAAATTAAACCTCAATGAAATAAAACTATTGTTTTTTTTTATAAATAAATTTAAACTTATATTTTAAACATTAAAGCATTGATTTTTTTAAAGGTACATAACAGTAAAAGTGAGAGTCGGTTGTTCTAGCTAATGAAGTATCCATTTTAAATTAAATTCAAACAATTGAAACATTTCGCGATGAAAAACGAATCGACAAGGAATAAATTTAATAAAATCTAACGAAATATCCGGGAACAATTAAAAGTGGCTTGGCGCGGCGGGAGTTTAGGAATCGCTAGTCGGGAGTTTCCGGGCGAACAATCACATCAAAATTTAATTATAAAATACATATGAATCAAGTCTCATCCCTTGCTTTTCATCGGTGGAGCGACCCTGCCCCGGCCGCGCATTGAATACATGAAGCCAGTTATTAGGTCCCTATTGTTAGCCTGTAGCTACCAGATCGTATAAATTATATTGTAAACACAGTGGCGTGTGCGGACGCTCATTGTGCGAATTAAACTCCAGCAATTTCCCCCTTATTTGCCACTGTAAGGGATTTATAGCCCACTCTGCGGGGAAAATAATTAATGGGTTTCGAATTATATCATTCGCCTATCATCATTTACCCGCGCGTAATTCACCGTCTTATTACGACATTCACGAAAAAATCGAACGAATACTCCATCGCTATCACCAACCTGACAATCACGTGCGTTCGTCGGGCTAATAAAATCGAGGCTATTCCGAATAACTGGTCTTATCCGAGCCGGTATTGGAGCCGGGCGATGAGGCCGTGGTGTTCTCGTTCTTGTACACGTCGTGCATCGGCCCCACCAGCGACAGGTAATCGGGCGGCGGTCGGATTACCGTCGACAGATACCCCGTGCCCGCGTACGGAGCCGACAGGAACCGCCTCGACGGGCTGTACCTGTGGAAATTGGCCGGCGGGCCCAGCGGGGAAAAGGCCGACGGCGTCGAGATCTCCTCGTGCGCGCCGCTCACCATCAACTCCATGGCTTGCAGGACGTCCCCTTTACACCTGCGATATAATTCCATAATATCTAATCACTATTTAAATGGGGCTATGCGTGCGAATAAAACACAACAGATGGTTTAATAGAGTGTTGGAATAGAGAGCATGGAATGGTTGAAGAACGAGGAGAAGGCCAGTCACATGTCGCTTGAGAATTGCTCAGAACGGAACTATATAAATAAATGTAAGAGGAGAGGAACAACCTAGAAGAAGAAGTTAGTTAGAAAAGCATCAGCATAGTTACCATCAACTCCATAACTTGCCTCTCCTTTACACCATATAATATAATAGAGTATCTATAAATATGCAATAGCTCAGGCAGAAATTGGGGCTTAAATGGGGACTTGATGGGCCTTGATGGGGAAAAAGAAGAAGCACGTTGCAATAGCATTGCTCAGAGCAGAACTAGATAGAAAGAACTAAGGAGATTCTCTGGCCAATTCTGGCTGCGAAAAGTCTAGAAGGAGAAGAAGAAGAACTTTAGTATTGTACCTCTGCAATATGGCTTCGACGTCGGACCGCCTGCGGCCGGGGAAGACCCTCATGAGGACGTCGACGGGGCTGCGCTGGGCGAACGGGTGCTGGTACTGCGGCGGAAACTGGCCGAACTGCTGGTGGAACGGCAGGAAGTTGGAGGCCTGCTGGTGGGGCGGCGTTTCCGGGCTGGGCGGCTTCTCGCGCTTGACGGACAGGTTCTCGGGCGCCTCGCTCTGCGTGTCCTCCTCCACGTCGAGGTCGGGGTCCGGGCTGGCGGCGGGGTCCGGGGACGGGGTGGGCGCTAGGGGAGCGGGCGGCTGGTGCGGCGGTGACGGTTGGCGGGTTCGCTTGGCGTCCTCCTGATCGGAGTCGGATTCCTCCAGCGGGCAGTCGTCGACGTTGATTCGCGGCCTTTTCGATGCTGCAACAATGAATTTGGACGTTTGTGTTTTTGTTTTCAGTCGCTTGATGCTCGAGGAGAGTTTTATTAACGTTTCCTTCAGGTATAAGGGTGGTAACGCGATACTTTGGGCTAGAACAAATACGGGGTAATCGTTTGAAAATAGATACTTTCGTTGGTAATGCTGTAGACAGTTACCCTCTTGCCGGGCGGTTCGTCTTCGACATCGAGTGCCCGTTCTCGAATAAGAGAATGATAAAAAGTTAAAGAATTCCAATAAACACGCACTTCTTTCTTTGCTCCGAGGGGTAATTGTACACCCCGGGAGTTTCTTTGATTCGTAACATCGAGTTATACACGCAATACAATGGCATAAGATAAATCGATATTTCTTTACCAATTCGATTATATAACATTCTTATCGCGCCCGATGAGAGATATTCATTTTAAAACTCCGTTCGCTATTTGTACAGATAATATCAAATATATCATGTGTTTGTACTGGCGTTTGGTTTTTTCTTGGCATGTAATTCTGTTGGATGTGTCTACAGACTCGTCTAAAAGCATTGAGAAATATTAGGAAAAAAATCGTCGACTAATATTTGGAAATAGCGATATTTGCTTCGTACATTAAGTAAATTTACTAATATAGTCGATGGCTGGTAATTTTAGTTACCGTTAAAATACCAGAGATTTAAATTTACTCACTGAAAATACAGTAATTTTTGCGATGATCTGAGAAACCGGAGAAGGCTGTTAAATTTTAATTGTTAAAAGTGCAAAAAAACTGGAAATTTTAAAAATTGCTAACTCAAGGAGGATTTCTGAATGTTTTGAATTAAATAATTTGTTAATTAAAACTAAGAACTTCGTATATTGAATTTTGAATTTAACAAATTCACATTTTCAAATTACAATAATAATATTTTAAACTACTTAAACTACTAATAAATCTTCTATATTTTCTATCTAATTGTTTTTATTTCCAAAATTACAAACGAAAAGTTCCGTTAGAAATTCTCGTGGTATTGAAATTTTTAACGAAAAATTAGAATTAAATTACCGTGAAAATTCAACGAGAAATAAAACAGCAACGGTCTCGAATGGCACTCGACCGATCTCCAAATACAAATTGTTCTTATATATTCGAAAAAAGAGTTTTTAATGAAGCCGAACGCGAATGTAAACTGTTTTTTTCGACGATTTAATTCCGGACTGACCGCACTTCAGTCGGTTTGTTTTCGCGGAAAATTTTCCATACAACGGGCCCTTTTCAAATGCCCACCCATTCAAACAGAATGCGAAAGACTAAAACTACCAAGTATATTTTTCCCGGCCTCCGGCCACTCGACATTTTGTTTTCTGTTTCAGAGAGAGGAAAGCCAAAAACGGATTTTTCAAGCGGGGAAACGTTCGAGTGGAAAATGCCCCAAACAAAATCGACGGATAAACTAAATTTATCAAACAAAGGAAGGGATATTAAATAAAGCTTTTATCGTATTATACTTCATAATAAATGGCATTTGACGTTTGACATGCATGAAGTTCATAGATTAATTAGTATATGAGAAATAGCAGATACGGAAGTCTTCTTAGCTGTCATTGAAATGTCAATGTCATACAAAATTAATGTTGAATAAATCATAGAAGCTTATCTACTCATATATATATACGCAGGTATTTAAATAGTTAGTTTAACAATATGATCTAAGATTAATTACTACTTTAAATAGTTATAAACATCAAAATTTGAAAAAAAAATCTATAATAATTTGTTTATGTTTGTTACATGACAGTTCAAGTGAAATCAAGATGGCTGTCACATCCGTTTATGCCCTATCCTAAATACTAAGGTAATTTTCCTTGTATATATTACTAATTTTATATTCAATGCTCAATATTTCTGCGGTTAATTTTATGAATATTGATTCCGCATTGACGGGCAATACTCCGGCAGCGAATCAATTATCTTGGAGTAGCGCGGGATGGAAGGTACGAAAAAAAAGACACTTTAATTTGAATGAAAAGACGTCGGGCGGATGGCGTCGTGACGCCTAGCCAGAAACGAGACGTCAGACGCAACATTCGCCCGACAGCGTCCCGTTCAACTATAGCGCGAGTCCCCGTTCGATACCATTACCGACGGAGTATTGGAAAAAGCCCGATTTTATGAAATTATCGTGGAGACCAAGAGTAAAACACAAATACACTTTAGCCTACTCGAATTTAATGGAAACGCTGTTTCCCCAATAAGGAAGCACTAGTAAATACGCCAGTTTTCGCGACCTTAATGTCTTCAATGCAATACCGTTAGTAGACAAGAGTCATTAGCGATTTTCGATTAAAGTATTAGCCTCAAATACGAGTGCACGTCAAACAAAACGTATACGCCGGTTTCGTGGTTGTGACACTGTTACGCAGCAAAGTTACTCTTTTTATTTACAAAGATAATGGCTAGCCAAACACTCACCATTTTTCGTCCGAACGAGAATTTATAATAACATAGAAGAATTTTTTTAAGCAATCGAGTAAAACGCGCGTTGTTTTTAATGAACGGTCAATATTTGGACAGGCCCGGGATCCAGAGTGAAATAAAATGTGTCCGAGTTTTACCGAGAATACGACGGCTGTTTATTTGTGATTAATTTAATTTGTTTGTTCTGCCATTAATCTATCGAATTATTAACACATCACTCTTTCGGCGTTGTACTATTTGTTCAATGTATTTCTTTTAATAGTATAATATTGTAGGTACCTACCCATTTATTATTAATAACCATTACCTCTATTTCTTTAGGGATCAGGGGCCAGATGATATGAAATAAGAGGAATAAAGATATTTTTAAGAAGTTAAAGAAGTAAGATAAGTCTCTTAGTTATGTTTAAAAAATAGATGAATTAATAAACTTGGAAGATATGTAAGAGGAAAATTAACAATCTAAAGGGTGTTTCAATAAGACCGCAAGATTTGAATTGCCCGTCATGTTTTACAGTCATAATGACACGTGATTATCAATAAAATTATCAATCAATAAAATACCGTCACATGTACAGAATAATGCTATTAAAAATTTTATCAAAAGAGTAGGCTTGTGCCAAATTAATAAATATTACCATATTTTGCTACATATTGTTTTATTGAACTTTAAAATCTTGCGTTCTTATTGAAACACCCTTTATAATAATCCAGTAAACTGGAGCATTTCTAGAAGGTAACTTATGTCGAATTATCACCCTCGGGATGGGAATAAGCAGCGAGAAATAAGAGAGTAATCGTCGTTTGGCGAAAAAGAGGCCATAAAAGCGCTGTCGCCACTTCATTACCCTCCCGAATGATACTTGTGGAATTCGCAATAACGCAGGAATGCGGGATGTGCGTCTATAAATATGAGTATCTATTTAATATAGAGCGGAACTGGAAGGGCCGCAAACGAGCCCTTTTATGCCGGGCGTCGGGACGGCGATTAGCGGTCACTTTTATTTCACTTTATTGACACTCGACGGTCATCGAGACCGCCGATATTTGTTTTGTAATGTCTCGGAGACGCCGCTTATTCCTTTTGTCGCTTTTCCTTAAGGACGAGCGATATTGGGAGTTTTGGAATTTTGATTGTGTAGACAAAGCAAAAATTCATTACCGCCAGAATATTTGATAAGATATAAAAATATTTCGGCTCGAATTAATTTCCTCCCTTTTCATAAGAAAGTTTTTTTTTTTTTTATTGGTATATCGGATACCCGACAAGTATACTTTTTAATTTCTCAATTTGCGTATTGTTTCTGGGTTTCGTTATTACATTACCAACGTTTTTAATCTTATCGGGAGATGCGCTTGTATGGGTTCCCTTCGCTTTATACTTCATAGAAGCGATGCAAATTTAATTTCATTATAAAAATTATTATATGGTAACGAATACCCACATTTTTTTCGCATTCTATGCGAATAAGTGGGACTATAAGATGCGTTCGATGATACAACAAAAACTGTCAAAATTGACATTAATGACATTTCGTGTGACAGAAGTGGAATAGAGGTGGAAATCATTTTTTGGTATAGAGGTGCAGTAACGACTGTTACAAAATAAGTCCGCCCAATTTAGCAAAACGGTGGATGAAGTATACAATTGAGCTAAAGAGCTGTGAAGATCATTAAAAATATTAAAAGATTAAGATTATCGGTGGTAGAGCCGTCAGAGTCCGGTCCGATGGGGATGATTTAAACGGGGAAAGGAGATTCGTCCGAAAGTTATAGAAATTTTGTAGGTATATTACGAGTTTCGCGGGGTCGATTAGCGAGCCCTAAATTAAAGACGTCAGTAACAATAGGTCGATAAAGTCGGAAACTTTTTAATGAGAGATAATAACCGGAGAATATTCTCGTAAATTCCGACAAAAGGGGGAAGATTAACTTCTCCAACTCCGCCGGATTCGATATTGAATTATTTTCGTTTTATTGGCTTTTAATTGCCGTGCGTACTTCCACGAGACTTTTCGGTCGCGCCTTATCGCGAAATTAATACTGATGGTAATATTTTAATTCCTTAAATACCCGTTTAATTACTAAAAATTGCTCAAAATAATTACAGCTCATTGTTTAATCGTTATACTCCAGACAAACAGTCTTTCTTGAGACGAAAATTTCAGCCAAAAAAAATTGATTTTTCCCTTTTCATTCGTAAATTGTAGTTGTAATAAATTGACTTTGGAAACATTATATACATCTAGTTAGAAATCGATCGGTCCGAGATTGAATTCGAGCACTCGACGGACAAATAACCAGGGCGATTTCAACCCCGACGTGCACCTCGAAACTTTGCGCAATTATATCGCAAAATTCATTGTAAGTGCGAACAAACAGCGAAACGCCGAGCGTTTTATTAGCGGGTCGGTTCGAACGCACGATATAATAATGGAGAACGCGCTCGAGAGTTGCACCACGAGCCCAAGATCCGATATACATCGACCCGCAAATCTCTTTAATTGAGAGGATCGAGGGGCGGATTGCTCTCGTTTCGCTTCTTTCGCTAATGGCTCTCGAAAACCGATACACGAGTCATTAGCGAATGCTTAACGTACGCACTTGGGGTTAACCGTGCACACAGAAATATTTACTTGTAATTTGAACCCGCATCGAATGCGCTAACTAACCATTATACAATAGCGTAAGGTAAGTGGTGTATATTTCGCGATATTATTGTTGTTGTTGTTCTTAGGGGGTTGCAATTTGTGGAGTAATGACGCGAGCAATGATGGTAAAGAACTATTCGTTAATTACTTATAGAAATTTGGTGACTACAAAGGTTTAGTAAAATTAGTAAAAAAATCATTTCTATACCCGTAAGTTTGTTTCATCATCTGTTGGACTAATCACCAGCAATGTTGGTAAATATTTTTCGTTCGTTAGAAATTTGTTGCCAAAATAACTTGTAGAAAAGTATAGTAGGTAAATAATTCATTTCTATATCTACAAATTTCTTTCACCAATCTATCAATAATGTGACAATACAAAGAATGATATGGATGTTCTATTGATGAGGTTTTTCACCACATTGAACATATAAATAAGATTGAAAAAACTACACACATTTTGTATTTTAAATGAATCAATACGCTCTTAATATGTTTAAAATATTGGTAGTATTTCTACATAACAAATAGCAACACTGGAGAGATTTCAAACTCTCTTTTAACGACTCCAAACCATTGAGCTATCATCATGTAGAGCCAATTTAATACAATAACTTTACAAATGCGGTTAAACTTACTTGGACTAGAAGTTTCCGAAGAATCCGAAGCCGACGCGAAGGTGCTCCGTTGCAAACCCGGAGCGATACCCAACTCATTGGAAGAACCGACGGGCGTCGAGGGCACGGCGCCGTCGGCGTTCTGCACGTTCTGTCCCAGCGGCGTCGGAAACAGAATGCCCAACTCCCTGGCCTCGTTCTCCTCCTGCGCCTGCTGCCTCCTCAGGGCCACCTGGGCCGCCATCACCCGCTGCCGCTCGGCGATCAGCGTGCACTTGGCGCAATTGCAGTCCCTCCATCTGCAGTACCGCTTGTGGCCCTTCAGCGCCGACACGACGCCGTGGTTCCGGCATCTCGCGCATTTCGGCGTCCGCTGGTACCGCTCCGAAGCCCGCAGGAAGAACGCCGGCGGGATCGCCCCCAGGACGGGGTGCTGCGACATCAGCGTCGACATGTCCACTCCGCTGCCCGGTATACTCATTATTATAACTTTTTCTAATGCAGTTACTAACGAAACGACTAAACCAACATTTCAACGGTGGATAATACAACTGATAAATAAATACCGCGTGCGTTTGTGTGTGTGTGTGTGTCTGTGCAATTTGCTATGTCGTATGATCGCCGATCCAACGCCAGCGGGGATGTTTCACTTACTGACAGTAACTGTCAAGTGATACGGTAACCGTAACCGGTGGTGGTTACTGTACCCCATCTGTTGGCCGTCTGCGCTCGGCTACATCGACCAATGGGGGCGGCCGACGCTCCGCCGGCCCCGCCCCTCGGCCGGATGACGTCTCGACGGGCTCCGCCCCCCCGGAGGCTCCGGCGGTGTGTTCACTGTATTATGCCGTACAATGGGAATATACAAGCTAGATTTGAATGGCAAATATATTGCGGGTACGATAATAGGGAGCGAAGGAGGGTCCTAGATTCTCCTAATATGCTATTGTCGGGGGGTTTTTGAGTGCGATACTATATAATTTAGTTTGGATAGATTTTATGGGAGTCTGCCGAGAATGGATTTACGTTTCAATGGGATTTAAATGTTTTACTATTAATATGATGAACAATGGATCGGCGCAGAGGGATTATTTTTCAACGAGAGCGGTTTCTGATGCTGTGGGGAATTATATTATTTTGGTATACGGATAATAGGTAGGTGTGCTATTTATTTCAATTGACTGAAAATCACTTAAATAGAGTTAGTTCTAAGAGAAATGTTTGTTAATTATAAATACTTCATATACAAGATGGCACATTAGTTAGATATGACAAAGCTTTTAGAATAGGTATATTTGTTATAAGAGTATAAATAATCATAATAATATTAGAATAATAAGATAATATAAAGATAATCAAAAGAAGCTTCTTAAAATTGCAATAGTTGCAAATACTTGCTGCATATCTTAAAATTAGTTAAATCTCATAATATAGGAATTATCCGTTTCTCACACCATGAAATTTGTAGTAAATTTTTGTATTATCGCAACTGTTTTTAAAACTTCTACCTAACACTCAAAAAAAAAATCCAAACAATCCAACAGGTATTTCCCGATATCGCAAGACGATACGAAAACACGTAACACAAAACGAATATCTTATCAGATCGATCAGTTGCCATTCAACATAATATTCGATGGAACTGTCACTGTATACCTCTATACCATATATCTCTAGGTATACGTGTATACACGCATTTGTGATGCACTGTATTATACATAAACGGAATAAAAGAATCCCATCCGACAACAATGGCAATTAGATCTCGTACTCGTCCTATTTTGAGAGTTGCACCCTACTTGTAGCACAATAAAGTTACATAACAACGAATTAAGCCGGTGCCGGAGCCGAGAGGGCTCATCACCCTAGAAACCGCAGCTCCCACGCTGGGATGCATATCAGTTAACAAAAATTTCACCGATACTTACCTACCTGAGGCCTATTTTATAAGCAAATTAACTTATTGATCTATATAGAAAGAGTATTAAGTTACTAACAATGCACGCGATTTGTAAAAGGGTGTTAAAAATATGATCAAAATAGCGATAAATTAGAGACATATTGAGTTAATAAAAATCAACATCATATTAGGGCTTTAGGTTTAAAAGAGAAGCTCCAAATGGGATAGAGGTACCTACTCTGCGTGAGTATACAGGGTGATTCATTCCAAAAATTGAAATGAGTCAAATTTATTTATTAATTAACCATTAGTTATTAAATTTTTTTTTAATTACGACAATTTTCGTAATCATCAACCAAGAAATGGGCCAAATTCAAATAACGCCCTGTAACTCGGTTATAGAGAGCGTAAGACCCATACTATATAGGTTTTTTGGGATCCCCTGGGTGACCTCTATATAGGGTTAAAATCTTTCCATTTCGAAATGAACCTGTATATGGAGTCATACTAAAAAATTTAATCAATTTGGCAATAAATCGTTACAAATAATCCATCACCCCTAACTAAAACGTATTAAAATATGGTATATTAAACAGGTGTTTAATCCTCAGCGGCATCTTATCTAATAAAATAGTATAGGAAATAAGGAACAGAGAGACCTGGGGGTCGAATTCGATCGGGACATGTATCCACCGGAGCGGCCGTAATCCCGGTTTAATGAAAATTCCGGGCCCGATGTCGGCGGAGAAGGAGAAAAGAGCCAGAGCGAGAGCGCCGACCCGTCATTATCCCCTTCTTTTATTCTACATATAACCTTTCACATGCCGCGCTCTTTGTCCCCGCATTCAAAGAGACAATTTCATGTAATTGTGCATAAAAGTCCGCGAGTCTATCTCTGACGTAAGAAACCGCACGACAATGGAGCGCATCTCACGCGGAATGACTTCAGAAATAGCGTTCCATTGTATAAGATCAGCGCCGAGATGAAATCTCATTTGTAATTTTACTTCGGGTGGATTCTTGTTAATTTCGCGAATGCAGGAGGTTCTTCTTTATTCCTTCGGGTCTTCATTTTTGGTTTAATTTATTTTTTTTCCGGGAGATAACTTCGACTCGATGCAGGTTCTATCTCGTATACCTATCGCTCTGTTTAAAGTTGAACTTCATTCGTTGTCTGTCGTTACCGTATGCCTATACACTTTACCGGAATGAGGAACTATTTAAATTTACAGTGTGTCCCATAATTATAAAAAAAATTAAATATTACATGTGGTTTTAATAAGGGGGTAATTTTGTAACGATTTGTTAAGGAATTATTAAGTTGAATAACCGAAATTTCGTGGCCTAACATAAACTTTTTAAAATCTTATAAATTCAAAAATTTGGTGGAGGACCACCAAAAGTTTTGCGACTTGCAGCAAACTTTACAATTTAAAATTTTGGTGGATGCTTTCTCAAATAAAAATTATTAAATATCACCCAAATTTAACACTTTTTCAATAAATTATGGGCTTAAAATAAATTATTCATCAGACTCGCTTCCGCCGCTATCTCGAACCTTATAGGTTCGTTTTTTTTCCCGCACACTCCCGATAAATTGTCAGGGATTCAATCAGGGCGCCGACAAATGAAAATGAGGAAAACCGTCCGAGAAAATAATTTAAAAATATAATAAAAACAGCGGACAATACAACAATCTCGAACATCCGGGGATCAGTCGTCCGCAAAAGCATAAATCTAAAATCCGAATCTGAAAAACGAGGATAATTTCAATAACTCTACACCGCAGGGCCGAACACCGGAGTTTTCCCCCCGCAAGGAAATCTCCTCCATGTTATTACACCCTTTAACTACCCACAGCAGAAATAATAAATCGATGACTGCATGGAAGATAAATTTGTAAATATTGGTGGAGGATTTCCAGTGTGTTATAAATGAACGAGTAACTTAATATTGTGTTAAGGAGTACTTGAAGATTGATTTCCAGTTGGATACGACTCTGTACAGGTGCCGGCGACAGAGAGAACTTTGAAAAGCGATCCAGGAAAAAGGAGATTTATAATCTAGCGGGAATAATAGTGTCCGTGTCGGCGTCCGCCGTGTCCAGGGCTTTTTTTTGCACGACCACCAGTCAATGTCGGGCCCAGATCGCGATTTGTATAAATCCCTAGGCTACCCTTACGTTTGCTGACCAAACACTCCGTCGCCAGGCGATTTTCGAAAATCGAATCTCCGTTATTTATTATTACAGCCGCTCGGTACGTAAGTGCCTCTAATACATAAATTTTCGCCACCTTGGAAATTAAATTAAATTCCTCCAAACATTCTTCGATATTCGTTTATTATTATTTTTATCGCCTACAACTAGGTGTGCCTATTATTAAAAAAGCGGATTCGATTAAAATTACTACCCTAATAACATTCGAGTCTATATTATACATACCCACCTAAATAAGATTCGAGAAGGATCTTAATAAAACCCTCTCGCGTACCGTCGAACGAAATACACAATAACTTCAAAATTCGATGTATAATATATATGCGAGAGTATTATAGAGAACTAATTTAATTTCGGGCGGCAGAATTGCCAGGACGTACGTACGAAGGTATATATATCTATGCAAAGTCACAATTCCATTGTGTACGGGGCACAATGGTCGCGCATTGCATCCGAGAACTCGCAAACTTTCAAAATTAATTCACTGACACATGATCCTAATCTTGCGAGTAATTCCGGTAGAGGGGACGACGCCCTGTGCTCAGGTGGAATTTTCACTTATTTCTCCGCGGGAAGTTTCTCGAATCCAATTGCGTTTATTTACATATATATACATAAGATTAGAGATTCTGTATGTGTGCTGTAATCTATAGTTTTCGAATTTGCGATTATTTAATTAAATTTGAAAATTATAAAAGTGTATATAGTGCCTACATGAAGCTTTCTCTATTTTTTTTAATTTAGAGCAAATTATAGTATTAGTTGACTTATATTAAGAATTTTTCAATAAAGCAAATTTTATCTTAGTATACTCTTAATCTTTCTTAATATTCAATATATTGCTTAATAAAGTAATAAAAATTCGTCACGTTATAATTTACGACGGTAGACTTATTTTAGGCAATAAATTGAAGAATTATGCATAATGGTATTTAATGGTACTTAATTATACCAGTATACGTGTAAAAAACCGGTTGGCACTTAAGTAAACGAATCGAACGATATTTAATATCTGATACCTGATTAAAAATAATACATTTTTTATGCGGATTCAATAAAATCGCGACCTTGCCATAAACGTGTTAACGCCATCAGCAAGGAAAATGCTTTAAGGTACCACACCCAAAATTCGACGAAATAATTTGGGTATACCGGCAAGTGTAGCATAAGGAAATACAAGAAATTTCAAAGACAGTTTGCAATATTATTGCATTTACCCTTAATATGATGAAATGTAACTAACATCCTCTAATCTAATAGTAATTATTGTGCAGTAAAATTTAATACATGGAAACAGGGGTTGATATTTTTTTATCTATCCTTCAATAACCATCAGCAATGGAATTACAGTTATAGTAGATTGTTTAATTAATCAATTTTAGACAAATATTTGAATAAAATTTAACATGCTTATGAAATTTCTTATGCCTTAAAATTCCATTTAATTAGTTTTAGGTACATCATGTTTTAATGTATAATAAAAAATCGAGCAAAAAATATACGAATGTTTAGAATAATAGCATTTACCCTTAATTTTATGAAATATGACTAGCATCCTCTAATCTATAAATAGATAATAATTATTGAGCTGAAGAATGTAATACATGAAAGCATGGATTGTATATTTTTCATCTATCCTTCAATAACAGTATAGTACATTGTTTTATAATTAAGCAATTTTAGACAAATATTTAAATAAAATTTAACAAGTTTGTGAAATTTCTTATGCCGTAAAACTCAACTTAATTAGTTTTACATCATGTTTTAATGTAATAAAAACTCGAGCAAAAAAATATACGGATGTTTAACATAATCTATTCTTAGTCCATCGATAAGGATTCGACCGGTAAATTCAGACGACCTTCAGAAACCTTGCCAGGATATGTTATTGTTGTGAAAGGTATCTGAAAAAAATTGTTCCGGGGTGGGATCGGACGCAAATTCGTATAAATAAATCGCAATCGTCCATCAAAGTATCATATTCAATCTAACCAAGTTGAAACATGGCATTCAAAGTAAGTGTTACAATAACATAATTTAACAACGTCCACAATTGAATATTACTCTAATTTCGAAATAATTCATTTTCCAGGTCGTACTCTTCGCCGCTCTCGTAGCAGTAGCTCGTGCAGGCCACCTCAGTGGCCTGACCTACGCAGCTCCCGTTCTGGGCTCCCACAGCGCCGTCTCCACCTACTCCAACGTCCAGCACCACGCTCCATCGGTCCACGCTCACGTTCCCGCCGTCCACTCTTACGTCGCCCAAGCCCCCGCCGTCCACGCTTACGCCGCCCAAGCTCCCCTCGTCCACTCCTACGCCGCCCAAGCTCCCCTCGTCCACTCCTACGCCGCCCAAGCCCCGCTGGTCCACGCTCACGCCTACGCCGCTCCCGTCGCCCACGCCGTATCGGTGCCCGTCGCCAAGACCGTCGTAGCCGAACCGTCCGCTCCCGCTAACTACGACTTCGGGTACGGCGTGAGCGACCCGCTCACCGGGGACTCGAAGAGCCAGCACGAATCCCGCCGCGGCGACGTCGTCCACGGAAGCTACTCCCTCCTGGAGTCCGACGGCACCAAGCGTACCGTCGACTACACGGCCGATCCCCACAACGGATTCAACGCCGTGGTGCACAAGGAGCCCGTTGTAGCTCCCGTTGTGGCCCCCGTTGTTGCTAAAGTAGCCGCCTACGCCGCCCCCGTCGCCCACGCCTACGCCGCTCCTCACGTTTACAACGCTCCTTTGGCCCACGGATACGCTCACGGATACGCTCCGGTCGCTCACGGTTACGCCGCTCACGCTCCGGTCGTCGCTCACAACGTCTGGTAGGCTGTTATGTTTGTAAATTAAATTATTTATGCAATGCAATAAATGTTACTATGAATTCACTTGGTAGATTTTGATTTTTTTGATACCTACACCGAAAAAAAATTTGCAAAGTGATCGTTAAGAAGACTCGTTTTTAATGGGTACCTAACACTCACTTATGCTCAATTATGTTCGAAAATAATTACATAATTAAGTGCGGGTATATCTAGATCGAGTGGCCCGAGGTGACCGTTTTGGACGTTATGCCTATTAACGAAAATTACTTTCACCTGGGCGTATGTACCGGAAAGTTATGGGTACTCTCGCAGACAATGTCGCGTAACTGACTTTGACCCAGTGATCTAATCCGGCGGAATGCTTACGCTAATTGGCCATTTTAGCGAATTGCATTTTCGGCGGACCAATTATGAGATATGTGGATATGGTTCTAATAGACATGTAGGTTGGTATTATATGGTTGTATTATACAAATGGTGGATTGTGTTGTGTAAATAGGTGGAATCGTTTGAAAGTGTAAGAGTTTTTTTTGTAACAAACTGATGCAATTTAACTGCAGCTTCTTTAGGCACGAATGATACATATTATAAATTTGATGTAATATATTAATTCAATTAATTTAAAACTTTACGTTTACTTTTTTATAACCTACTGGCATTTCGCAGTTAGCCGTATATGGTAAGCAGAAAATTGATATTTATGATTATTTATCACCTACTATATTACAAAAACACGGACAGATATATTACCTAGGTGAAGTTTAATTAAACTCATCTGCGAAGAAATGATTCGATTTATATTTTGTAACCGATTTTTCGTCTGGAAATTCGAGCGTTTTCCTTCACTAAAATCCCGTTGGACGCGGAAAACGAGCAATCTGAAACTGATACAGTATTTTCCAACGCCAATGAAAAGATGGGAAGTGTAACAGATCCCGAACGGTCGTTTTCATTGGGTGAGTTGGCGCGAATGGAAAATGACAAGGGAAGACGATTTCCCGGTTATTTAGAATATGCACACGGAGAATACGGTTTGGGAAATATTTTTCGTAGAAATGTTTTTCTAAAGGGCTTAGGTACTTTGTAGAGTATATTTTGTGGATAAAAGAGGGTAATTCTTTGATTTATTTCATGAGTAATGTTTGATATAAACACTTCAAAGTAATTCATTTCAAGATTAGTTTATATTGCTCTTTGTAGCTTTTGTAGTTTCCCATCATATAAATTAGATATGAATAAATAAGGATAAAACCACCAGGTTAAATATTTGGGGAACTTTTTTTGATATATAGAACTATGAAATTTAAGTCACGAAATATTCCAATGAATCTACCTAGATGATATTTAGGGTTTCCCTGTATATTTTTAGAAATTCCAAGTTAATAACAACAAACACATTCGAATTACATTAATTTTATATTTGGCAATCCATTTCTTTTCAACAAATAAATATAGCTGTTTCACAGTTAACAAGTACAAAATCGTACGAATTCTACATCAACACCACCGTGTACTCAGTGATGGTAGTACGCTTGGGGAGCGGTGTATTGCACCGGAGAGGCGTATTGCACCGGAGAGGCGTACTGCAACGGAGCGGCGAATTTGGCGACGGGGGCGGCGTAAGCCACCGGAGCCGCCACTTTAGCCACGACCGGGGCCACAGCCTTCACGGCCACCTGGGCGGGTTCCCGGTGCACCACGGCGTTGAAGCCGTTGTGATCGTCGGCCTGGTACTCGACGGTGCGCTTGGTGCCGTCGGCGTCGACCACCGAGTAGCTGCCGTGGACGACGTCGCCGCGGCGCGACTCCTGCTGGCTCTTGCTGTCGCCGGTGTGGGGGTCGTTGACGGCGTAGCCGAAGTCGTAGTGAGCGGGGGCTTCGGGCTCGGCGATCACGGTCTTGGCCAGCACCGGCTGGGCCACCTTAAGGGCCGGCGCGGCGTAGGCCAGGTGAGCTGGGGCCGGGTAAGCGGGAGCGGGGACGTGGTAGGAAGGAGCCGGGGCGGCGTAGGCGAACGCCGGCGCTGCTACTTTGGCGTAGGCGGGAGCGGCGGCGTAGGCTAGGGGAGCGGGAGCGTGGGCGTAGGCGACGGGTGCTGGAAGTGGTGCTGATACGCTGGAGTAGGAGACCGACGGTGCGTCGGAGTAGGCTACTTTGGTTAGAGCCGGGGCTGCGTAGGTTAGAGGAGCTGGGTAGGCTTCCGGGAGGACTCCTGCGTTGGCTACGGCCAAGAAGGCGGCGAAGGAAAATAGCTGAAAATAAATGCAGGAATGTTAATTTGTTTGCACTATAATTAGAAAAATTTTAAAAAGTTTATTAGTACTGTTAAAATAATATTGAAAAAAATCTACTCTAATTCTTATCTTCTGAATTAAACAAGTTGTTTGAAGGATCATTAGATTTTTAAAAGGAACACAAAATATACTGCTCCACAAAAGTTAAGGAAGTTTACAAATATTGAGATTAATTTAAAAGTTACAGGTTTTTTTGATCGTCAAATTTAGTATGAATTGTAGAGGTAGGGGCAAAAAATCCACTCAGATATGCGAGAAAACATTTAATTTTGCCTATTTGAAAATTTGGTGATCAAAAAGTCTGTAACTTTTAAAATAATCGCTAAATTTGCGAACTTCCTTAACTTTTGTGGAGCAGTTTAATTTAAATTTACAATCAAAAAAACAATTAACCAAAACAACGAATCAAAAAGAACAGCAAATCAATTTGATAAAAATGAAACAAAAAAATTCCGAACAAAACTTTAAAATAGAATTTTCTTAAACAGAAATTTCACCGAATTCGACGGACCGCTTGTGAGCGAATTTGTTTTTCCCAATCGCACGTTTACTTACTTTGAAAGCCATGCTGTCAGCTGAGATCGACTGTATAAGGACTACAGCCGTATCCTCTTTTTATATGATCCGCGGTTCCAATGCGGCGGAGGCGTGGTCCGGTCCTGGTTCGGGTACGATCCTTTCACCGGGGCCCAGAGGGCTCTCGGCCGCCGTTGGAGCCGCTTTTTTTCGGCGCTTCGAGCGTCAAGACGCGCGGCGATCTTCGAAAGGCCAGAGGACCGGTTGCTACATCGCCTGACTGTTTGGTAATTCGATCCGGTTTCCAATAATTTGGTAAACTCCGATCGAAAAAAATCGAAACTGTACTGAATTAACATATGATTCCTGCATTTTTGTATTCGAAAAATCCATCTCGATAAAATTAAGAATTAATCTAAATAAATAAATAACAAAATTATATTATGCATAACTAGTAAGGTTTTTTTTTACAAAATGCTTATAAAAAATATATGAGCATTATATCCTTGATGCGTATGTAAAATATTTAATATAATCGCACCATCTAATGTACAAAATATCCTCTATAAAAGAGAGTCATCTTTATTTGATGCAAATAAATTTCGCAATGAGTGTTTCCGTTTTTTTTTATATACCTATAATAGAAAAGTGCGGGTCCAATTTAAATATACATCATCAGATCGGATTATAAATTCGTCGCGTGTCTAAGTTCAAGCTGGTAATCTAACGGATATTTAAATGCCTTAACAGATGGGCACTGCGTAAACGTGAAAAGTAAAAGCGATTTGAAATTAGTTTTCTTCATCGATTATTTTAGAAAATACCTTAATATATTCGCTATTCGTATATAATTAATCGGTTGAATAAGGGGTTTTTCGCAATAATCGAATTTTTATTAGTCGTTGGCAAAATATATTTCTCCCGATAACTGCAGATAATATTTATTGTTTGTTTTAAAATCCTTAATTATTGCAATAAATTGTTGAGGCGAAAACTCTTTAATTACCCGGTTAATTAAATCAGAAACGAGGAGACATTGGGCAATCGGCGAAAAATTTCGAAATTTCGATTTCGTCCTCACGGTCATCCGAAAATTGGATCGACCGATTTCAAGCGGACAAACGCCAACGAAACTGCACGGGGTGTTCCATTGGCTAACTGGCAGATATGTAGACGCGAAAAAAAATTGTAACGTTACGTTAACAAACGAACACTCACTTAATTTCGCAGGCAACACTATAACCTGATATTCGATTATATTGGAGTTATGTCACAATGCGTTTTTAATAAGCTCGGCATTCGATTTTTTGCACTTATTTCTAAATGTTAATGGGGCGGTAATATTGAGTTCTAATTGGCACCATATCGATTGTGTTCTAATACAAAAAGTGCTCACAATGTGCGGGGTTTTGCAACAATGCATTTATGGACGACCAATCGTCTTTGTATCTCAACGATTCGATCTAAAAAGCGAAAATAAAATTCTACTTTCCTATAATTGTTATATTGTATTCGATACAACCAAAAACAGTGATGCCATGAAAGCAATTGTGAAGGAATGTATTTGCATTAGCCACAATAAATCCAGTTAGCTGTTCAATAGGAACTAATTAATTAAAAAAACTATCTAATTTCCTATTTCATCACGTTAAAAATGTATCTAATGTAGGCACTAAAACGCACCGTTTTTAAGACAAGACAAGGTCGCGAAATTACCTCTGCAAATTGCAAGAAATTGATTCATCGTCCATGAAAATGAATAATTATTTAATTCAATTTTGATATTAGCATTAGTAGGTATTAAGTACCACAATTTCGCATTCAGTGTGAACTGTTAATTGGACCACTCCTTTACATGATTCTAATAATTAATTTAATGTATCTTTTTTCTTTATGTTGATAAAACCCAATTTCGAGTTACTAGTCAACCTCAGTTTCATTCGCGTTATTAACATCATCAGATAACTTTGTTAATCCTGCAATATCCTGTTACTCGATTGGCAATTCAACTGCAGGATAATGTCGAGAACGATCAATCGGCTATCTAGCCGGGGCAGACAAGCCGAGAATCGGACACGCAATAACAAATAACATAAATTTCTTGCCTACGTCTCACGATCGACGGCAATTCATTCAAGTTATTAATTTGTCAAATTTCGTAACGCGCGCCGATATATCTACAGGTAGGCTAGTATAAATCCAATGGGTTTTGTATTGAGCCGCTTTTTTATGCTAATACGTGAAGAAATTGGTTCACAGTGTCGCAAGAGATGTCGTTCGAAGGATTAATGGACGCGTCAATAGAAGAAATTCCAGTTAGGAAACACATATAGCGAGATATTTTAATGTGATTTATGGATATATGACCGTGACTCGACGGATAAGTATCGAATTTGCAGAAAAATGGCTCGGATAGTGTGTCGTAAAGCGTTTAACTAGTACAACACCCTCGCTTCGATATGAAATTTTGCGCAAATTGTATTTAAATCCGCGCTAACGGTACCGTTTGTTGCGTGACTCAATCCTCGCAGTCGATATATTCAATTTCACTCCCATTCGCATTTGCATATTACTGAATGGATAATGCTTTTTTATCCCTCTTCGCTGACCTTTGGGCGATTTTTAACGCGACCTTTCGAAGACACCCACCGTTTTTCTACAGTTTATTAACAATAGCGCGAAAGTACGCAAGCAGTACTTAGAAAATAAGGTCTACTCGGAATTAAAGCGTACGCCCATACGCGTAGATACCTAACTCAAAAACCGACGGACATAAAGATCCGTAACGTCGAATTTACATGGCGGTTTTCCCTTTTAAAATGATTTTGATTTCGAGAATGGCCGTCCACGCCCAAAGTAAACGTGTAAATGGGTGTTTTAACTACGCCGAACATGCTATTCGATTTAAACTAAACGATACCGTTTGTTGGTCGCACTTGCGGAATTGAGAAATCCGTTGGATAATCGAATGGCCATTTTTTTTATCTGACCTAAAGCATAATATGCTTATACTGATTTAGTATTCCTATCTATTTGCGATCGCTGATTATTTAATGTTACCTACTTACGGGTGATTTCATATAAAGATACTTACAGGATATTTTAAAGGATCCTTTAAACCTTAAGGGACCTGTTTGTGATTCAAAGCTATTCTGACGAAGAAGAATAAATGGGGTGTTAATTAATTGAGTGGCTATAATTCAGAATATGAATATTTGGATGGTTTTAAGATGAAAAGTTTATATCAATATATGTCCTAAATCTCCTATTTTTCGAGCTACAGTAGGGAAAAAGGAGGGAAGAATAAAACATATTTTGTGAATTACTTAATTTTATGTAGTTTCACATTCTGTAATGAGCTTTAATTATTCAATTTCTTAGAGCAAACATAATTCCTAATCCTCTACTAAAATTTGAAGAGCCAACCTTTCTATTCATCGACATTTCCATCTTTTATCAAACGTTTTAAAATAGCATTAAAGCAACCTTTTCATAAGGGAACCTAAATTACATTTGACATTAGGAATAAGGTTCAAGAAAACTTTATCTTTAAGTTCATTTTGTTAAAGGATACTTTATCACTTTATTACGAAATCAACCCTTTAGTATCATAATAAAGTGGTTTATTTATCAATACAATTTTTCCAAATCAATAAATATGAAACCCTTCTTTCCTGAAAGCCCTTATTTCCAAAAATACTAAAAACATGCATTCGGTATACTAATCTAGCCAATTATAGATAACATTTGTAGATACATTCAATGTTTTGATATAACTATCAAACTAAATCGAATCGACTTTAAGACCACTATGTCCTCATAACCGAAGAAATAACCATAAATTCGCGAATATTTATGGATGAAACAGACGAAGGAAGGCTGGATGAGCGAACCGTTAATTCGCCATTAGCTAAATTAAATCGAGAAAGGCCGACATTGGTTATATCGAAGCGATACGATCTAGCGAAAGACGATTTGTATGCGCCGTCAATAGGGATCGATCTTCGGCACAAGATGGAATTTCTTCATTTATTTACGTGTTCGACGGCTCCGGACACGCCTCGTACACTATGACATAATCCGAAATAAAAACAGAAAGTGATTTCGATCGGCCTTGAAATGTACGCAGGTAGATCGGCTATTGTTGGACGAATGTGGAGCCAGCGGTGCCGCCTCTGGACGAATTTACGAAAATATATGGCAAAAATTCGCTCTCGATATCCATCGATTCTATCGATTACATTGACGGGAATTTGACAGTGACTACTTGCTCGATTGCGTGAGAGAATCCGCCGATTACGGTCTCAAGATCGGTGTGGTTATGATATTCGTTAAAATCGAAAACCTGTTGGAATAAATTACCGCTCAAAGCTATTTCATTCTCGAACATCGATCGAGGATTTAATTAAAAGCGTTTTCTGCAAATTACTAGCTTATTCTGACGGGTTGATGAAATCCGAATAAAGCGCGTTTTTAATGATACACTATGGATATATCTTATTTCAGTTTTGGGTAATTTACGAACGTGTTTTTGTTTCATTGACGAGGTTAAATTTGTATAGAAACTCCTTGGGCTATAGTTAATTGACACTATAAAATTTTACATGATATAGGGTGTCTGATAAATATCTAAGAATCTATAGAACAATTTGTAATACATATGTTGATTTTTTTGTCAAAATTGGTATCTCAGTACCACCATCAGGTTCCTCTAGTTGATATATAAAAGATGATAGAATATAATAGTAAAATTTTAACATTAAAGCAATACAGGGTGTTAATTAATTGAGTGTCGATACTTCAGGATGTGAATATTTGGATGATTTTAAGAAGAAAAGTTTGGTCCTAAATAAATGAGAATTTTAAAAATAATTGTAATTTTTAGAAAAAACAGTGTGGTAAATTTTTTTTTAAATCTTTTGCCTAAAAAAATGCTCCTTAATAATTAAAAAGTGTTTATAAAATTTCATAAAAATATCTGGAGTAATGAAAAATTATAATAGAAATGTTATTTTTTTTCTAAAATTGTAACACCCTGTAGCTCGAAAACTAAGAGGTTTAGGACATACATTAATATAAACTTTTCTTCTTAAAATCATCCAAATATACACATCCTGAAGTATCGCCACTCAAATAATAAAATTAACACCCTGTATACAACTACTAACGGCAGACATTTAGATCAATTTCAGTATTTTAACAGTAATTCTAATAGCTCTCCTGTAAAATTTAATAAACTCAACATAACAACTTACATGCCACATCTATTCACAGAATTAACCTAAAATATTCAAATTATTCTTTTCAAATGTCATTAAAATTTTTCTTTATCTTATTGTTCTATAAAAAATGTTGTAAGATTAGTAATAAAAATAAGAAAATGCGTACAATATGTGTAATTGAATCCTACGCTTAAACTATCTGATGGATATCGTGCAAACATCCTATAGATATATAATACAGTACTTTTTTCTTGGCCAAATACGTTGAACGGGTCAATGCCAACAATAAGCGAGCTTATGTTACTTACCTATAGCATTTTTCATTGATACGTTTAGTGAAAGTGTTCTCAAATCAAACCTTAGGCCAATTAAATTTAGTATATATACCGCCGGCTCATTGAAAAAATGTATCAAAGTACTCACAGCCAGCGAACATGTCTTACAAAGTAAGTTAATCGTGCTCGTACCGGTTAAGCAGCGATTCGCAGTGATTGATTTTAGTGCTAACGCGTTAACTTTCGACATATGAAACTCAAATTATTTTTACGTGCCGGACTAACATCGCACTTTTCTCTTCCAGATCATCTCCTTCGCCGCCATCATCGCCGTAGCCCGGGCCGGTCTCATCCCCGAAACCTACCAGGCTCCGCTGCAATACGCCGCCCCCGCCATCGCCAAAGTGGCCTACTCCTCCGCTCCCGCCGTCTCCTACTCCAGCATCTCGGCACCTGCAGCCTACGCCGCAGCCCCTGCCTACAAAGTAGCCGCTCCCGTCGCCTACGCCGCCCCAGCCTACAAAGTAGCCGCCCCGGTAGCCTACGCTGCACCAGCCTACAAAGTAGCCGCTCCCGTCGCCTACGCCGCACCAGCCTACAAAGTAGCCGCCCCGGTAGCCTACGCCGCACCAGCCTACAAAGTAGCCGCCCCCGTCGCCTACGCAGCGCCAATTACCAAGACCATCATCGCCGAGCAGGAAGCCCCAGCTAACTACGACTTCGGCTACGCCGTCAACGACCCCCACACCGGCGACAGCAAGAGCCAGCAGGAGTCGCGCCACGGGGATACCGTCCACGGCAGCTACTCGCTCGTCGAAGCCGACGGTTCCAAGCGTACCGTAGAATACACCGCCGACGCCCACAACGGTTTCAACGCCGTGGTGCACAAGGAACCCGCCGCCGTCCACGTCAAAGCCGTCGCTCCCGTAGCCTACGCTCCGGTAGCTAAGGTCGCCGCTCCTTTGGCTTACGCCAAAGTAGCCGCCCCCGTGGCTTACTCGAGCTACCCCGCCGCCTACGCCCAGAATGCTTACTACCATTGAGATTGATAGTCGACTTTCCTGTTGTGCCGCTGTAAATAATTCTAAATTATTCTTGTATTAAAGACTGTGAAAAATAATTTTGGATTTATTTTTTTGGTGTACTTTTGGACACCTAACACTAGGAGTACTAATGGTAACTTTATAGTTATTTTCACTTATCGTGGATAAATTAGCGTTCCTGAAATGTTTGTCTTTTAGATTATCGGGCGTGTAGCGGTAAAGTACAACGAAAATTTTAAACTAATCAATATTTATTTCAAACGGTAATTCAAAAAAAAAAAGATGAAATAATTATGTACTCGTACTAATTCCATCACAGGTTTTCCAAACATCTTTAGCTCTTGCAGTGGTCCTGCAATGATTCTGCAATGGCAATTATATAACATTTATTGTAATTATCGAGTAAATTATAATAATTGAAGATACACCTCAATTAATACTGCGTGGATGAAACAATCACAATTTAAATATACCTACTTATGAGCCAAATCTTATAAACATAAAAAAAAATTAATATCATTATATTTATCATCACTGGTCTCAATTTTTCTACAGTATTCAAAAGGTTTCCATACAGGCATGTTTAATTTAATTAACCTACTACTGGTTTGATACATTTGCCTCATAGTACACAGAAATATAAATTTGCTAGATAATTGAAGCAAAAAAAATCTCCAACGCGCTCTACATGGACTCATAGTTATCAGGCAGGGAAAAATCGAGATCATCCGACGTGTTCACAAACCTGACCTCGTCGCCCCGACCGTGCCTGTTGTACGACATAAACCCCCTGTTGAAACGGTACCTTCGGAGCACCCCGAACGTCGTCACCGAGACGAACACCACGATGCACATCGTACTGATGACGATCACCAGCACGTTGGGCTTCCCCTCTTCGACGTAGGTCGTGCTGTAGAGTTTGCTCTCGTTGAAGCTGGTTAGCAGGGGATTGCCCTCGATGGTGTTTTCGATTTCGCTCGACAGAAAATCGTCGACTCCTTCGGCCACTTCGTAGGTACCCTCGTCGTTGTTGGGGGGTTTGGGCACGTCGAAAGCGTCGTCGAAGCCGTTGCCGATTTCGTTGGAGGACTTGGTGCTCGGAGGCGGTTTAGACGTAGGGAGGATTTTCCGGTAAATCACCGTAGTGGGTCGCGGTGTTTGGAGGTACACCACAGGCCTGGGGTGCTTCTGGGTGGGTTTTGAGGGTGGTTTCGTTGTTGTTTGAGTCGTTTTCGTGCGAGTAGGGTGGGTCGTTTCTTTTGTTGAGACGGTGGTGGTTTCCAGAAGAGGTACTCGACTGGTTGTATTTTCATTGCCGAAAGTCGTACTCTCGGTCGTCGAGACTAGGTATCCTGTAGGTATTTAGAAGACAGTTTTAGATGAAAATCGGTAGTTATACTCGTAGTTAAAGAAACCTACCGAAACAAGCATCAAAAAAATCTGGACAACATCTGTGCGCATCGACGCAATCAAAATCGCAGTCACAGGTTAAATGATAGTTATCGTTCGTGGAAGGTTCCGTTTTACCGCAGCGATTTTCGCAGGTATCGACCGTTGGAATTACCTCGTTGTAAGTAGCGCTTTCCCTAAAATCAATTGAAAAAATGTATACAGGATCTTCCTAAACATCGCAAAGGCACATCCGAAAAGGGGTGATTGCTTGACTTGTTTCATGACATTTAAGTTTTTGTCTTTGAGGTTCTCTACTTGCTCCCAAAGTTTGACCACTTGTTTCAGAAACGCCCTGTATATATAAAATAAAACACGATTACAATGAGCGGACTTACATTGTTACAGTAGTAGTTTCCCCTTCGTCCGTGCAATTCAGTATTACCTTAACATCGTCTATAGCGATGTCGCTTATGTAATTAGATCCTCTTACACCTTCTATAATAATCTAAAAACATCGAATTATTTCATTTATTTAACTCGATTAAAGTTTGTCGGCTCACCTGGAATTCGTCTTTCATAACGCCCAAGTGGTGGTAGCTCCTGTACCATTTATCCCCCTGATTCCCGCTCTTGGAGAATATCGCCGACTTGGGATCCAAGCTCCAGGAGTCGTTCACCGGCTTCACGTACGCCCGCAGCGTTCCAATGGTGGACCCGAACATGTGATAGAAGAACTCCAAGCACACATCGTCGTCGGTCTTGTCGTAAACGGGCGATATTAGCCTGGCCGTGTCGTTTTCCACCCTCGTCGACGACTCGATGTACATGTAGTAACCTGCCATAGTAATTTTTGACTTTATTACTGTAGCTCTTCGACTAATTTTCGACACGTTTCTATGTCTGTTACAATTACCGTTTTTTCCGATCCCTTTGGTGTGATCGAAGCTCGGGCCGGTTCCGATCGAGCCGCTCGGCGTGTTGAAGTTCTCCCTCGTCCAGTCGAAATCGTGGTTCAAGTCGTGCGTCCAGCCGCACAAATCCGCCGTCTCGAAGTCGCAGCTGAGCTTCGGCTTCGCGTCCGTCGCTGGAAGTAAATCGCGCTGCGATCAGTGCTCGCCGTTAGGCGGAATAGTCGAGTGGTTACTTACGCAGGCACGTCGGAACGTGGCTGCTCCAGTTGGTGCCGTCGCAGTAAATGACCGAAGGGCCGTTCAATGCGTAGCCCAATTTGCAGAAGAAGTGCTGCACGGCGTTGCTGTGCGTCGGGTAGACGACGAGATTGTCTGAATTAAGTTGTTTGCCAATTGTCCTGCAAGTCGGGCCTGGAATTCGAATAAGATGCCTAAATAAAATCCTTCAAGCATCAACAAAGAAAGTTCGTTAAGAAATACCAAATTGGGCGCACCGAAATTATATCAACTGGTGGTAAATTTAACCTTAACTCATCGGACTTTCCTAATAAGAATGTTATAGTTTATAAGTACCTACCTACTGTCTTTTATAATAAATAATTAAAGCAATACTTACGCACGCATCTCGGAGGCGGGGGATCCCACGCAGATCGGACGCAAGTGCTGTGTTTCTCCCCCGCTAATAAGTAACCTCTGTTACAAAAATACTTTACTACCCTCGATCTGGGGGTTCTTCGTTTAGCCACTCCATTTTTTAATTTTATAACAGGACAAACGTTCTTGTGTTTGATATTGATAATAGATGCGGCGGTATCGGAGCCAAATTCACTAAATAAACTTAGATAACAACAAATTACAACTAAACAACGTTTCATTTTGATCGGTCGAAATGGAACCTTCGATGTGAGGCTGGCCACTGGCATGGACCTTGTTTACCAACTGTGAAGTATACAGGAATTTCTGTCGATATCTAGCGGATGTTCCAGGCCTGATAAAAGCGGAAAGAGAAAATTTTATCTTCGAAAATATGCATACGAATAATGGTCGATGGAGAGTGTTCTGCGAAAATTAGACGTCGATGTTTCCACTAATTTTTTGATAAGTACAAAGGTCTTGATTGTTGTTAGAATATTCGTTGTTACCTACCCACTACATACGTGGGGAAATATTGAGCTGATTACCATTAGATGTCGGTTACTGTTTACAAATCATTGGAATTTTATATATTGCGTATTTTCCTTGTCGAATTGGTTTTATTGCGAAATGAAAAAATGCAATTATAAAGCTTCTAGGAATCTTTTCGCAATTTTTTCAATGATGGATAGTTAGTATATATACATTTTCTTGGCTTTTAAAGACCCTTTAAACAAAACGGCTTTAACGAGAAAATATTAATCTCACTGGTACCTAATTTTTCAAACAAAGCAAATGTGTAAGTTATCGCCGTTGAGTTTTTAAAGATTCTGTTCGATTAGATAAGCATCTGAAATAATACATAAAGCAGGAAATAAATACGATTACAAAATTAATGCAATGTGTAATGGGTTTTTACCAAAATATTTAGATTTCACCTACTCTTAATTTTTAACAATTCTTTTTGTTTCTATCTTAATTATATTAAAAATTGTTCTAAATCATTGACCATTAGAACCGCTTAATTTTTACCAAAATAATAAATTATTTTTAAACTGTATTTTCTTTGTAATAAAAAAATCAATCATTATACTGACAACAAAACGTGAGGAATAAAACTGATTTTAATTTTTTAATCAGCTGTTTAAAGTATTGCATACTATTCAGTAAATATCGAAAATTGTCACAGAACACACAAAACTTTTGCTTCTTGCTGATATGTTCTGTGGACCATTTTTGTTTCCGGCCTCTTGTGACAAAAACATTCATACAACATTTCCGATCTGTCAATTTCTTTAATAGATACTTGCCAATTTTTACTTCAATTCATAGATGGCGCGAACGAGCAAAATGTAGGTTATAAAATTTCTATTTATAACTTCTTAGGTTTTCTTTTCTTGTTATGTTTATATTATCGCCGTCTTCAAATCTGATGTGCGTGCAAAGTTGAATGTTCTCGACTGTAATTTAATTTGTGGTTGTTTTTGTTGTGTAACCTAGTGCATAGTTATTTTTTAATATTATAATTTATTCAAAAAAATCGTGAAAATGCCAGTATTTCATACGAAAACCATCGAATCTATTTTGGATCCCGTTGCACAACAGGTAAAGTACCTGTTCAAAATACATATTTTTGCCAAGAAACCGATTGTTTCGTATTTTTAGCTTAATTGCTCAAAAGAGATACTCTAGATCTAGATAATGTTATTGTCGCACTTATTTTTCGATATTGGCCCATAATTTAATTAGTAAATAATTTTTAGTTTTTTCATTTATCATTTATCTACTACTTTATAACCCATATCGTTTCCAGATAACGATTTCCCAAAGAAAATGAGTCATTTCCTTTCGTTTTCTATCTATAAATTCAGCGAAAAGTAGGCGTTGCCCCGCTCTAAGTGGCTTTGCTTATTCAGTTATCTATTAACTCAATTAATTTTGAGGGTTTCCATGGCTGCAAACTGAAATTGATGAATTTTATTTCAAATTAGATTATGTCATTAAAAATGATAACATTCCATAAAAAAGGCGCGATATTAGATAAAAATCAGCTGTTTGTATATCACGTTTTCACCTATCCTTATATGGACGGGTTACCATTATTGGGTTGTTTGCAATAAATTCTTTATAGTGTATGGTCAATTACATACCGAAACCCACCTTATGGTAATTCGTTCTGTATATAGAAACCTACGTAATTTATTTGTAGTAGAGCGTCTAAAAATATCGAAATTTCACCAGCAATAAACTGGAATTATTGTCCTGTTATTGCTTTTTGATTGAAGCCATTCCAATCGATTATTAATACATATTTAACAACAAATGTTTCTAAATAGACTTTAATCTTAGACCTGTTATTTCTATTAAATCCATTTCTGGAAATAATTACTGTTGATTAATTAAATTTACAGATAATATACAGGGTGTTCAATTACAAGTCTTAATCTACTCCCAAACATAAGCTTAACCTACTCTCGCAGTCTTAAACTACTCTGAATCTACTCTACTCTCAAACTACCCTGTATCTTTTTGTAAACTACTCTGAAGTTACTCTGAATCTACTCTTAAGCACTCTACTCATAAACTGCTCTGAACTTAAACTACTCTGAATCGACTTTTAAAATACTCTGAGTCTACTCTACTCTCAAGCTACCCTGAATCTACTCTTAAACTACGCTGAAGTTATTCTGAACCTACTTTTAAACTAGGTACTCTGAATCTTCTCTTAAATTACTTTCCTCTGAATCTATTCTATCGAGTCTATTCTCAATATATTCTATTAGTACGTACATTAATTTACCAAAGAAAAAAAAAATTGCCAAGACGATTCAAAGAGGCAATCGGAAAGAGCCTTTGCCCAGTTGACCTGCCATATTATAAATTAATTATTGATCCTTTTGCCCAGTAGACCCACTATAGTAAAACCAATATACCGAGTGTTGAAAAATGTTTGCGAATTTCTAGTAAAGTTTTGCGCAAAAAACGTTCTATACTATTTTTCCTGTAATCAATAGTTCTTTAGTAAATGCGCTTTTATCGATTCTCTTGCGTTTAATTTTATTGTCAGGGATGAAATCATCGGCAATGCGGTTGCAGCAAAAGAGACACTGGCCAATAAAACTGTCCCGCACTTCCATAAGGTTATGCTAATAAAGCGGATTTTCTGGGTCATTTTATATACAGGGTTATTTTTTCTATTTTCCCAAGAGTATTTCTCATATAACCGTTTATTTGTAGTCGCTTTTGATGTTCTATTTTAAACATGAATTCAGCAATTAATACTAATAAGCTTAGCAGGATGTGAAAGATGTTACAATTCTACGCATTTTGAACTATTTTAACGTTTATTTGCAGGTTTCTAAATTAGTAATTCTTCATGAAGAAGCCGAGGATGGTATTCCTATGCCCGACCTTCAACAACCAGTCAGGTCGGTCAGTAATGCCGTCTCCAATTTGGTCAAGGTAATTTGTATTTTAATTTTTTACAATGCATAATTTATCTAATTCCAATATTAATTTTTAAACGATTCTGTAAAAAAAATCGCAACTTAACAGAACAGGATATTTAGCAATTTTATTCCGAATAAACAACCTGTATTTACGAGAACCAGAGTTGCAGCAATACTTGAACTTTAGCCAGCAAATGAGTGTTTAAAAATGTAACCTTCATTGTTATGCTTAAGCTCGTTCAATGATCTGCGAAAATATTTAATAAACACAATCATTAAATTCGCTAAATCGTCTATAAAACTTAATAAACGATATTAATAAGTAATCGATCGCAATAGTACATTTCAAATAAATCATGCGGGTTTTCACGCCTACCTAATTTTAATTTTAGTAGCCATACAGGGTGAGTCACAAACCCAACAAATTGCAAGATTCTGGAAATATTTGAAAAATTCATAAAGTTTAGTTGCTTATAATTTGGAGCTGCTGGATACATTTTTAAATATGTGCCAACTATTCGGGTACAACTTTGAATCAATTGGATCTTTCAGTATTTAATTTATTACTCTACGACGTTAACAAATGGGGTGTAATAGTGTATTTTAATATCTTAAAAGCCATCTTTTTTTGAAAATTTTGGAGTATTTTTAATATATTTTACACACTTTCATTTATTGTCTACCATCATTTGCCGTAATTACAACTCTTTTCAGGTCGGTAGGGAAACTATCAACAGCTCCGACGATCCGATTTTGCGCCAGGACATGCCAGCTGCCCTGGTCAGGGTGGAGAGATCCTCCAAGTTGCTGGAAGAAGCCAGCGACATGCTTAAACACGACCCGTTTTCCTCTCCAGCGCGAAAACGACTAATCGAAGGCAGCGGTGGAATTCTCCAGGTACTTCCCACGTCTAAAATCTCCCTCTTCATCATATAAAACTCGCGCAAATCCCCCAACTAATCGAGTTCCCCCGTTCCTCAGGCTACATCGGCCCTGCTGTTGTGCTTCGACGAGTCCGAAGTCCGGAAAATCATCAAAGAATGCCACAGGGTCCTGGATTACCTGGCCGTAGCCGAAGTGATCGAAACCCTGGACGAACTGGTCCAATTCCTGCGAGACCTCAGCCCGTGCCTTAGCAAAGTTTCCAGGGAGGTCAGCGCCAGAGAAAAGGAACTAACACACCAGGTATATTTCATTCGCGCCTATCACCTTGTAGATTAAAATTGAATCGTTTTTACCTCCTTACCGGTTTTTATCCTGATATCCACTCTTTCCTTTTCGCTATCGCCGCACAGCGAACGTGCTTTCTACATTCCAGCGAAGTTTAAAGCAAGTTAAAATCCACCGAAATGAACGGAAAATACCAATGCTGCAAGGAGGATTATCCGGACTACGTGTGCATCAGATGCCACAACGTCTACCACCCGTGTTGCGTGGACGGTGCGAACGTGCTGAAGCTGGACGGCTTCCAAATATACTGCTCGCTGGAGTGCGAAAGCCGGGACGTGGAGGACAACGTCCGCAACGCCGATCTGGAGGCCGTCATCGTCAAGCTGCGCAAGGAGCTGGCCGAGCGCAGCAACTACCTGAAGAGGCTGAGCAAGACGTTCCTGCAGTTCGAGGACGACGTCATGTACAAGGAGAACGAGTACGAGACGACGCTGCTGCAGCAGCAGGAGAAGATCAAGGGCTTGACCAAGGAGATAGCGGAGCTGAAGAGGCAGAAGGAGCAGTCGAACGAGAAGAGCAACGAGCACGCGCGTTACGTGCAAAAATTGGAGAAGGACTTCGTCGAGCTGAGCGACATGTACAAGCAGATGGTGTCGACTATAAGGATGTTGGAGTGCGATAATATGAATTATCAGAAGCTCGTGCAGGATTTCAAGACGAAAAGCGAAGCGGAAGAGGCGGTGGAACTGGTCGAAAGCGCGCCGGTTGCTTCGAAAGTGGAAGAAACTTCGAAAGATAGCAGTAAAGCAAAGGAAACTTCGGATGATGTGAATAAAGTTGCTTCACCTACGAACGATTTTAATGGAAATACATTGTTCCTTTTGGGCTACACCTGCGCTGTTAACCTGTATAAAATGCTCACTAGGGAAGTATCCGGCGACAAACAATCTTCAGTTAAATTCGAAAACGTACCGGAAACTATTAATAATTTGGTGAAGTCGATTGCTGAATTCCACAATTTAGGAAAATTTACTTTTTACATGTTCAAAGGCATATTCTCCACGTTGATCCCCTCCGGAGGGTTCCTCCAATATAAACCGCTTTTAGTAAGAGCTACAATCATTACACTCTCACTATAACATATATTTTTACTCGCTCTTCATCGCATTCCGTTTCCAGGTACACTCGGAAATCCTCGTGAGATGTTTGGAGCAGGTGAAGACGTTGGCGCCGATACTGATCTGCTCCATGAAAATCTACATCCACATCGTCTCGCAAGGCGGCAAGGGCGCCGAAGAAGCGGCCGAAAACCGCAACTACCTGGCCCAACGGATGACCGACGAAATCAACGAAATCATCAGAGTCCTGCAGCTGACCAGCTACGACGAGGAGCAGTCCGAACTCGACAATCTCACCGTGCTGAAGAAACTCCAAAACGCCATCTCCAACAAGATCAACGCCGCCAACGACTGGCTCTTCGTAAGTTCCCCCCGTCCTCTCTGAACCCTTTTTAATTACCTCTTCGCATTCCTCAGGACCCGAACGCGGTGCGAGGCGGCGTGGGCGAGAAGTCCCTTCGTCAGATCATCGAGGCCGCCCAAAAGGTGGCCGATAGGTACTGTTATGCTACAATTCACATTGACTGTTAAGCTCTCGTTTACTGTACTCAGGTGCCTTCCGAACGACGCGCACGTGATCAACAAGCTCTGCTCCGATCTGACCACCATGACGGACGCTCTCTGCGAGCTCAGGCAAGACGGCAAAGGGGCCACTCCACAGGCGGAGTCCCTGGCCAGGGGCATCAGGGAGAAGCTCGGCAACTTGCAGCAGGCCGTAATGAACGCCGTAGTAGCTGTAGATAAGACTGGTTTGCAGCAAACTGCCCACACCGTACAAGGAAGGTAAGTCGATACACTGTAACTTCTTCTTGACTTCACCTTATCTGCAGCATCTCTAAAGAGTTGAAGAGATGATTTCTAGAACCAGGTTTTGAGGTTCTTCAACCGGAACGTTCTTCTTCTTCCTGTATCTTTCAATATCTCTCGATTCATCTTCATTCTTCTGAAAACACTGCAACTACTTTGCAACTACTTTTGTTTAATCTCTCGTTTTAGGTTGGAGCAAGCTCGAAAGTGGCTGTCGAACCCCGGCCACGACGACAAGGGCCTCGGCAAGAGGGCCATCAACGCCATCGTGGAGGAGGGTCGAAGGGTGGCCGACGGGCTGCCGGGCGTCCAGAAGGCCGAGATCCTGCAGCTCTGCGACGAGGTCGACGGGTTGTCGCGCCAACTGGCCGATCTGTGCGCCCAGGGCTTGGGCAATTCGCCGCAGGCGCAGGAGGTGGCGCGCAAGCTGTCGCAGAAGCTGCACGAGCTGAAGGAGAAGATCAACCAGGCCGTGGTGAACAGGGTCGTGGAGGATTTCATCGATATTTTGACGCCGCTGAAGGTCTTCACCGAGGCCGTGCTGGCGCCCGAAGGGACGCCCAACAGGGATTTGAATTTCTCCGACAAGGCGGCCAATCTGCAGCAGTTCTCCAACAGGGCTGTGAAGACGGCTAAAATGGTAGCAGCGGGTAAAAGAGGAGTCTGTTAACGAATAATGTATGTTATTAAATGCGCTTTATTGGATAGGTGGAAGTTCGGGTAACAAAAAGCTGGCCGAGGCTCTTCAAAGCGCCGCTAACCAAGTGGAAAGCTTGACTCCGCAGTTAATATCGGCCGGAAGCATCCGTATGAATTATCCGACTTCCAAAGCCGCCGATGAGCATTTCGAAAATTTGAGACAACAGTACGCCGATACGTTGACTAGAGTGCGCAACCTCTGCGACGAGGCCACCGACTCTGCCGATTTCATCAAAGCTTCCGGTACAAAATACAATTAGCTCTCGCCTGGTCTGTTGTAACTAACGATTCCTCTTCTTTTTATCGCAGAGGAGCAAATGAGGAAGCACACTTTCCTCTGCGAAGAGGGCATAAAGAACAGACAGCCGCAAAAAATGGTGGATAACACTTCGGCGATCGCCAGATTGGCCAATCGGGTGTTGTTGGTGGCTAAGCAAGAGTGCGAGAATTCTGAGGATCCTTCGTTCATCAACAACTTAGATAGAGCCTCGGATGTACTTCAAAACTGTAATAATTGCATTACATGAATTTCGGAAGTATTTTAATCGTTTATGTGGTTTCCAGCCATCCCTCCGATGGTGCAAGACGCGAAACTTGTGGCTATTAATCCAGCAGATTCCCATGCAGCGTCTAAATGGAGGGATTCTAACAAAGCTGTAAGTTTTTTAACAGCGCAGTTCACTAAAATATCTGCTGATATTTATTTTAAAGCTTCTAAACGCCGTCGGAAACGTTCGTCAAGCCGTTCAAGTGAATCCGGAATTGCCGCCATTGCCGGACATTAACTCGTTGAATTTGGGTAAGTTCCCCGCTGAATTAACCAGTTTTACTCACTATTTATTATTAACGCTCCAGTGTAATAATTCAGTAACAGTTCTTAACAAACCAACTCGATTTAATAACATCGACTTATCTTTTTCAGAAACGGCGCCCAGCCATTACTTTATTGACAAAGGTACATTTCGGGGCTTCAAAAACCCTTTTAATCCAAGCCGGGCATTGTAACAATTTTTCGCAATCGTCTACGAGGCGATTTTGTAAATGTATTAATGGACATGTGTAAATTGTCGATGGAAAAATCTACAGTGTGTCCCTGAAAAATCTTTATTAAGTTTTTCCTCTCAGGGATACACCGTATAACTTATTCTGTTATACGGTGTATATCTGTTATATATCTGTTATAACTTATTCTCAGGGATACACCGTATAAGAAGAATGTTTTTAGAATTAATTGGAACATCATTAGAACCATCTACAATTTACGTTGACTTGTAAAAATTACCCCGCTGTAAATTAGCGCTTCGTAGTTCATTTACAATGCCCGAGTACCAATGCTCTAGTAAATCTCACGAAATTCGTGCGTAACCGACACTTTCCGCTACAAGTAGTTCTAACGCCTCTTTGTAACCGCTAAATTTGTAGTAGGCGAACCGCTGCGAAACACACCGACACCTAGTAGGGAGCTAGAAGGGCTGAGTCCCGCGGGTCATCAGCACGGGGGCCGCGTCAGCCCCTTGCCGAAATGGGCCAGAGGTACTATGAATGTCCGTTCTGTCTTGTTTTTGTTTTGTAGCTTTATCCCTTCAATCTCTTTCCGGTTTCTTGAGTTCTACTGTCTCTCAATTTTTACCTACTCCGAAACGAATTTGTCGCCAAAAAAATACTACTGACTAACTACATAGAAGCGTGCAGTTGGTAGAAATTGAGAGCGTTTCTTTCCTCACTTTCGGTTGACGTTGAGACCTAATTTATTACCGATTGTCGTCTTCTAGGCGACAATTCTGATTTGCTCTGCCAGGAACTGGCCTCGCACTGTCAGGACGCAGGTAAATTTGATCGAATTGTCTTTAGTTGTTTCGAAGTCGCACGCTTACCGGGAATGAGCTTTCCGCTGTTTAGCTATCGGTGGTGGCGAACGCGTGTAAACTCGTTGAAAATTATTTCCAAATGCCTGTACGTTGGAGCGGTATCATTTCTTAGCATGATTAGGTAATTGGTAAAAGGGTACAATCTCCGGTTATTTAGGGAATGCGCTTCTTTACTCGAATGCTTACTGTGCTTTGCTAGATACATGTTGCAAATTTGTCGTTTAGCCTACTTAATACATTTTTTCTTTTAAAAATTTGCATCCAGGACGCAGCCAGTTCATACCTGAATACATTATCGAAGACGGTAAATCATTATTCGTTTGGTGTAGTCTCGCTTTGTCTTCATCATTACTTGTAATACCTCTTTGAATTTCAAGGAAGGAACTCTCACGACGCACGTAACGCGTATTTCTAATCGATTTCTGTTTAGAACAAGCGCCGCCCCGTCCGCCGCTGCCTTACGACGGCGCCCCCGTCAGGCCGCCGCCTCCGCCGGAAACCGACGACGAGGACGAGGTGTTCAAGACGGCGCCGCTGCCCAGCCAGCCTATTATGGTAAAGACTTTTATATTTCGAAATTCCCGTTTCTAAACAATTCGTTCGTTTATCGCGCAGGTGGCGGCCCACAATTTGCACCGGGAAGTCAGACAGTGGTCCGCCAAAGACAACGAACTCATCGCGGCCGCCCAACGAATGGCCAAACTGATGGCCAGATTGTCCGAGCTCGTGCACAACGACGACAAAGGTGGGTTTTATGCTTGCGACGAATGCATTGCTGATCTTCTAGATGCCGTCCTGTTCTTGTAGGTTCGAAGAGGGAACTCATAGCTACGGCTAAAGCCATCGCTGATGCCAGCGCCGACGTGACCCGCATAGCGAAGCAACTGGCCAGAGAATGCACCGACAAGAGGATCAGAACCAATTTGTTGCAAGTGTGCGAGAGGATTCCCACCATTGCTACGCAACTGAAGATTCTCAGCACGGTGAAGGCGACTATGCTGGGATCTCAAGGTACGTTAGAGCTTCATTAGTAAAGTATTTTCGCACTTTGTGGTAAGATAAACAGTCGCTAATAGCACTAATCACGTTTTCATTGCTGTACATTGCTTTTACCACTGAAAAGTGAAAGGAAAAATCAAGAAAGGTGAGCGGAGATTAACCCTAAATAACATAGATTGGTATTTTTATTTCTACTAAATTTATATTTGGGATAATCCAGGTTCGGAGGAAGACAGAGAGGCGACGGAGATGCTGGAAGGCAACGCCCAGAATCTTATGCAGAGCGTTAAGGAAACCGTCAGGGCGGCCGAGAGCGCGAGCGTGAAGATCCACGCTCAAACTCACGGAAGATTGAGATGGGTGCGAAAGCAGCCCTGGTACGCGTACGCTTAGAGCGCGCGGAGAGTTGTATTTGTGTTCAAATATTTATTTATGATGTAATCCGGGCGTTTCAACGTTTTCGAGCGAAACGTTGCTTCGATAGGTTTATTGAAATCGTTACTTAGAAAGTTGACTATGAAGAATATTAATCTTTTTATTTGTGTTTAGTTTTTATTAATGTTTTTAACGAGGTTTTGCTTGATCGGTAATGCGTTTCGCGTATTTGAGTCAATTACAGTCGAGCTTAATGTAATGTGATGATATCGAAAAAGGTGCCCTGTAGTTAATGTAATTGTCAATTGTTGACTGAAACGAATTCACAACGTGGTCTTAAAATCGCCTTAATATTTTCGAAAGTATATATCGTAACGTTATTCCATAAATAATCGTGCTTTAGGTAAATTACCGCTAGTGCCAAAAAAATGCCTAAACTTAAGACTATTGCTTCGGCATTATTGATCAAGCATAATATTTAGCTGACACGCAGACAATCCCATTTTATAGTTGAATGTTTAAAGAATTTAACGAATTCGTCCACCACGTAATTATAAATTAAAATAACTAAAAAATATTTAACTGTGGTTGACAAAATATAAGCATGATACCAGTAATAAATAACACACAGTGATGTAGAATTGCCTTGCCAACAAAGTAATTTTTATATGCTTAAATTTTAAAAATAGTCGTAGTATTATATGAACGTGCAATAGTGCCAAATTGTTTTATTCGCCATTTTTTCCTATAATAAGCAATAACTTGTGGCTGAATACTGTTGAAAGCTGTTAGATATTTATATTTTCCTATTATACACGTTTGCATTAGTACTCATTAATTTTTTAACTAGTTTTATATTATAATGGAGTGAAATTTTATGTAACTAAATAAGTAATAAAGTATACAAGATACTATTAAATAGCATTTTTTTATTACGTAAAAAACAGAAAAGAAAAGTAACCCCCTATTACTATAGCAACAAAAAATAAGAATCGACTTAGTTTTCTGTGGTTTTATATTAGTTCAACATATGCATTAAAAAATCGAGGGCATGATGATTATTTAAATAATTATTGGTACCTATTACAAAGTTAATATTTCACTGGCTTTTTCCTCTAATAATTGCTCCATCGTATTAACATGTTTGCACCAATCATTGAGTCTTGTTACCATACTAGAGATCTGAGTGCGATCTAAAACTCTCGGTTGTACCCATGTCATGTTTACCGTACTGGCAACCTAAAAACATTCATACATGAAAAGATATTAGAAACGCTATTTTGATAATATACCTGATCAATTCGCCCTTTAACTAATCCTTGTGAAAGCGCCTTCATTACCAGCAGTTCAATTTCGTTTAGAGGTAACCTCGTTTCTTTTGAAATTTCCGCAAATGTTAATTGTCTGTTGTGGGACGGTCTATTAAATGTCATCTAAAACAAGTGATATATTATTAAACTATGAAATAAAGTGTATACGATGAAAAAATTCACCTCCATCAAACATAGTAAGGATATCTTCTGTCTTAAGAATAGTTCCTCGGTGGCCAAATCGGCTATAGAAGACCACTGAGTTTTCATGGCTTCAAACTTCCTAATGTTCCCCGAATTGAAGGCGTACAAGAGCTCGATGAGCCAAGCATTTTCGGTTGCTTTAAGAGACTCTAATACAGGATGGGCCAGAAGCTCTCCGAGATTGTAAACCCCTTCGCCCAGCAAAGCTGCTAAACCCAAGAAAAATGCATGCTGCACTTTCACCTCGGTCTTCAAGGATTCCACATCTATGCAGCCCAAATACCTCAAAGCAGTGCGATAATATTGAGCATGGTCTCCTTGAATTCTATAATAAACATCAACATCAAGGGTATGTACAAGCGATATAAAGGATTGTTTACAAACCTGTAGTATTGAGAGGCGAGTAGATAAAATCTCCCGTGCACTGGAGTAACACCGTCGGCATTATCGAAAGTCGCTTCGACCTCCTCGATGATCTTTTTGGTGGTGTCTAAATCGTTTAACTTATCAAGGTAGATCTGTCCTTCGAGGACTTTGCACAAATTCTGGGCGTCCGGGTTGATTTTTACTTTGGGTTCAGTCTTTTCTAGGAAAGCGATCGCTTCTTTCGGTTCCTTGTACTGTTCGACGACAATAGCCACTATTTCGACCAAAGACAAAGGATTAATTCTGAAAGTGTAAATAGCTTAGCGGTGGTTGAGGTTAGGAAATTATCGATGACTTACTTATTTTCAAACGTTTGAATAAAATTGTGATACAGCTGAATTAGGTTGTCCGCTTTCTGTAGTTCCGGTTTCTTTATAAACACTAGTAATTTGAGGGTTAATTGATGCCATAGTCTGGAAAAAAACAGTGTTTCCTATACGTTTTCTTAAAATGGAATGCGAGTGGAAAAATCGGACGCTTACTTTTTATTATGGAGCTCCTCAAGTTCTGCCCACTCAGAGCCCAATTCCTTCGGACTTTCCTTTTGTTGTTTAGCAAGATAATCACTAACATTAGACGGTTGCACCGCAGCTGCAGCCATTTTCTGTGATGACAAGACAAAAATTTCTTATTTTCGCAAGACGAAGAGGATAATCAGTGTTGTTTCTATTTTTTTAGGGACTTTTAAATTATCCCTATATGTCAAAATATGCACTTTTTCTTTTGCGCGTGCAGCCAAAATTCTTCTTTTCTTATTTTTCAGCACAGAACATATTATTCGTTTGACTTAGTGTTCTGTGATCGTTATCAAAAATAGCGTCATCTATGTGGGAAATGTAGGAATTACGATATCGAAATTATGAAAGAGAGTAGTTCGAAAACCCCCGTTTCTGATGATGTCATCATGTTATTTTTAGAACTTTTTTTTATTTTTTTATAGATTACAGATGATGTCATCTCTGCATAAAATGTAGACAAAATTATGATACATGACATCACAGATATATTTGAGTTATTTATAAGACTTGTGAAATTCCTCCATGTCTCCGCATGGTATAAATAGAAGAACTAGTTTCCTGAGGTAAAATGAGGTAAACAGTCCTTACAATTATTATCATCGCGTTATAGAGAAGAAAAAATAAAGGATAGTCAAGAAAATATATTTTATTTCATTACCGACAGATAAGACATAAAATTTTAAGAGGTACATAAACTTAAACTATGCATTTTTTCAGAACTATATACTAAAATCTAAGTTACCAATTTCAGCGTTCTGTTGTAAGGCACAACAAAAAACCAGTTGTCATCAAATATATTTATTGAATACATACAAAATAAGAAGCATTTACTTAAACCTATACCAAAGTTTTTTTTAAATAAAGTAAGTTATGTACCTTGTACCAAATGAATAAATCGATTTAATTTAAAAGAAATCGAAAAATTTAAGCTAGAAGTACTGTTTTTGTATTTACAATATACTTTAAGATCTAGGTCAATTATTTTATAGATTACCTAAAAGTTCACAAAATTTAATTACGAGAACATTTAAATATCTTCAAAAATGTTATATTGACCTAAATCGTATCTCTAAATTAAAAAAATCTATTCAAAAATATACCGTTCTATTCAGTCGTTACCAAAGGTTCATAACTAATATATAATAAAAAAATTGAAAAACAGACTCGCACTAAGAACAAAAATAAAAAAACTCGTTCAATTTCAACTTTTAGCACCCACCCAACAGCATGTCATTATACTGTTTCATTAACTCTTAATACTTTACAAAGGTTAAAACAAATTTATAAACTTAAAGACATCAAAACACATTGAATGACTGCTAAATATAGAAAAAAAAGCTCACCCCGTCGTGTAAATAAATGCACACTGCTTTGTTTGTAAATGAAAAACAAACGTATCCAATTAGAAATTATAAAATTAATATACTTAATTGTTTTGCGACAATCTACAAATCGTTTATCAACCATTAAAATTGAATTTAGACAAAATAAATAAGAATTTTAAGTGAGTTTTTGTTATTAACAGAATTAAGTTTGTGTGTGTACTTTCTGCACAAGAAAGCTGCTTCAAAAATTATAAAAAAAATTTCTTGTGTAAAAAAATATATTCATATGAAGCGACCAAAGAAACGCATCTCAATTCTGTAGTTTATCTAACCTTAAACCTTACAAAATAAATTCATATTCGAAACAAACCTGATGATACAGTTCACATCAGTCCGCACTTTTCACCTTGCAAGTCCCCCTGTTGGTGGTAAAGTTCTTCATCCCCCAACTCCCTGTGTCTTAAATGCGACGTTGAAATCTGCCTTTTCACCCTATGAAAAGAAAATATTATTAAAAAAACTCGAAAAAGAAGCAACAATGCCTTACCTTTCAGATGACGCTACTTCTTCTCCATTGTTGTTCAATACTACCGTAATCATGTTGTCTCCGGTAACCCATTTTTGACCTTTCATAACCAGGTTGCTAGGAGGTTCGTGATCTTTATTTAAATCCGAACTCCAAATGGTTACTGTACCATTTCCCTCTACTTTAACAGTTCTAAAAAACAACACAAAATTGATTAGAAATATTGAAAACAACTACTTTCTAAACATGTAAAACAACAAACCTGTGGAATTTGTAGAAAGTCTCCTCATCGCCCGCCCGCCTGATGACTTGCCATCCGCTGAGCGGCACCTCTTGGTTACTCTTGTTGTGCAATCTCACAAACTGACCCTCCGGATCGACTGCGGCCACTTCGATGTCCCCTTTCGAAGAACTGTTCACGCTGTAATCCGACATGCTCGACTCCTGCGTCTCCTCGAGCAGGGCCCGTTTCCTCTTCGCTCCCACCCTCACCGGCGTCCGACGTTGGGAGGAACTCCTCTGGTGCACCTCGTGCTCAACGCCTAATTCACACAAGCGCGATATTATTGCAATGTTAAATAGAATGTAATAGCTATGCCAAAACTTGAATTTGTTCAATTTTACAGGAGAGCTATTTTCAGCTTGAAATTACTGTTAACATACTGGTAGTAGTTCTTTAATGCTTGTTAAACTTTTACTGTTTTTTGACAAAAAATATCAGTCATTGCTTTTTTTCACAGACATAAAATGTACTTTACCTGTTGGTGTGATGTTCAATCGAGCCTCTTCAGCTTCGAGAAGTTTCCGGTAGGCGGCGATTTCCAAATCGAGCGATACTTTGATATCCATCAGGTCTTGGTATTCCTGTAGTTGCGTGGCCATTTCCTCTCGCATCCTGTGCAATTCCCTCTCGACCATCGCCAGATCTTCGGCATGACGAATGCGCTCGTTCTAAATACGAAACGAATCGATTAAACGCTACAGCGAATCGTCTAAAAGAAAACCGATCGATTACCTCGAGCAACTTCTCCAAATCCCTAGTCCTAGCCGACAGGCCGTTGTTCTGGTTCTCCAGGTCCTGGATGCGCGACGTGAAGGTGTCGATCCTCGTCCGGACCTGTCTCAGCTCGTCGAGAGCGCCGGAGGCGGTCGATTGGTGCCTGTCGGCGGCCGCCTGCAGGTTTTTGATTTTCTGCTCGTACAACAGCTCGATCTCCTGTCGATTGTTGGCCATCTGCGATTCGTACTGGTCGCGCAGGTCCTGGAGCGCCTCCTGCAGCTTGGCCTCGTACTTCTGCGCCAGGCGGCCGTCGATTTCGCTGATCTCGACCTGCCGGCGCGTACGGGTCTCGGTGAGCTCTTGCTGGTGAATCTGGAAAACGAAACCGTTCGCATTAAGTACCGAATATTACACTATGTTAAGGTGTAACATACACTGTGCTTCATTCCAGATCGCAACATAGGTTATATAGGCTATAGGTGCGATAAAGACAACTTCCATGAGACACTTACAAAGGAGAAGGAAATAGTGACATTTGTGTCATTGCAACTTTTCACTCTGACAACTGTCATTTTAATAATCTTTCTTCGTTCCACTCATAGAAATGACCATGTTGCAATCGGAAATGGAGCAAGGTGTATGTCTTCATCATAATTTTTTGTAACCAGAATCGATATTAAAATTAGCTTCGAATTATGGGGGAAATATTCAAAAACATTATGATGTCATAGGAAAATAAATTGTACTAAAACGATTATATTAAAAATATACCGCTAGAAAATGATTTCAATATTCGATTATTTTTATAATCCTGAAGGTTTACGCGTTAAGTTATTCCGCGGATAAAATTTATTGTCGTCGTGTTGGTAATATGCAAAAAAAATCTATAGATGAGGAAATGGGTTAGCGGGTCAAGCTCGAATTATAACTTTATTGCCAATGTCTTGGCTAGGCATTTGCAACAGAATTTATGTAAAAAAGTGTTTGTAAAATTGATCTTCGGGTCGATATTACTAGCATATTACATGAGCAAATCACAGAAATATATAAAAATAAAATAAAGCGAGAATGTAAGGATTATTTTTAATTCGTGCCTACAGGAATTACAATTTCTTGTTTACTCTTAGGGGGTGACGTGTTTATGTTTGAACTGTTAGTTCCCTTACAAACTCATAAACTTACATGTTTACTTTAACGATTTTCAATGTAGTAATGGATGAATCTTGGAAAATGGTTAAATTTGGAAGTTATGAATAACTCCGGAAATAAATCGAATATTATAACTATAGAGAAACTTTAGTTATAGATAAAATATACTTTAATATTACTGGCTTTGGGTTGGATGTTAATGATAATCCTTTCTTAATTTATTCATTCATGGAAGAAATTTCATAATTCTGGCATTGTTAATAAGAATAAAGATGTATTCAGGTATCTAAGCTGGGTAGGATATGATTTAATGAAACGCCTATTAAACTGCAATTACAGTAAATCCTTTGACCAAATTGATTCATAGAAAGGATACAATAAGAGAACAAATTATAAATTTCGATATACACCAAAATTTACCACAATTTTGATGAAAGTTTTGTCACATTTAAAAATAAAAATTCGCTCTGTGTGTGTACACAAATTTCCATTAATAAAAAATCAGTTTACCTTGAATTTAAATGAATGATGCCCATATCTGCGGTACAATAACTTCACCGCCAGATACTATTGATATACAGGTCGTCTTAACTAAAATTTCCTTATCTCAGAAATAAAAACGGCAAACATTGCATGTACTTATCTCTCTATAATAAGTAAATTACACCATTATTTCTGATTCTACATTTTATGACGTCACAGCTATTTCTCTAGAATTTTAATTCTAAATATTTTATGGGATGTGCTAATACGAAATTTACATTTCTATCTGTAAAATTACACAGGGTCATTCAAAATTGAATTATCAACAAACACCTCCGAAACTTAACTATTATTTCCGTAATTTTGTGATATATGATCATGTTTCATTAATCTTCATCGCGCCCCATACTTACCTGACATCGAGATATGAAATGAGTAAATAACAACTTCGATTAAACGTTTATGTGAAAATGATAACAAAAATAAATAGCTGATGACACAATAAGAAATTGAACAGCTAGAAGGGGCTATAAAAATCTATTTACATGAAGTAGAACTTATTAGAATGTGTTAAAATGTAATACCCAAGAATAATTACTTAGTATAATCGAAGTTTTACCTTCTAACTTAGAATTGTATTCGATCTACGGTAGAAGAAATATGTAAACAAATATACCTGATCTTTGAAGGTTAGCTCTTCCCTAAGACTCTGATTGTGATTCTCGACCTCTACTCTGGCCAGGGATTCCTCTTCCAGTTGTTTACGAGCAGCATCGAGGAGCTTCTTGAGCTTGTCCCTTTCCTTCTCCAACTCCTTAGCGTCGGCGATGGCCTTCTTTGCATCGGCGGCAGCTTGGTTGGATTTGAGCTGGTACTCGTTACACCGGGCTTCGTATATCCTGGCATGGTTCTCGGCGACAACTAAGTCCTTGCTCTTCTTGGCCAGCTCGGCTTTGAGCTCCTCGTTCTCTTCTATGAGGCGTTTCACGTCGATTTCCAGGCGGGCTTTCTCGCGATGCGTGTCGTCCAGCAGTTTTCTAGCGTCCGATAGTTCGTGATCGTACATAGACTTGATGTTGGTCACTTCGCGTGTAACAGTTTCCTGGGTCGTCTGGATTTCTCTGGATAGTTTGTTGTTTTCCGCTTCCAGGAATCTCACTTTGTCTATGTAACCGGCCAGGCGGTCGTTCAGACCTTGGAGTTCCGCTTTCTCCTGCAACCTGGAATGCCTCGTCGGGCTGAGCGGGCTAGCCGGCCGCTGCTGGGCCGACGGCGTCGAGCTTTTTTTCGAGCGCGAAGCCATTTTTGAGAAACTTCCTTCGATGCTTAGCACAACACAAACACTCAGCTAAAAACCTCTCGAATAGTACAACGCGACACGCCGAGTTCGAAATCGGTCGAGGTCTCCACTCGAGGTAACCAAACTATTTTTGGAGATGATATAGGGGAGCGGCGTTTAACGGTTTTCGAGCTTACGTTGGTCAAAATGTAAATAGGTGGGGCAAAGCCTCACGCATTTTCTCCGCAATGTAGCTGTCAAAATTTACAATTCTTCTACCACATCATAGAGGTCGCCTCTAGTCAGAATTAAAAATCTTGTTAAAAAACCATTTTAATAAACGAATTGACTTCAAAAAGCAATTCTAAACTTCTTATTTATATATTAAACAATAGTTCAAGTAATTCTACTCATATCTAGCATCAATATGCCCTCATCAACTTTTCCACAACTGAATAACCACAGCAGCTTAGACCTCTCAAAGAAGAAGTAGCCTAAATGACAACTGACTTTTGACAGTTTGACAACATCGATTGCCGATTGTTCATTTTCCAGCGTAAAAAATAAAACCTGGGAGTGTAATTCCTTCCCCAATTATTCCAATCAGTTTTTACGCGAATTAGATAGCATGGCTCCGCTAACGGAAGCGCCTGGCGAAAACTTCGTCGAAGAGGACAAGAAAAATTTGTGGTCCCAGATTCTGCACGACGTTCAGAAGAACGGGAATCCGAAGCTGTCTCCTCACAAGCAGATTTTAGTTTTGGGCGATAATGAATCGGGAAAGACTACGATGGTCGCGAAACTTCAAGGTACGTGGCTTTAATACGCCTTTAATTGCACACCTGTAACGTCTAATCATCTACAGGCATTGAAAACTCGAGCAAGGGCTCAGGATTAGAGTACGCGTACATAGATGTGCGTGATGATTATAGAGATGATCATACCAGATTGAGCGTTTGGGTATTAGACGGCGATCCAGCACACGTAGACCTCCTGAAATTCGCTTTAAACGAGGAAACGTTCCAGGTACTATCAAATCGACCTATCATGGTACATTATTAAAACATATTTGCTCTATTTCAGAACACTTTGGTTATTCTCACTGTATCGATGACAACTCCTTGGGGTATATTAGAACAACTGCAACATTGGGCTTCGGTGCTGGCCGATCACCTGGACAAGTTAAAATTAGAAGTAGATTTGAGGCAAAGCCGAAGGCAGCTGATGATTAAAACTTGGCTTGATTACGTAGAGCCCGGGGACGAATTGGATCCTTCCTCTCCGATGAAGAGGAGTTCGAGGAACTTGGGCGATGATGACGAGGGTTTTGATGGATCTATGTTACCGGAAGGTAAGCAACTCTAATTTCTAGGAGTTTATTGTATTGTAATATATTTTTTGTTGTAGGCACTTTAACTAATATCTTGGGATTAGATATCGTTGTGGTTGTAACTAAAACCGATTACATTCAGAATTTGGAGAAAGAACACGATTATAGGGACGAGCATTTGGATTTTATGCAACAGTGGATCAGACGGTTCTGTTTGCAATATGGCGCTGCCTTGTTCTACACCAGCGCTAAGGAAGATAAAAACTGCGATTTGCTTTATAAATATCTCACTCACAGAATTTACGGCTTTCCTTTTCACACTCCGGCGTTAGTCGTTGAGAAAGACGCCGTTTTCATACCGGCCGGCTGGGATAACATGAAGAAAATATGCATTTTATACGAAAACATGCATTCTTGCAAACCCGATGATTATTATAGAGATGTAATCGTTCAACCTGTTACAAGAAAAACTGTTAATAGAGAAACTGAAATTATTGCCGAAGATGAACAGGCTTTCTTAACGAGACAACAGCAGATTTCGTTTGGAGGTGGTCCCCCTACTGCTAGGTTAGGCGAAAGTCCTGTGAGGCCCCCAATTGGAGGTTAGTATTATAGTAGTAACTTTCGATTTACCTCGCAATATCCCTTGTTTAACTTACAGGTATTCAGAGTTCTCCGAGAAAATTAGACGGATCGAAAGTAGTCAGTTCGCCAGGTGGCGAAGGCGTTTTAGCGAACTTCTTCAATTCGCTTTTATATAAAAAAACGGGAAGCCCTGGTGGTGGAATGCCGAAAACTCCAGGCGGAGACAACGTGCCCGATAAAGCTGCTATGAGAACTGACGCCGCAGCTGAATTAGATAGATTGGCGAGAGGGGGTGCTATAAAGCCAAGTCCACCGCCTAGCATGGGCAATGACAACAGCACCGCTGGTAGTACCAGTAGCAGCGGTTTAGATTTTAATGCGTCCGATTGTTAATTGTTCTATATTACTTGATATGATTAATTGTACTCTTTTCTTCTAGCTTCTCTTTTTTTATTTGTACTATCTCTGTGATATATAACATAATTTATGATTTTGCTTCTAATGTTTTTCAAGTATATAATAAAATGAATATTTTCATTTAGCTTAAATTTTAGGAATTTGAATTAAAAAATGTGAAAAATCAATCTTCGAGATCATCTACCAAATATAAAAGAGCATCATTTTCATATGTAGGAAAATAATACCTAAAAAATGTATAATAAAAGTATTGTTACATAATATAATAATTGATGTATAAATACTTACTCAGGCTGGTTAAACACCTTAATATCCGGTATTTTAATGTGATTCTCTTTTGATAAATGTTCCTCTAAACTTGATAGACTATCGAATGCCTCGTCGCAAAACAAGCATCTATTTTCGTGTATTTGCTTCCTAATGTAATTGATCAATTTGATTTTCTGATAGAAATCCATAGATTGTGTTGATAATGCAAAATCAAAACCATGATTCGTTTCCATATGTAAGCATAATAAGTTGATATCGGTTTCTTTGGCTTTACAAAATAAGCACACTATTTGATCTTCTTGTTCGTTCCAGTCTGAGTATTCCTCGTCTGCATTTGCCTCGGAACCTAAAAAAACATGGCAAAATCAAAATGGAGAAATTATAATAACTTGTTAATAGAGTACCTCTTGGTAATGCATATCTATCGTCCTCTTCCTGTATAGTTTTCCACGACTTATCTTCTTCTAAATAATTAACAATATAGAATTTATCGTATTCTTCATTTTCAGGATTGATTCTCTTATGCAGCTTTTTTCTCATGTGTTCTTTGAGAACGTTTCTGTCTGTAAATATTTTGTCGCAGTATAAGCACTTCAAATCCCTCAATTTTTTATCGATATTGGCCACCAGTTCTTCAATGTATACCAAATTTTGTGGATTTCCTAAGTGCAAATTATGCTGACTAGAAAGATGTTCCAAATATCCCTGTCTCGTTCCTAAAATTTAATTTCGTTAAACATGAGTCGTAAATTAATTTCATATACACCTTCATATTCTAATCTACAAAAGAGACATTCTCTTTTAAAATTCTTGTCATTACGCTCGAACTCTTGAATTTTTAAAGCATATTCCAATTTCAGCTTATGCCGTAATTCTCTGTCTTCCTTTAACAAGCTTGACATAAGGAAGTATTTTTGCTCTAACAAATCCAGACTCAGGGAAGGTATAATTTCTTCAAAAGGGTAAATTTTAAACTTATTCCTCCAATAAAGAACGTACCTGCAAGAAGAGTAAGTACGTTCATATGAATTAAAAGGTATTAAAATACGTACTCGTTTAAATTGCATATGTTCTGAACATCTTCTATCACGATGCTGTGAACATCAAATATATGTGCAAGGAACATCGGCAGAGACAAATTCAAATTGAAGGTATCATCGCACAACAAACACTTGGTTTCTGCGTTGGGCTGCAGGCACGAATAACTGTTATCTTCGAAAACCAATGGTTCAAATACACTCTTTGATTGACCTAAAGAAAGGATATACTCGATATGTTGTAATACTAAAAATAAGGGCTAATTTGTACCTTCTGCCATATTGTTCATACTCTTATTATGCAAAAATAACTTTTATTTCAGCACTTCATGATTCTTCTAGGTTTAGTTTACTTTTTTCGGGAGGCTAAAAAATAGATCATCGTAAAAATAATTAGAAAATAGCGAAAATACAATTTCAGTGAGACCACAATGTATAGAGTAGGTCAAATGAACTATCAAAAAAAATCAAAAGATATATGCGAAGTTAGGTCTACTGTCTAACAAAGTGGTTGAATAGGCAATCAAAAGGAGGTAATTTTTAATTTTGAAAAGAAAAGTAGAATTATTGACTAAAATTTAACCCTATTTTTTTATTTTTGAATTATTCGGTCGATGTGGAAATAACAAAATCAAATGGCTCCGACTAAAAATAAACCGCATCAAAGAAGGCTGCGTGCCGTAGACATGCTGCGAAAATATTGCACCAAAGAGTATGTAATGAAGTTAATTTTCGATCCTCATTATCTGTGGCCCATATGCTTGGTTTTGCTCCTGTTCGAGTTTATATTAAATTTACTCATCATTCGAAGAGTCAACTATACCGAAATTGACTGGATTGCGTATATGCAAGAAGTAGAAGGGTTCTTAAACGGCACTCGCGATTATAGCGAGTTAAAAGGTAACTTTTTAATTTAAGAAATTGCATTTTTTAATGAATTTCTCGTGTTACAGGTGACACAGGTCCATTGGTGTATCCCGCTGGTTTTGTCTATATTTACAGCGCGTTGTATTATGTAACATCAAAGGGGAAGAACATTTATTTGGCGCAGCATATATTTTTGGTTTTCTATTTAATTCAAACTTTCTTGATTCAACGAATATTTCGAAAGACTATGAAAATTCCTCCGTACGCTTTACTTATCGTTTCTCTGACGTCTTACAGAATACATTCTATCTTCGTTTTGAGACTGTTCAACGATCCTATAGCTGTTTTGCTATTTTTCGTGAGTTTGAATTTGTTCATTTCCAACCAGTGGATTTTGGGAAGTGTTTTTTATTCGCTCGCAGTCTCGGTTAAAATGAACATCTTGTTGTATGCACCTTGTCTTCTTCTGGCTTATTTAACTAATTTAAGCTATACGAAAACTTTCATTAATCTACTTATATGCGGGTTTATTCAATTAATGTTAGGCCTTCCTTTCTTAACTCAATACCCTGTGTCATATTTAAAAGGCAGTTTCGATTTAGGAAGGGTGTTTGAGCATAAATGGACTGTTAATTTCCGTTTTCTACCAAAAGACATTTTCGAAAATAGAATCTTCCATTTGGGACTTCTTGCATTACATATTTTGTTACTATTAGTTTTCGTACCTCACTTCAAGAGGTACTTGGAGAGTTACGCCAAATTGAACATAGTAACCGATCAATATAAGCAACAAATTTCAGAAAAAACCGAAAACGAAAAGAAGGATAAATACGATAAAATAAGTAAAAACCAAAAGCGGTTTTTGAGTTCCTTCGAACGACAGCTACAAGCATCGGGTAAAGTGAAAGTTCAAGAGGAACCAGCCAAGCTCCAAGACAAACTCTCTAAAATTATCCAATTATTCGTGTTGCCATTTTTCGTAACTAATTTAATAGGGGTGGCTTGTGCCAGATCTCTCCATTATCAATTCTACAGTTGGTATTTTCATAGCCTTTTGTATTTGGTGTTTTGCACTGAATACAGAAACTCATTTAAATTTTTATTGCTGGGTTTAATCGAGTATTGCTGGAACGTGTATCCCAGCACTAACATTTCCAGTACAATATTACATTGCTGTCACATTGTTTTATTAGTTGGTCTATACAGAAACATGAAAAAGTAAATTTGATTATAATATATATTATAATTGTCGTGTACATTGCATTTTATCCTTAAAATTATTCCAAATTACAGGTCGATTCCTCGGAAAATTAAATTATACCCTAAATAATTGAACATTATTTATTTATAAAACTTAGAAGGTATATAATTACAATAATATTATAACAAAAATTGAATTCACGTTACCAATTGTTGACCAAATTAAAAAAAAATCTTTTATACAGCTTTCTTGCTTTTAAAAAGTGGTATTATCTTTATATCGATTGTTTAAAATGTTATGTAATCTTTAAGTTGCGATAAAGTATCCTCGTCGACGCTTTGTAACAAATACTCGTATTGCTGCAAACCGACTTGGTTTTTTAAAGCGAACATTTGAGACTGGAGGTAATCCTTCAAAGCTATAGTATGAACGGGATCGGACAGAACCAGCTGCTTTTTTCTTTGGTTGTGATCGGTTTCGTAATACCCGTCGTTATCTTCAAAATCGCTAGGGCTTTGCCCCTCGGTCAATACGAGAGAATCCACCAAAACCCCGTTCTCCTCCTTCGTAATATCGTTTAGAGCCTCTAAAACATTCAGCATCACCAGCGGAAACCTTTCCAACACCAGAGCACTTTGAGTGGTCAACAAACTAACGAGCGCCAGTCCCAAGAGTTTCCGATGATCCGGCTGGGACACGTTCCTCATTTTATCCAGCCACTTGTCCAGCAGCGTTCCTAGCGTAGCCTGCTCGGTTTCCTCGTTATCTTGCGCCAATTTATTCAGCACGCGCGTGAATATCTCGTGAGACGACAACAGAACCCTGGACACGATGCACAGGCTCATCGACATCAACATTTGGTACTCTTCTCGCGCGTTGTACACCTTCTCGAAGATCCTGGGCAATATGGGAAGCGTCGACTCGGCTCCCAGTCCGGGAGAGGCTCGCAGAAACGTCTCGACCAGTCGCAGCAGCATTACAACTCCTTCGTTCTTCAAATCCGACATTATACCGTCGCAGACTTGTATCAATTGGATCCCTTGCGTTCGCATGACCAGCTCAGGCGCTAGTAACAAATGCACCAGGCAAATTATCAGGCACTGGCGTAGATTCTCGGTGGAGTACTCGATCAGGGCGGGCATGTTGTTGAATAATTGCATCAGCTCGTTCGTCATTGATGAGGAGAATTCCAAAACCGTCAGCCACAAATCCAGGCAATCCTCTAATAAGTATACAATCGCGTTTTGGGTTACATCCGTTCCTAATTGTATGATTGGTAACAAGAACGGATATAATTCGGGTTTCACGCCCCCGACGGCTTTAACTAATTGAACGAGCGTCGCCACAATGGCGCACTTGAGTATGTTGTGTTCCTCGGATTCCTGCCAAAGGTACGGGAGGTATTGCAGCAGTGAATCCAGTTCGTTTTGCAGGACGTTGCCCATCCGTTCCAACAACAACGTCATGACGTTCAAGACCTGCATTTTAGTTTCGCATTCCTTCGATTCCTTCAACAGGGCAAACAGCAGATTAAACGCGTTGTACATGTAATCTTTGAATTGCTCGCAGTTGAATTCGAAATCGTCTATGGCGTACCGCAGAGTCGACGCGGCCGTTAGTCTCACTGCCATGTCTTCTTTCGGATCCAGTAAATTGTTAATGCATTCGTACAAAACGGGCCTTAGTTCCGTAGATAATTTTATACCTATCCAACGGCCGAACAGGGACGTCACTCGTCTCCTGATCACCCTGTAGTTGTTGTCTTTAATTTTCAATTCTTGATATAAGGTGTTCGTGAACCAGGAATCGAAGTCTACCTCGTCGAATAGATCGAAAGCGCACAGTCCTACGGCGTTGTAAACTGCATCTTTTTTTAAAATGCCTTGTATGTCGTTAGGAGGTACGATAGCGTTGGTTTCGGCGATTAATTCTAATAATACAGGCTTCAGGTACTCCCTGTATTCGTGGAACAACGACACGAATACTGTATCGGTGCAAGGCCTCAAACTGTACTTCCAACTGTCTCCGCTTTCGTCGTTGGAAAATTCCTCGGGGTCCGAATCCCACATGTCTAATTCGTCCTGCGTCAGAAGGAAATAATGTCCTATCAGTTTCCTGCACATATCGGAAACTCTGTCGGGTTGGAAGAACGCCTGCTTCATTTTTTGAGCCTTTATGGTTTCGGGGTACTTGCTCGTGTCGGTTTTCACCGATTTATATTCCAAGCACATGAGAATGTTTTTGATTAAGTTAAAACACTGAATAACGAATCGTTCAAACACGAAATTGATACCTTCGTCGGTAAAGAGATAGTAGAACGTGAAATCTAACGTAGGTTCGATAAATTCGATGAACGATATGGGATGCATATCGAGAACCGATAGTAAAATTTTAGTCAGGTGGATGATGAATTTTTCGCAGAGTTCGAGCACGTAGATCCCTTTGCCTTTGAGTTGTTTGCGGCACTGCAGGATGATTTTCGCCTTCTGAAATATGATCTTCAGAAAAGACATGCAGCTGTCGCTTTCGTGCGGCTTGTAGAAACCGAACACAGACAATTTCCTTAAAATTCTAAGCGTTAATAAAGCTTTCTCTAAATTAACAGTGATCACGTCCGCGCCGGCGTTGTGAGAAATGTCCCTAACGAACGCTTCCGTGTAATTATTCCATAAATTTAAAATAAAATTGTAAATGTTTAACGTAAACTCGTAAAATATCCTCCGGTCTCCGGCTAACCTTTTCGAGGAAATCGCTTTGACGACGTGATGTAGCGTTAAAAGAGATCTGTGCTGGATGAGACTATCGGCGCTCTCCACTGCGGATAAAAGAGTGGGGAACAGATCGGGCCATTCTTTGGGGCAATCGCACCGGGCGATTTTCGATATTAAAACAGCTTTTTGAACGGCTATTTGATTGACCGGTTCGGTGAAATTGCTCAAGAGGCCTTGCTTGATGTTAAACTTCTCCTCTTCGGCGATCGCATTAGGGGAATTCCTCCTCCAATATTTATCAACGCCGATTTTCATATAAAGTACAGCCATCCAACGAACGTTTACATCGATAGTGTGATTTGATATCACCTGGAACAACGTGGTGTAAAATCCAGGATGAGTTTCCCATTCTTTTAGTTTCGCTTCAGCCGGTTTGAGTATGTCCGGATTTTGACTAGCAGCTGCCTGGAGGACTTCTATCACCATTATGTTTGTGGAATCCATTTTTAAAATATTTACAACAATGTTCTGGTCAATTAATCATTCGGTTTAGTGTTTTTTGGGTTCTTTCATTTTTAATTTATTGCTGAAAAAAATGTAAATATTATTTTTTGCTATATAGTATGTTTGGGGTTTATTATAAAATTTTAAATGTAACTGAAACACACACTAACCTGTCTGTAAAGTCTTAACATTAACTCATGTCAGAAGCTGATATACCTTGATGAATATTATAATAATGAAAAATGTATCCTGCAATATAAATAGATATATTTTTAACTTTTACATACGTTAATAGTACGTTTTAGAATCCTTTTAACTTTTAGAATTCTATTACTTCGTCTCTTTATTTAATTTTAATTTTACCATTTGACATTTTAGTGCCGATTGTGAATTGTGACAGTGTTTTCGTGAATAATATAGGTTATGTTTTGATCTTTCATTTGTCTTCTCCAAATTAATATGTTCACTATACTGTAGTTTATATTAATCATTAAAATTGAATTTGTAGCAATAAGATTATCCACAATAATTTAAATTCATATATTTTAGTTTTATAGATAAATGAGATTTTTTAATTAATTTAATTAAAAAGAAGAATACAAGCTTTCAGATGTCAGTTTCATTGTCAATGTCAATTGTCACAGTTTTTTGACACATCCTTTCTTTACCGTTCACGTTTACATGTGTGAAATATTTGTACCTTAGAAATACCAAATATTTTCCGGTAAGTAAGGAATATTAAGTCATTTATAATTCAAATTACACTTAATTCTCATATAAATCATCGAATACTATTGTTTTAAATCAATTTGTAACGCCATACTAGGAAAAATTTGTAAAGGTTGATCAAACATTACTGGTGTATTAAATTAACCATTAACATTGCTATAATTCGAAATATAAATCCTTTGATCGCGTTTTTAGGTTGAACTAATAACGAGCGAAGATGAGTAGATTTTTTGCTGGATCCGATTCAGACTCGGATAGCTCTTCTGAGGAAGAGGTTATTCAACGCCCAGTAGTTCCTACGTACACTGTAAGTAACGCAAAAAGCGCCACTAAACAATACATTAACTAAATATAATCAAAACAGTTCAGCGATGATGAAGAAGAAGTTAAACGAGTCGTTCGATCAGCTAAAGAGAAACGCTACGAAGAACTTACTAATATTATTAAGCAAATACGCAATTACAAGAAGATTAAAGATATGTCCAGCATGCTGACTAGTAAGTATTACACTATTAAGTTTATTGTAAACTTTATATTAAATATAATTTGTTTCGTAAGGTTTCGAGGAGATTCAGAAGGCGTATCAAAAGGCCATTCCTGTTATTAATAAGGAGGAAAACGGCCAAACTCCCAGATTTTTCATTCGATGCCTTGCAGAAATGGAGGATTTTATAAATGAAATGTGGGAGGACAGAGAAGGAAGGAAGAATATGAGTAAAAATAACAGGTATATAACAAATTGCATTTTCTAATACTCGACATAAATTGCATTCTCAATATCTTTTCAGCAAATCTCTTACTTCTATGCGTCAAAAATTAAGGAAATACCTGAAGGATTTCGAAGAGGACCTAGTGAAATTTAGAGAAAATCCTGAACAGCCTGACGACGAAGAAGAAGATGAGAAAGGTACGAATAACTCGGAAACAATAAATTTGCATTGATATTAATTTCTGTATTTACCCCAGTTGAAGCAGAACCCGATTCCGAAAACGAGGCAGCTTCGAAGAATCAATTCTTGAAGGCTCCTGCAAAACAACAAGTAGTCGACGACAAGGAAGAGTCTTCAGATGACGACGATGATTGGCCCTCAGACTCAGAAACCAGTTCCACTTCTTCCGAAGACGATGAAGGCAAATACGCCGGTAAATACAACAGGAAGCGCTTCTTGAAGGACCGCGGACCAGAACACGAGGATGACGAAGAAAAAGAACGCAAAAAGGATGAAAAGAGGAAGGAGAGAAAGGAGAAGGATAGGCGGAAAATCAAGAAGGAAGACGAAGAAGATGGCGAAGGCGAATGGGAGACTGTTAGAGGAGGCGTTGCTATTCCCAGTGTAAGTTTTTACTTCATGTTTACATGTTAATGTTGTATATCATTGTTAATATTTATTATAGGAGAAGCCTAAGATGTTTGCGAAGGATGCCGAGATCGACCTGAATCTGGTTATAAAAAAATTGAGTGAAATCATGGCAGCCAGAGGGAAAAAACGTACTGATCGTCGTGAGCAAATTGAGCTGCTTCACGAACTGCAAAACGTATCTGAGCAACACCAGCTGGGCGCTGCTATATCCGTCAAAATCAAACTCGCTATAATATCGGCCATATTCGACTACAATCCGAAAGTTTCCGATGCAATGAAGCCGGAGTACTGGCTCAAGTTGCTCGAAAGAATGGCCGAAATGCTAGGGGTTCTTTTGAACGCTAACAATTTGGTTGTCTCCGATACCATCACTGAGGAATTGGAGAATTTGGAGGAGCCTCCTTACCGCATCAGAGGCTGCGTTTTGACGTCCGTTGAAAGACTGGACGATGAGTTCACCAAGCTACTTAAGGAGTGCGATCCTCATAGCAACGAGTACGTGGAACGGTTGAAGGACGAATGCAAAGTGTCCAATATCATCGATAAAACCATGCAGTACTTGGAGAGAACGAACGTTCCCTCTGAATTGTGCAGAATTTATCTGAGAAAAATCGAACATCTGTACTACAAGTTCGATCCCAGAGTATTACAGCAAAAATCCGGCGATGCGGCCCTTAAAGACGAATATACATCCGTCCAAGAAATGGAGAAACTCTGCAAGTTTATTTACGCTAAAGATAACACGGACAGATTGAGAACCAGGGCTATTCTGTCCCACATCTACCATCACGCCTTGCACGATAATTGGTTCCAAGCCAGGGACCTCGTTCTCATGTCTCACTTGCAAGAAACCATCCAGCACTCTGATCCTAGTACTCAGATACTCTACAACAGGATGATGGCTCATTTGGGTCTCTGCGCTTTCAGGCACGCCAACATTAAAGACGCTCACAATTGCTTAGTCGATCTAATGATGACCGGGAAACCCAAGGAACTGCTCGCCCAAGGTTTGCTTCCCCAAAGGCAACACGAGCGCAGCAAGGAACAGGAGAAAATCGAAAAGCAGCGCCAAATGCCCTTCCACATGCACATCAATCTCGAACTCCTGGAATGCGTCTACCTGGTCTCGGCGATGCTGATCGAAATTCCCTACATGGCGGCGCACGAGTTCGACGCCCGGCGCAGGATGATCTCGAAGACGTTCTACCAGCAGTTGCGCAGCTCCGAGCGCCAGAGCCTGGTGGGGCCGCCGGAGAGCATGCGCGAGCACGTCGTGGCGGCGGCGAAGGCCATGCGGAACGGCAACTGGTCGGCCTGTAACAATTTCATCATCAACGAAAAAATGAACGCCAAGGTTTGGGATTTGTTCTACCAGGCCGATCAAGTGAGAGATATGCTCACCAAGTTGATCAAAGAGGAGTCGTTGAGGACCTATTTGTTCACGTATTCTCACGTGTACGATTCGATATCGATGCAAACTTTGGCCGATATGTTTGATTTGGGGAAGCCCGTCGTTCACTCGATTATTTCTAAAATGATCATCAATGAAGAGCTGATGGTGAGTCGATCATAACTTCTTGTTTGAAGAGTGTAATGGTTTCTTGTTTTATTATTTTTTATAGGCGTCGTTGGATGATCCGACTCAAACTGTTGTTATGCACAGAAGTGAACCTTCTCGTTTGCAGTCATTAGCGTTGCAGCTGGCTGACAAAATCAACAATTTCGTGGATTCTAATGAGAGAATACTGGAAACGAAGCAAGGTAACTTCTTCTTGAGAGGTGCCAATCAGGTAGGTTTCTTACGCAGCAGGTGTTGTGATCAAGTAATTTACAAATACTTTTTTTTTAGGGTAATTTCAGGGGAGACAGACAAAATTACAGAGGAAGCACCAATCAAAACTGGGACAGGCAGAGGCGCGACAGAGACAGAAATAGAGAAAAGGACAATTATTAAATTTTTCTTTTATTTGTATGAAAAGTATTTCTGTTGTAACAATAATTACATGATTGCGCTAATTGAATAATTTCTTTTGACCATTCATTCGTGTCTTTTGGTATATTTGTAAAAACATCTAATTTGCGGCCCATTTCATAAAACTTGTCAATAAAACTTTGTCCATTACAGGCCTTATAAAGGTTGACAATCATTGATAATTGAAAGCTTCATGAAACTGACCATTAACACACAAATTAAGCAAGTCTTAGGATATTTGCAATACTAACATAATGATCGATTGTATAAAACTTGATTATATCTATCTCAGATTGGTCAATCACTATAATTTTTATGATGGGCTAATCAAAGATTAATAAACAAGTTAAAATCGTCCATTATAGTTAATTGTGGCATTTGGATGTGGCAAAATAATTAAACGAGCAATTTAATTACAAACTAGATACTCTTATATGCCCTAAATCACAACCGATGCTGGATCGGATTTCTAGCACAAAAATGTTTTTATTACCTCCTAATAAATGTGTAAATAATCACATTTTCCTGATTAATAGCACTTGTAATGAAACAATTTTTTAAGCACAGAAAATGAAATTCAGTGTAAAGTTGGTGAATTAATCCCTGAAAATTTCATGTAGAATTAAACATTGAGGTAAATCATAAAATAAATGGTATTTTATTCCTTTAGATCACAATTGAAAAAGTTATAACTATCTAATATTGTTAACCATATTGTAATAGTTAAAATTAATCAAAACTTTGTTTTTAAGGTCTGCCTAAGTAAAAATATTAACAAAAAAAAACAAATTGAAAATCTTAACATTTTTATAAAAAAAATACAGTGTTAAGGATTTATTCCAAGAAACCATGCTGTAACTAAATTTTTGGCTTTTACAAGTTTTATTTTGGTTTTCAGGTATAATGTCAAACTCAAAAATACACCAATTCCCTACTGTAGAACCAAGCCTATATTGCAAGGCATCATGCTAGGACATCTCCAATTATACAAATAGTATTGTAATTTCCCATCGCCTATGCCAAACTTCAACTGCAACAAAAACTCCGAATTATCCATCAAATCTAAGGCATTGAACACGTCGAAATCGAGCTGTTTCGCCGATATCAGGGCGTCCGTCATCAGCTGTATCCAAGGCGTCCCCTTCGACACGTTGTAGAACGAGTAGGCCGCCTTCAGATTTTTATGCACCGGATGTTGCATTACCGTAGACGGTAAAGTATAGTAACTAATGAAATCCGTTATTTCACCGTTTACTTCCACAACGAAACTGTCGATGATGTTCGGCCTGGGCGAGAACCAATGCGTGAAATCTTCCTCCGAGAAATACGGCGCTAAATCAAAACGTTGCAAATACTGAAATAAAATAATTCAAATAAATAAGATTTCATTATAAGGTAGTAGAAATATTACCTCATTGAGTAACTTATGAGCTTTGGGAATATCGGCAATAGTCATCCTTCTAAAACCTGGAGTTTTTGGTTTATCGGGTAGTTTGTACAATTTGAGGGTTCTCTGCATCGTCATGTTGCGCGACAAGTGGGAGAACTTTACTTCGATCAATTTTTTGGGATTCAACGACCGGTGCCAGTAGGTGCAAGTACTGATAGGTTTCGGTAACACTATTCCAGCGGTGTAGACGGCTTGGAACAAGCCGTGCAAATGAACCCGACGTGTAATCTCCCTTATCAGCACCGGCGCTACTCGCTTCGATCGCAATTTCTTATGTACACAAAGGAAGTTTATCTCTACCATCTTCTGAGTTCTGGAAAATTAACATTGTGACTACGAGTTTATTGAGCGAGTATATTATTACAAACTTTCTGTATATGTTTACTGTGGCTGGTATCGCGGATATGAATCCTACCAGGCGGCCGCTCTTAACCACTCGGACTCCGCAATGCCACTCTTTTTTCCAACCAGGTGGCTGTAAAGCCCTGCAAAAATATTTTTATTACTATAACTCCGAGTAAGTGCACCTTATGACGTACCATTTTAGAAATTCAGGTTGGTAATCGAACCTAAACATGCAATCGTCGTCTTCCACATAGTTTTCGTTGAGAAGAGTGTAAAGTTCTTTCAAAACTAACGGTTCTTCTAAATTGAGTGTGTCCCATTTGAAGCCGTCGGGCAAACTGTAAGGCTCTTGTCTAATTTCGGACGCAGCTTTGTTGGGTTCTATTGCTTCGTTCACAGTTATATTTTCATCTACGGCAAATATTGCTGAGTGCGATTAGGCGGATTCGTTTCCCGGCTTACCCATTTTAGGCACTGGTTGAGTATTCCAAAATTGGAAATTTTTTTTGAGTGCTTCTTCATTACTCTTGGCAGGCTTTTGGGAGGAAAGATTAAAAACTTCCATGGCAGCTTTTAATTCCTTAATTGAAATGGTGTTTATTGGATTAGATAAGTTGGCCAGGAGATTATCTCCTTGAGCAACCTCTGCGTTTTGGTTCTTTTCTTCCTCTTGGACTTCATTTTGCTTCTTCTTCTGCTTGTTTCGTTTCTTAGCGCTATAAATTTGCAAGCATATAAAGACGAGCATTTTTCATTGTTCATTTTAAAAGTGTACTTTGATATTTGAATGTATTGCAGCACTTATCGGTATTGATTTGTCATGTTTTAATGGTTATGGTTGTGGAAAAAATGTGTAGCCAATTGTTTTTAAGCAAAAACAAAGTATATAAGTAGGATTGGTGAAAATGAGAGAAATACCTCTTGTTTAATACTATCCCTCCGGCACTTCCATCGATTTGATTATTCTTATCTGAATTAATTTTTTTAGTATCTTCCGACATTTTGATAGAAATGATAATGACAGAAGAAAAATAAATTGACAACTCACGGAAAAGTGACAGATGAATTCGGACAATCAATCTGACCAACAAGATACAAGAACGATTTTAGGTCAAATTAAAGATTTTTGAAAAAAAGAAGAAATATTTAAAAAATGGTAAATCATTGTCAACTGTCAATGTCAAAATCACCACAAAAATTTTCAGCCATTTTTACTTTGGTCCACGCTTGAAATTTCGAATTAAATAATTTTATAAAATATCCGCTGTTGTAATTGATTATGGCCCAAAATAAGTTCAATGATTTAGCCGGTAAATTTGGCAAAGGCGGACCTCCGGGCTTAGGCATTGGATTGAAATTGTTAGCTTTCGGTGGAGCCGCCGCTTATGGAATTTCCCAATCTGTCTACACAGGTATTGAAAATTAACGAATATAAAACCCTTACATAGTCCCAAATCGTTTCAAAAATTAAAATTACTCCGTTGTTTGATTACTTGTATAATCAAAACTTGTCACATGTCTTTTGTGCAATACATTTTCTAAAAGTTATTATTTTTTAGTTGAAGGTGGTCACCGAGCCATTATATTCAACAGAATCGGTGGAGTCCAAAAAGAAATTTACACCGAAGGCATGCATTTCAGGATCCCTTGGTTCCAATATCCCATAATCTACGACATTAGGTACGATTGCCCAGCCACCCGGTACAATTAAATCTATTTAAAACAAACCCGCAGGTCTCGACCCAGGAAAATCTCATCACCCACCGGTTCCAAGGACCTTCAGATGGTTAACATTTCCCTTCGTGTCCTATCTCGACCCAACGCCGTAAATTTACCAACCATTTACCGCCAGCTCGGTTTGGATTACGACGAAAAGGTGCTTCCTTCCATTTGCAACGAAGTCCTCAAATCAGTCGTTGCGAAATTCAACGCAGCCCAGCTTATTACACAAAGACAGCAGGTAAACATTTATGAAGACTTTAGTGCAATCGTATTCATATTTTCTTGTAGGTTTCGCTTTTAGTAAGGAGGGAATTGGTGGAGAGGGCGCAAGATTTCAACATCATTTTAGATGATGTGTCTATTACTGATCTGTCGTTCGGCAAGGATTATACTGCGGCCGTGGAAGCAAAACAGATCGCCCAGCAGGAGGCCCAAAGAGCTGCATTTATCGTGGAACGAGCCAAGCAGGAGAAGCAGCAGAAGATCGTTCAAGCCGAGGGAGAAGCTGAGGCTGCCCAAATGATATCCTTTTTTTATAGCAATAATTATTTGGAGTGTTTGTTAGATTAGAAAATTTGATATATTTCCTTAATTAATGATTACTTAGGAGAGGCGATAGGGAAGAATCCTGGATATTTAAAGCTGAGGAAACTTAGAGCTGCCCAGAATATTTCGAGGACCGTAAGTTTTGATTTATCGAGTGTTGTATGTTGTAATATAAATGTTTTAATTTTTTTTCAGATTGCCAATTCACAAAATAAGGTCTATCTGAGTGGAAATAGCTTGATGTTGAACATTTCTGACAAGGAATTCGATGAATTATCAGAGAAATTTCAAAGTAAGAAGGATTAATTGAGCGTTTCCCCTGGTATCAATTAAAATATGTCGTAAGATCTAATTGATAAGGGAATCCAAAGCATAGGCCCCGGTCGTTGTTATTTTATACTTAGTATTTTTTTTAATGTTGAAACAACTCCCTTTATTTTGAGCCTTACAATTGTTACTATTTGTAAATATTCAATTAAATAAACGCTCAAAATCATTTTATTTTATTTTTTGCTCATATTTTAATAACCATGTGTTTCCTCTTTGGCTTGACTAACTCTGAATACATGTAAAATTAATCTAGTCTTGATATACATGGTTATTATTGTTTTTTTATTGTTCCAGGCTCCTATAATATTGAGCATGAAACCAATTTAAGTAAAAGGGGAAACACAATATTAGATTTATCTCATTTAGCAGCGGATCGAATTACGACAAAAAATTACCAGTGAGGCTATATTAGTAACTTTACAAGTGCATTTAAATATTGCTATAGTAGGTACCTAAATATATATTTTATACTTGTAAAATTGTCTCATTTAACCTGGTATCCATTTTGATTTCCCTTTTAAAAAGCGTTAAAGTAAATAAGTTCTTTATTATAAATACAAAACACTTTGGGATTAAAAATAGTTATTTCTGTTTAGTGAGAATTTTCAAATAAAGTTTTTGTCGTTAATGTTTAGTATTTTTCGTAATCAGTCTGCTTCGTAGACGTTTCTTTACTCGCATGTTTTTCAATTTATTGTCCATTTTCATAATGTAAAATTCCCTGTCGACATTAACGAATCGGGCCATTTTTTTGTCTTCATAGGGTATTTCCGAACCTGGAGGGTGCATGCGCATCTAAAATAATCATTATTTTTGGTTGTATTTACGTAAATGTAGAGAAGAGGGTGGCAATGTGGCCCCTTACTAAGGGGGTCATAAATACCACATGCCCACCATAAATCATCATAAAGTTACATTTTTATTGTTAAAAAATTATTTGTTATGAAACTGTTTAGTTGTTTTCATTGATTATATATGATAAAGTATACAAATTGAATGGAATTACTTGTTAATTTCATTTTATTGCGAGTTCACTGTACCAAAACTTTACCGGATTAATTAGTGTGCCTTATTAAAAATTATATTTACAATATTTTGTGAGGCAATATCTCCCTTATATTGAGGGTGTTTACATGTTTAAAATACCCTGTTTTCCTATTTATTTTTTACTCTAATAAATGCTAATATATTAATGATACTTACTATGAATCCTTGTTGCTAAACTTTTGCTCGTCCATTTATAAAATTATTAAAGATATTAAAGGAAAAATTAAAAATAAAGATAAAGTATTTCTATGGGAAAGAATAGAGCAGATTTTTTGTAAAAAATACGAAAAACTATCATGCTAAAACGTTCTAAAAATTGTCTACCTACTATAATTGTCTATATACAGGGAGACTAAAAACATATTATAATATGCTATAAATACTAGTATTTAGTCTAAAAATAAATTACTAGTTAATGTTTTTAAAGTTATTGTTATACTAGGTAACTCTTTACTTGTTAGTAAAGCAGATTAAACTAATAGCAGTGTGTGGTAAATTATTCGTTTTATTAAAGCGGTATTTTCGAAAATTCGCATTTTTAAACCACCGAAAGATCGAAAAAAAGGTAGGATTAAGGCAATGATGTAAGCTGTGTTAAACTAGTTTCGATATATTAATGTCTCTGTATCCCATTAGTCATCAGCCGAAGCCTTTTTGAGTCTTTTCTGCAAAAAAAATCACATTTCATTTAGTAACGAAGGTCTCCTTTATCGCTGTTAATTCGTCGTTGCGCAAGGAAATGTTCTCACCGAGAGTCAAATAAACATTCTCAAGGCTGCGATGATCCAATCAATTATTAAACTCGCTAGTATTTGCCCGTGAAACTATCAGAATTTTCGACGGGGAACATTTCATCGCACTCCCAATTTTAGAATTTTTAATTTTCAACGAAACCATTCAATATTCAACTCACCATTATCCTGTATTTCTCTTTGCAAGCGTAGTCGCTTTCATCGACATCTTGGTAACAATCGCTCTTGTAATCTTCTGGAATCTCTTTACCTTCGAATTCGCATAATTTCTTCAAAGGCCTGGCCCTAAAATATCCCAATTGGAAGAAGAAAAAAGCTGATATCTTAAAAACATCTTACTTGACGATCATCTTATCGAATCCCGTTGGCTTGTGGATTGGGCAATAGAAAACATCCGGGGTATTTTTGTCGAATACGATGCTTTTCCTCATCATATCTTTCGCTGACCACACGCAAACAGCGAGGAAGCATAGGAGGAAAACCAGTGAAGATTTCATTATTTTCTGCAACAAAGAGAAATAGCAATTTTATGTAGGAGTACTGGTGAACCCACACTTTTTCACCAAAAAGGTATAACATATACCTCAAAAATGAAGAAAATCTGTTTTTTTAACAGTTAAATAACTTAATAAAATTCATCCGTTCACCTTGAGTTAGCAAAATGATCGAATGCAATTAACAAAACATTCAATACATAAGGTACTTACTCACTTACTCACAAGGTTAAGATAGTACCTACACTTTCACCTGCAAGTAAAAATAAATACGCACAACACAATATCTCACCTGTTTCTGGTAACTTTCCGAATTTTTTATTCTAATATGCTAAATTTTAATTTCTACTAGGTAGTCGATTGCACTCTCACATTTGCATTCTCTCGACTACCAGCGCAGGTACGGCAGACTTCGGACTCGCCTCGTAGCCTTCCTCAAACTCGAAACCCCACGCTCTTTCTCTTTGGCATACGTTTACAGTTATACAATAAGGAGACGTGAACTCGGCGCTCGGCCAAGCAAATCTCGCTTTTTATGGTGCAATGAGCGACCATCGGCGACCGCGGTCGCGTTATTTAATAACAGATTTCCCAGTGCGAAATTCGAGACACCCTGTATACAACGAGCTGCAAAAAACGGGATTTATATGTTCACCGTAATTATTATTAGTCATCTGTAAAGATCGTATATGATGCAGAACTTTAATTTTTTATAAATTTTATTTATTAATTTGGTAGAGGTTTGTAACAAGAGGACCAGATTTCAAAGACTCGAGACATCCTGTATACAACAGGCTGTAGAAAATCGGGAAGTATATATTATTAATCCAATCAATTTAAAAGATCTATTAAGATGTAGAACGTTTTAATACTTAAGCTTAATTTATAAATTTGGTAAAGGTTGGGAGAAAATGTGTCTGAATAGCCTCGAATCTTTACTTTTAACAGGAAATTTCAATGAACAAAATTCGAGACAACCTGTATACAATGAGCTGCAAAAGATCTCATAATATGCAAAGGTTTATTGTTTTATAATTTTTATTAACAAATTTGATAAAGGTTGGGGGAAAATAAAGTGTCTGAATAGCCTCTTGAAAGGCTTCTGAATTCATACAGAAGGTGCGTTTCTGATATTTCAGGATTGATATTAATGGTAAAAGAATGTAATTGTTGTATTTATTTTTTAATAAATAAAACATTATTATTTTAATAAATTTAATAAAGACTATTAAAGGAAATTTCTTAATAAAGGTTGGGAGAAAATAGAGTTTCTGAATAGCCCCTTGAGAGGGCATTTGGATCCAAACAAAAGGTGTTTCTAATATTTCCGTATTGGATATTAATGGGGAAAGAATTGAATTGTTCAAGTAATAACAAACTAGCGCACTAAATCGACTTCAAATTGGTCGTGAAAAATAAAGTAGCCCCACACGCTATGTTTTATAGCTCTGTAGGTACGCAGGTCAGCGTTGCAAGTTGTACGGTCAACTGGTCAGTCGGTTACAAATGTTTCCAGTATGTCCAGTTTCCAGTTTTTCCCGTGAATACGCCATTCGAGCGCCGTTAAATTGCTGAAGGGTGAGTTCGCTAATTCTTCAATAATAACTCATTTAATTGATAGTAGTAATATAAACAATATTGTGCAACTAGTGAAGAATTTAATTCATAATTTAACTGAGTGTTAACAGAAAGTTATTCAGGTAATTGCTTATATATTTTTTTAAATTAATAATTAATAGTGCATACCATAATTTATTATCTGTGAAAGCCATTTAATCGTTTGAAGCAAGTTAACATACTCTCAAAAGTACCCTGAACATCGAACTTTTTTTGAAATTCTGGAAGAATTTTTAGAAGAAAATACTCATTTTTATTATAATTACTGATACTCCCTCATTTGAATTAATTTGGATTTTTTTACTTTCATAACTTTCCAATTTTTTAACTGCGCAAAAACAAAAAAATACAATTTCTTCCTCGAATGTGAGCGAAGAAAAATCAACACTATCGTTCCTAATGAAAATTTAATACGCTCCACCTGACCCAATTCCAGGGCATAAAGTCATTTTCCCATTCATACAATATACTCCAACCGGCCGGATTAAAATTCATATCTCTTAAGTAAATTATAATTAATGACGACACGTTAAATTTGTTGTCGCCCTTTTGGGCTGGTAACCCCTGGAGACAATACATTCAAGTTCACGCATTTAAAGAGCCCGGTCCCGGTGCTTTATATTCATAAAAAATCGATAGAACTGGGTAATAATTCAAATACAGTTGACCCGATAACCTTGCTCTCTTTCTCGAGTTTTGCACACCCCATTGTGGATTCACGTGCTCGAAGGGTTTGTAAACAAAGCGATTTTCTCATTGAGTTATTAGGGCGTTCTAAATTCTCGAATGTTTGCAATCGTATGTCTATAATGCTGCAAATTACATTGAGCTGAATAAATTAATGATAATATTTTAATTTAAAGGTTTGAGGTTTTCGGTAACAGCCTTAGTTATAGCCATTAAATAAGCTTCGTATGGGGATTTATTTAGTAAATATGAAATATGATTGTTGCACAAAAGCGCTTAAAGAGTTTATTCTGGGCCTAAATTATTCTAATAACAGATGTTTCTGTAAATAAATGAAACAAATCGATCAGTCGCAATCGATAAAGACCACATAAACGTTTCGTAATTGTTCCAGTCCGAAAATGAAATGATGTAAAGCAAATTTCCATTTTCCAATAAAAGTTTTACGAATTAATTTATAGACAATATTGTAGAAATTCTAATGGTTGTAAATAAGTTGTTCGAATCGATTAATAATAGGCTAACATAATTTCCCACTGCATTGACTAATATTCGATCGAACTCGATTCGGAATTCAGGAAAACAACTGTAAAGGGATGAACTTGACCCGATATGTCGACCAGCGACGATTCAAGACAGTGTATCGCATAGAAAACTAAATGAAAATTAATTTATTTTTTCGCTACTTAATGGTTATTTTTGTTAAGTGACGTGATTTTTCGCAGAAGAAACTAATCATTGCCTACACGTAACCCTATTCAAATGAGGCGATGAAACCAAAAGGGAATGCCAGATTCGAAGCGAAGATAATTTCGCAGGCAACCGTAAAGATAGCATCGAAACAGTGGAAATTATTATGATTTTGATTTTTTTTAATTAATGCAGTAGATTTATGCTCTTTTAATGATCGATATTGTGGCAAAAAGTTGATGGAAGATTTCCATTTTTTGTACTTTCCATCGAAAATAGAGCAGTTCAGTTCGAATTGAAACAAAAAAGCTATCCTATATTATGTATAATTTAATGATGATTACCATTCCGGTGGAAAGGCTCAATGCCCCAGAAATTAGAAATGGCTCGCATATATAGTTCCTGTTTTGACATACTTTTCTTGAAAATCGATGGTAGTATGGTAGTAAAACATTAGAAATGATCTAGGACAGGCACTCTAACAGGCGTCTACAGAGTGAGTCAGGATAACTGTAATATTCTAGGGATTTCCCGAAATTTCTTTATTGTACCAAACTTCCAAAGAATCATGAAACTTTTATTAACACAGCTTAATTCTCATTCGATTGATTTTATCATACTTTCTAATGCCAAGAAAAAACTAGAAAATTAGACCAGCACTCAAACTAATTAAATTATTGACCTTATTTCCGCCTATTTGATACGACTGTTTTATGCCTGCATTAATTGATTAAACAGCAACAACACACGATCATTAGGTATCGATTCAAAATTCTTCTTCATTATTCCACATATTTGAACAATAAGCGTTCGTGCTTGCACCCAATCGTGTTGCAAGTGACAAACTATCATGTTTCTAGAGAAATGCGCTGCAAATCGATGAAATATTTCATTTTCCTCGAAATGAAAACCAATGCAAAAGACTTAATTACGCCTTCGAAAAGTCCATTATAATTTTTCAGGTGCCTTTTTTTCATGAAACCAAAGAAATTGCTCCTTAAACACAAAATTTTCCTCTAATCCTTTCCAGATGACTTGAAATACACCACAAAAACTGCATCGACTGTTATGGCAGAAAACGTTAAAGTTATAGTAAGATGTCGGCCTATGAACAAAACAGAAACCCAACTCAATTGCAAGGTAACCTCTACAAATCCTTCTCTAATAAAACGCCCCCTAATCGCCCAATTTCGTTCGCATCCAGTGCGTCGTAACCACCCGAGACTGCGCCGTGGAAATATGGGACCCCAACGAGGGGCCCTCCTATCCCAAGGGCTTCACCTTCGACTCGACCTACGACCAAGACTCCACCACGGAGGTCATCTACAATGACATCTGCTACCCCCTCATAGAGGTGAGTCCCTCGGCGAATCCCCACGGGCAATTCACGCATTTACCGCCCCTTCCAGAGCGTCCTCGAAGGCTACAACGCCACGATATTCGTCTACGGCCAAACCGGCTGCGGCAAGTCCTTCACCATGGAGGGCGCCAAGTCGGACGGGCCCCAAAAGGGCGTCATCTCGCGGACCTTCGAGCACATCTTCGAGGCCATATCCGTCACCACGGGCGTTAAATACCTGGCTCTAGTCAGCTACCTCGAGATATACAACGAGCAAATTAGGTAAACTACTAACTACGAATGACCTTGGTCTTGATGGTTCAAATTCCTGACCCCATTAACAATGTTTTTCAGAGATTTGCTACTGCCAAATGAAAAGTCCATATCGCATTTAGCATTGAAAGAGACGCCTAATGAAGGTGTCACGGTACCGGGTAAGTAGTATCTCCCGATGGATACATCCGGATGGGGTCTTAACGAGTATAGAACTTGCAGGATTGTCGGTGTTGCCGGTGCACAACGCGCAGGAATGCGAACACCTGCTGAACGTCGGCTCGAAGAACCGGATGATCGGCGCGACGCTCATGAACCAGAACAGCTCTCGTTCTCACAGCATATTCTCGATCAGCATCGAGCAGATCAGCAACGTGAACAACAACGAGAGCATCAGGAAAGGTGCCCGAGCGCGGGACGCGGCCCGATTGTCGCGCTATAAATTCGAATTTTGCTTCTAGGTAAACTGAATTTGGTGGACCTGGCGGGGTCCGAAAGGCAGACGAAAACCGGAGCGACGGGAGAAAGGCTGAAGGAGGCCACCAAGATCAATTTGTCACTAAGTGCCCTTGGGAACGTCATTTCCGCTTTAGTAGACGGAAAGGCGAAACATATTCCTTACAGAGACTCCAAACTGACACGTTTACTACAGGTAAACTACGAACCAACACTTTTACATAAATTGTACTCGTATATTTCTTCATTAGGACTCCTTGGGAGGGAATACCAGAACTCTAATGATAGCTTGCATTAGCCCTTCGAGTCGAGATTACATCGAAACATTATCAACTCTGAGATACGCGAACAGAGCGAAAAATATCCACAACAAACCAATCGTCAACGAAGTAAGTAAATTAGTCAAAGCCAATCATCCTACTCGACTGAGTTGAATTAAATTGCAGGACCCCAAAGACACGATCCTCCGCCAGTACCAAGAGGAAATAGCGCGGCTCAAGAACCTACTGGGAACCAAGCAAATCGACGACATACAAGTGGAGGATCTGACGATGGTGCCGGAGGAAGAGCTGCACCAGCCCGCGCCCGTCGACGACCTGGACACCAAGAGAGACGACCTGCTGCTGCAGTACCAGCGCGAAACGGAGAAGCTGCGGCACCTCCACGAGAACGAGAAAATCGAGAAGGAGAACGTCCTGCGGCAGATGCGGGCCATCAAGGCGGAGTACGACGAGAACATCAGGAAGCTGAACGTGGAGATCGGCAAGAAGCAGGGCAGCTGGTCGGAGGAGGAGATCCTGCGCAGGATCGAGGCGTTGAAAGCCGCGATGATCGGCGGGGAGAAGGCCAACGATAAGGAGCTGTCGGAGAGGCGGAAGAAAAAGAAGCAAGCCGCGGAGGAAAGGGCCAGCGTGATCGCCCGGTTGCTGGCCAAGATGGACATGAACGAAGACAGGGAGCTGCTCCACAACCAATACAAGGACATTAGCCAAGAGCTCATGCTGAAGGCGGAGGCGCTGCGGAGGTACAAGCACAGGGTGAAGATTCTCGAAAAGGAGATCTTAGATATACAGGGCGAGTTCGAAACCGAGCGGCAGGATTATTTGGAAACCATAAGGAAGCACGAAAGAGGCATCGCTTTGTTGACACAAATCTCCGAGAAACTCGTGGGGACTTTGAAAAAAGAATGCAATTATTGGTGAGTTAAATGCATTTTACACTAAGTGCAATCCTCAACTAGACGCATTTGTAGCGACCTGGAAGGTATAAAGAAGCAGGCGATTTGGTTGGAGGACTTCCAGAAGTACAAGCTTCCGGACCTGGTGGTGCCGCGCACGAAGCTTCCCCCGGCCGGTAAGATTTCAAATTTTTCGGGTGTCGTTGAAAGAATGTCCGCTCGAATTGTCGGGAGAATAACGTTAAGTTGATCTTAGGCCGGCCGTGCGACATTCAAACAGCGCCGGGCCGCTTAGAAGGCGAGGAAGAGCAAATCAAAACCGCCGAAAAAAATATCACCCGGCCGTTTTACGAGGTGAACGATGTGCATAAGGCTTTAGATGTTTGCTAGAATTTTTCGCTTTGAGGAAATGATTGAATTAAATGTACACGCGGTCGAACGGAACGAAATTTTGCGGATGATTCTTTTGATATTACTTTTTCTATGGCTGAATATGTTCAGGGTGATCGGAGGTGTAGCTTCGGATCGCTCTGCAGATTTATTTTAAATATTCATTTACTCTTTATTGCACGCTGCTGCATGACGATATACTCGTATATTGTATATCTATAGAACAAAACCACAACGGCTTATCTTCTGGCGAATCCAATAAATCTAGAAGCGATTTTGCTAGCCCATATCTTTACTACGATGAGGTATTTTTGCCGATTTTTTACGACCACTTCTTCGCAAATCTAGAGTTAGATTCGTTGAGTTCTTTATACAAACACTACACAGCTTCACGTTCTAATGAAACTTTATTATAACCACAACAAATATAAGTTGTTCCACAATTCCTGATGCTAAATAGTATCGGACAAGCACAACAAATTGATCGCAATTATGATTTATAACCCGCATTATAAAGCACGCTTTTATCCATCTACAGCTCGTTTTTTTTAAATATTCTAATTTCTACCGCAGAACGATATTGACAGAGAAGACATTATCGGGAGCTACTTTCAACCGACGACGAAAAGAGCGCACGAATTGCTCAGACAATCAGCTAAATTGGATCCCGGTTTAGTGATCGAAAAGTGGAAAGGTAAGTCGAATGATTATGAGATTTTGCGAGAGACTCGCGCCGTTTATCTAACTCAAACAGGCCGAAATGGCCACAACCACATTTCAGATTTCATCAGAAGAAACAAGAGTACGGAGAACTTCAACGGGCGCGTGTCTCCGGTTAATAACCATCCGGCTACAGACGATGCTATCAGAGCGAATCATTTGTACATGAACGGTAATTGAGGATGGTAAAAATTTTGTGATTGTTCGAGATTTGTGTTTTTCTAGGGCGCTCTTCGAACAACGACTACAATTCGAGAAAACCATTACGACTTGAAGCGTTGCCAAACATTGCGAAACACCATTTTCCAGGGCACCTAAATAAAATGGAATTTTTGTAAATACATATTATATCACAATGTGTGATAAGCTCGGTTGTGGTTGATCATACGAAATTTCGAAAAAAATCATTAAATGCTATATAAAATAATTTTTAATAAGGGTTTGTAAATTTTTTAAAATCATAATTAAAGACTCGATTTATCTGTTAATTGTTGAAATATAAATTGTAATTGTTTGCGCGTTGAACCAAGTGTGATACAATGTATAAATATTTTAATACTTATTTTTACGGAAATAAATATATTCGGTATAATTATATTTTTAATATATACAATAACCTACAATTCAATCGATTAAGAGAATATTACAATTATATATTTGGATAGAAATTTATGTTGGGTTCAAACCTTCTTGGAATGTTAAGGTTTGCCTGCCTTGAACCTCTTTCTGCATGTCTAATGCTTTAGACTTGTATTCGTCGGCTAATTTTTGGTTCTTTTCGACACCTGGAACGTTACTATATACAGTAATACGATTTATTTAAATTTAAGGAAAGTGCACCTTCTCCTTTGGCATACATTTGACTTAAATTGGCGCAACTGTACATGTTTCCCAAATTACATCCTTTCAATGCAAATTCGAAAGCTCTCGTCATATCTTTAGCTACTTGGTAATCATCTGAATTACCTTTGTCAGTCAAAGAACCGGGAAGATTATCTTTTTTTATTCCAACTATGTACATTCCCGATAAATAGTAACAGGCGTTTGCGTTCTCGTATTTACAAGCTTTCTCTAGAATTCGCATACCCTAAAATGAAGTAAACAATCGTTAAAATCATTACTAATGAATCTTCTTAAAACTTCTTACTTTTTGAACATCTTGTTTGACTTCAGGCTTGTCATTTTTAGTGACTAATAATAAACCTTGATTTAAGCACGAATCTGGCTCATCTAAGTTACATCCCTTTTCGAAATAATCGTACGCTATTTTAAAGTCTGCCTTCTTCGAACCCCTGCCCAATAAACTATAAGTACCATATTTCAAACAACTTTTTCCGTATTTGTAATCATCACAGTTTGTCTTATAGACCTTACCGGCCTTTTCGAAGTCTTTCTTTATCGATTCCAAGAAATCGGCTAGTAAATGGCAAACTAGAAAGAAAATTTGAATTGCATAAAAAGAGGTTATGTAATTGCGTGTAATTTAAATACCTTCCGGTTTTTTTTCGCTGTAACAACCAAAGCGGTATTCTATTCCCAAGTTATTAATATATTCCTTTACTTCACTCTCGGATTTGAAATTGTAGGCCATATTTTCAAATACAAATCATGCGATTTCGTAAATTGGTTGACATTTCAAGTTCTTCGTTTTATTTAGTTTTTTACACTTTTTGCTTTAGCTATAACTCTCTAGGACATACAGCTACTTTCGATGGTTCAAAAAACTGTTTAAATTTACTTATTTTGACAAGTTGATAGTATTTCCATAATAGTGAAATATAATATTAATTAAAAACTTACTTATACAGGTTTTTATACAAAATTTCTTTGCAATAAGAAAAAATATCACTAAATGAATGAGCACATCGTTGGAGGCCAAACTTTTAGTTTTGTAAAGAAGAAAAAGTAAGCCTACGTGACGAAAACATAACCAAACATATTTAAAAAAAACAAGGAAATTGTAATTTATAATGACGAAGCTCACTTTTTCTTCTAACGAGGCTGTAAGTTTGGAAAAGCAGGTAGATTTGCTGTGTACACCAATCGAAACGAAACCAGAAGACCTAGAAGCCGTATACGAAATATCCAGGTGCGCTGAATGGATTCGAAGTAACAATTTTAAAAAGGTGATTTTTTTATTATTGTCAGTGAATTCTACTATACTTGTTTGATTTCTAGGTTTGCTTACAATTTCCAGATCATTTGCTAGCGGATTCGAGCGAAGTCATCTTAAGACTTCAAGGAATTCTAAACCAAACTGTATACCTTTTAGGAGACACTGCATACGAGAGGTATACTTTACATTATAATGCCTTTGTAAAATATGTTATGAAGTTTGATTGTACTTGATTCATTTTACGAATTATTTTATTTGTAGCTGTTGCATTGATTACATTGCTGCCGCTCATATTGATGCGGATGCGATAATTCATTTTGGACCCGTTTGTTTCTCGAAAACATCTGCAAGTTTACCTTACATCAATATTTATGAGAAAAAATCTCTGGATCTAGAGAAATTAAGGGCTCAATTTGAGGAAAAATTCAATGATGAACAATATGAAATTGTTATATTGGTAGATACAATTTATTTGCATCTTTTTGGTAAGCTTATTTAAGTGAATATAACTGTAGAAATTAACGAAGTGAATTTCAGATGCATTGGAAAAGGTTTTTCGAGATCTTTGTAATGTTTCCCTTCAGAGGATAGATGCAATCGAATGTAATCAAACATTTAATTGTCTTTGTTTTTTGAGCGATAACGATCGTAAACTACTTAATGTTGCTCTAAATTTCAAACGTAAGTTGATTCTATATTTACGACTGAATGTCCATTTATTTAGTATTTTTTCAGCTAAAATATTGTACTATTATGACGGGAATATAAAAGTATTTGAAAACGCTTCCAAAGTTGTAAAACGAAGAAACTTTATTATCGAAAAGATAAAAGACAGCGAAACTGTTGGTATTATAATTGGAACCTTAGGAGTCAAGAATTACCTAGAAATTTTGGCACGAACAAAAACTTTAATATCCAATAGCGGCAAAAAGTACTACTTAATTAGTGTAGGAAAACCTACAGTCGCTAAATTAGCCAATTTTCCAGAGGTAATTATTACCCTCTACATACCAATCAATTTAATAACACTTGCATTATTTTCCAGTTGGACATATACGTTGTAATAACATGTTCTATGAACGAAATTTACGAGAGCCGGGACTTCTACAAACCGATCGCAACTCCATTCGACATTGAAATTGCTTTAAACCGTAACGCAGATAGTATATCGGACTTTACATACGATTATAACGCATTCTTAGGTAATACAGAGATTGCTTCGAACACTGAAGCAGTCGGAGATGTGAGCCTGTTAACAAATAAACTTCGTGTACCTGTTACCACAGAAGAAATAAAAGATCCGGAAGATACTACGGTCGCGGTAAAAGATGCTGGTACGATAGCTTTGAGTAATTCCGGAGCAGGTTACTTAGCGCAAAGGTCCTGGCAGGGTCTGGAGCAGAATTTGGGACGAACAGAGCCTCATTTAGCGAAGGAAGGACGAGATGGTATCCCTTTACATTATCGCAATGAAGAACATCAATAAGTAATTCAGCTTTAAAATACTTATAGTAAAGTGCATTGTATATCTTTCAAATATAAATATTCATTTCTGGGATTGGTGTTACTTGACTTGTTTTGATTTTTAAAATTTATATTTGTTTTAGAATTAATTTTTTTAATTCATTAAATTGGCTGACGACTTATTAGGTAATTATTAAAAAAGAAGAAAAATAAAAACTAAAAATTTAAGTTGGTAACGTTCCATTTAATGAACTGTCAAAATTGTCATGTCATTTCTATTTATGGCGGTTGGCGTGTGGTGCGTGGTTTAGCAAGAGGCTTGTTTGTGCATTCTTTATTTATAGAAAATTGTGTAAAAAGGCCGAATTTCATAACATTACAAAAGTAAATTCCTTTACGACTCTATTAAACTGATATTTTTCAAGTATTTGTACTTTAAACAGGCTTATTTCAAGGTCATTCCATTTTTTTAGGACGACTCGGTTTCTGATGTGAATCCATCGTGAATAATTTTCCAAAGTGATACATTTTTATTTAATCGCATTTCCGAGTGGCTAATTTTAACCGACAAAGGTAAAAACGATTCATTAGGCCCGTAATCGATTGTACTTACATTTTTTTTGTCTTCAGATGGTGCTGGATGTCGAAAAACTTTCCGATGCCGAACTTCGCACTAAACTCCTGGAATTCGGTTTCCCGGTGATGCCGATCACCGGTACAACCAGGAAAGTTATGGCGAAGAAATTGAAAATGTTGCTGGAGAACAAAAACAAGATCGGAAGCGAAGGGGGTAGAAGGTATTTTAAACCTCACTACTGATAATTAATCGTTCGTTACAATTAATTTTTTTAACGTTTTAGATCCCTAGGGCGTTATTCTAGCGAGGAAGAGAGTGATACAGAAGTGAAAGTCACCAAGAAGAAAGATAATAGAAGGATTACGATGGGCGCTGGTACTTTGATGCAACCCCCTGCTGTTAGCCCGAAAATAAAGAAAGCAAATCGGTTTGTTGAAACTCCCGAACCAGAGGTACTTCATCTAAACATTAATATATAATATGAAACTTAATCCTGTTTTATATTACAGTTTACTGTGAGTCCAGTGAAGCGAGACATTCGTACTACAACATCGGTATCGACTAGAAGCCAGAAAATCGTGAGCAGTACCTCCGATGATTTCGATACTGGCTCTGACTCAGAATCAGACATCAATTATCTATCTTCGAAGGTTGCCTCTGATGGTAGAGGATCTACGTCCAAGTCATCGGCGCCTTCAGGATTGTATTCGCCACCAAAGACGCTGGAATCTTCTTATTCCTCTACAAGAAACATATCGTTCAACACCAACACTTCTCCTAGCAGACACTCTACTTATAATTCTCCTTCATTAGCATCGGAGTATGCTTCTGATCGATTGAACCAGATCAGGTCTCGCCTCAGCCTCAACAGCCCAAGTATGCTTTACAATTGTTCAATTTTATACGTTACATAAATAACATATTGTCATTTTACTGATATTTACTTTATTTTAACAGCGTACGAGAAATCTTATTCGGCAGTTAATCAAGAAAAAGTGGAGACCCCTTTTCTGAGCAACTTCACGAAGCGCTTGTCGAATTTATCTTCTCAAAGGAACGACTACGATTACAAGAATGATATTATTAAGGAACAGGACGTGAATGGGTCGTCGAGTTATGCCAGGTCCCAATTGAGCAGGTATAATTAATGTTTTAATATCGGAATAAAGTATAAGAGGAAGGTTAATTGCTCAAGTATTAATGTATTTTTATTATTAGTTACAGAACAAGGGGAAGAGAACCGACTTATGATTATCGAGCCAACAGGAACAATATTCTGAAGAATAATTTTGTTTCGTTTGCTGTGCTGGCTGGGGCCGCTTTATTTTTTGTACTACTGGCTATCATGTACATGGGAATGAGATCTGACACTTCTGTTATTTCTTCTGGTAAGAGCAACCCTTATATACCGAAATAGTTCTTTACGATTCTTTTAAAATATTTTAACAAAAACTAACATCTCTATTAATCTGTTGTTAAAGAAATTATCTAATTTTTGATCTGTTTTCACAAAAACGGGATATTTGATTTTGATCTTATTTTTATATATTAATTACGATAATAACTTTTTAATGTTAGTCGGTTAAGGAAACCAGTTTTGGCCATTTATAGTATAAGTTTGTAAACCAGATGTGGTAATTTTTTAAATTGTATAATTTTTTAATAAACAATAAATATTTTGTTCTTCTAAATACTGTTTTTATTTTTTTTACGTTGCGACCTTTTTGTAACCTAGTTGAAATTTCGAATATTTTGGATCAAAATATTTATTGAACATTAAAAAATATTACTTGCTTACTTATTGATTTATTTGCTTTTGATCCATGTGCTTCATTATCTAGGAATATTTTTTAATCATATTTCCTAACTATTCAATTAACAATACATTTGAAAACCTTTCGTCGATGGAAGTAAAAAACCTAAATAACGTTAAGTGTACGTGTTTGTTTTCAGATTATATCGTGCCGCAATGTATTATAAACGACCCGACATCGAAAAAATTCGTGAACTGCGTGCCCGAAGAGAACGTGTCCACCGCCCTGCACTTGCTAAACGTTATCAAACCGGAATTGCACAAAAGAGCACTGGCTCACAAATGCTTCGATCCCACCATCAAACCCCAAATGACCGAATCGGAAATAATCAATTTCTGTTTGACGAATTTCGCTATAAAGGTAAGTCGAAACCTCTTCGATGATTTTGCATTACCAGAAGCATTTAATCACGACTTGATTTTTCAGGACCACGTCCAAATTAAAAAGGATTTAAACAATTTGTTGATAATGACTTTTAACAATCCCGAATGGGGCTTGAGCGTAGCCCAAACCGAGGACAATAACGGAGCCGTAACCGAAAAAGATCTACCCAAAAATATGGTTCGTATGAATTTCTCTACAATTTCGAACACAAACCCAAACGATCCTTCCATTTTTAGGAGCAAGTTATATTTAATTTGGAAACCAAATTGACCAGCCTGGTGATTTTAAATCCGTCGTTGCCTTGGAAGTGCACTTTCTTCAAAAGCTTCTATTTAGTAACGAATAGCCTAATATTTATCGTAATAGTTTTCGGCTGCCTCTATCTAATCAACTTGGGCTACAAATACTACAAGCATCACGCGCAGAAGGAGAAAGACGAAGTCAGCTTTATGGTGGAAAAAATCGTCGATATATTGCAGATGCACGCCAACGATGAACAGAACGATAATTACCTAGTAATCAACCACATTAGAGATATGATTCTACCGGTTGGAGATAGACAAAGTAAGTGATTTTATTCTACTACTATATGATTAGCTTACGGGATGATTATTCTTTTAGAAAAGGCCGTTACTTGGGCAAAAGCTGTGAAATTCATCAACGAGAATGAATCTAGAATCAGGACGGAGGTGCAGGAAGTGAAAGGGGAGCCATTCGAAGTGTGGAGATGGATAGGGCACACGAGCGTGAGCTTGAGCGGGTAAGTACCATATGCTACACTATTTCGTGTAAATAATATTAAAATTACTAAATTTACTTGTGCGCACACGTTCGTCCCGAGAGATAATCTTAAAAATTAACAACCTCGAATGTAAAAACATCATTCAATGTTACAATTCCGCATATTCTCGTCATATTGAAAGGTTGGTAATTTTTAATATTGTCTACTTTTCAGGGACATCTCTGAATTCAAATATCGACCGGGAAGGAGAATCGTCGATCCGCAATATCTGATAGAGGAGACGCTAAAGTTTCCGCATAGATTTTTAAGGCTCTGCAAAAACACCGACGTTGCAATTAAGAACGAAATCAAAGAGGGTTTCGTGTCGATATTCATTTTGGAATGCAAGAAATGCAAAGTTAAACAATCGATCTGCAGCGAAGAGCTCGAATCGGACTATTTAAGCGTGAATTTAGCATTCGTGGCAGGGATTTTAAGCTTGGGGTTGAGTTTGTACACTTTGAACGAATTGTGCAGTTCTTTGCGGATTCCCGGCGTTACTGCGGAGGATTTTAGCCGCTACGTCGACGAAATATACCAAATTTACAACGATCCTGTGTCGGACAGCGAGAAATCGAGTTCGTTTCAAACGCCTGCTAAAACCTCCACTCCCATTCGTCGCACCGAAGATGTATACGGATTGAAAAAAAACGCGTTCTTAAAGCAATTGGAACGCCTTCCCGGCGATGTCGAAAAGATGACTAGAAATCAAGTTAACAACCCGGTGTGGTTCGAAGAACGAAGAAAACGCCTCACCGCTTCCAATTTCGGGCGCATCTGCAAATTACTGGATACCACCAACAGAAAGAAAGTCGTTGAAAGTCTGCTTCACGATACGTTTAAAGGGAACATTTACACTAAATGGGGCACCGACAACGAACCGTGTGCTCGGAGCAACTTCGAAAAATTACTCAATGTAGTCGTGAAAGATTGCGGATTGTTCGTGCATCCGGATTATCCGTTTCTAGCCGCCTCACCGGACGGTTTAATAGAACCCGATGGGTTGGTGGAAATTAAATGCCCCTACAAGGCCAAAGAGGTGGCGCCCGACGAGGGCATCGAGAGCGGTCTCATAAAATACGCGAAACTGGAAAAGGGCGCTCTCAAATTGAACAAAGAAGACAAATATTATTACCAAGTACAAGGGCAGCTGTTCGTAACGGGCAGGACGTATTGTTATTTCGTAATTTGGACCCCGAAGGGTTTATTGTACGAGAAAATACTCAGGGACGAACAACTTTGGAACAAAATGTTGCCCAAGTTGGAGGAGTTTTATTTCGATCATTTGCTCCCCGCTCTTTTGAAGGAGTAGAAATCAACGTGTTTGACACATTTTATATACCTAAGTTGACTATAGATCTGTATAAGGCTTTGTGATGTATAAGAATTTTTTTAATATTTAATCTCTAAGCACACTCTTTATTAACGACGAATAAGGCATAATTAGAGTTTTATTGTTGTGTTAAGTATTATTTGCATTTTTCTATAGGCAGTACTTTTATGTGATACATAATGTAGGTTTGTTTTCATTGTAATAACAATGGTTTTTTTTATAAAGTTTATACACCACTATGTTACGATAATAAACACTTATATTCTCTTATTTATTGTTAATATAATGTCGATAAATCCTAAATAACGATGTGGAGTCATATTGGCTCCTATCAATCCAATTAAAAACGATAATCCGGCAGCATTACATATAAAAATTGTTCGGTTTATTTTCCAGATCGCCGAAGAACAAAAGCTGGCAAGGCCAGGCGTTCGAGACGCAGGTGGGCTCCGTCAACAGTCTGCCCTGTTCGCCGACGCCCTGCCTGAAGATCCGCGGCATGGTCGAGGAAGGGGACCGCAACACGCACATGATCAGAGAGGCGGTGCTCAGCAAATGCGCCCACCAGTGTCGCATCCTGCACTGCGCCGCCGACACCACCACCAACGCCGTTTACCTGAAATGCGCCGATCCCAACGACGCCGCCGTCGCCTACAGGAACCTCCACGGATGGTGGTAAGCATTCCATAAAAAATTCGCTGGTTAATCTGGCCCTAAAGTTGGTACGTTTTAAAATGACCATTTGCTTAATCCCTAGTGACCAATGTTGATTTTACCATTTGGCTAGGGGAATTTTACGACGCGCGGTAGAAATGCCGATGCGTTGTTGCCATATCGTTTGTCTCAAAATTTCGCTATTTGTAGTCGATAGGTTTTGACTAATTTGTTGTTTTTGCGACTTTCCCGGTGATTTTTGTCGTTTTCTGGAACGTTTCGTAATGATTCTAGACACTTCTAAACGATTGTAGACAGTTTTAAATGATACTGGAGCGTTCTTAATGATTCTGTACAGTTCTAAATGATTCTGGAGCATTCTAAAATATTATAGACACTTCTGTACCGATTCTGGAGCGTTTTAAATGATTGCCAGCGATTTTTGCTATTTTTTTTTGCTCTGCTTACGAGTAGTTTTTGTGTTTTTAGTCCGTTTTCGATATTTTTTTGTGCAGTTCCTGTACGTTTATCATTTTCTCCCGCGTTTTCTATGCTATTTTTCGTGAGTTTTTGGTGTAATTTTCGCGCGTGTGTAATTTGTGTCTCCTCCCGATGTTCTTTTTCATGTTTAAAATTCTGCTATTTGTGGATTTCGATTATGATCCGGCAACGTTGCAACAGACTGGCTCGTGACGTCATTGTCGTGTTAAAACGTACGAACTTTACCTCCCCTGTGAGCCTGATTGTTAGGCAACCAGTTTAACTTTACCTTCGCCTACACTCCGGAGAAAGTTGGGGAGTATCTATCTAACTAAAGAGAAATTTGAATATTGGATTGTTTTGCAGGTATGCCGGTCATCTAGTAACGGTGAAGTACTTACGTCTTGAGAGATACATGCATCGTTTTCCGGATTCCCCGGCTAGCGGCCCGCCGTATTTGCAAGCCGTCACGCCCGCCGCGGATTGGTCTAGTTAATTAGAGGAACGTAAAGCTGGTAATTTCGACGAATTTTTCAAGAATTTAGTTGTATTTCGATTGATTAGGAATGCTCGTTAAAAAAAAGGAACTAAAAAAACATTTGCGGGACAAGTATGTTTTGACCGTCGGCGATGGTAAGGCGAAGTGTTAATTTTTGTTTCCGATAAGGCTGACTTGAATTTTTTTTACGGTTTTGAAGCTGTTTTACGTATTTTAGAATTAATTTCTCGTTTGTTTGTTTCATTTGAGTTACGCGTATAATAAAATTGTTTAGATTATTTAACGTAATTTGTGGTTCGTATTGAATTGAAAGTACATACTTTTAAATTGAGGATTCTTCACTGCAATTGTGAAAGAATAGTTAGTAAAATTTGTCTCATTTATCGTTATCTGTCTTCTAAAGATCAACCATTATTTTGCAACTTTTCATACAGTAGATTTCTTTTGTTTTATTCTCTTGTTGGAAAAGCAACAAAACACACTTTCATTAAACAGATTTGTTACAATATTCGAATTAACCAACATCGACTTTTCATCTGATCTCCCGATTTTAGTATTTGCACAACGAAGGCTTTAATTTTGATTGTTTTTTTGCCTCCAAATATCTGAAGAAAGCTTGGTACTTCCGTAATTTAAATGTATTGTGCCTCATTGAAGAAGACAGTGGTAGTTATCTAATTAGTCGATGTAACTTAACACTTTTTTTGTTGAATCGTTGCAAACCATACGATCTCGAATTAGCGGACGAGAAAACTGCGGTATTTTCGTTCATTCGCGTTTGGTGTATTCACACAATTTATTTTGCAGACTATCGTACATTTATGGTTGTAAAAAAATCTTATTTCGATTGATTTTTTTTGTAAAATAGGTAAATTAAAATTTTAATATCTGTTGTATTTTAATGACATTAAATTTCTATTAAAATGCATTATTTATTTAATTGTTTTGGTACAACCGAAAATACAAAAAGTAACAAATCAAAAAATATAACAAGTATATGGGGTTTTGCGAAGAGATGCGTATGTATAAAAAGTTAGAGTTAAAAAACAAAAAATCAACAAATAATGTAGTTCATTTACCCTTGTTGTTTTTATAAAAAATATTTTATAGGTATAAAAATACTTTTACGAGATATACGTTTTGTATACGTAAAATTGTTTATAAACAAAGCTTTCATATTGCACTTTACGACAAATACACTGGAAAGCGTCTCGATCCTTTAGTAAATATTACAAAAATTTTTGCTATACGATACAAGCCGAATGAAAATTGCAGATAAAAATTTTTGCATTACACTAAACGTTACAATTTCGAGTATACTTTTGATACATTCCGAGCTTAATTTATAATAAATTGAGTTTGATTTCAAGAATCACAATCTGCGATGAATGCTTACGGACGCTCAATAACATTCGAAAAATTGCAGCAAAAAACAAAATAGGACCAACGAATTTTACTGATAAGCAAAATTGCCTACGTTATACGCCACTATGGTTACATGATCCAGCTTTCCCGGTAAATTTTGAACCTTCTCCAACCCCCTTTTCCTTCTTATTTTCTTCTCCTGATTGGTAACTTCAACTAGAACGCCACCTTTATTCTCGAAATACAAATCCGGATCTTCCAATGTCCTTCTCTTCGCCGAAGTTATACTCATGGTGTAACTTATAAGATTTTCGCACAATTTCTTCGCGTGCGTACAAGGAGAATCTTTCCCTAAAAACCAAACCAAATAAGCAAATACATTTTTAAGTACTTTCTAAACATCTTACCAGATATACCATTCTTCAAAATATCCTCCATCAACAGCAATTGCAGCTCGTACCTCTGAATAGGCGTAACGAAGGGAACACCATCTTCATTTCTAGCTATGTGCCGCGCGTTCGACGATCTCATATCGATGGCGGTCTTGGACCTCAGAAACTTGTAACCCGCTTCGATTTTCCCGGGCGAATCGGCCTTGTCCTGCGGCGCTCGCAGCGTCTTGCTCCCCGTCGCTTTGGGCGTCACCGGCCTCTGTTTCTGACTAGAATCGGAAGCTTCGTGTCGAAATTGACTAGCGATCTGACGCCGGAGACTGCTCGCCCTATTCTCCGCCACCGGGGCCGATTTAACACCTGAAATTTCATTTACACCGCGTTTTTATTAGTGCGTTATTAACGGAAGAATAGTAACGCTTGCCTTTGTTGGATTTATTGCTTTCTTCCAACGAATTTTCCCTCATAAAGGCTGCTACGAGCGGGTTATCGTACTCTACCGGTGCGTTCGAACTATTTACTACAGTTGAGTTAGAGCTAATTTCACTAGGGGTTTGTTCTATCGATAGTTCCTTAGGAATGTCTAATTGCTTGGAATGTTCGCTAGGCGTGGGTGTATTCGTTTTACCGTGCATCGACACGTTTTCTATCGAAGGTGATGAGGACTTTTCCGTCGCGCTGCTCTTCAAGCTGCTCCTTTCGGCTGAGTTCCGACCTACCCAATGAAATATTTATGTGTAAATCATGTTAGAGAGATGTTATTGAATCTACAGGTGCAAGGAGTTGACGAGAGGAAAAAATTGTGTTGTTTTGTAAACTATTCCTCTCGTTAACTCAATCCAGGGACACATTGTAGATTATTGTTATTCGAGTCTGTTTGCGCGCACCTGAAATATCCCGCATTTTCGATTTCCGAGGAGGTTTAACGGGAGGCTTCTGCGCCGGCGTTTCCACCAATCGCACGGGCTTCCTCTCCTCCGAAGGCTGCTGCGCCTTTTGCCTCGTGCTCGGCTTCTTCGCCGGCTGTTCCGCCTTGTTATTCACCGTGAATTTACACACGTTCGGATCGAAATTGTCCGTAAGCCCGTCGCTCGCCACCATCACGATGTCCCCTTTTTGCAACGTGGTCATCGACAACGTGAGATTGCTGAGCTCCGGGTTGATCCCGTCGACGGGGCCCAGCGCTCCCAGCGCGTCCCTCATGTCCCTGTTGCTGTAGACGTCGTGCGAACCTACCGGAAAACGGGTTTAAATACTATCGCGACTAAATATTTCGCTGTCGATCTACCTTTGGTGAGTTCCCGTACGCCGTACGCGGTGGAATAAACGTAAGCCAAGGTATCTCCAACGTTGCACACGCAACACACGTACCGGGTGTCGGTCTCCGGTCTTTCGTCGCCGTTCGAGCAGCCGCTTCTCTCGATTTTCCGCTTCAACGGTAAAACGACGGCGACGGTGAGCGTCGTCAGCATGCCCTGAAAACGCGCTCTACTCTAAATCTACTCTACTCGAGTAATAAATACATTTCTGCGGCCGATTTGCTATGCTTACTTTGTTCTCTAAGATGAGATCGTGGGCGCAGTTGAAGGCGCGCAACAGGCAGACGAACACCTCTCTGGTGTTGCCGACGAGGTTGGTGGTTTCGTCCAATAAACTGGCGTTCGATATGGAACTTTCGTCAGTCTTTACGGTCAAATTCTCGAAGGGCTTCGAGTCGTTGAATATGGTTTGGTTCAGATAGTGCAGGCTGCCGTGCACGGCCGATTTGGCCGCTATACTGGCTTTTTCTCCTACAAAAACGTATTTATAACACCCGATGGCTAAGCGACGATGATTATTTCGTACCCCAATTAACACCGTCCGCTACGGCTAAGATAGCGGAGTCCTTTCGGGCGATGATGCCGAAACAATCGGCTATTGGGTCGCCGTTTTTGTGTTTGGTGACCTGGTTTCTGTCGTAGAGGGAGTCGGAAAGGCCGTACACGAAGTCCGATTTCCAATTCCATTCGGTGGGAAGGGCCTTGTCGCCGTTGTCGTCGGGAAACGAGCTAGCAGAGTCCGTTGCGTCGTCGCCTAAAACGTAAAAGGCCGCTTTAGATGTTGCAGCTACTCCCGGTTTCGATTAGTAATTGTGCAAAACTTCGCGATAGGGGAATGTTAATTAAAATCGCAAGCTTGTGAGGGGTAAATCGTTGCATGTAGTCGAGGGTGAAAGAATATAAAACGTGTAGGTTAGAAGATTCTGAATAGAATACTAAAAGTGTGTAATATATTGAATTTTCGTTGATTATATTAACAATAGAGTAAGGCTCTTCTTTGTGATGTTATTCATTTCTGTATACAAACATCCTTGTTTTTATCTACTATTGTAAAACGATATTATATTCTTTTGCTTAAAAAATAAGCAAGGCCAGATCATAGCTCATTTTTCAAGAAAACAATTCGAAGGTTAAAGCACATATTATTTACACGCAAAGTTAGTAAATTTATTTGTTAAAATAAATAAAAATAAACCCCACAATCAATTTTTCCAAGTTTTTAATACAAGAGCTCAGTAAATTTTCCGACACCAATAACATTTAAAATCCTTTAAAAGTATTTTAATTTTTAATATAGGAGATTAGAATAAATTGAAAATGTGAGGAGTAAATTAACAAGTTAAAAAAAATTAGTAAGTAAACTTGAGCTTGCTTATTTTTGCTACACAATAGGCATGCAAGTGTAAAAAATCTAACTTAAGACCATGCTGTATTACTTTAACAATAATAACAGGAAATCCTACTTAAAATTTAGAGGCATTCAAGACAAGAATTAGTAGTAATTCAATTTTATCCAAGTACATACTTTTCAAACAGAAAAGAAAAAATAATTGGATCACTATATTCAACACAACTGATCATACGGATAAATTATAAATAAATTCAAACCTAGCAGGCATAAAAAAATAAAACATAGCAAAAATAAACACAAAATCTACACCATGCTTTAAAACCATTACCCCTGTGAGTTGTAGGCCTGTCAATTTTGATTATCTTTCCTTTTTTCTTGTGATGGAAGGGGTTGCCCTCACTCTTTGATTTCGACAGACTGTAATTCTCATTACGCTTATCATCCACGTCTTTTTCCTGCCTAACGTTCTCCCGTTTTCTCGAGCTCGCTTTCTTTGCTTGAGCAACATCTTTCTTATCCTTGCACGCTTTGCTAGCTTCCTTACTTAATTGCGCTTCATCGCATTTATCGCTACTCGCATTCCTGCATTCGACCGTAGCGCAATTGTTATTGTTCAAACAAAGACTCCTATTGATTTTGGTCTTTTCGATTTCTATTTTAAAGTCCGCTATGCTACCTAAACTGTGACTTTTGCTATGCCTTTTCGGTCTGTTAGTAACGCTGTATTCGTTGCCGGCAACTTTGATCACCATTGTGGTGTTGTCAATGGGTTGCCCGGGGTTCGATTTGATCGGAGATTTTTTTGGCAAAGTGATCGGTACTGAAATAAATAAGTCAAACCCAGTTTGTACGTCCGCATTAATTTATCATTTAAATATGTTAAATAAATTGATTTGAATAGTACGAGTGTCAGGCTAAAAACAATATTATTAAGGACGATAAAAGAAATTTAATATTATAATAAACGTGTGAGTGTATTATAGATAAAGTTTATTAACAAGAAATTTATCAGATTGATTTTTTTTGTAGTAATGAGATCATACTCACCAACTTCATCATCAAGGGTATCGATGAAATCAATATCGTCATCTAATAGAGATAGATGCTTCTCGGTTCTTTTAACGGTTGTAAGGCCTCCGTTAGGGCCGGAATAACAACCGGTTATCGTATCAGGTCCATTAGTGTATGACCCTAATTCGTAATTTGGTAAATCATAGGGAGCCTTTCCATAGATAATAGGAGGGCCTTCCTTAACAGCTATATGGCTTGAGAAATATTTTAATTGTTAGTTGAAAAGCCACGATTTACCGATCTTGCAATTAAGTGTGTGACTTACCCTTGTAGGTACTTGGTTACAAAAGAGTTTTCATTTATGTTATGGCGTCTATCCCTGGGCTCGTTGTGAAAACTGAGTTGCCTAAAATAACTGGACACTCTTTTCCTTAGAGACGGCATGGCTCCGTAGAACGTGAAATTCAGCAATTATAGATTGTTCAAGTTCATTCAACCACCAGTCAATAGTGGTGGTTTCTGCATAACAAAACAGAAACTGGTATCACTAACTTCAAATTTCTAGAATTTACATTATCTAAAATCTAAACGGACGTATTAATTGCAAATTCGAACTGTATCCTAACACATTTTATTAAATTAATAGTATTATTGGTCACACCCAACTACATAAATCTCCTTTTTGAGCACTTGTGCAATGTTTTCGTTGCATTTCACTCCTACACATAGGGGGAACAAGTGTAGAATAAAAAACTATTTACGAGAGTGGCTAAGATTCCAGTTTCGTATTGTTATTATTTCAAACGCAAAATAAAGTAATCAGTTGTTTAAATTTAACTGATATTTAATGACAATAAAATTAATTAAAAAAAACCTGTTATATTTTGGGGCTCTTTTTCTCAAAAGTAACGAATACGTCCTTAGAATATTGTACTGAATTTTTGAAAAGTAAGAGTCATGAAAAGCTAACGACCTACTTTCATCTATCAATCAGAAATCGATGTAATTGAACTACTACTGTCAAATTTGTTTAATTATTAGGTTAATTGTATTGAAAAATCTAGTAAATATTTTTAATTCATCATAATTCTTAGGAATAATCGATTCGAAGATGTCGTTCAAGGAAGATTTAAAACAAATCATCAAGCCGTACTATATATTCAACGTATTATTAAGTACATCTTACATAATTCTGAAGAAAACTCCAGGAGTTTGTAATTACCTCTTTCCTTCAAGTAATTGTGAATTCGATGGGGTAAGTACTAGCACATTATTGGAATAAAATGAGTCTATTATACAATTCAAGGAACTTTTGTTACAAATATACCTCCTTTAATTCATCCACTCGAGTAATATTTAAGTGAATATATTTATTTTTAGAAAGAAACCGAAATATTATTCTTCCTGATAATAATCATTGCCATAAGGACTAGAAAATCGGGTAGCGTCACAATGGTAAACTATTTGTCCTCGAGTTTCATATATACCAAAGTCGCGAACCTAATACTGTGGTTTAGTGCAGATATTATAATGGGAATAATCTACGGAATAATTTTTATTTGTAAGTAACGCTATTTTCATTTTATCGAACACCATTATTCATGTAATTATAATTCTAGTGGGCGCTCTATTGTTTCCCGAACCAACATACGCCGGTCCCGACAAAGTGGTGTATTTCCGAGATGTACAAGGCTTAGACGATGAACTAACGAAGGACAAGAACGTGACGTGGCTGGTGGCATTCTACGCGGTTTGGAATCCGGCGTGCGTTAATTTCGCGCCGATATTCGCCAAATTAAGCACAGTTTACCATTTGGAAAATCTGAAATTCGGGAAAATCGACATCGGGAGGTATCCGGACGCGGGCAAGAAGTATCACGTCAGCGACAGCAGCATGAGCAAGCAATTACCGACTGTAATTTTGTTCCAAGATGGAAAAGAAGTATCCAGAAGACCCATGGCTGACACTAAAGGGAAACTCATCAAGTTTTTGTTCAACGAGGAAAATATTATAAGTGGATTTGGACTGCGCGGTTTGTATGATAACTGTAAAAATCAAATTAAACCCAAGCAAAAACCCCATAAGGATTAGATTCGGAATGCTTTTTTTCTTCATATTGAAGATCCGATTTTTTATTACAAGTCTTGTATTTATTATTATATAGGTTGTATGTAATACAATATTGCCAATTATGACCAAAGAGTTTATTGTGTAATAAGTGCTTGAAGTTGACTCATAAAGCAGCTGTAGACGATGTATGTAAAATATTATATGTGTTTTTGAGTTAAACATTTCATTTCATACTGAACATTTGAACAAACCCCATGTAGTTACAAAACGCGTTGAAATTTGAACATAATTTTATTCTTACAAATTACAATAATAAATTAACTTATTCCGAATCCGAATTAGGTGCTAATACGTTCCCGAGTGTTTGTGATGAGAAAGAATCTTCAAAACATCGACCCAAAACGAGCTTAACCCTTTTGGTTTTTGAGTTTTGTGAAAGCGAAAATCCGTTGAATTCTTCCGATTCTCCATCTTGTTCCATTACATTTGCATTTTCGTCATCCAACAAGCTACGTTTCCTCGGTAGCGCTTCTTCAACTATATCAACGAATTGATTGTTTTTGGAAGTGCTGTTACTGTTTGTAATTTTATGCGGTATCCGATCGAAACTCTCTGAATTAAAACCTTCCTCCCAGTTTTCGTTTAAAAGAACCTGTCGATCTTCTTCAGATATATCTGTATTATTCGTTTGCGTGACTTTAGTGGGTATACTATTAGTGGAATTTGCTTTTTGATTGTCGCTTTGGGGATTCGAAGTAGCTATGAAGAAGTACAATTCAAACGTAGGATTCTTTATTATTATAGACAGAGGTCTGCAAAATGATTGTAAGTACTAGTTTTATCATCAATTAGTAATACTCACTTATCTCCTCTTTCGAAATTTAACGTTAAATTCAACGTAAATGACTCCGCGAAATTCACAGCTGTTCTAAATGGCTTTAATGAAAAATTAATTACAGTTTCTTCGTTTATGCTATACATGGTAAATTCTGTCCCACTTAAATTTACTTGACTTCGTACGGTTTTTGATTTTACTGGCTCACCTTAAATATACAGGATGTTAAATATGTTAAGGTATAATAATGTAGAGAAGACTTACCAACAAAATAATTTCTTACAACAGCTTTATTCGTAGATATTTCGAATAAAATTTCATTATCTAAATTACTGAACATGCCCAAAAGTTGATTGCAGAAGGCGCTCGTCGTACCGATGGTATTACATCCGGTATCGGGTGAGATACCGATTGTTAAGGTTTCCGTATCCATCAGTCTAAGATTGTGGGTCATCAGAATTTCATCACATTTGTACTTCATTCTGAACACGATGTAATCACTATGCTTTGTAAATTCGATTTTCACGTAATCAAACTGAAGATTAAAATGAGATTTTCATCGTTTGTGCAAAGCGAATAAATCGACTTACTACCTTTTTCTCTAGGTGCGTGCCTTTGAACAAAGGCAGGAGGAATTTCATTTGGATTTTACAGGACATTGTACCCGTTGAGTCCAAATCGTTTTCGTTTATTTCATAATTGGAAAAAAACGTGTCTAATAGGTTGCATTGGGAGCATACGGTTTTTCTCGAATTCATTGTTATTAATTTTAGTTGCTTCTTGGAGACCTCGACAAACAAATTGTCTCCGATTTTGCCTAGAGTATATAGGGCTTTGGCAAAAACTAAAAAGCAAGTTCAGTTTTAAAATAAGTAATTGGATATGTGACTTTTTTACAATTACCCTTTAAATTTTGTCCTGGGATAATGCAATTCATTTTTAAATCTTAACAGATCTGTTTATTTATTTTTATTTATCGGCTTATAGGAGGTTATGTCTACGTTAAAAAAAGTAGAGTTAATTTTAACAGTCAGAAGTTAGCAATAGGCACATTTGCAACAAAATCTAATAGTGGATAGAAGACTCAGTGACATTGACATTAATGACACTTTTAAATGACATTTAACATTAACAACTTTAGCAGTGGCAGAAGACGCCTATTATTTATTAACAATTAATTAAAAAAATCAAAGCTATGGTAAAATTTAGCGCCCACTTTGTTATTGACAATAATTCTAACATTTTTTTCTAGTTGGTCTTAGTATTGGGCGATTTACACATTCCTCACAGATGCAGTAGTTTGCCTACAAAATTTAAAAAACTACTAGTTCCCGGAAGAATACAGCACATCTTGTGTACTGGTAATTTGTGCACTAAGGAATCCTACGATTATTTAAAAACACTTGCAAGTGACGTGCACGTAGTAAGGGGAGACTTTGACGATGTAAGTTTAAAATACCATCGATACTATTGAACTTATAATGTACCTCGTAGAATCTAAATTATCCGGAGCAAAAAGTGGTAACTGTAGGACAATTTAGGATAGGCCTCAGTCATGGACATCAAGTAGTGCCTTGGGGAGATCCAGAGTCGATAGCGTTAATTCAAAGGCAATTAGATGTGGATATTTTAATTTCAGGTCACACACATAAGTTTGAAGCTTACGAGCACGAAAGTAAATTCTACATTAACCCAGGATCTGCGACAGGAGCCTATAACGCTCTAGAAACGTATGTTTTATTTATATGAAATGCCAGTTAATAATAACTCTCTTTTAGGTCAATAACTCCTTCATTTGTGTTAATGGATATACAAAATACAACAGTTGTAACCTATGTTTATCAGCTTGTGGGTGAAGATGTAAAAGTAGAGCGAATTGAATACAAGAAAAATTAATTCGAAGATCTGTAGAGGGCGAGTCGATGAAAGAGAAATGTGATTCCTACTCTATTTTTTAGGGAAACCTCTCTACCATTTTTGGTTTAAATACATTCGATAGTTATTTTGAATAACCCATTGTTTATTCAATTTGTACGAGTCGTTTCACTGGCTCGCCCTGTACAAATAATAACATATTTTGCAATGATATAGAATTTAATGAAACGTATATTTAAGGCATTTAATTTGACCAGTTCTTATCAGTTCAAACTGCGTTTTATGTTAATCGAATGAAAAATATATTTAGAAACTTGTAATTGATCATCAAAAGTCTATTTGCAACTTGGTAATAACTGTAAATAGTCAATATATAATTCCATGTTTTAGTTAGTAATGTTATAATTGAATATTATTTTTTGTTTAATTCATATTTTTTCTAAACAATTAAATTTACACAATAGTTTTTTGCATGTTTTAATCTGCGTAATAAGTACATATTGGAGACGAACATAAAATATTTCAATTGTTATAATAAATAATAAAGCAATCAAATTATAATATAATATACAAAAAAATCTATCGTTTAAAGTCGCTATTTTGAGACATAACAATCGTTTGGTTAAAGCAAATTTCTATTTATAACTTTTAAAAATATCCGTGAGGACAGTTTGGTCTTGTCTCTTCACGCTTTTCATTTCTAAAACTTTGTGGAACTCGGTCAATTGCCCGTCCGGCAGCAACTTCTTGTACTGCTCGACGAAGTTCTTAGCGGGCTCCGTAGGAGTCATAACCACTTTAATGATCATCTCGGCCCTAGTCATGCCCTTTGTCACAACTTTCAGATAAGCGCTGGGCGCCGGACGGTTGATCTGCGAGGAGATCGAAGGCAAATTCAGCAGCCAAGTCTTCAACATGTGCGTGTCGAGCAACAGCTGTTCCGCTCCTTCAGTATTGATCGGCTTGCATTTGTAGATGTTCTGAATGAATTTGGGAATGAAACTGTTCGCGAATTTAATGCAGAACTGCGTAAAGTACTTCCTCGATTGCGAGAGGTTCTCTCTGATGATAGGCACGTTCGTTTTTAAGTGGGTTGTTATTGCTGTTATGTAGGAACTTTGGTCACCTACGGTATCTACGTTTTGCCATTGAATCTAAAAATAAACTTTTTAATAGGAGCGTGTTTTATGTATAAATGTTGTACCTTGCTCATTGCGGTTAAGGCTGGTTCACAGGCGTTTTCTAAATCTTGCACGAGTATTTGGATACAATTCGATATTACCCTAGAAGAAAATAATAAGTAATTGCATAAAATAATTTTAGTTTTGACGTACTTGTGGAAATTATCCTGTTCCTTCGACAAATCTATTTGATCTGCAAGGGAAGGATCTATTTTTTCTTTCAGCTTATCATTTAATTGCTGAGTAGTTTCCAAACAATATTCAGCTGTAGTTAATATGCAACAGATCTTAGTTTGCTCTTCTTTGGTAAATCTGAAAACAAACATTAATAAAACAAACATTCTAAAAAGTAGCCAGTGCATTTCTAACTCACCTTGTAAGTTCATCTTTCAGTAACGAGGAAAAATTCGATATCAAACCAGCAGACGACATTTTCTGCAAATCCTTCGTGAAATTCTGAACGGAACTCCCGATTGTTTGCTGTTCTATCTTGGGCAGGTTGCTTTGCAGCAATTTCTCGGCGTATTCGTGTAAATATTTTTGGAATGTTTTCGTTAAACTAAGCATCGTTTGACCCCTGTCCAGTTGATTGCATTGAATCATGCTCTTCTTGTAAAAAACGAACAAGTCCGGGCAACTGGGCAGAATCGACGCTTGAGTGTCCGTAGCCTCGGTAGGTTTGCTTTGTTTCTGGTCCAAAACAAATCTCTCGATTAGATCGGAGAGGTTCCTGTCGACGCTTTCGATGTAAATTTCGAGATGGGGAATGAAACATTTGCCTTAAAGATGGGACTTTGTTTACTAAACAAATGTATCGCTATAAATTACAAGATATTACCTATAAGCCCGTGGAATGGTGATGAATTTATATCACAATCTTTATCTTCAAGCCTCATTTCACTTGAATCTTTAATTTTACTCTCCTTGTTTGAAGTATCTTTCAAGTCAGTTAGAGTTACTCCTGTGAATCTTCTAGCTAGGAGATTTTCGAAAACGGTTGTTTTTTGAATAGCATAGAGAAGTAGCTTCACATCTATTTCGTTTTTCCTCTTTGCCATGATTTTTGATAGTTCTTCAGTAGTGTTATGGCAAAATTGGACTGCAATCAATTCAGAGACCTCCCAATTTGGAGGAAACATGTTGCCTGTGAAACAAACAAATTTAATTTAATTATAGGAGTAAAATTTTAATGCAAACCTAAGCGATCTTCAAATTCTAGTAGATGCTTTTTAATCCAAGCATATCTTTTATCGATTTTATCCAGCCAAGCTGTGTCTTCCGTTTCTTCAAATAAATGATTGTACTCCTGCAGCTGCAAGTTAACGAACCATTTTAACAGGTCCTTTTTAACCTTGGGGTCCAGAATTGATAAAACTAAGCAAGCTTGAGCTAGTTGCTTATTCGGAATGGCAGTTTTCGTATTCGAACCTGCAAATTTCAAACAAATTAGACCGCTTTTGGAAATAGGAATGCAAGTTACCTGAAAATGCCTCTTTAAAATCGTGCGTTATCTGCTCGGCGAGTTCGAGGTGAATCGATTTAACTTGGTCACTTAAACTTTTAACTTGCGGAATATCAGAATAATTCTCAAAGTGAGTCATGACTTCGCTTATGGCTTGTAAAGGCAGGACTATTTCGCCGTACAACCTCCTTTGAGTGAGGCCTTTTAAAGTGTCAACGCCTCCGACTAACATATGCAAATGATTTAACGTCGTTATTGCTAGCGTTAAATTCCTCTTAGCACAGTCTAATTGTTTGATATCTCTCGTTATCTCACGCACCATTTCTTCAGATCTCTCGGCCTGCTCTTTAATATCAGTTATGTGAGTGAAGAGTTGTTTGATAACCTTCTGGGCTTCTTCAAGGGCTTTTCTTCCGTCTTTACTGGCTGTTATTTGACCGCGAACGACGGTACTTATTTCGTTATCGATTGAATTGATTTTATTCTCCATTTTTAATACTACTTCGTCTATGTTCGATAACGACTGTTCCGTGGGAAATAAGGAGTTTATGTAATCTATGCTGTTAAAATCGGGCTCGTCTAGAGGATCCTTACTCGGTAGCACCTTGAAAAATTATCGTAAGTTAGCGAGTCGGGCATATTGAATTTTAATACCTCTTCTATAGCTTTTTGTACTAATGGTGGAAAGGCTATAAATAAATCTTGATTATCGTCGTCGATAACATCATCTTCTATATCCATTTTAATAAAATATACAGTAAAATAACACTACACAATTATTGCAGAAATAAAATTGTTTTTGTTTGGTAAATTTTTTGATATGTCAAAAAAATGGTCTCGAACTAAATGAGTTATCTCACAGCACACGTCGCACAGATTTAGGTATAAGAAATAAGAAGTAGAGCCTAACCTAACATTTTAAGCTTAAAAATATTGACTGGTGCTTGTTTTGAAATCGCGAGAAATGGGCAAAAATCACCGTCATAAAAAGAATTTAAAGGCCGACAAGGCTAAAGTTAAACTCAAACAAACCAAAACGAAGTTCCTACCGAAAGGTTTGAACGAAACTAAGGCCACTTTTAAAATAAAGCCCATTGTTCTCGCTGAGCAACTTAAAGAACGAAGTAACGAAGCCCCTTTAAGTAAGAGAAAACTTGATGTTAAGGTAACGTTCTACTATACATTTTGCTTTAAATAATTTACAATTATAATTTCCAAATCAGGACTTGTGTAACAGAATGCAACACTATAACGAAAATGTGAGACGTTCAGCCTGCGAAGACCTCACCGATATGTTTAGACAATATTCCGAGGACATTATACGAGACAACTTGGATGACGTTATATTAAACATTTCGAATTTAATGCAAGACAGGGATCGGAAAGTTAGAAATGCTGTTGTCAAAGCTTTGAATATTATTTTAGAATTGGTAAATAACACTTTTGTATATCAATACACCGTTAGAAATTATTTACTAACCCTGCATTTCATTATTGCAGACTGACAACGAGAAATTGGAGCCTTTTTTCAAATACTTCTCGGTCAACATGCGGTGTGCCATGACACACATTGATCAAGGAATCCAAGAGGATTCTTTGAAATTCCTGGATTGTTTCTTAGTTAGAAATTGCGGTTTGGTGGCAAACACTTCGAACAAATTACTACCAGATTTTTTTACGCTTATTTCGAGATTAAAAAACGAGAGTTCTTTAGGGCGAACTCTAACACTGAACTTAGGAAGTAAAATTACTACAGTGTCTTGGAGGATTAAGGTGTTGAGTAGATTACACGCAGTGTTGGAATTAATTTTGGAAAACAACAAAAGGGATATCGATAGGTATGATTTTAAAATCAATTCTGTAAAAATAATTACAGTAATAATTTTTAGTAATGTTGATTATGATGCAAACGAGTCCAATACATTCCCTATATATAAAAATCACTTTTACGAAGCATTAACAAATCCGAGTTTGGAATATTGGGAGAGCCTCGAAGATGATACATGTAAAAACACATTAGACATTCACCTGTCGACCTTAATTCCGATTTTTCACGATATTTCCATGGAAGTGTTGCCAGATAAGAAAGTTTATGTGCACGGTACGTTATTTCTGTATTCTTAAATTCATTCGAGTTTAAAGCAATGATTGATTTTAGAAGGTACTTGTTTGAACGAAGAATCATTAGCTATTTTATGGAGCATTGTGAATACAATGTATTTGTTATGGAAATACGTGGAAAAGAACCAAAGTGCTAATCCAAATTTGGTATGTTTCCTCCAAACATTAGGATTAAGTTATTAATTATGTTTATTTGTAGATGAAAGTTTTTACATCGGACGAAGCAACGACATTTTTGGGTCATTTAATGAAGCTGTTTCCATATAGTCAAAACGAAAATACCATTAATACCGCGAAATCTGCGTTAAAGTTGTTTGATACGAATTTGGACCCGAATTGCGTGAAGGAGAATATCATGCTCTGCTACATATGCTTTGTGTTACACGCAAATATAGCAAGGGATACTATTAAGAAAGATTTAGTGATTATATCGTCCTATATTAACAGTAAGAATTGGTATTCTGTAAATATTAGCTTTGATAATACTACTCGGGTTTTAGAGTGTTTGTTAACAAAAAACTACATAAATCAGCACAATATTCAGTATTTCATCGAAGTACTCAGGCTGTGCCTTTTGGAAAAATCGCATTTATGGAAGAAAACTAGAGTCGACGTTAAGAAGATTTTAGAAAACGTGCTGGTGTTCTATCATTCTGTGTCAATTGGAGAAAAACAGAGAATGAAATTATTCAAGATTCTCGCAGATCTTCTGGATAATCCTTACTTATCCAAGTAGGTTTATTCCTTTTAAATATTTGAGTGTATTTACAAGTTATTTATTTTTAAGATCTTCCCAGTATCAATCTTGGCTTGCTTCATTGGCAGAGCTGCTGTGTAAACCACAAATTAGCGATACAACTGTTGAAACTTTGTTGGAATTGGCAAGAAAAAACTGCTCGCCGTTTCTTTCAGCAGTAAAATCGAATTTCGTTCGAATACTAGGTAAATATATTTTCAGTTTTCCTAACGTAAGAAATTTTATCATCTAAAAAGAGCTAGAAATTAACTCAAAAACGGTACTAAGTAGATTTATATTTATTGAATTGTTTCAATTACAGATAATTTGGATTCTCTGAATATAGTAGTAACGAAAAAAAGCTATAAAGATGAAGCGGCCGTTAAAAGGGAAATTGTTTATATTTTCTATTATTTAAGAGAATTGAGTTCTAAGGAATTTAAGATGTTAATAATAATGATTTCGAAGCACGTTTCCGAAGAGGATTGTCAATTAATTAAGGTAATTTGATGTTGTGTTAAAATAACTTCACTTTCAAAGAGAAGTGTACTTAAATAATGTAATTTTTGTTTTAGGGATATCTTCAGAAGCAAATTTGTTGATTTTGATCGATTTCATATGAAGTAGATTTATTGATTGTTTACTTGTTTATTAAATTTACATTGAATGATAAACGATTTACATTAATTAAACCTCATTTAATTTCAGTATACCTATAAAAATAAAATCCTTAATAAAAGTTTTATCCATGTAAACGTTGTATTTCGCCACGTGATATTGCGTTCTATCAGCCGGTAATTTCCCCTCCATTTTAGGCTTAGTTTTTTTCTTGATATCCTTTTTTTCCAATAACGTAGCTTCATTGCCAAATCCTATATTTACTGTTACACACGAATTTGCGGGTATAGTGATCGTGCTCGATTCAGCCAAGACATCGAAGAATTTTTCTAAAACAATATACAGGGTGTCCCGCATAAGAAGTCATACAGAGCAGGGGTCAAGCGATACAATCATTATACAATCATCAGCGATACAATGTTTTTAAGTTCGAGTATTACTGATATATTTTTTTTTATTTGTAACTCCGCGTTGAAGGCCTATAAGTTCTTAGGAATGCAAATTTGTATTAAATCAAGTTGGATTAAACAACATATTTTGTGCTCCCCTAGAAGCCCTGCTCTGTGTCGGTTCTTGCACGGGACGCCCTGTATGTTAAAATAACCACGTTAATTGCGAATTTATCTGAAAAGTATTACCAGTGCTCTTATTAAAATCCACAAAGGAGGTGTACTCGAATTCGGTGAGTTCGCTCGAAAACCTTTTAAAATATTTATCTCTTTTAACAGCGCTATTGTTCGCTACGATATCGTCTCCAGAAATTTTCTCCGAGGAGTCATTGGGCGGTAATTTCTCTTCTATTTCTAATATTTTGTCGAATTTCAACGTAACCGGTCCTTCGCTGTTATTGTTCACCTGAATTCGTGTTAATAATCGAGTCAATCAATCCGCTAAAATTGATTTATAAGGGATGTCCCAAAAGTAACTTCCATTTTAATTTCAAGTAAACATTGAGGTTTAGTTATATGGAAAAGTACATGATCGAGTAATGGTTGGAAATTGTGAAATTTCAATTTGTTAATGCAAGATTTAATGGTCATGTTAGCTCTGAGGGAGGTGAAGTCAATTGGCCACCAAGATCATTTGATTTAACACCATTAGTCTCTTCTTGGTGATTATCCTGAGGCTCTTAAAAGTTAAATTCCCCACAACACTGCGAATATTTAATCGCAATTGTAACATGCTATGGAAAATTTCATTAAATATCTACTTTCTAAACCAATAAAAATTTGAAAAAAAACATGTGCTTTATAGATTTAAAAAGTAAGTTACTTTTGGGGCACTCTGTATTTACTTTAATACTGCATTCATCGCATGCTTTCGGCGTCGCCTCCGTCATCCTGCACACCGTGAATTGGGGCACAAATTCCAAATCGTATGCCACCCCTGTACCGTTTATTACCAGCGGTATTACCGTTTTACCAGAACTTATCTCCAGGTATTCCTCTATCTGACAAAAAGTAATTCTATTTTAACGCAGTCTGATTGTAGTTAGATGTAGCCTAGACTTATCCCAGTGACACCCTGTATTAAGGGACAGAATAATTTGACAAATCCGTCACTTTCCGATGCGATTTCGCTCGAAATCCGGATGGTAAAATAGAGATTTTTTTGTGTAGAAAATGACCGACAAATCCAAGTTCAAAAATAACGCCCCGTTCGGGTTCCGGGCGGAGCGCATGACGGGCTGCGGGCTGCATCCGGCGCTCTTCACGACCGGCGACAGGGGGAAGCACATCTCCCAGCTGGGCCCGGCGACCTACAGCCCCAAAAAGCAGGATTGCAAGCACAAAAACGGAATAGAGTAACTCATTCAACCCGCCCGTTGGACTGCATCTATCTAGTGAATTTCCAGTTGGAACATCAAGCTGAAAGCCGAGCTCTACTCGATATGGCTGGGATGGAAAAACATGACGGTGCTGGAGCAGAGGCGGTTCATGAACAGCTTGGTGGGCCCCGGGACGCACGAAATCAATCCCGCTTTGTTCAAACAGCAGCTGGACAGCATCTTCGAGAACACGAGTTTCACCAGCGGCAAACGATACAGCTACATCGTCGATCACGGGACTCCTTCGCCAAGTAGGCACGCTAATTCCCTTCGTCGACAATCGAGCGAATTTCCTGTGTTTCAGACGCTTATTTCTACGATTTGAGTAAACGATGCACGTTGAAGAAGGGCCTGTCTAACGTACCGACCATGGAATGGGACGGGTTCATAGATAGATTCCTGCCCGGCGTCACGGCCAGGCACAGCCTATCGCCCACTTTATACAAATTCCAAGAGCACGACAAGAAAAGTACCCGAAATTTCTTTTAATTCGTTAGATCAGATTGCTTCTTCATCGCGCGTGTTGTAGATACGGCGGATATAACCAAAAAACTAGTATCCGTACGAGGGCCGTACGATTTGTTCACCGGGAAAAGGGACGAAACCACCATGAAGGGTTTCTACCATCCGAAAATCTTCAAAATGCCGGACACGCTGTTTTCGGCCGTTTCCAAAATCGACATGCTCCTCTACAGCAAAAACTACGCCAAGTAAACTTCATATCTACACTTAACCGGTCGTAAAACAAATCCATTTCTAGCACGGGAAAGTTCCTAAAAGAAGAGCGATTTCCCAAAAAGCCAACAGTTCGCCACATGCTCGAACGCTGGAGGGATCCCGCCCTTCCCGGACCGGCCCATTACGATTTAAAAGACTACAAAAGGTAATAATGCGCATTTAGAGTTACTGGTCTAAACAGTTCGGTACTCTTTGCAGGATAGTTTCCGAGCCGCCCGATCGGTACCCTTTCTTGTCCTGCAAAATTACGGTCAGGCCTAGTCCAATAGCCAAACCGACTCCAGGCCCCGGCAGGTACAACATCAAAATCGCCAGGTACATGAAGCAGAAGAGGAACACGTACGTGTTTGTGACGAAGTACCCTAGGGTGTATTATAGGGATTTTAATTATAGATCGTTTTGATAATGTACTTAGTCGCAAATTAAATTATTGCAATTGGGTGATGAGGTCTTAAATTTACCTGTTTGTCCTGTTGCGTTGGTTCGAAGTAAATGGGTATTTTCAGGTGGCATTCGGGCGGGATCTTGAAGTTTTTTATATAAGCTACTCTAAACGGACCGGTCGGGTCCAATTGGCTTAATTTAATCGTAATCGGATCATCTAAAAGAGCGGTATTTTAACTAGCACTTTTCTTACTATACACGGAACCTGCGTACATTTTATATTTTGCACCATCACGTGCTGGACCCCTTTCGTGCCCAAGATCACGTTACCGAAGTCAATTCTCTGCGACGTGACGTTGTTGAGTATGAAATCCGGCCGCACCACCTTGTAAACCACGTCCACGTGTAGCCGGTCGTTAGCCCTGCAGGCGTTCTTGCACTCGTAGCTCACGTGGCAGGTCAGTTTCGAATTGACCACGAACGGCTGCAGGCTCCTCCAGTAGCACATCTCGGCGGGGAAGTACTCCTCGGGCGAGAGCTGCAGCTGCGAGTCCGATATGTGAATTTTGGCTTCGCTGATCGACGTTTCTCCTGCGCCGTGGCAAAATTTAAAGAAATATGGTCAAAGGCTCTTGTGTGTGGCGTATAATAAAATTGGGATCGAGAATTGGGGATTGCATAGCTTACTATCTGTCGAAAGTAGAGAACCGCCTTTAAATTTCTTCGTCAACGTCTTGCTTTTTTTGAATTTATCCGATCTTCTGCTGGTTTCGAATTGCTCCATTTTCATGGCGTAGATTTCGGCGTATTTGATGGACTTCGCGAAATCCGCGACCACATCCTCGGACACCGTCGGTTGAACTATGATAAATATTCTACGGGTCTACTTATATACAAAAAAAATACCTCTAATTACAACCTAAAACTCCCTCAGCTCGAACATACCTCGCCGTTCCTCAATATGCCGCAGCTGGGCTCGACTCTGATGTCGTCGTTGTCGCTGGTGATCTTGAACCAAGCCTCGAAGGCCGGCAGCCGGTTGTCCCTCTTCCGCACCACGCAGGTCTCCTCGGGGAATTTCCTGTTGAAGGCGCGCAGCTCGAAGTCGGCCATGCTGTAGGAGCTGTACGGCACGTCGGGGAACTCCACGTATTGCACCGAGGTTCTCAACCAAGGCTGCACGACCTTCGACTGTACGGTGATGCTGCTGTTGATGAATTCGCTCAGGTTCACCTCCGACGGGTAATGGTACTCTTCGAAGTCCTCGCCGTGCTCCTGCTCGAATTGCAGCATGGTCACTAGGAAAGTTATTTGGAGACAATTCCTGGGGTTTCAGATGAAGTGCAGGAGGTGTAAAGTACTTACGATTTTGCGATGTCATCGATAGAGAATTAACGTAAGGGGTGTATTCGGAGTCTGGATATAATTCGATTTTTATGGTTTGCCGGCAGTAAAGTATGTCTTCGATTAATTGCTGGTTTTCGCAATGCCTTATTTCGTTCAGCATGATCATTATCAGACGACGCAATACCTTTGGATCTATTGGCTTGAAATGATTAAAATTATGTGTTATTCAGAATACAAATATTTATATAAAGTTCCATTAAGTAAGGGTATTGGTACAATTTACTCTCTCATGGACCTTCATGAATGACCTGCTTATTTGACTAAACTTTAGGATACCTTTTCTAAATTCAAGAACTAGAACTTACTTTTGTAACCAAACGGACATTAAATAGCGTCACTAGATTAATCTTGAACTTGAGCGTAAAATCATCGGATTTGTCTTCGTTGAATTTTTTCAGAAGATCCTGGTAGTCCGGATGAAAGTGCAATTTGAGAATTTTCTTCGCGCCGGACATTATCAAACCGAAACCGTAATTTGGCGTTATTGTTAAACACTAAAAAAAATACAAATTATCAAACAAACTACTAGTAATTTTCCGAGTCAAAAATCAATTTTCTTCGCTCGGAAACCAAACCAATTTCGCATCTACCTTCGGAAGGTCCAAGAACCCGTAAATCTGCGGGGTCAAGGTCTTGTTCTCCACGACCAAATCGGCCGTAACGGTTTCGTACACCGTGCATTCGCCCAGATCCAGCAGCACCCCGTCGGGGTCCATTTTGGCCATTTCGCTGGCCGCCGGCGTCACCGACACGTCCGTGCAATTCGTCACAATGGCGTAGGTCATCACTTTCACCGGGGCCACGTTCGAGAACTGATTGGACGGGACGCACAGCTGCAGCGGGAACTCCAATATCGAGTATTCCGGCTTGAAGTACGGGCAACTCGTGATTTTTTTCCTGCAACAATACCAGCATTCTGACACCCGTTAGAAGCGATCATACGGTGCGGGTGGACTGTGTATGTCCCCTGTACTGTATGCTCGACTTAGTTGTGTAATAAACTAGCTTTGGGAAGAGTTTAATCCACACGCTTCTCGTACTCTTTGCTGGCAGAAACACGTTCGATACGCTGGTTTTGACGTAATCCGCTAACGCCGATGGGTACTTAATAACAACGGTTTGCGTGGAAGAGGATTTATTTTCAATGTCCAATTGTGTTTGGTACGCGGAATTGATGATGCAAAAACCAAAATCTACCTCGTCCTGCTTGGTGCAAATGAAATGACCAACCACTTCGCCGTGAAGGAGGATATCCTGAAATGATCGAAAAACTCTTTACTTGCTCCAAACCTGTATCTGTAAAATTTTATCATCTATTTAATATCGATCGTTGGCGATATTTACGCGGGTTCCGATGATGTTGTGGTCGCCATTGTACACCTCCACGACGTGCTTCTCGAAGTAGTGCCCCACGTGCGAGAAGTTCTTCATTTGCACTTTGACGGTGCGCGAGGTCTCCTTGGGCAAATGCACGCAGGTGCTCTCGAAGGCGAAGCTGTCCGACATGTGGTCCAGCAGCTCCTCGATGATTTCGCGGATGACGATGTTCGTGTACGAGGGCTCCAGTTCGTTGTAGCTCGCCTCCTCCTGCTCCTCGTCGTCGAGCGGATCGGCGATTTTTTTGATAATCGCCCTGCAAGGCAGGTGTCCTCTGTTGGCCAGCTGAAAGTAACCAGTCCAAAACGTTTAGACCCGATGATGGCGGACCGAAACGTCTGCAATTTACGGTGATTGTCCTGAATCCGGATTTCTTCTGCCAGAGTGGAATCCGGCCGAAGTACAAGTCGTTGGTGCTGATGGTGAACTCGATCATTTTGGGGACGCATTTTATTTCGACCGAGAACTGCTGGTGGGTCTGCGTGGGCCTGTCGAAGGAGACGAACTCGATTTTGGCCTCGTAGAAGCACGTTTCTACTTTCGGTAAGAAGCGAACGAAGGCGATCACGGTTCTACCGGGCGCGACTTTCTGGATCTGCAGCACCGGCTCGACGTTGAACAACGGGAGCACGTAAGGATTATCCGAAGTGATTTTCGATAACCTGAACTTCCTCGTCTCGAACGAAACGTTTTGGATTCTCAGGGTTTTTCTGCACTCTTTGCCTTCGTCGTAATTCTAGAATATGACTTATTTGATATGCATGGAAGAGTCTACTGGAGAGTCACTCTAGCGCAGCAAATATGGGTGATTTCGATTGAAAAAATGGAACTTACGCTAAAAATTATAGCGGCCGGTTTGCACAAGAAACATTCGTCGGTTTTGTACGGTTGGACTCGATTCGACTGGCTGCTTAAGTATTTGTTCTCCAACATTTCGTCGAAGTCCTTAAACTGCTGTATCAGGTCCGTGATTTGGGAGAAATTTTCGGTCAATTTCTTCCTGGTATTCGTCACTTGCGGTATGGGCGTGACTAGTTCGATTATTTTCTACAACGAGCGAATTTTTCAATCCAAAAATAACGCATTTTTGGTGGTATTTTTTTTACCTTACTGGCCGTTTTCTTCAATTTCTGTGCAGCAGAGGACGTACTAATGACGCTCGTATTGCGTACATCTTCAGGAAACAGCATGGTGCTCGAAAGTACAGACCAATCGTTCTTATCGACGTCGCTTTGAGTGATTTTCACAGGAACGGCTGTTTTGGTCGAAGAAACTTTCGTTTCCGCCGGCTGAAATAGATTTTTGCATTCACGACCTTCCAATTAACTTCATCAGCAACAACTTAATCATCACCTTAATTCCCACTCCTACGATTTCCAAATCGTCCACGATCCATTCGTCCTTCTCCACCTTGTAAACGAAAGCCCTGCGCTGGAGCTTCTCCTTCCGAAGTTCCTCGGCGATCTTCTTGGCGATCTTCGCGTATGCCCTCTTCCTGTCGAGGCACCTAGAGCGCAGGGCGACGCTCAGCGACACCATCCGCTCCTTGGTCCTTCTGTCCTTCGACACTAATTTGCTCCAATCGATCTGGAACGTCTCGCCGAACTCGTCGAGCAGCTCGCAGAATTCCCTTTCTTTGCGCTCTCGGATATCTTCCGCGTATAGTACAGTGTACCTCTTCAAATCCTCGATTTTGTCCTGTAATGTAGTGGAGGAGTAATGTAGCGTTAGCAGTTAGAGGGGTTCTAAAAGCGACCTTGATGATCTGGATTCCTCGCAACTGCTTCTGCAGCGCTTCTTTGTTCTTGCTGTTCTCCAAGTATTTGTTGAATTTTCGGATGAAAGCGAACATTTTCTTCGAGTGCAGCGTGAGAGGGTACAATTTCTCCGGTTGTTTTCTCTTCTTCGCTCGTTCGTGCGCATCGGTTTTGGAGTACTGAGTTGCAGCGTCGGTTTTCACGGTACGGCTCTTGAAGGCCAGATAGTCCTTGTACTCATCGGATTCGATGAAATCGTCGATGAATTCGATCAAATCCTCCTGTCTTTTCGCTTGGTCCGCTTTCCATTCTTCGAAGGCATCTTCCAGCACTTCCTCCTGGGCTTTTCCCTGTATATAATTAATAACGCAATCGGTGTACATAATAATGAGCGCGCGAATGACGTTGACAATTTATTGACTCGCGTTCTAGTTTCCTCCTTATCCACGTTTACTGGGAAATTTAGGTATAGTCTAAACAAAGAGTTAGGGGTTTTCTAATACGTTTATTACATTACAATTTAAACATTATTATTAACGTTATCCTCCTTGTGGCTTTTCCCTATGTACAGCCAGCCCTTCTGGAAATTGGTAGTAATGTCGATTAGTTTCTTCCCTTTGGTTTCCGGCAGGAACATGTAAGTGTAAACCAAACCGGCCAGGCAGACGATGGCGAAGAACCATTGCAAATTGGTGGCGCCTCCGAGAGTTTCGTTCAGGAAGTAGTAGCTCTCCAGCGAGGCGAACATGAAGGCAGTGGAGAGGCTGTAGCCGATGGTGTAGCCCGTGCCTCTGATTTCCTGCGGGAACAGTTCCGGAATCACCATGAACGGCAGGAACATCAGCCCGACCACCGAGAACACCACGTACAGGAGGAGGGCGGCCACTGGCACCCATTTCGCTGTTGTTTGACCTGGCGATTGGATGGTAAAACAGTGAATCGGTTCCTAAAAGAGTTGGTTATACTGTACCTTCTTTTATCCACAAGGTGAAAAGACCGGAGGTGAACATGCACACCGCCATTCCCAAGCAACTCCACATGATGGTTGTTCTGCGGTTCATGTATTTCAAGACGAAAATGTTGCAGGATGCCATTACTAATCTGATAACGCCGATCATGATCGAAGCGAAGTAACCGCTGACGTTTGTTCCGGCTTCCTGAAATTGCACAGGGATTCAACACTAAAGATCTTAATAGTATTATAGAGGCTCACCTCAATAAAGGTTATAGAGTAAAACATCGTGATGTAGACACCCGAGAAATGTTGGCAGAAAAATAAAGGCAACAAAATGATGAGGGGTTTGTAACCAGTAGGTTTGAGAAACTCCTTTGCAATGTCCATTACAGTGCCTTTGTTCTTCGACTTTTCCGAATTCTCCTCCTGCTCCTTCTTCAGCAATTTGAATTGGATATCGGCAAAAGTCTCGTCCTGAAATCAACACAATATGTGCACTTACATTAACTATAATAATGTCTACTTCTACTCACTTTGCCCGGTATAGGCGGTTGGTACTTGTGCAACCAATTGAGCGAGTTCTTGGCCTCCTTTACTCTGCCTTTCATGATGAGCCACATGGGGCTCTCCGGTATGAAGAAGACCGCCAGACAAGGCAGTATGGCGAAAACGTTGCTCACCCAGGCCAGCAGCCTCCAGTGCATGAACCAGCCGCCCAGGTAAATGAAGATCATCCCTGCGTAAAGAAATCGTCGTAAATTGTTGCTTGAAAATCGTTTTAAGGCATTTACCGAGCGCCACGTAGGTGGGGCACAGCTGCAGAAAGGACATTCGCATTTTGGGGTTCGATATTTCCGCTATGTAGACGATGGCCGGGCTGGTGCCGAACGCTGTAAAGGAGCATGATCAAATCGAATTTTGTTGATGCTTGTTGGTTCTTATCAACGCACCTGAAGCTATTCCTACTAATGCTCTACCGGTTATTAATACAGTCGTGTTTTTGGCTAGGGCGGTCAAACACCAGCCCACAACAGCCGGTACCATTGCGGTTTTTATGGTGTTTATTCTACCGATTTTATCCATAATGACCCCGCAAAAAACGGATGCTAATGGTGCTACTAATATTAGAATACTAGCTGAAAATTGTAACGAAGCATAATTAGTAAACCAATTGAAGATGGCAAATTTCATTAGCTAATTTTTGGCCAGAAGTTTCAACAATTCCTGGATGTTGGGGTTAATTATACCAATTAAGAACTGAATATAGTAGGGTTCGTGAAAGTAAATGATTTACCAATTAGAGCTTTCTCCCCTGTTGTTGGTTTGATATCGCTATCTGGTTTTTCCAGTTGAGATATTACCACTGACGAATAAGACATGGCCATTCCGTTACCTATGTGAAATGCTGCTGCTATAAGAGATGCTATAATCTTATAAATTCTATGTGTTATTGATCGTGTTTCATTCAGAAAAAAAGCAGAAATAAATTAGCAAATTGTGATGAAAATGATTTGGTTTTGTTTTTTTTGATGTAGGTGATTTATGGCACATATTATTGTTTATCTGTTATTGATTGTTTGTGTTTTCTGCGACGAAATCAAATTATTGCAATGATAATTTCCACACTCAATTATATTGTTAATAATACATTACAATTACAAATATTTTTGCAAATAAATCATATTTTTAAAACATTTTTTGGACAAAATATTAGTTTAGCATATTTCGTCTATAAAAATACTTTTAGATACATTGCATTTCTAAACTTTTTAGACGAGGTTATTACGAAATTCTTATCCACATTGCATAAGATTTATCCTTTGTCTCGGACTTGTTTTCAGAACAAACATCAGTTTAAGATAATGCTATTTTCTCGAGTATTATCTACTATTGTTAGTTATCGATTAAAAATCCTAATATTTACACCTACATTTTTTATAGAAAAGTGCACTTATAACATAGTTGAGTTCAAATATAAGAAATGTGGAAAAGTTAATTACTTTATTAAAACATTCTTAAGTAAATAAGTGATGATGATATAAATGGAAATAAGTCAATTGAAGATTATAATGAAGTTAAATAAAAGTACTCGATAATTAAACATTTACCTGTGGAAATAGACCTTTTAAACTAATGTTTTCTTCGTGTGAGCTAAGAGATTTACTGCTCGCAATGAGCTTTTCCGTTTTGGTTTCATTTTCTTCATCGTTCCTAATATTGCTAAAATTGAGGAGTATATTATAAATTTACTTATTTTTAGCACAAGATTTCATTATCCTCTTTTTAAATTTAATAATTTGATAATTCTACTTTGAATATTTTTACCTTACAAAGATGAAATTTTATTTTAAGATAGCTTTATACTTAAAATATAATAAAAAAATATTCAAGTGTAAAAAATAAATTTGATAAAATTTATAATTTATTTCAATTCGTAGTTATCTTTGCTTTATATCTTAGTTATCTTTTATCAAAAAATTACTATTCCGTGTAGATAAGCATTTCAACATAATTTGTTGAATGCAACACCTACTATTGGAGAATTTGCAAAATTTAAACTGATTAGATGATAATGAAGAGATCGTTAAATATATTAAATCAGATTAACAATATTTTTACTAATAACAAAGTACTAATTATAAAGAGAAATCTGAAAATTTCGCTATGATTAACTCGTACTTACTTTAAACTTATACAACTGGCCCTAAAACAGAAAACTTGATCAAATTTCGATCTTGCGATCTAGTTTTTTAAATTAAATACTATCGTTTGAAATACTGAAGTATTTCAAACAAACCTTTTTCAAAATTTTAATGCTAATAAAAAATAAATTAAATAAAAAATTCAACTCACCCTATTTGCTCCATGATGTCGCTCTGCACTTTTACTATACTACTAATGAAATTAACCAGCATGAAACGCTGATTGCGGACTACATAAAAAAATCTATCTTATCACAACGAAATCTGTATTCTCTAAAAGTATTTGTCGATAAAATTACATAATTATGACGCAACGGATTCGTTAATTTTCCATTATATAGAATTCGAATAGAAAGTAATAGAGAAGCGATTTCTGTACCTTGAGAGCCGTGAAGAGGATTCGTCGATAACAATTTATTAACAAATATAGCGTTCTTGAACAATGCTGTTTATCAGTTCATCATTAACACGAAAGCTCAAGAGCAATGATAGCGGGAAATACGTCGTTATTTAATGTGAAATATATTGTAAAAAGTTCGCTAGCTTATAATAGATCCACTGAATGGGTAACCGTTATTTTCCTACAAATTAGTGCCTGGACAATTAACAAAAATGATATTAAGTAGCATTACCCAACAAGTTTTTGTTTTTACGATAATACTACTTAGCCACAAATATTACCTAAGTACTAAAGGTTGTAAAAGTATGTCGGTGACAAACCTAATGCCTAGTTATTTTTTAAGAGTGTGATGAAACTGTTAGGTCTCGCTCACTTCGCGAGCCCTGATGTGAGAAAGTGCTCGACGCATCTTCACAATACAATTAAACGAGAGTATCTTGATAACAGGTATCTCGAATTTGTACATACGTTCAAAGCATTCAAGGACCTTGAAGGAACCGCTCTGTTTTTTTAATATTATTGACGTTTATTTAAGCATGAATTAGTCGACTCGTCTTCGCCGTTTGCTCAATCAACGAATGTTTGCTCTCCGTCCTGATAACGGTTGATAATCGAGAAAAACATTTAGCCGAGATTTCTGATTTTGAATGTTTCCTTCCTCATCTGGCGAGGGAAAATCCCGGTGTTTCAATTCAATTTCATCCCCCTTTTAGGTACCTTGACTTTACCCTTTAAGGATTCAAAAAATCGTAAAATTCAAGGTGTTATAAACCTCTTATAGAGTCCACTAAAATTGTTCCCTTTCAATCGATTTTGTACCTTTTGAGATAATTGAATCGGCGATATCAGCATCGCAAAATATCGCTCTCATTTCGCTCTCATTTCTTTAAGTAAACAAAATGAAAATTAAGTCCGATCGTCTATTCACACATAATAGAAAATTATTTACATACATAAAATAATTTATACAATCTTATCATTTACGACAGCCTTGCTTTCATTACGTTCAACGGTTTTTAAACACTTCGTTGAGGAAGTTTGTTTATTGAAGTGCATTTTTAACCGAATTTCGGGCCGCTCTCGTTGCGATAATTAAGGAAGAAACAGAACATGTACGTAGTAAAGACACGTGTCGTTGTTTTTGTGAATCAATAACCTTTAATCAATTGGCTTCAATAACATAATAAAATCGGTTTAAAAATCAATTGTGCAGTAGTAACGAAGTAAGTACAATGACTCCCGAACAATAGAAGAATTACTACGTGTGGAAGGTAAAGAGATAAAAAAAGAATTTATTTATACTTAAAATAAATGTTTACCATTTTCTCTAATTATTAATCTACGTGCCATTTATAGTCTTTCATTAAACGAACAAATATTAACACAGAGTCTTCTTTTAGAATTATCATGTTGTTCACTTAATTAAATAATTTGTTAGACTTGCAATTGATACGGCCAAGGTCTTTTTATCATATAGGAAAGGATTTATAAACGTATGAATTTTATTACATCAAAAATTTAGATAATTTCCTCCATCACACACGCTGCATTATTCAGAGGAGGGGTTTTTGGTAATCCCAGTTAACATCAATCAGTGAGCGGAGAAAATGAAAATTTGTTGATTATTTACTCCACCGCGTGCTATTATTATCGCCCGCTAAAATTTTTCTTTATTCACCAATTTATCACTAGTGTGCGAATCAGCGGCTCTCAAACGACTTTGCGCGTTCATTTTGAATCCGACTTGGCGAACTTTCGTCGATTTCTGGCAAGGTTCCTTGTACTTTTAGATGGAATTCGACGGGAATATCGCGGACGATGAGAAAAATCCATCTAACATCGACTCTCCCTTCGTTATATCCACCGAAAGGAAGGAGGTGCCGCTGAAATGGAAAGACTCATACAAACAGGTGAGATAAAATTTTTTAATTACTAATTCGAAACTGTTCGTACTACTTCGAATTGTTGCAGATATTGGCAGGATGCACGGCGAATACAATCGTGATCCAGGCTGGAATAAATATGGCTTTCAGCGCGGTTCTGCTTCCCCAATTAAACGAAACCGGTAGCGAAATGACGGTCACAAAATCCGAAGCATCATGGATAGGTAAACAAGTAATTTTGTACAGATAACTAGCGATATTTTCACGTTATAAATCGTAATTTAATTAACACACTTGCTAAGTTAATGCGCTAATATTGATACATTATTTACAATCAATCGGAGGAGTCAACCTGCTTTATTTGTAAATGTATTCATTCGTATCGGAAAATGCACTGATTATTTAACAATGACTAGGAGAATTTTCTTCTTACAAATCACTTCACTGGGCCTTTTTTGAAATTCATTAAATGGTTTTTTTATTATATTTCAGCGAGTTTAGTTACCATAGTTTTGCCTATAGGAGCTCTAATAGTAGGACCAATAATGGATAGATACGGCAGGAAAAAAGTGTGTTTACTAACGAATATTCCAATTATTATCGCCTGGACTCTTGTATATTATGCGAATAACGTGTGGTATCTTTACATCGCCAGGTCAATCAATGGATTTGCAGGGGGTAAGGGATTTATTGGAAAGAAAGAAGAAAAAAGGAGAGAATCTTTGTGATTTATAGATAATAATTAATCACATTTTTTTAGGTTTATCCACGGTATCATTAGTTTATGTCAGCGAAATATCCCATCCAAAGTTAAGGTCGATGTTACTGAGCTTGAATAGTGTGTTTGTTACTTTCGGAATATTATTGACTTGTCTACTTGGTATGTACCAAACCTAAACCTATAGAAGATCGCTCAATTTGTACCAATTTTAGGCTTGTGGTTCACCTGGCGGACCATGTCTTTCATCTTCATAATAATGACGGTTTTCTGTTCCATCGCCATTTGGTTCATCCCTGAGAGCCCCTACTGGCTAATTGTCTTCAAAGACGACTATCGCGCCACTACGAAATCACTAAGTTGGATTTACGGAAAAAACAACCTGGTAAAAAAACCTCTAATTATTCCCAATAGTTATTCTAAATACTTCTGATTCCAGTTACACGAACACGAGTTTCGAAGAATATTAGAGAGCAAGCAGCAGAAACCTCGCGAAAAGGACGACGAGCGATCGACTTTGCTCAAAATCAAAGACGATTTCAAGCTGTACAAATCGCCTACAGTATACAAACCCGTTATCATAATGATAGCGATATTCATGTTCCAGCAATTTTCCGGAGCGTACGCCATCATATTTTACGCCGTGGATATATTCAGGACCATCGGGGGCCGGTTCAAGCGGGGACTGGACGAGTACGTGGCCTTAGCTCTGCTAGGGATCATCAGATTCGTCATTGCCATAGTATCTGCGATGATTTCGAAGAAAGTGGGAAGAAGGCCGCTTATGTTTGTATCAGCTTTGGGCATGTGCATAACCAGCGTGATGGCCGGTTTGTACATGTATTTAGACATTGTTCCCGATGATGTTTACGAAAAAATGAACATTACCAAAGACATTTCGAAGAACAACGTCGCTCTATACTGCATTTTGGGCTACGTGTGTTTCAGCTCTTTGGGGTACTTGGTGATACCTTGGACGTTGATTGGGGAACTTCTGCCCGTCAAAGTTAGGGGGAAATTATCGGGGGTGTTGATTAGTGTAGTTTACGTTTTGATGTTTTTGGTTGTGAAGATGTTCCCTTTCATCATGGATTTAATTAGTCTGCAATATCTGTTTTACCTTATGGCTGTTATTAATTTAATCGGTTTTGGTTTTCTGTATATTTTCCTACCGGAAACGCTAGGGAAATCCTTCTTGGATATAGAGAAATATTTTCTTCATAAATGATAGGCATATTATACCAGTAATTTACTCGAATAAAGGACTTTTTATTAGAATTTTACGTTTTTTTGGTTCCTTCTTTCGAATAGCCTTATTGAGTTCGTTAGTTTTAGTTTAAAACTTTCCATTTTGTAAAATTTTTAAATCTTCGGATCATCCTGCTCTATCTCAATAAGCTGTACAGTCGAATGTATAATGTGTTGCCTATCAATCAGGACTAACTTCACGGCCATTCGCGATCGAATTTACGCTTTCGATAAAAGCAGTAATTAATTAACAATTCACGTGCAACTTTCGGGAATGAATAGATTTTTAATGGATATCGCTGATTCATCATTGTAAATGATCTGTATAAATAGGCAATTGCTCGTTTCATTACTCCTTTTCTAATATCGGAACGTACTCCACTGGTATGTCAGTGAGGTCAACATGTCAAAAATTTGCGTGTCTGTCAAGGAACGTTTGTTGAGTGTTGGAATTTTATGAAATGAAAAAGTGAATGTTGGTATATTATTTGAGATATTTCCAGGTTAATCGAGTGATATTTAAAATAGTGCGATCGAATCGAATCTATCTTCAGTGATCTTTATAGAAGAAAGGTGAGTAATTGTCGCAATTTCGCCATTCGGCTTTCCAACGATATTTGTAAGTGTGACGTTAATAAAGTTAGTCATTAAGAATTTACGGCAAATCTAACGTCAATAGTTTTATACATTTCGAATTATTTACATTTTTTACTACGTTTTATTTTGTAGGTGTTATTATTTTTGGTAAAAACGTCCCTGCTCATTATTGCAAGTAATAGATTTCGTACGCGAATCGGTCTGAAACATGTTAATGAAAGTTGTAACATGACAAATCAAATTGCTAATATTACTTCATTATCATAAATAACTTCATTGAACAAATACATTTTCAAACCGTTTATATTGGTTATTTCATGTTACTTACATCAACTTGCTGCCGGAGCCAAATTTAACCAATCACGGTGGAGCCAACGGTGGTACCATTTACATGCGGTTATCTAGCCAATCAATTTGCACAGTTAAATTTTAAGTACAGTTAATAATTGTAGGATAATTAACTTTAATTGATTGCTATCTTCCTGTTATATAAACAATTAGAATTTTCTGAAGTGTAATTTTACTTTTACGATTGTGCCTCTTATTATTATTGATTATCGTATAAAAGATTTATTGCATTGCGCTTTTTGTCGCAATATTATTACTTTCAATTTTTACCATCTAATAGTTATAAATTTCTTACAAAGGGCTAACTTAAGTATTTGTTCTATGAATAAAATTGGCTAGATAACATAGATAATAATGTGCTTAATAAGTAGATAAAATAGATTGAGTAACATACTGAAATCTTATTCAATAAATTGGATGTCATAGGAGTAAAATTTATCAATATCTTTATAGCTCTCTAATAACACTTTTTATTTTAGTTGGGTATAGGGAATTACTAAAAATATAATCTTCGTTATTTAGATTTTTTACTCTATTAAGAACATATGTACCTAATTAATCCTATAAATATCCACTAAGTACTTTATGAATTTAACAATTGTTCATAATTATTTTTTTGGTCATTTATTTAAATAGGATTGCTTGCACTGTACATTTTGTGAAATAAAGCAGGTCTAAACAATCGGATTAAAAATCATAAATTTAAAAAATTTAATTATTTAATTAGTACTTAATTCGCAAAAAACCGCAATAAAATTATTTTGGTCAAATTAACAGTAAAAAAGCTGCTTACTTTTTTTCAAAGCATACCTATTGCCTTTCTTAATAATTATCGGATTGTTAAATTTTCATTATGTAGTTTTAATTCATTTTTAAAGGTTCAAGTCGCTTTATAATTATTATTTTGATTCTGATCTGCTAGCAACAAACTGTACCTTATTAAGTATATATTTCTATTTTTAGTTTTGTCGGTTCCCGTTTATATTTGTACATTTGAGTAATGTATGTAAATTCACGTTCTAATACGTTACGTTTATTGATAAAAAGCGCGTCATTGAGAGCACCCTTTTGACATTCAAATCATCATTTGTGACCTTCGTTAAATAATTAATTTGTTGATCTACCGTTTTACAGAACATCACTAGGTCAAGATTAAAAGGTCAACGGCATCGTTCGTGTGAAGATATTGCCATTGGATTCGTTCTATAATCAAATTCGAATATATTGTTCGCCTAAAGGCTATTTCACTGTCCGCTTTTTAGTAGGTATTATCCATCGTCCGAAAGATTAAATTTACTGTTCGATTTCCATTTCTTCTCTCGCAACTTTCACGAAAATTCGGTTTGTGACCCGTTTATACCGGGCGTCTTTTTATATTCTCGCTGGTTTTTAAAAGCTCTTTTGATTCATCTTAATTCCAGTTAAAAATTCTTTAGATTAGTTTAGATCCTAAGTAGATTAGGAATAAATTGCAAAATATCTTGTGCAAATGTGCTATTTTTGTACCGATTAAGCCGGAAGTGGACCAATTTTAGATATACGTCAGAATAAAACTAGTATGGTTAATTTAAAGCTAACCTTGAATACGAAAATCTTATTACTGCTTGGAAGATTGAGCTTTTCAAAACAATCACAATACCTGTAATGATACACCGAGTATTTAGGAATGATTTTAAACGGGGCCGGCACATTTATTATGTTTTTGTTTGTAACACGGTCATATTTAGTGTACAATTATGCAGGGTGATGCATGTTATGCAGGGGTAAATTTTTGTTTAAGGTGGGTTTTTAATATGTAGATATGTAATATGCACTTGAATACCTATAAATATTTATAAGTCAGCGTAATTTTTTGTGCTAATGTATGTACACATTTTAACACTTTGTCAAATGAATTGAAGTAAAAATTCTCCAGAATTCCGATTAATTTACGACTCTTTTATCGTTAGGAAAAGTGATCGAATGTTCCAGTATATTTCTGACATATAAAAGTATCAAGAAATTTTTAAAGTCGCGCTCTTCATTGATCGTTTCGATTAGGCCTTATCTATTGGAATAATCGAAGTAATTTAAAAGCATGTTCTCTTTTAGTGACAGTGTACGATAAACGAGTGCACTAATCATGCAATCTCGAACTTCAATACGTTTTGACCTGATATAGGTCATCGCGTTTTCGCCCGATATTTTTTTATCAACGGATTATATCTGCCCGTACTTTCTGAAGGTTGTTCCATACGAGTACTGGAATATGATATTACGGTGTACCGTACGGAATGTGTAACTAATAGTAATTCGTATTCCGCGATTGTGACAGTTCGAAAGCGGCCTTCGTACTGTACAGTGTGCATATCGTGTGTGTGCGAACACGTCCGTGAAAGTTCGCCTTCCTTCGAAAGTGCTTTGCTGTTATTTAGCGATTTTAATTCGAGATTTCCTTTGTAAGAAAGTGAGTTTTTTTTCGTATTTTTTTGCGAAATTTCTTCGATGGATTTGTTTTCAAAGTTTACAAAACTGCTCTACTTTGTGTATAATCTGACCGAAACCAATCAAATATAGTACAAGAAGTACATTTCATATCTGTTTTCAAAATAAAATATGTAAAAAATTATAAAATAAGTCGATAATAAAAAAATGCGAGATTCTATTACCGTAGCGAATGAAATTTATAAAAAACTTACATGTTGTGATTTGATTATTATAAAACTACATTGAGTTGATTTTGGAAACACTATGCATGTTTTTTTTGAATTATTTAGTGCATATTAAAATAAATTTAAGTCCTTATACTCTTGATTAATTTTGGAAAGCATGTAATATTTATGTTGGATTCTTCGTGAGCATCATTTTTGTAATTCGCAGGATAACGTTACTTTTTCGTTTTATTTATCCATTTAAATTTTTTTAAATAATTTATGAGTTGATTTTATTATGGTCGGATGCCTATTGAGAATGTAAAGGTATTAGTAACTGTGTTATAAAACTTTTTTGAGTCGTTATTTGCATAAAATCGTAAATATTTTTTTATAATATTGTGTGTTTGAAAGAAATGGTAATTAACTTAATTGTTTAAATTACTGCATGCCGATAATTTTGTTTTAGTGTAGTTTAAATTGATTTTCGCGATCATTACTGCATGTTTTTTCTATTGAATTATTGGTCACGTTAGATTTTTTGTCAGTTTTCTTGCAATAATTGATTTTTGTGCACTAATTAATTTTATTATCGTTGAATGTCTGCTTGTGTTGCATGTTAACCAAAATAACAAAATTGTTATTAAGGTAGGTATGATTTGAGTTTATTTTGATCTAAAAAATATTGTTGCAAATATTAAATATTGCTATCTATTTGTATTAGGTGTGCAAATAAAGGTGTTTTTGGTAGTTACATTCCAATTTTAGAGTCTACCTTAATTTAAATTAAAGCAGTAGGTGCATAAATTCGCCTTTAAAGAAGTATAATTCGCCTTTATGACTACTGGGTAAAACATTTAAATTGTTTACAATTTGAATAATGCTATTGTATTTTTTGATAGAATTAATTACATTACTGATGAAAATTGTTTTAACATGTAATTTACTAATACAGTAATTGAATTACAAAAATATCTGACAAATAAATTCAAATCCGCATACTTTTCATTGAGACTACAAGTACAGTTAATTAATTTACTGGATAACGTTAGTTTCGCAAAAGCATTCTTGTTCACTGTTAGTCGGATATTTTTTGCTATTTCAACTTTTATGTTAATGTTGGTTCGTCTTATTACACTTTTATATTTTAATTGAACGAGTCCTGGCAATTATTTTTTGCAACGTATTTTAATTAGTTTCAAGTAAATAAGTTCATCGATAAATTGTAGAATTGCTATGTGACCTGTGTACTTTATTTATACCCATAAATATGTTATTTCAATTACGATACCTTATCAAAGCCTTATATAATATCGAAAGACCTCATATTTGTTGTACGTAATAGTTTAATCAATACTCTTTAAACAATTATTGTAACATTACTGGTTGTTATTGACCTTGTTCAATATCAAGCCACTTTTGGTCATTTGAAAACGAACAAATCTTATTCGCTTTGTTATAATTGCAAATTTAATTAAAACATTCGCATTTTATAGTTTTATTGATATCGTAAATACGGAAAATTTGCCAAGCGCATTCCATGTGTGGTAATTAGAAATTAACTTTCGCTTGCATTAAATAATTAATTAGAAATTATACTGGTAAACACGGATAAATTGCACCGAATGACATACAGTAATGTAATAATAGTAACTTTACGTTACTAGAAAAGGCGCGTTAAATTCGCTCTCGTTGAATTAAATTTGATTAAAACAAATTTGTCGAACTTAAGTGGATTACAATGAGGATCACTCGCTGAATTTTCCCGCCGCATCACTCCTAATATAATAGTAAAAATAGGTGTTTTTTTGCAGGATTTTAAAAGATGTCGGCCAAAGCTGTAAGAGAAGCTACGGGGAAGCAACTGATAAATAAGCATCTCGGCGGAAACACGGCTTTTACACAATGCAGATTCGCGTCCGTCGACCCGGACACCAAGTTTTCCCAACTGGTGGCCGACAATCCTTGGTTGAAAACCGAGAAATTAGTCGTCAAGCCCGATCAGCTCATCAAAAGGAGAGGAAAATTAGGTAAATTACGGCGAAATAGTATTAAACCAAAGTTGAGACAAACAACATATTGTAGGCTCCCTACATTCCCCTGCTGCGTGTCTGTTCTTATGAGGGACACCCTGTATATCGGAAAATAGTTTAATAGTAAAAAATATTAGTCTATACATTTTAACAACTACATGGTTTAATGTTAAAAACACTTCACATCAACGTTCAAAACCTACTATAATCTTGAAATTTCAATATCCTGTTGAATTATCCTTTATAAATTTTATAAACATTATAATCCTTTAAGTACCTATAGTTTTTGTTGACTGCGCATTAGTCATTAGACTGCATTATTTTTTTGTCGATTAGGTACATTTAAATTGCTTTAATTTGCAATAATTGGAATAGCGCAAAAAATTTAAAAAAAATCAAATTGCATATACGTATAATTATTCGGTTATTTAATAATTCATTCGCAAAAATTATTACCAAAAATCCTACATCAACACTACCACGCTTCTCATTTACCCTTCTCGTTAATTTTATCGCAGGACTGATAGCAGTAAACAAGGATTTCGACCAAGTCCAGCAATGGATCGCCGAACGCATGAACAAGAACCAGAAAGTGGGCAACGCCACCGGAAAGCTCCGCAACTTCATCATCGAGCCCTTCGTGGCCCACAAGGAGGACGAAGAGACCTACGTTTGCATATACTCGCACCGATTCGCCGACACCATACTGTTCTACCATCAGGGCGGCGTCGATATCGGCGACGTGGACAGCAAGGCTGTTAAATTAGACGTACCGGTCGGTACCACGCCTGATTTAGACGCCATTACCAAGGTGAATAGATATTTTATAGCTTACTTGTAGCAAGTGTCCACTCTATCTAGAGATTAATTACTTATTTGCAAGTTTTTAAACGAATCCGGTACGATTTTCAGGTACTATTAGGCGCCGTTTCGAGCTCGAAGAAGCAGATGATCGCCTCTTTCGTCTACAACCTCTACAAGTTGTACGTCGATCTGTGCTTCACGTACCTCGAAATCAATCCGTTGGTGGTCACCGACAAGGAGATATTCGTGTTGGATTTGGCGGCCAAATTGGACGCCACCGCCGATTTTATCTGCAGACCGCAATGGGGCGAAATCGATTACCCGCCGCCGTTCGGACGGGACGCCTATCCGGGTAATTGCTCGAGTTTCTTTATCGTTAATTTCGTGGTTTTCACGCGGTTTTGTATCGTACAGAGGAGGCCTACATTGCCGATTTGGATTCGAAATCCGGAGCTAGTCTGAAACTGACCATTTTGAACAAATCCGGGAGGATATGGACGATGGTCGCGGGCGGTGGGGCTTCGGTCATTTACAGCGATACGATTTGCGATCTAGGCGGTGCCGGTGAATTGGCCAATTACGGCGAATATTCAGGTGAGATTTAAATTTACTCTAAAGTAATAGATTGTTTGTAATATGCAACCTCGCCAAATGAATTTCATTGATTTAATAAGTAACATCAAAACAATAAATAATTGAATTGCGATGCACGTAGGCACATTGACAAGCATTTTAATCATGAACCGCTGTTTTTTAAGATTTCATAAAATGTCTTGTGAAGTGCTATCCAATGAAAACAAAACACTTTATATTCAGAAAATTAATCTATTACGATTACATCAATTAATATCTATTTAAATTTCCTGCATTTCATTGTTATATTTTATTTCTATTCTATCTATATTCTATGTTTTTTCTCATTAAAGGAGCGCCAACAGAACAGCAAACGTACGAATACGCGAAAACGATCCTCTCGCTAATGACCCAGGAGAAACATCCCCAAGGCAAGGTCTTGATCACCGGAGGCGGTATCGCTAACTTCACCAACGTGGCGGCCACCTTCAGGGGCATCATCACCGCTCTCGTTGAATTTAGAGAGAGGCTCATCGAGCACAAAATATCGATTTTCGTGCGAAGGGCCGGTCCCAATTACCAAGAGGGTTTGAGGCGTATGAGAGAAGTCGGCCAGACTTTAGGTAGTACCGCTTGTACCAACTTTCTGATCGAGTATATTGTTAATTGTGAATTTTTTTAGGTATTCCTTTGTACGTTTTTGGACCTGAAACCCACATGACGGCTATTTGCGGTATGGCTTTGGGTACTCGACCGATTCCCTCTGAAAATAACGTGGAAACGGCCACCGCGAATTTCGCTTTGCCCAGCGGGGAAAAGGAGCCGAATAAGCAACGTTTGGAACGCAAGGAAATTCCCAAGGCCGCTGCAGTGGAGCACAGAGCAACAGCTGTAAGTTTATTTGATTTTATCATGCACGTGTTAATGCTGCTTTCTGCCGTACTTTCGCTATTGATGATTTTGTAGTAGTGTACTATGAAGAAAACTATAAATAAAGTAAAAAAAAAATACTAACTGTATAATTAATAACGATTGTACGGTTTAACAATACATAATAGATGCTTTTGAAAGCGACATTACAAATACAGGTGATGGTTTAAAAGTGAAGGTTTTGTATATTTTTGTAACACTAAAATCGGTTCTTTATCTATGAAGTATTTTTCATTTTTCTAATTTTACTAACAAAAAAGGTTACTAAAAGATTCTTCACATTTTCACTGCTTTGTCATATTTTCCTTTCTTCACTTCTTTCTTTTATTGGTTTTTGAACTTTTAATATTCTTTATAATAAATATGCCGGTTTTTTATAAAGTTTTAAAGGATTGAAGCCTTATTACAATAACTAACACACATGTTTATACATAATGCAAATTTTCTATTTGGGAACTATTAGAAATTGTTTTTTCTTTTTTTTTTAATTTTAATTAGCTTTGGTCTTAACAATAAAAATAATCGCTGTACTTTAGAAACTAATTTATTAATCAAATTGCCATTGTAAATAAAACTGGTCATATTTATTCAAATGTACCTAAGTCTGTGATTTTTTGATTTTTTTAAAGGAAAATGTACCAAACCCCGCACACTTATCATCACCATCATCAAATTCACAGGTAATCATTTCGTTCAAATAGACCGATTTATCACTTACACCGCGCAATTTCTTTAAACCAAAAAAGGGCGACGCGAGATCCAGCCCGATGTTCACCAAAGACACGAAGGCCATAGTATGGGGCATGCAGAACAGGGCCATACAGAGCATGCTGGATTTCGACTTCGTGTGCAGACGAAACCACCCGAGCGTCGTTGCCATCATTTACCCGTTCACCGGCGACCACAAACAGAAGTTCTATTGGGGCCACAAGGAGATCCTCATACCGGTTTACAAGCAAATGAAAGACGCCATGACTAAACACGCGGAGGCCGACGTACTCGTAAACTTCGCCTCCCTACGATCCGCCTATTCGAGCACCATAGAAACCATGGAGTACCCTCAAATCAGAACCATCGCGATCATCGCCGAGGGCATCCCCGAAAACTTCACGCGGAAATTGATCAAAGTGGCCGACGAGAAGGGCGTTTCGATCATCGGCCCCGCCACTGTAGGCGGCGTCAAACCGGGTTGTTTCAAAATTGGCAACACCGGCGGTATGATGGACAACATCTTGCATTCGAAATTGTACAGGCCCGGTAGCGTCGCTTACGTATCGAGGTCCGGTGGTATGTCCAACGAATTGAACAATATTGTATCCAAAGCCACCGATGGAGTGTACGAAGGTGTTGCCATCGGAGGAGACAGATATCCCGGTACTACTTTCATGGATCACATATTGAGGTACGAACATTCAGGTAGTTTTAGAGCTTGTTATTATGCTTTAACGTTGTAGATACCAAGCTGATGATAACGTAAAAATGATTGTTCTTCTTGGCGAAGTCGGTGGTACCGAAGAATACCAAGTGTGTGAGGCTTTGAAAACTAAGCGAGTTACTAAACCGCTCGTAGCGTGGTGCATAGGTAATTGAGGTGTATTATTCGTAATAGATGAATGCTCATTATTGATATTGTTATTAGGAACTTGCGCCGGTATGTTTACTTCAGAGGTTCAATTTGGACACGCCGGTTCTTGCGCAAACTCTAATCAAGAAACTGCCACCGCTAAAAACGAAGCCCTAAAAGCCGCCGGAGCTAATGTTCCTAATTCGTTCGATTACTTAGGTAAATTTATTACTGATTATTTAGTAACTCGATGTAAAAATTCGATTTTTCAGGCGATGTTATTCAAGATGTATACGAAAAATTAGTTAGACAAGGCGCTATTGTACCAACACCAGAGGTTCCACCGCCTACTGTACCGATGGACTACAACTGGGCACGAGAATTGGGTCTTATTAGAAAGCCAGCCAGCTTCATGACCTCGATTTGCGATGAAAGAGGACAAGAATTGATTTACGCAGGTAATACTACCGCTGCTCCGTTTGTATAATCAAGATTCTAGTGTTTAATTGTTCAATTCCTTGTAGGCATGCCGATCTCTGATGTCCTGCAAAAGAACGTCGGTATTGGAGGAGTTATTTCGTTGCTGTGGTTCCAACGGTGCCTACCGCCCTACGTATGTAAATTCTTCGAAATGTGTTTGATGGTAACAGCCGATCACGGTCCAGCTGTATCCGGTGCGCATAATACGATTGTGTGCGCGCGCGCTGGTAAAGATTTGGTCTCCAGCGTGGTGTCTGGATTGTTGACCATCGGGGATAGATTCGGCGGAGCATTGGATGGCGCCGCTAAAATGTTCAGCGAAGCTTACGATAAAGGTAGCTTGAAAACCAAATTTTACTGTTTCACGCTTAATTCAAATTGATGGTCGTTTTTAGGAATGCACCCCGGCGAGTTTGTTAACGCTATGCGCAACAAAGGCCAGCTTATTATGGGCATCGGTCATCGAGTAAAGTCCATCAACAACCCGGACCAACGTGTTAAAATAGTAAAGGAATTCGTGATGGGTAACTTCCCCGCCACGCCGCTGCTTTTATATGCCCTTGAGGTGGAGAAGATTACGACGTGCAAGAAGCCTAATCTCATCCTTAACGTGGACGGTGTCATTGCTTGTGCCTTCGTTGATATGTTGAGGAATTGCGGTAGTTTCACTAGGGAAGAGGCTCAAGAATACATCGATATCGGTTCGATTAATTCGTTGTTCGTCTTGGGAAGGTCGATAGGTTTTATTGGTCATTACATGGACCAGAAAAGGCTAAAACAAGGACTGTACAGGCATCCTTGGGATGATATTTCTTACGTTCTTCCCGAGCAATATAATAATGATAATTAGATATGCATTTGTAGATGTTACCGGTTAACGTGTAGTACTTTTGGCCGACATTAAAGAGGTAGATGATAATCTAAAAACAAGTAAGTGGTAATACCATGAAATAGTTTATCATTTAATATAATATACAAATTTAAATTATAGAACGATACAATATTAGGTTCGAGTATTCTTGTAATACACTCGTTATTATTTTTTTAATGTTAAATTATGTATTTCATGGTGATAAAGCACTTACTTCGAGCACCTGGAGCGCCAGAAATGGTGCCATTATTGTCGAGCACTTCAAAATTTAAAAAAAAACACTGTTATTGTAAAAATGCACCAATTATTCTTAGGTGAAAATTTTAAAAAGTTACGTTTTGTCTATTAATTTATTAGTTTCAACTGTAATTTATATTTTTATATGTATGTTTATTATAAAGTGACAGCCATGTTTATCTAAAACATGAGAATTGGTATGTTTAAAAAAATGAATATAGCGTACTGACGCACACACAGGTTATGTAGTTATTTTATCAATTAAATAAAGTTTCCAACTCATTTATACTTGTATTTTATCGTTCTGAATATACGTTATCGCATGTTTAGGTACTACAAGTATAAATATGCTACTGAATAACTGAAATTGTAGAGACCACGAATTATATAATAGAAGAATTTAATATGACGTGACACGTGACGTGTTTAGAAATCGCCTCATAAGTCAAAGTCAAAATTCTAAATCGTCAAAATATAATCCAACCTCTCTCAATTCACAATCATTTTTATTTTATTATTTGTATATGAGATATGAAACGATTCTAGTAAAATATTCGTGATTTTACAAAATGGATAGTTCATTTACCTCGGTTTCTTACTGGAGTAGTAAAATAGGAACTACAGAACCAGCTTTAAGATTATTACTGACTGTTTTGTATGGTAAGTTTATTTTCATTTTTAATTGTTTTATTTACTTTCTACTTAACCAAGTTATTAAGTTATCAAGTTATTAAAACATGTTCATTTTGTTAATTATTAGTCGTTTAAAAATATAAATTTTGTCCCTTTAAGGATCTAACTGCATTATATAATTAATTATTTAAATAATAAAATTGGTATTTTTAATAGAGATTTTATTTTTGTAATATTAGAATACTTGATTAGATATAAATATTCCGTTAAGATTTTCTAGGGCAGGCTAAATGACATGATTCTTAGGAATTAATTTCGAATTTTTAAATATTGTGTAAGTTTCTATTTTTAAACTAAAAACAAATTCCTGTTCACTTTATCCTCTACGCCTACACATTTAATACTCAAATTATTTTTATATAATATATTATCAATAATATTGTTTTATAAGCATACTATGTATTAGATTTTTCCAATTTTCTTTTTAATTTAAATTCAATCATTTGTACATTTTATAAATTAATAAGTTGTTTCATTTTGAAAATTTACAACAAATTTAACATTGCTTAGGATTTAAGTACAATGTTATTACCGTTTATTTAAATTTAACTCAATGATCAATTAAATCAGTAAAAATAATAATAGCTTTTTTATCAGGTTAAAACCTGAACTTTGTAATGTACATAGGAATCCTTCTAAAGACAATGTTTTGATTTTAATTTATACTGTAACTTAATAATAATTTTACATCATTGTATTTTTATTTTTCCAGGATATCCTTTAGCGTTATTATTTAGGAAATGCGTCTTCAACAAAGCACCCATCGCACAACACCTGTATTTTATTACAACTGGTTTAATACTAGGATACTGGAATTATGGAAGTGATATTTGCCACTGTATATATTCTACAATTTTTACATATTTCACATTAGTAATTTTGAAGGGCACTCTTTACTCCGTCGTTATTACATTCGTTTTCAACCTGGGATATCTGATAATCGGTGGGTTATTATTTTCTGTTAAATTAAACAAAAATTTTACATACTTGCTTTTTAGGATATTTCTATTGGAGTACTGTAAGTTACGACATCAACTGGACTATGCCGCATTGCATTTTAACATTAAAACTAATAGGTAATATAAATATTACCCGAAGAAATAATAAGTATAAAAAACAATGAATTTTAGGAGTCGCTTTTGATTTGTACGATGGTCATCAACCAGTCGAAAGTTTGTCTGCCGATAGCAAAAAATTGGCTCTTGTACACCCACCAAACATATTCGAGTTGTTTGGATTCGTTTTCTTCCCGGCCGCTTTCCTAATAGGTCCGCAATTCTCAATGAAGAGGTATTTAGAATTTATCGGTGGACATTACAATAACGGCGTATGTTCATTCTATCGAAAAATATTTATTATTTACTGACCCGATCTAATCTCCTACAGGACGAACCTCCCAACAGCGTACCGGCGGCCGTTAGAAAGCTTCTGTTCGGTTTGTTCTACCTCGCGGTGTTCCAGCTACTAGGATTTTTCGTTACCGATGATTATTTAATATCCGACGCGTTTGGAAATCTGCCTTTTTACAGGAAAATGATACTGTTGGGTATGTGGGGGAGATTCACCCTTTACAAATACATATCCTGTTGGTTGCTCACAGAAGGCGCTTGCATTCTATTCGGTGAGTTTATATAAAGAAATCGTACGATGTAATCGATAAAATACGTTTCGTTTGGGCAGGATTAAGCCAAAACGGCAAAGACGAGAGAGGCGAAACGCGATGGGACGGGCTCGAGAACGTCAAGCTTCACATATTCGAGAACACCACCGAATTTAATCACTACATCAAATCGTTTAATGTTAACACGAACAATTGGATAGCGCAGTATGTTTATAAAAGACTGAAATTCTTGGGCGATCGGCAACTCAGCCAGATTTTTTCGCTGTTGTTTTTGGCCGTGTGGCACGGAGTCCATTCCGGATATTATATGTGCTTCTTCTTCGAATTCGTTGTCATGTACATGGAACGAGACGTAAGTAACCCGCTGATACTAGACTTATATGTACAGGGTGTTAATTAATTGAGTGCCGATACTTCAGGATGTGAATATTTGGATGATTTTAAGAAGAAAAGTTTTTATCAATGTGTGTCCTAAACATCTTAGTTTTCGAGCTACAGGGTGTTATGATTTTAGAAAAGAACAAAACTTTTCATAAATCATAATGTTCTAATTACACCAGATTTTTTTATGAAATTTTGTACGCATTTTTTAATTATTAAGGAGCATTTTTGAGGCAAAAGATTTTTAAAATCTTATACCAATGACATCAGGGTTTGGACTAAAAAACTAAAAACTAAAATTATTTTTAAAATCCTCATTTATTTTGGAGCAAATTCGGCCCGAAGACTTTGGTAGGCGTCCACCATGCATAGAAACTTTTTTTGGAGCAAAAATGAATTTTTTACTATTACCAGTGACGTCCACGTCCGAAATTTCATCAAAATATCTGGAGTAATAAGAAAGTTGTGATAGAAAAGTTATTTTTTTCTAAAATTTTAACACCATGTAGCTCGAAAACTAGGAGGTTTAGGGCATATATTGCTATGAACTTTTCTTTTTAAAATCACCCAAACATTCACATCCTGAAGTATCGACACTCAATTAATTAACACCCTGTATATCAAAACTGTGGATAGATGCCATAGATGTTAATTTTTTCATCAAAATTGAGTTATCGGTACCACCAAGTTCCTCTTGTTGAAATCTACAAGAGATGGTAGAATATAACAGTACAACTTAAAGCACGAAACCACTACTCATATTTGGTAAATTTCAGTATTTAAACAGTAACCCAAACCTAAAATAACTCTCTTTAACGAACACGAAATACCAAGTAATTGCATCAATCCACAGAAATATTCATTAATTAACTGAACAACAAATTAACAATGAACATATTACTATTAAAAAGAGCATAATTTTATATTTCTTTCAGATAAAAAGCATCGTAAAATCGGACGTGTACCTGAAAAGTTTCTTTGCCAGCCCGAAAATCCAGCTGCCTCTGCAGATCGTACTGAGAATGTACACGTTCGTGTTCATGGGCTGGTGCGTGATACCTCTGGTGTTCCTGCAATATCCCAGGTACTTCCCCGTCTACGCGAATTGCAACTACGTGGGGGCGATTCTGTTCCTGCTGTGGCCCGTCGTTTACGCGCCCCTCGTGCGGTTTTTGCTGAAGAAATACGGCAAAAGGAACACCGAGAAGGCCCAGTAAATTCGCGGTGGTCGTGTGGTTGGTTTGAAATTGTGTTAGGTGGCTCGTATGTGTATTTTTTAATAACCGAAAGTCAGAGTACAAATTGCGATCGTAAGCACAATATGAAATTTTTTAATTCGTCGAAGAGTCAACTTGATACGTAATGGTAGTACGTACTAAGCTGAATTGGTAGGGGATTGTTTAATATGGATATAATTTATTTAAACGGAATATAAATATGAGAATTTGCAGGTAATGTAAACGAAAATTGATGAATGTAAATGGATAGGAATGAGTTAAGTGTATTTTTTCGCTTAAGAGATCTAATAATCCGTCCAGAAGGATCTTCCAAAAATTCCATCTTTCGCAGTATTAAATTTGATCTATTTCTACAATCTTTGATTTTTGTTTACATTACCTTTCTGAAAATGTTTGATAAATTCAGTGAGTTTATTCAATCAATTGTGTTAATTCTTGTATTATTGAATATTTTTTTACAATCTGTGAACCGCCCAAAGTCTAAAATATTTTATAAATTTTACATTTTTTTATATTCTTGTTTAATATAATTTAACAATTATACGTATATTTGATTTTTGTAGTACAATTTTAGTTGGTTATAGATTAATGTCTTTATTTTTTTCCGTTCATTATAATTTTGAGATTTTGTTTATTTATTGTACTTATTTTTGTTGGTATTAAATAGTTGGTAATTTTATTCAATCGTAATTTATGAAATAAATATGCTGAGAGAAGAATCATTGCTGAAATTCGTTATTATGGCTGTTCCATTGGAAAAGTGATTTGTTTTACACACAAATTAAAATAGAGAACATTAAAATACAGGGTGTTCAGATAATAGGAGTCAATAACGAAATGTCATCTATACGCTTCCGAATTGTTGACATCTTTTTTTCTGAACACCCTGTATACGTAAATTAAAAAAAATGCCTTATAAATAAGGCAATTATTGTAATTTTTTTTTATATTTTACGAATAATTAAAATTTACATTAACATGTGACAATTTCTTTTCTAAATAATGCTTCCAACTTGTAATTAAAAATTTAAACTAGAAGTGTGGTAATTTTAATTTTATAGTTTTTTATGTACGTATAAATTTATTTCATTTTAAGTACTTATACTGAATAAAATATGTTTTTACAAACTTTATCAAATATTCGTTGATTTCGGCCTTTATTTACCAATATTTTTCTCCTTATCTGACTGGGATATTTTTGGAGGATTTTTATCTTAGGAAGAAATTATTAACACACCAAACAAGCGATTTCTATTAAAACAAAACATCAATAAAAAATTTATTAACAAAACTTAACTTAAATCACTAACAAAATGCAATTTCCTCGGCGGTTTAAACAATTAACAGTAACAGTAAATAGGACATTTTGATATTATTTAAACAGTATAATGTTTAGTGTTCATATTTAGGACGCCTGTGAAATTTTTCAGGTATAGATACTTGGTATAAACCAAGTCGTGCGATACACAAAATTCAGTTTTTGATTATTAATAAGTTCACATTTTCAAAGATATCATGTGTAGTATAAATACGTAGAGGGTACCTATGTATGTTTCAGTGGCTTCTTATATCAATGGGTGCGTTCAGGGAACGCAACTGTTGGCAACTGTTGTCAATAGTTGCCTGCAGCGGTTCCCTGAACTACAACGCTAAGCTCGTGTTGACTGGCAACAGTCGCAGTTCGAGTCAGCGTCAATTTTATTCGCTTCTACGTTCAGCATAAACAACACTATTGCACCGTTCAGAGTATACTCAACTGTTGACAGGTATCGGACTCAACATACTGACTGCTACTTCTCAACGGTTATTTTCCCTGAACGCGCCCATTATAATATACACATATTGACTTGTTCTATAACAAAAGCTTAGAAAAAGGGTTAACAAATACAGGTAAACAGTATGAATGAAAACGGATATAAAAATATCTTAATTACAAATTAATCAAGAATTATAGCAATTCTTAAAATAATTTGTAATGTGTATTTGTTTGACTAACTTTAAAGGGTATCGATTCCAAAGAAATCCGAGTACATATCAACCGAACAAAAGAGCTACGAGGGCGGCAAATTTAGCGTGTTTAAAAACCCATTAGTCCTTTAAAGTAATTTCGCTGGAAAAGCAGGGTATTTACAAAGGATAAAGCGACACATGTATACGGGCATTTCACCTTAAACGTGAACCTAGGTACTCGAATGAATTCCTTATTAAGTGCCCGCTACCAGGACGAACAAAAAGTGCGCCAGGAACAGCGATTTCCACCAGCTGGACGGCGATTTCGCGGCTTTCGATTCCTTAATGGTGGTCGTTAGGGCTTTTTCTCTCTCCCTGAACAGGTTCTTAGCGAGCATCCGCATCTTCGAAATTTTATCGTCGAAAATCGCCGTCGACGAATTCGTCGGCACGTTCACGTTGCAGTAGTTCTGATCGCAACAGGACACGCACATCTGAAAACGACAATCGACTAAAAATCCACCCCGATTGGCTTCAGAAATCGATTTTAATCTTTTCGATCGATTTCGCCCGCGTGCGCTCGTTTCCGCGCGGCGACAAATCAAATTTCATGACGTCGACTAAGAGAAAATCTCACCATTTGGGCGTCGATTTCCACGCATCCCACTTTATTTCTTTGGCATTCCTTTTCGGTCGTGCATTTTTTGTTCACCAGCACGCTCGTTCCTTTTGAATCCATTATGTGCAGGGTGTGACAAAATGTTTCTCCTGCAAAAGAAATCGAAACGTACATTATTAGCTACGATTTCCCATTTGTACGAAATACAGGATGATTCTCTGATACTTTGTATTGATATTTGTGTGAGTGATCTCGTTGGAGGTGACTGGATTGCATAAAGCAGGAAAAGGCGGACAAGTAGCGGGTTTGTTGATATTAAAGCAATAAAAATCCCATTTTACGTTCAAAAGTCACCGTCTCAATAAAGCGGCATTAAAGCGAAATCCACAAATCTGACGGTTATCCTCCTTCAACAAATTGGAAAAATTACGATCCTAATCCGTATATGCAATAAAGCGAGTCGACTTGATGCAGCATCGACTGTCTCGAGAAGACAATGTAAAAAAATCTCGTAGACAACTTACCGAAGTATGTTATTTATGGAAAACGGGTACGGAATTTGATATCTTGGATCAAAATTGGCTAGACATTGAAACATTTGATATCTATGAATTTATGAAAAATGTCGGGGTTGTGAAACATTTCGAATTCAAATCTAATTCGTACCTAAGGAAGCATTTATTTATACTTCATCGACACATTTTTTTTTTGTTTTAAGAAGAAATATCAGTAGATAAAATGGTGTATTTGACAGTAATGTTTGCGCTAACGTGTCGAGTAACTCGATTGATTTCCTTACCTGGCTTGCAAGGCCTATCTATAGCGAATTGATTACAAACTAGATTGTCGGAAACGTTCACGCAAATGTAGCAGGTGACTGCGTATTTATCGAAATCGGATAAATCGGACGTCGTGTCGATGAGATTCGATGCTAAGTTCTCCTCCATAGCGGTGTTTGTCATGAAAATGCAGCTGATGATCATACTCAGTCTGAACATTACAATCTGAAACAAAACGAATTATATGTTTTCAAAAAGGCGCATTTCAAATGTCCCGGGTGTAATCGATATTTCGTTATCAAAATCTCTGTGAAAATCGGGTGTAGAAATAATTTTCGCAGCGCATTTCATCGCAGAAACCTTCTTTTTTTCCTAGATATTTCTTAGACGGTAAAAGTTCGGAATCGATGGAATTTTCCGAATAAGTCGCATAACTCAATAAAGTAATTTCGTTATTATCAGTTTCATTTAGATATTTCATAGGAAAAATCCAATTTTCATCGACGTCAAACCGTATATTTGCGGAATTTACGGTCGCTCTAATTTAATAGAAGGCGATTCTGGTAATATTTTTTTTCTATTACTACGAAAAAATTGTCCGCGAACTGAAATAAATTATTAATTACTGTAAACGCGTATTCACTCGGCTCATTTTTGTATTGCAGCAAAATTCGCCAGATTTACGTGCACATTTTCTTAAAAAAAAGTCGGAATAGATAATATTTTCAATATCATTTTGCTCGATACACATTTGAATTTCAATATGTTGTTTGAATAATGTATGAACTTCGATTTGTCTATTTATGCTGTATAAAACGAAGTTTTTAGTACTTACTCGGCAGTTTCCAAAATAAAGCATTCTATTCGTTTACAAGTATTTATTTGTACCCGCAAAGCCCGCCTGTATAATTACGAATTCCGAATGCTTAATACATTTCAATACTCGGCGAAGTCTTAATAGAAAACAGTAGGCATTATTCTCGTGCGTACGTTCTAACGCTTTAACGCCCAATTGCTACGGGGGAGAAAAAGCCCTTTCGGCTTTGCGCTGCGGCGGGACGTATTGTGTTAACAGAACGACGAAAAACGGATAATTACAGTCTTAAATTATTTAGGATATTTTCCCATGCGAATACATCATCAGGCAAACGAATTTTCCGAGAAGCCGAATTTACAGAATATTGTTCCTTGGCACAAAGGCCTCGATAAATTACCCTCGCATTTAAGCTATAGAGAATTATCAAAACGTTGCCGCCGGTGGTTTTTGGATAGCTGAGATTATCATCATACGTTAGTTATTTCGTCCTGAAAGATTTCCCTATATGAGCCGCGTCGAAACTACGTTTTCGTGGGGAAAATCTCGAAGAAAAGCGGTGAAATCTGTCGTGAAATTACATTTTAATTTCCTATATTTCTCTTCGTATTTTAATTTGGTTGCTTGTAATAAGAGCATTATAAATTTTAACCGATTATCTGCTCCATTAAATATCCGGAAAATTAAAATTTGAAGTCAATTATCTTACGACAAATTTCCTTCTTTTTACCTTACATTCTTATTCCCTTTATGCGTCCGATTTAGCGAATTTCTGAGTTAATCATTCCCGATTTCCTTAACTATTTCTATCTCCTACCATTCCCACCAGACGATAGTTTACAATAAAACTACCCTGTTAACAAACAACGAAACAATCATGCTGAGTTACTACGTCGATAAATTAGTTCTCTGATGGCGAACTTCCACCAACTAATCGAACGGTCAGAAGGAAAAAAACGCGAACAATTCGCAAACTTCGACCTGGCTAATTATATTCATTCGCCCGCTCGTCCCTTGTCCGTTCAAGTTGCGAGTTCCAGCCCGTTTCGAAGACTTGCCTGTTACCTAATCAATTCAATTAAACAGAAGTTTCCCGGAGAAAGTTCTCGCGACCCGCAAGTGCCCTGTATCGACGTTCCCCGTATCTTTTCTCCATGCATACGGATACTTTGCGTTAATTCGATTAACGATTAAACTGCGCGCTGTAGAACAAGTCGAGAAGAACCGAGCTAATTGCGGCGGTACGTGCAAATAAAATATAAAAAAATAATCCCGATAAATTAATTTACTCGCGGTTTCGGAATTACGTTAAATCCGTAGAAGGTAGGATATATTGTAGCCTAATTGTTAATTTAATTTCGGAAAGCATTTCGCAAATAAACATCGCTCACTGACGGCAACAAAAACGTAAATAGGCGTTCTTCGGTTCGTTTAACTGCAGAATGTCGGTGTAAAAGCGGTTCGGTGTTATAAAAAAAGGTCGAGAGAAGATGCAAATTTCCATAATGAAATATTAAAATTTATTATTTTTTAAATTAGACAGCATTATACTTGTATAGAATATTTTAACTGGTATATCTGACTACGCTTTGTCGTTGTTTAACACAAGAAATCATTAATGAAGCGTTCTTCGTAGGTAACATAATTTCATTTTTATTTCGAGTATCCTGAGACTGTACAACATTGTAACGATTAGTTGCAAAACGTATAATTCGAAAGATAATCGTAAAGTAAACTTAAACGGTCCATTATAAACAACGGAAACACGAATTGCTCAAACCTCTATCTCTATATGCTAAGCTTGATTTAACAATGGTTCTATTTTCGCACGTTAGTACCTATTCCAGCTTTGCTTTATTCGTTTTAAACGAGTGTTTATACCATATAACGACTGCATTTTGTCGGTGGAATTTTATCAGCTCTATATTTCATGTTGTAACTATATAGATTGCATCTTTGTAACGGATTGATGTCGTTCGTGCACTAAATTTAATCGATTCGTTCGGTTTAACCGATGTTTAAGTTCGAAAATCTGGATTGCTCGCTAGAAGACGTCATTATATTGATCTATTGTTTGGAATAAATTATAAATCTGCACCCGGAATTCGGTGCACTATTTCCCGCGCAGATTCATTATGAAAGAACAATTTACCGGCGGGTAATTGACAACAGATAACCAAATTAATAATCGACGTACGGCTACAATCGGCATTACATATTTTAAAATGATGAACTGGCCAGCGCGGTAGGTAAATCGCCATCGCCGGATGTTTAATAGGATTATTTGCGCGCGTTTTGATTTGAATCGATTGGTTCACGAGAGCGTCACATATTGCGAATGTGACATTACGCACGACGTGCTTGTAGAATGCTAAATTTACTATACCGCGTTGGTTTTTTTTTTATTTTCGTCCGGCGGCGGATTTCGAATTTTCCTACAATTTATGCTGATTTCGGCCATTCGCTGTGACGGCTAACTGGAAGGCCCAATTCGGGTGGTGATTTAATGCCAAAGGCGCATTCACTATTTGCTTGTTTCCTGCATTTCATTATCGATCCCACACTCGTGTCTTATACGCGATTAATCCTCGAAAAAAAAAAAATACAATAAAACTACTACTGTTTAAGTGAACAAGACCACTTGAATCTGTTTTATACCTAGTACTATATCCAGCATTTAATATACGCCCACTGCGCAAAGGATTTTGAATGTAAAAAATTATTATTACAACGAAGAATAAGTTTTATTACTTCCCATCAACGGAACTACTCTCATCTTTATTATGCGATTCACCGTCCTGGCGTCCTTTCCGGATAACGCATCGCATATGTCATAAACCCCTCCTCATCTTATACTATTACTGGAGTGTATTTCGCGAAATTTTGTCCCGAACTCTATCTGTTTTCCTCCCTCTCGGCGCGCCCCTTCCTCGAATAAACTAAAATATTTTATTTCGCTCGCTCGGAGAGAGACGAAACCGCCCTAGTTTTGATATCCAGACATCGAATTGAACTTGTTCTTCTGGCGGGGACGGCGCAAAAAGTTTCCCATTGAAAAAGAAATATGAATAAATTCCGCAACGTTGGGAAAGTTCTCGCTGTCCGTTTCTGCGATTTAGATGATGAAAATTCTCCGGCCGGTTATTTGTTAATATTACGTGTATGCATACAGCTCGTAAACTTTCAAATATAACGAGTGGTTTGTTTGTAAATGACTACGTCTCATCGTAACTTTTAATGCGACGTCCTTTTATGCAGGTATATGTACATTTATTCGAGCCCGTTCAAAGGATTCGCGCTAGAGAAAAGTCGTTGAAAAGAACAGAATTAACATTTGTTGTTGTTGTTGTACGTTCAAAGGGAGTTTTCGTTTCGCGAGTTCCCAGGCTAGGTAAAGAGAAAAAACATATTTGTCGCTTTCCGACGTTCTCGGCTGGAAATTTTAAACCAATTAAGACGGTAGGGGTAGATATCCTCGCGGAGCAAGTACACAAAATAATTAAATCGTATTTTTGCGCTCGTTATTACCGGAAGAGAGAAGGGAAAAATTACCGAAGCACTCGTGAACAGTTTCGACTTTTTAATTAAAAAAAAAACAATACTAGGAAGCAAAGAGGAGGATCGGAATGCAGGAAAAACTGCAAGGAAACGCGGACGTATTAGTTAAAGAGGAATTCTCACTGTTCTGATAGCACGCTTTGATAGCACTATAACATCAAACCCAGTCGGAAAATATTTTTCGAGAAGTTGCGAAGAACTTGGACGCGAAGATCTCATTACTTCGAGTATCAACTTGGAATAAAGTGCCCTGACAGACGAAGAAAAATTAAATTTCACCAGATTCCCGAATCAAACTCGTGCATTTATTGCGTTAAACAATTCCTTGCTCTTAGAAACTAACAATTCATCTTTGTTCCGCTGAGGAATTGTTCGAGTTTGAGGAGTGATTTTTTAAGGAACATTTAAAAAAAGATTTTAGAACTTTAAATAAAGTAGCGGTGTCGTCCTTAAAACGCCCGGAGAAATTCGAAAACATCTCCGGGCTTTTGCGTGAATAAACTACACCGGTTGTTGGCTTGGCTGTGCTCGAAATCGAGGACTTAGGGACTAAAGAAACACGGAATACAATTTAATGTTCTCTTGTCGACGTTCTGGAACTCCATCGCTTTTACCTCTAATACTTTGTACACAACACAAAGCCGCGGCTCAACCTATCCTGAATTTATGCAAATTACAGTTGAATTGTTTAATACCGGTATTGATAAATCGCGTTCGGAGCTTTTGCGAATTTTTCTTGCAGCTCTAGAATTTTAGCTAACGATTATTGCAGCTTTCGGCAATTATTTATAATTTAATTCATTATTTACATTATTGATTTACGTGTTAACAACTTGAATGGGTCTTATCGGAGCTCGGAATAAGTAGGGCGGCATTCGAGTTTGACGTTCTTAAAGAAACTTTTCGTTCCAAAAACTCGGAAACTCTTTGAAGGATATTAAAAGTTCCTATCAGTCATATTTTTTCGCAAATGAGAAAATCGCTCGATCCAATATATTAAAATTTTAATCGCGAAGCTAGTTAAATAAAGTTTCGTTTTTTTTCCGTCTAAAAATCCCGTTAATAGTCTTTTTTATTCCGAAAGTTTTTTTGGTATTTTTAAGTTATCGCCACGTCCCGTCATGCCTGACCATTTGACGTGACTTTCAAAATTCATCAACAGTTTGGAACAGTCGATTAGAGTGTTAAATTGAATAAATTGTACTAAATCAATCAAACCATGGAGGCCCTTCCCTCGTTCTACATGGAGCTCGGTCCCGGGACGATGGACGAGATCGAAACGGACCTGTTCCTGGGCGGCCAAGCGGCGGCCAGAAACGCCGAGCTGCTGCAGAAGAACAACATCACCCACGTGCTGTCCATCGACATTCGCCCGTACCCCGCCACCCTGGCCGCCAAGAACAACCTCACCACCAAATACGTCCAGCTGATGGACCTCCCGTCGGCCGATCTGCTCTCGCACTTGGACGACTCCTACAACTTCATCGCCAAGGCCCAGCAGAACGGCTCCGTCCTGGTGCACTGCTACTTCGGCATATCGCGCAGCGCCAGCTTCGTCATCGGCTACCTCATGAGGAAGTACCAAATGTCCTACGACGACGCCTACGAGGTGGTGCGCTGCAAGCGCGGCATCGTCTTGCCCAACGAGGGCTTCGTCGCGCAGCTGAGGATCTACCGGTTGATGGGCTATCGACTCGACAAGGACAGCATACACCTGAAGATGCACCGGCTGACGGTAGCCGCGGATTCCGTGAAGCGGCTGCGCGTGCTCTCCAAGGACTTCCTGAAGCTCATTCGGCCGGATCCCAGCAACGAGAAGCAATCGTCGAAGGTGAATTTGTGCAGGTGCAGGAAGTGCAAGAGGCTGTTGGCTACCGAAGCTAATATACTGCCGCATAAGGATAAGGATAAGATTTGCGATAAGATGTTCTTCATGGAGCCGATCACTTGGATGAACGTCACCAAGAGCGATAGAGGGAGGTTGTTCTGTCCGAAATGTAGCCTGGACGTTGGGAATTTTAATTGGGTGGTTGGTAACATTTGTCCCTGCGGGTTTCGCACGACGCCCGCGTTTTGTATTAACGCGTCTAAAGTAGAATTTGGTAAAAAATTTTCTTGCTAATTATATATTTTTGGTTGTTTGTGGTTGTTTTAATTTCATCGTTTCGCGATAAACGAGTGTATAAACATATGCTCAATTCTATATGAGTTGAACAAAAAAAGATTATTAACAGAAGAGAGTGGTTAGAATGAGAATGTTTCAATTCCAATATCGTCCTAAAAGAGAGTAAAGAGAGTAGGCAAAGTAGAGAGAATATAGAGAAAGTAGAGAGTGTAGATAGAGTATAAAGAGTATAGAGAGAGAGTAAAGGGAAAAGAATTTGTAAAGAATTTTCAAAAAATCTCCCTATTTTTATAGCAACATGTGGAATGCAATATAACCTACTTGTTGTGTAAAAAATGCGAAATTGGTTTTAACCAATTATCTTTATTATTACCAGTGTATCATTTTTCGTCTCTTTTAAACCAATTTTAAATTAAACGTACACGTATATACAAAGTATAAAGTAATGAGGAATTAATTCTATCCAAAACAAAATGCCCTCGAATTACTTACGAATTCAACGTTGTTTTAATCGATCGTTAAATTTATACTTCCCCGTTAAATAACTGGAATTCGAGCGATTAAGACGTTTTATAGCAAATTTCGTTATCTTCTTTCGCGAAACTTTGTTCGAAAACTTTTAAAATATTTCGGTTTAGCAGTCCGATATTCTCGAATAATTCGGATAAGTTTATGAACGGAGTGCTTTCGGACAACCTCTTCAAGCGCTTTGAATTTATACACAAGTTCGTGGAAATCGTCAGACATTCTTCAGCATCTCGCGCTCTAAACTTTTCATATTACCGACGTTGTTCGGTAGCATTTTAAAATTAACAGGACGACTGTCTAATCCTTTTCCTTTAGACATTTCGTGTATCCTGTCACGTATAAAAAAAGGCCTTTAACTCTTGCGGTGTTTTCACAATGGCCAATATCTTGATCCCGCGCCTCGACAACGGCCATAACTCAAACAGCCTAATATACAGATGTTTTAAATTGCGAGAGAGAGCGGAAAGAGATAAATTACTTGAAATTACTCGTAGCATCCTTCAGAAACTCATCGTAAATACAAAAGCAGCGGAAAAAGATAAAGGACGTTGTTATAAAAACGAAAAGTAACCATTATCCGACTTTAATTGAAAAGAATGAGTTAGGTTTTTAGTGAGTTGAAATTCTGAAGCCTTAAAAAGATTAATTTCTTCCTAAACTACATATAACTTTTCTCGGAGAATCGAGTATTACTTTCCTAAGTGTTCCTTTATTAGAAGATTATACAGAGAGTTTTATATAAACATTAAAAACCTATACTTTCCTATTGTACCTTTTTGCTCCGATTTTCGACTTTTATGATGCTGCCTTAAGTTAATTAAAACGCAAATTAAGGGCAGCTCAAAATCAAATCCATTGAGCTAGGACGGCGATCGATGCAAGGAGGGGTTAAGGAGGATTTCGGGAGCCACTATTCCCGGATTATGAGCCAATTTACAAACACAGCTCCTCCTAACGGCCATAATAATTCCAATCCGTCCGAGAGATTTTACTACAATAACAATATTGTAAATGTATACTTCCACAGTGAATTGCTTTCACCGTAACCTCCGCGCTCAGAAACACGATATCTTTTTAGAAAATGTAATCGCAATTAAAGCTAAGTTTGCTGAATTATTACACCGATTAATTCAGATTATTATTAGATAATGTCTCGAGAACAAAGCGATTAATATTAGTACCTATTTAGTGGGTAATTTAGTTCGGATACTGCTTGTATATTATTTGAATATGCATGTTATTTCGTGTTTTAATACACGTTTTGTATCTTTTTGTACAGTCTTCCAAGAGCTTCATCATTGCGTATGTAAATACACGGCAGAAATTCGTTTTAAAAGAATTCTGAAGACATCCGCTTCCATGTTTATTAAATAAAAATTTCCAGAGCTTTGTTTTAGTCAACAGTTTTTAATAACGGATTATTTACTCTCCTTTATTGTAACTGTCAAAAGAGTCGATTCGCTTTATTTCCTGCTCGTTTAATAAGTATATTTGCAATGCTCATTTCGATCTAAGTAAGTCGATTTTCCTGATAATGGCAGCTTCTTTTTCTTCGTTAGCGAAAATAATACGAGTTGAAAGAGACATTCACCGGGAGACTGGAAACGATTGAAGTGACCATAAAGGAAAATTGCCTATTCTGCCATTATAATTAAACCACAGTAAAAAAATGTACCTACATTAGTATCTTAAACTAGATTTTTATTTAACAAGTTTATTAATCTTCGTGACCAACAAATTCGTTCGGTTTTCCAATACTATTCATTTGCTATATTAAACAATGAATAGGTTCTAAAAATACCATTCAACTACTAAAGAAAAACAGTTCAATTTTAGTAAGAAGCGCTTTCATAGCAGCAATCGCTCTTAAATCCCTGTAATTGACAACCCGATGCGAATCCATTGTGGATAAAATAAACATTCGTCGACGTACTCGTAATTTCCCTCTAGTTTGTTCAATCCCGATTGTCCCGATACCGTCCTTTGACGCCTTTTAAAACTGCAACGAAGCGAAACTGCGACGGCTGTCAGTCGCATTTTCGCGATCGCCCGTTCGCCGGCCGAAGAAACCCGGCGAAAAAAGCGCCCCGAACGTATCGCGTTTTATCATTTCAAACCCTTCCAGTCGCCATTGCGGGCGACGTCTGGCGACGGCAAAAAGGCGCGCAAATCGCGGCCCGCGACTCGAATTTCGATCATTAGGGCGGGCGCCCTAAATCACACCTTTTGAATCCGAGCTCCGAAACGGCTGCACCGCCGTCGCTGCATGAATTACACCGATAAGTTGAGTTTCTCGCTAATTTAATTTTCACCGGGTATTATGTAGACACTTACGCGGGAATTGCGGCTGCTTTTTTTCCGCTTGTGCAGAAAGGTAACACAAAAGTTAACGAGCAACAAACACGCGAGTGTTTTGCTGAAGCGGGGAAATATCGAATAAGATCCTCCACCGAAATTTCAAAAGCTCTCGCGAGATTAATTGTCTTGGCGCATCCACCATTAATTCAACTAAAGCGTTTGTGGCCAATTCTAACAAGCTCCTCCGCCAAAATTTCAAATGCTTTACTTCAGGCATTGTAGGAGTCATTATGTTAATTGGTAGTTTCACACTTTTATATGTAATTTATTAAAGTGGATCCTGTGAACAAAAAATAAGTAGTAATGTAATAACGCCTGAATAAATAACACATAACCTCGTCCCAAGAGCAGGGCATCCGTGTTTATTTTCTGGGATTCGAGGGGACGACCGAAGACGTTCGTTTCCACGCCAAAATCACGCCCCCACGTCTTCTGCAGGTTATATGGGGGAAACCTCAGCGGCATACCGAACAGTACGTAGTGGTATTGTATGCGTAAAGGCAGAAAGCAACAGAACAATCGATCGCCGGAACTCCGCAGAACCGTACAGAAAATAATCCCGTCGCCAACAACCACTACGAATATTTAGTGAATAAATCGCTGCAAACGAGCCGTTGCTCGCACGCCCGACGAACAGCAATCATTCCGCTAACGGCTTACTTAAGGTGTTTGTATTTTTATTTTACGATGCCGTCGCGGGAGTTCTTGCACCGTGACACTTCGCGAGGCGGATCGTTCCTGCGGCATGTTGTTCAGACACTTCTGCAATTCCAGCGTAAGAAACCGACTCGTTAGTAGGTTCGTACCTCGAGATTTTCGATCCGCGCGCTCGAAATTCCGAACTAACATTAGTCAATGTCTCGCGGGTTTCATAAGCTCTTCGGCGAATTTATAATAATCGTCGGTAGATGCAAATGTTGAATGAAGAAGTGGAGTTGGGGAAGTTTTGTTTGTATTTCTCCCGGTGCGCTGATTCGGATGGAAAGTCGAAAGGTTTTGGACGGATGTAAAATAGCGGAGCCGTCGCGAGAAAGACAAAATCATGAAGCGCGAATGGCCGCTTTTTATAGTTTTGTTTTTCGTTTTACTTAATGGCCCATAAATTTGAAGTAGGTACTCTCCATGTAGTCGGAATAAGTATTCAAGGCGAGTAATAAGCGTGCAATAAAAACGCTCATATAATGCCTGCAATTTAAAATTTAATTCGGCTCGTACGATCGTCACGTATATCGCCGTATTATTACGTTCCATTAAAAATTTTTATCAGCAAATTTCGCATATCTTAAAACCCATCTTTCAAAATTTAGAACTTAAATCAAATAAACAATAAACTGTAATACACTCGATTAAAAAAATGATCCGAACAAATTAAAAAAAAGCGCCTCGTAGAGTCGTAAAATCATCAATCTTGCGACGGCTTCATTATATCTTCTCCACTCCGCAAGCGTTACAATGCAATCGCCAGCACCTTTAAAGATCGTTCCGATCTTTGGCCCGGACGAAATCCATCTTCATCCGTTCGCCGGAGTCGGATAACTCGGTGAAAAGCCGCGTCGAAGACGAAGATAAAACAGCCGCCCGCGGGGCTTTTCAGTCCGGAATGTATTGTGAGGATGGAACGCGAAAACGCCACCGACGCGCCTCTCGAGCTGATGCCGCGGCTCGCGGCTCTTTTATTATTCAAAATTTAATTCGTTTTCGCTACGAAAGGCCCCGCCGAAAAATTATCATAGCGGAACGTCGCGTTAGCAAGCGATTTTTCAGAACCGGATCCGCCGGTGTTCCCCCGAGTAATCGCCTTTTTTTCTAACGCCAGTAGTTTCAATGCTAGCGACTTCCAAGGGTACTTTTTACGATGATTTTAAATGTATAATATACAATTATTCGCGTCACAAGCTACGAACTTTTAACATTGAATTGGTTTAATATCATGTAGGTACAGTAACTGAAATAATGAATTCATTCTATATGGCTTTTCCACACTGTAGTAATAATACAATTTCAACGCGACAAGTAAATTTATCCACAATATAATTACATGCAAATAAACTGCAATATAATCTTCGACTGGCATAGCTCGTTCCGCGTGTTATTATCTCGATGAGAATATTACTGGGTCAAACTAAATCGCTCAAATAATTTTCTACTTTCCGGCGATAATTTCCATGTGGAAACCGTAGCAAATTACGTTAACAAACGCTATATATATCCCGAAATCGCCCCTATAACTTTCGAAATGTTGTAGTGCTTTATTTAACGGGATTTAAAAGGTGCAGAAACCGAAGGGAGCAAAAATAAGTGATTAATCTTAAAGCGAGTCCATTATCTCCCGCGCGCCATTAAGAGCGCGTACACAAGAGAGATTTTTACCCTCTTTGCTCGAAATTACAATTAGCAGAAAGATTGCGTTTCATAATTAATAGGTGTAACGTTACTCGGAGTATTATAGAATTGCTATAGATGTGCCGTCCGAGCGGCGGTTTCATTTCGAGAAAATCGGTTGTTTATGAAGGACTAATAACGAATTCCATGCACATTTCTAATAAGGATCCGTTCTAGATTGCGATCCCGAAATAGAAACGAAAATACATCGGGACTTCTAGCAGAAGATCAAGGATTTAGTAGAGCCTTTCGCAATACCCGCTTCAGCTCGATTCGATAAAAGATACGGCGACTTTATCGATTCCTCTTCTATGAAAAGGATACAATTACAAGGCATTACAAGCCGTAAAGGGATTGTTTACAAATCGGTTTTGGCGAATAATGAATTTTACATCGCCCGTTTTACCGGTGTATACAGCCGTTAATATTCGAGTTCGTTACTTAGCTAAATTAAAGAGGAAAAATATAGGTACACAATTAATTTAATTGACGAAAAAGTTGCCGTCCCGTCTTATCAGCGTCGGAAAATCGAGCGGGTCAGCGAATCGAAAACTTCTCCAAACGAAGTAGGTACCTAATAAATAGAAAAGAAAACGAAAAGATGCGAATCGATAGATCCTCGGAGCGCCATACTTCAACGAAAAACACTTTAAAAGGTCCGAAGGAGTTTTTAGTGTCGCATATACGCCATAGTGTTACGTGATACTTTGCTGTTTTATTTCGCTGTACTTTATTTTAATACGGGGTGCAGCGAAATGCATCCGATTCGAACGCTTCGTTTATGCAAGTCCTCGATTAAACCTATGCGTATCCTATCTTGAAAGATTATCGATTGGTTAGAGGTTAATACCGGATGTAATTACCTTAATCCACGGGCGGAATTAGTTTCCTTTAATACCCTACGTGGGCTAGATTTAATAATAGCTATAATATGGTAATCGGTGTTTGGACAGGTTGAATGGAAATCAGACCTCACAATCGCACATTTAAGACATTTAAAATTCAAATCCGCGCGGTGATGTAAATTGACAACAAAGTATTTTATAACTAATCAACATGATGGCTTGATTATACGGAGCGACGTTTTTCTGGTCATTATACCGATGAATTATACATGAATTTTTCATTAGGATATTCCGGGAGTCTCGGAATTATATCTAGCATTAAGTTTTGCGAACTATCCCAGTCCCCGAAAGTGGTTAGCAAAACCAATTGCAAGTTTCAGTCGGAAAGGGTTAGTTTGTTTTAGAATTAAGGTGTTGTTAACTTTACTCTCCGCTAAGCTATTTATCCCCGGCGCCATGTTGTTAACGTCCCAGCTATTTTTAGCGATTAAATTACGCCGGAATCTTTATTTAATACTATAGTATCGCAAAAGTAAAGGGACTTTGATCTGGAATCTGAGCCTTTAAAATGTTGTTTTTTCAGAAATATCCGTTGCATTTCCGTTTTTAATTAATTCCAAACAATTTGGTATGTAGCGGATAAATGAATTCGACGTGGTAAAAGCATCTGTACATCATCCCGTTCGAATCGAATTCGTGATGAAGTTTTTTTCAGGCCAATTTACCCGCTCTCCGATTCAGCAATTCGCTCCTTGCACATCGACATCAAACAAGATTCGTTCCCGTATTAAATGTTTCCATAGAGATTATACGATCAGGAATTTCCTCGATGTTGGGGGTGTCAAATTAGTTTTCGCGCAAGTACCTGCTCGGTTATAAGGAAATATAAATGAATAAATCGGCTCATCTCTTATTTGCGTGTAAATTGGCGCTTAAAATAAAAAGAAATCTTTAGAATCATTCACGCTGTTTACTAACATACACATCGAATAGATTTATCAATCGGTTTGGAACAAAGATCGCAAGAATTAGTTTTCTTCCGGGTTTTATCGGCTATTAGCCCTAATTATCCGATCTATCGGCGGTAAACAGGAAACGGGTCGTTCATCATTCCGGACGGTAAGAATTAATTGTCCCGGAGAACTTCCTTTTCAGGCGCGCTCGTCGTTTAAACTCGCAAAGTCTATTTAGATCTGTAATTATAGATGTTGGAGATCAATTACAAATGCGGCCGGAATGCACCCGGAGTCTGAATTACGGTGGCGTTGTATTCGTTACGGGTGGTTCATTATTTTACCGCCCGACATGCATTCTCTTAATGCTGTTAGATACCATCTGAAGTGGGATTAGAGTACTCTAAGAAATTAGTACGGACTGCATGCAGGTGTACAGGAAGTCCCAGGTAATGCGAGTCGTGTGTGTGAATTTATCTTGATTTCCTAAATTTAGGTAGATTTACAGCTCTAGGCGAAATATTCGATTAATTCTAATTATGGAAACTTAAAACTAGGTTTTGAAATCTGTTAAATTGGTACAAACGCAAAGCAATTTTCTTAGATAGAAATTAATGAGAACGAGGAGAAGGAACGGGCTGGAAATTTCCCTCGGGGCCGTTTT